ACTACTACTACTACTACTACTAGTACCTAGTAGGTAGGTACATCACTCCAGGGCTGGGACTACTAGTAATATGAGAGAAATCTCTAGGCTGCTAGTGCGAGGTGTTTATGGAAGTCACTGATACTAACTGAAAGCTGGAACTCATGAGTGCTTACTACTAGTACTAGTACTAGTACTAGAGGTGCATCAACTTGAAGTCTTCCAAGGTTACTAGTAAGTTAGAGAAGTTCCAAGGTTGACTAATACCAAAACAAAGGCGAATTTTTACATCTATTGCTTGTACTGACTACGAGTAGCTGTCGACTGCCCAAAAGAAGCCTCAGGCACAAACAGCTGACATAATCGATGAGATGTATACGTGACACGTGATACAGTGGGGTTTCTTAGAAGGAGGGGGTTTCACCACCCACCTGGCGACATTCCTCCCTGCCGTTTCCATTGCAAGATTGCCTGGCCTTCTATCATGATCGAATGGCTCATAATTCATCTTCGTCAGGCTCCAGTGGCTTTTCACCCGGGCATCTGCAGCTGAAGGGCCCCTCTTACCCCTTGATGAGACCCGGGCTGTCTCAGCGAACCGCTCACTCGAAGGCCAGGGCGCTTATAACATGACTAGGCCCCATCAATATGTCCATTGGATCTCGACAGCCTATCGAAAATGGAGAATTACTTCAGAACAGCCAATGATACTTTTCTTCAGACTTTCAGAACCCTTCGGGCGGCGATGCTCGTCACATTGCAGAAATTCGATTAGGACTTGATGTCACAGACTATGTGCTTGTGTGGTACATGAAACATCCCTAATGTTCCCCCGGCGGATGGTATTAGGAAAACGCAAAAAAAACAAGGAAAAATAACGAGTGCCCCAATTCCAACCCGAAAAAAGAAAAGAAAAAGAAGATACAGAACATGAAAACGAGAGGGCATGTCAATGCAGCCGCTGTTCAACCAAGGAAAATCCACCAAGTTTTGCCGATCCAAGTCACATCTTATCGTGTGAGGGTGGTGCGTCGATCCTCACGCTCCCGCTGCAAGACGTAAATTTCCTTGTCCAAGTCCATTATGAGTCTCTGGGATCGATCCATGGAGGCAACAAGAGTGGCCCCCTCACGTTTCCACCGTTCCAGGCGGTCGACCTCGGCGCTTCGCCGTCGGAACTTGGTCTCAATCTTTTCGCAGAGGCGGCACTTGCTGTTCTCGTTTTCGGTCATGTTCACGAGTTTCATACCGCACGTCTCGCCTGTGCGATACTCGTAATTGCACCGATGGGCGAAGTTGGTCCAGCTCCAGTCTCCGCACGAATATCGCTTTTGGTTGTAAAAACACATGCCTATCAGTCGTGTTAGTGCCTTTCAACCCGACGGTGCGATCAAACTCACTTGCTGTCGAATCTCGAGCCTTGTTTCAGGTTGACTGATGGCACACGATCGGTCTCTTGTCGGACCTGTCCTAAACTTCTCTAACGAGTTTGATAGGCTAGTCCTTGACGGAATTCTGATGAAAATTTTTCGAGTGGCTTAAAGGAGGCGAAACAATTCTCAACAAAATGGAAAATTCCTTCCAATGGAAATATCTATGGATCTCAATTACTCAATTGAGTGTTTGAATTTGAAACCTGAGAGGATGATTTCGAACTTCACATCCTGTCAAGGGGATCGAAACTGCTATTTATGCTTCGGTGGATGTTTTCATGTCACCGCCAGAGTCCCTCCAAGTTCGTGTCGTCGTCCTGCTGATCGACATTCATCGGTGCGGGACGGCTTATCGTCCGTGTTTCCCATCCATCGGATTTCACTTCACAACCTAGTAAAGGTCGATCCGGTTGGCTGTCAGCTATTCTCCTGGTAGTGGAGACAGTAAGATGCCCAAGGTTTTTTTTTCGAATGGAGCCACCAAGGATGAACCGTTGCTTCAAGCATGCATGCATCTTCTTACCTGTGGCAACTTCTGTCCCCATGATGATGTACGCCAGGTGGAAAATCCCTCAGTTGATGGCTGTCCTCTTCCACTTTTTGGTATCGAATGCTGCAGCTATGCCGTCGCCAGATTGCACTTCCCCGCCTTCAGGTGCATACTGTTCGCATAGAAGCATACTCCTGTGATCGTGTTGCGTTGTGCATCGTTGATCCTGCATGATTGAGTCGCTCTCGACCTCTGCCAGCTGTCACCCGGATGCAATTATCAGTCGGCTTTCGCCCGGGGTTGCCTGGCTTCCAAGCAAAAAGAAGCTGCATTTATTTCCGAATGTGACGAGACTGCACGTTCCTTGTGACTCCACTCCCTATTTGGGGTTGTCTTGATTTTCCTTTTTTTTCTTTCTGCCCAGTCTTGCCACTCTTGATTGGGTCCAATATACCCAGTATCTGGAAAGTTGACACAGCCGATAGACCGAGACCCTTCCTCTTTCCATGGAGCAACACACCCCACGCTGCTGTCTGTGTGATTGCATACGCATGCACGCCCAATTGATCGCGCCCCCGTCGCTGCCTCTGCTTTCAATATTGTGTTTACCCATTGGGCAATACTTCATATTGGAATTCGTCTCAGAAAATGTACTGTGACCCGTTGCCAGTGCCCTTCCATCATATCTCTTTGCCGAGCCTTACTTGCAAGGATCAGAATTGCGACCTGATTTCGTCCCACGCCGCCGCATCCTTCCGCTCCGTGCCTCTCAGCCAATGGCCCCCCTCGCTCGGGTGGCAAGAAGTCGCGTCACTGAGGCTCGAATGAGTGGTACCTCCTGCACTCAGGGACACGGGCCATAGAATTGGGTTTGTTTCCCTTGTTACTCATTAACCGTTTGGGTTTGGACGGGAAAGACCCATTTTTGTTCAGCTGATCTTTCATATCTGCAGAAGAGGGATGATGCATCTATCTCCGCTCATGTGTATGGACCATTATCATCCATTTGCCTGCTTTGGTGAAGATGATAGGATCTTAGTGCCGTGCGGCGCGGGCATCGCAGACACGAACTGTGACACCTTCCACATATTACTTTACCACATGCAGCTGCACCAAAGCTCGGAGACTCTGACGTGGCACGTTATTTCTGGCTAGGAGATTCTCAATTCCTGTTAGCGAAGGCTGACTGGAAGGTCGTGGGCCTCGGAGCGCAACTTCTATGGATTCCATGAAAGCTCCACAGGAGTGATCCTGGCCTCCACCCCTGTCATTGAGCATGCCGCATCATGGTCACTTAATTTGTTTTCATTTCTGTCTCCGCTAGAACTGGAAAGTGGCTCTCTCTTTCCAGCTGGCCCGGCCCTCTGATCCACCGGATGAAAACCCATCAATACAACGCAGGATCGTCGGACGATGCCGCATCCATTACGCTCGCTGCCTGGAGCCAGGAAGCTGATCCATGGCGAGATGTTGAGTTGGCAGCCAGACATCCCTGAAGGCCCGTGAACAGCATCAGAGGGCGTAATTTCGGAGAGGACTGATCCATTTCGAGCAAGAGGCGGTTGCATCGGCTCTCACGCTCTCGAATCAGCTTTCCAAGCAACCCCCCTGCCCATCTGCCTCTCGCCCCGTCTTACCACCTCAATGGTCGTACTCGTTCTGGGGGAACCCGACCCCTGCTGGCCAGGATTACATTCAAAATCCATGAAAACAGAGTGGATATGATTCCTGCCCAACAGGCGAAGTTATCGGAATGATTTTCAGAGCTGTCGAATTCGATTCAGTGCCGTGGTTCGCTCATTTTATGTGGATAGACTTGGACCACCCATACTTCAACGTTGAAATTGGATTCTCAGGCGCGCATACACGCTCCCACAGTGCTGGGCTCTTCTGATCCCGTGATCTTAAAGTGAACGGAGGCTCCCGCACCTTCCACGCGCATGCCTCTGCCGCCCGCAACAAATGGTGGCCGGTCCTTCAAGCTTTGGGATTCGAGAGCCGGAGGGCCACCGCCCCCAGCCTGGATCAACACGCCTAGATTGGCTGGCGAGCGGAGGGAACCTCTTTTGCAGCCGAGTGCAGTAGCCAGTAACAAACCCTGACTGGGATGTTGGTCATATGCAGCTAGCACTCCATTTCCCCACCCACCTCATGTATGAGGGCCACTGCTGCATATCATCAGCGCCTTCTCCGAATCAAGCCAAGCCTTCGGCCTATTGGTCGATTGAATATTGTCTCGATGCGGGTCCTCGCATCTGCATTTGCCAGGTGCCAACTCCACTGTTGCTGCGTGGAATCAGATCTTGAGGTTCCACTTTTCATGTATGCGAACCTGCGCGGAAGTTCGCTTCCGTGCTTCCTTCTCGAGTCTCAAAATGCGTTGCGCCAATCACTTTCAATCTGGCAACTTTTTTTCTTGTCTCTTTTTCTTCTTTATTTTTCACATTCATTTTCCTTATCGGTGCAGCCAGGAAATGCCACTGACGCAAGTCCTCCGAGTCCTGGATCGCTTACGCGGATATCGCTTTTCAATTTTGCTCTTGCTCGCATAAACCACCCCACAACTTGGGGCTGAATTCTACTAAACATCACATACATTGGCAGGCAAACAAAGTCCTAAGTGACTCAATATTGAGATCAGACCTCAAAACGACGAGGTGCCGCTCTTGTTGACGTGGCAGGCTCACTGGCACTACGCTCACTGATTGCTAACATCACCCAAGTTATCAAAACCGCCACCATAAAGTCTCATCACACCCGGGCTGACTATCTCGGTTGACCATGGAGCGTTCATGTCGGCGATCGAGGTGCTCTTAGAAAACAGTAGTTCATAGTAGCCGTGGAAGCTGGTAAGCTTATTACTCGATCGGGTTAGGCTCTCGTGACGTCACAATGATCTATAGGACAGTCTATTCTGGATTTGCAAGGAGAGTAATTTCCCAGAAAATGTAGCTTTTAATCCCTTGAAGTCTTCCCTTTTTAATTGACCATTATTTCTCCTTTCTTCCACTCAGAAGCAATACAAAAGGCACCCCAGCTATATCGCCCGTTCGAACCCAGACTTGATTGTCTTAAGAAGGAACAAAAGTACATCTATCATGTGGAAGAGCCTCATTTCCACTAGCCAGCAGGCGACTCGTGCAAACCCCCGCAATTCTGTCGCAGCACTTTGCATAGCCCCGTCGGCCACGAGCGGTCGCCCCTTTAGTGCCATTTCTCAGCTCCATAAAGACAGTCCCCCCGATATCGACCGCGAAGAACTCAGGCCCGAGCGATCAGAAGTCACCAAGTCTGGGACTGACAATGAAATCGCTCATCATGATTCCGCATTTGACCCGTCGAATACTGCCCCGGAAAGCGAACTTGCTGCGACAGAACAGGAGAGCGGGTCGACGAATGTGAAAGGCACACTCGACATGAGCCCCGCGAACAAGGATGTGAGTGCATGGCGGGGACCAACTGAAGGTGGTCCAGATAGGAATCTTGATCGAGGAGTTTCAAGCAAGAGGGGCACGCCGAATAAGAGTCGGACGATCCATGTCAAAGAGGATGGGACGCATGTATCGTATCGATAGTGTGTATTTGCGTTCATGTTATATAACTACCAGTCACTACTACTACCTCCCTATCTTGAGTTTAAATTCGATGATAGTCCGATACAACATACAAATCTTAGATTAAATTCATTGTGATTCTTCTCAACCAAATAAAAAAAACCGATGTGGAAACAGGCAGTATTTTTGCGCGATTTCTTCTCTCGAGATATCCCATCCATGGATGACAATATCCACCTGTCATGATGATCAACACGAAATAATCACTTACAGCTGCACAATGCCGATTCAAATCTTGGGGAAATGGATCAATATAGGTATTTACTTGATGCACATGTTATTTCATCAAGAATTAGTCATTACTAGTAGTACTAATATTAAGTGAGGGGTTTCAAACTACTCGGGAGCCACCCTCTGTGGCTCCTTCCCTCACCTCCATCCTTCTACATATCTCTGAATATTATCACTACTACGTTTTATACATCCATCCTCCGAGTACAAAACTATTGAACGGGGCTGTACACAGTGACGACTCAGCATTTATGCCTGGCGATTAAGGCAATAGAACACACTTCAATTCCTTTTTCCTCGGCCAGCGGCTTTCCTTTTACACCACTCCTTCTTATCAACATGTCCGGCCCTGGAGACTTTTATTATCTTTGTGGGACCATTGTGGGCTTCGAATATCCTCTGCCTCGAAGTTGGCAGATCGACAAGAGACTCTCCGAAGTGTACGCCAAACTGACCCAACACCAAGTGGATGGACGGTGTGGGTATCCCGTATGCAGCCATCAAATTCCAAGGTTCGCCTGCCACGATACGGGGAACTCTGACCAAAAAGCCATCATGCGAATGTGTATCCAAATACTTATTACAGGAACAGGTGCGCATCTGCTATCACCACCTTCGTGACCCTGGCCCTCGAGGGCACTTTGGTCCTCTATCAGACAATTCAGAGCCTGCAGTCGCGGGAGAAGGTAATTCGTGAGCTTCGTCAGGAACTGGAAGCTCTTCAAGGGGTGCTTCAGACTCTTTGGGGATCAACCGATAATCTTGATGTCGATTTAGCATCGCTGGAGCAACCACTCACCAGGTGTAAAAATGCCTGTGGGGATTTTAATGCCCATTTTACTGGTCGTCAGGCACGCCTTGGAGCCCCGTCATCTACCAGAGCTTCTTGTGATCTTTCATCTCCGGTACTTATTTTGCTAAACGCTGAAAACCCCCCCCCAAGTGGATGGGAATATCGCAATCAAGTCCAGTTCATGTCCATAAAAAAGATGCTAGAAAAATAAATGTTCGGTCACGATACCCTATCTCTTCTTATGCCATAAAGTTTGAAGGTTACAATACGAGATTAAGCCACTCACTCCCCACTCTGAGCCAATACCGCTCCATTTATGCCCGCCGATAGAGACATTCGGAGCCACTTCAAAATGAGAATTGATCCAGACACTGCCAGCTTGAAGCTGCTTCCCAATTTCGCCAGCACGTTTGAGATCTTTCGACCAAACCGATGCGCCGAGGCCGGTCTTTGTCGAGTTTGCCCTTGCAATGACATCCTCCTCGCTCGACCATCTCATCAATGGGATAATCGGGCCGAATGGTTCTTCCTGTACAATTCTTGAACTTTCAGGTGGATCATCAACTATAGTTGGGTGAATATAGAGACCCTCTGACTCAGTGATTGTTCCCCCTAATGCAACGCTCAACCCTTCAGAATTGATTGATGATAGTAAATCCTTGAGCTTTGCGTACTGCATAGCGTTCTGGACGGGTCCAAAAAAGGTGCTTGGCTCGGTTCCATTACCAACCTTGAGAGAGGCTGTGTATTCGATAAATGCGGCGCGAAATCGGTCGTAGATCTTCTCATGTATGTATAGTCGTTTGATCATCATACACACTTGGCTAGAATTCAGAAAGCATAAAGTAGCAAGCTGGATCATGCAATTATGATTTCGAGGTTAGACTAGTAACTGAAAATGTATATATAACCTTGGAACAGACCACATTGAAGACACTTACATTGGGTACAATATCATCGATGTCAACATCCTCGCAGACAATCGCAGGGTCATTTCCTCCCAGCTCCAAGGTGACCCTTTTAAGTGTCTTTGCGCTACTTGCAAGCACCAACTTTCCAGTTTCAGTTGATCCAGTGAAGCTGATCTTGTCAATACCTGGATGGCTTGTGATCCAAGGGCCCAAACTATCATCGCCACTCAACACTTGTATCAGACCAGGAGGGAAAACCTTTGCCGCCAGTTCGCCGAGCTTGAGAGCACAATAGGGAGTGAATGGCGATGGCTTGATAATAATGGAGTTTCCAGTATATACGGCAGATGCGATTTTGCCGATAGCGAGCAAAACCGGAAAGTTCCAAGGAACAATGCCAGCAACAACACCTAGCGGCACATAACGTTCGACGACTTGAGAATCGTCGTCGTCGATGACGACCGTTTCTGGAAGTTGGATTGAACAAAGATCTTTGAGCCATTTCACTGACATGGTGATTTCGATACTCGCCTGAGAATGAGGTTTCCCCTGCTCTTGGGTAAGTAGCTTAACAAAATCCTCCTTATGATTCGCCAGGTCACCACCAAAGGCATGTAGAGCAATTCGGCGCTTTTGAATAGATGATTTGGACCAGTCTCTGTGAGCTTCCTGGGCATAGATAACAGCATTGTCGAGATCATCGTGGGTGCAAACTGGAACATCAGGATTCCGTTGGAGGTTGGCAGGGTTGGTCCCATGCGTAGTTTGTAGAGAGATGCACAACTTGTTATTTATCACGTTAAAAAAAGTCTTGAGGGGTTAGCAAACTATTTCTTCTACCCTTGTGTGTGCTCGCTTACCGAGAAATCGGTCTGGGCTGGCGGATCCATTTTGATGGGGTGAGAGTACATACAAGCTGCACAGGCCTGATTCGTAGTATAACCATCAACGAGTAGAGACTGAGAATATCCATCTCTATAGGAAGGCAAGCCCTTTCTTATAAGCAATTGAAAGAAGGGAAACCAAATCCCGGGAATTCTGCCGATGAGAAGCAACACCCCGTCTCGCCATGCGGGGGTCATCTCCACGTTCTACCTCAGCTGGGGCGTGGGGAAATATCCACAAAGTGCGCCGTTGCTTCGTTGGCTCCTCTCTTGATGTTATCCTTGATCTGGAAACCGGGAACTATCCGGGATTGATTGTGGCTGGCACTGTCGGTATGGTAGTAGCTGCGTAGGTGGACAGCGGGTCTTCTCAAAACCTCTACGAGCACAGGCGAAATATTCAAACGCAAGCCGTCTGTGCTTTACCATTTTCATGACAGCATATTGGCTTGCCACTTCATGAATGAGATGAGGGTAATATTTGCATGTGTCGGCGTCCGTTGCCTTTCAATCGTACGGTCTGATGGAAATTCAACAGGCCGTATAAGACTGGTCACTATCAATCGCCCCCGGGGATCTATTCCCCAGACTTGAATCATATACCCTGCGCAGGAAAAATGCCAGATTACTATAGGCTGATTTCAATTGCGGGGACTCGTGGATCTGGGCATAGGCGGCACTCGGTACTTGCTAGTAGTTGGGTCCTTACAACTCACAACTCGGGAACTAGCCGCATATTCGGAAGGGAGTTCAAGATCTCTTTAGGGGGCGATTACTGATGTTGGCATATCATGCTGAGAAGTCTATAGGCGTGCTACCATAGATGGGATGAACATTCAGTAAGATAGTTATCGGATAAAGCTATCTAGAGAAGCTAACTACATAAATATGGTGGTAGTGCGGGATAACTAAGGCATAGGAGCCTGAGGCTCCCCAACATATGACAATGGGGTCCACAGAACAAAGTTGTTATTTCTTAGAACAGATTCGGTAGCAGAAGCCCTTCGTCTAATTCTTGTAGAAATTGGGCAGGAAGCATAATGTCACCGAGTTCCGCATCCCAATTTTTGAAAAATGGACTCAGTATATTAGGCTCCACTTGATCAGCATGCATGACGCTGGCTTGAATTTCATCCATCTGGTAATGACTTGATACAGCGAGAGGCATTTGGCTATGTCGGGTTTGGTCTGGCCCTATTCTCATTGATCAAAATACGATCAACCATATCGAGGGAAAGAGCAGGCTAGAAAACGAAGAAAGAATCTTACCTTTTTTCATTTCTGACCGATAGGTTAACCGGATATTATGTAAAGCAAGGGAGTAGTCTCTAGCGGACGGATGAACAGAGACCATTCGGTTCAATGTCTCAAGGCATTCGTTCCAGGAACATTCTTGTTGATCTGCAGTGATACCCTCGAGACTTGCTCCGCTTGACTCGGCAAGAAGAAGAACTATGCCAGCACTTATTAAATCTAAACTAGCGATAAGCAAAAGGTATCAAACATGAGACAACAGATAATTCTAGGAAATACTCACAAAATACCCCATACCACCATGCACCTGTTGCATCTTCTGTCGTTGCTTCCGATAATGAATGAATGAGGTCACATGCAGCTCGCACACATTTTAAAGCCGCATTTTGTTGGTACATGATTGACCAAGAGTCAGGCTGTGTCTGATTGAACTCGGAGCTAACACCTGAGCAATATGCACTAAATGTTGGGCGGTACAATAGCAACTTCAAATGAAGGTATCTGGGAAAAGGGCCATCAGTGGGGTGATGATGCTGAATCTTCTGCAGGCTTACCTAGCGTGTAGAACATTTGATTGGCGACGGAAAGTGTGTTCGGTGTTTTGAGAACTTGGCGAGCCCCACGCGAAGATGGGGGGAAGTGAAGCTTTGAACTCTTCCAGTAATCTGTCCAGATCCATGATGGCCTTGAAGCCTTCTGGGGCCGATGACGACTCTTCTGCTGGACCTTCGTCCTCACTGCGGTATATTTTTAACAGGATCTTCCAAAGAATTCCGATCAGTCTCATATTCTGGTGTAGAAATTGATTAGTCGATATAGTCCCCTTGGGCTGCTGAGCCTCTTGATTTCCAGCAGCAAGATGTTTGTCGTCAACCGGCGAGGGTAGTGGTATGTGTGAAGAGTCCGGTGTCATGGGTGGACGACCCATTGTCATGCTGGAAATTCTGTGAAAGGAATCAGTCAAATGCAAGTCTCCGAAAGTGGAAGCATTCCATACATATCCATTTGGACACATGCGCACCATGCTCGCCAGCGGATTTCCTTTTCCAAAACGTTCAAATTGTTGAATTGGCGACGGTTCTGTAGACCGAGCCCGACAGCCATTCGATGTGCCATTCCTATTACATTCCAGCATCTCTTCGGGTATGGCGTGCATTGCAAGTATATTGCGATCAGCAATAGCGCCTGGACATGGGCCAAGCTTCCACTGTCGAGAATATCAATGTTCATCGAGCTCTTCATTCGTTCGTAAAACATCATGGAAGAGTTTCGTTTATGGCAAGGGTCCATGTCGGAAAATTCACAAGCGATAGCAAACATGGCGTTCAAAGCGCAATGGAATAATCGAGATGGACAGTTGTGACTGCCGAGACCCACATCCGGAAGAACTGCGTCTGCATCATCGGATTGATTCGTCCATATATTCTCGTATGAAGCCATGAACGTGTGCTTGTGCACCCAAGGGTAGAATATATGATTATTGGCGAAATATACCTCTAAAAGCCAGTCTGCCAATCTCCTGGGTGGAAGCGAAAAGTCGTCCGATAGCAATACCGTCATATTTGTCGAAGAGGTGTTGGCGCCAGCCGAATTGGCTGATGAGGCTAGAAGACTTGGTATGGAAGACCCACCCTGGGACTGGACTGATTGGCGGCCAGGTGACTTTTGAGCGTATTGGTTAACCAAGGACACTAAAGATGACTGCCCATAGTACTGATCGTAACCCGCTTCTTCGGGCGTACTTGGTAAAGCTGCGCCCATAGCACCGAGAGATATGGGAAGTGTGTTACCAACCGGGGAGGAGTATTGTACTCCAAACCCTTGGCTTGAAAGGGTGCCCCCAGTCTGGGGGCGGGGCGGCGATTCGAGTGGTTCGCGAGGGGCTTCCTCTTGCAGATCTGCAACATGGGCACGTAATGAATGGATATACCTAATGCAAGTTAGATTCGGTCAATTACTCAAGAGCCGGGATATGCTATTCAAGGGCACCAACGCTCTTTCTGTCTGATATTTGGCCGTTTCCGCAATCACTAAATACTCGCAAGGCTGATCTGTAGCTCCGCGTCTCTGGCACGCGCCGCAAACTGGCCTCGCTCCGTCACACCGTACCTTGCGCTCCCGGCAATGTTGACATGCCAGTGCGACGCGCCTTCGTTTCGAGGATGGTTCTTGGGTAAGACTGGGCTGTGGATGTGCCTAGATAGCCAATCGGGAATAGTAGGGTCAGTACATGAGCTCAAACGCAGAAAGCAAATTCAATCGGCCTTAGGCAGGGATCCGAGTACATTTTCTTCAGATGCGTTTGCCATGGTCTTCTGAAAATATCCGGACAATAATTGTAGCCGGTGGAGCGGAAGGTTGGTAGCAGAGTACCTCCTACACCCGGGAATGTCCCGTTATTTCAAAGGGTGGCGGTTGGCCTCGGGAATTACCCGACGCAAGCTCGGACCAAGTTGGCAATTTGGCTGAAGATTTAAGGTTGCGGGATCGGGATCGGGATATGATTCGGTAGCAGTTCGGATAATACCCGGTTGGCATCCATTGCATGGTACCGCAACAAATCCCGGCCATTAAAGTGGCGGGAGTAGAGGCCTGATAGAGAAAATATGCCGCCTCATAGCTCTATCTCCGCCAAGTCTACCCGCCCCGAAAGGAAGATCATGGTGCACCGTTTATCATCCTGGCAAGAAACCGCCGCTGCCAAGCGGCAGGCCATTTCCAATGCGATTCCCGAGCATTGGCGTATCCCATCCTCACGCATCCCCGCTGTCGAAAAACAACCCGACGTCACTAGCTGCTATATTCATCACGCTATGGCCCCAAGGGATATCGAGATCACCGAGGCTGATGCGGTGACGATCACGCAACATAAGACGGTCGCTCCAGCAATCTGACATCAGACGTTCTATGAGACACAAGAAAGAGGGTTGCCCGCAGCAACACAACCACTACTGATAAGCACTGTTGACTGAATCACACAATAAACGAGCTCTATTAGGTATCCAAGGATCTTTCTTTCCAAGTCAAAATACTAGTAAAATTAAAAGCCGAATCGTGATAAGCCAAGCCACCAAGACACCAAACCTCAATAGTATAACATCCCGCCGACCTCCGAGTTCTCGTCTACCTTCATACTAAGCCATTTCACATACTGGAATCCATAATCGCAAAGTGAAAGTTGTATTGCCTCCGACCCACCATAGCAAAAGAGCGCACTAGTATGTGAAGCGAAAGTCGGGATGGTCGTCCCCCAGGTTCCCAACCTCATCGGAGCCTAATGTCAGTCTCTCATCACGGCCTCCCTGGTCTCTAACTTTATTCTCTCTGAATAAACCCAAAAATAGTAGGGCAGACGCGATGACGCATAGCCAAATCAAACCCAAACTTGTACCGTAACCCGTGGCATAAAATGGTGCCTCGGAAGACAGAAAAACATTGCTAGCGACCAAACCACCGCAGTTTCCGAATCCAATTTGCATAGCCGAGGCAACGGCTTGCTTGTAATGTCCGCTCATATTGTTACTTAACCATCCGATGAGAAGAGGCTGAGCAATATAGCCACCACTCGTTATAGCGAAGAGAGCAAAATATCTCACACCAACAGGAACTGATCGCTGTGCGAGTAATATAACATAGCCTACCGTCGCTATACTGCAGCCCACTAGGACAAAGCCAAATCGATGTCTCGCCTTGTCACTAATTAGGGCAATACAGAGCGTCATTATTGCTGCCACGATATAGATTGGAATGCTCATGACTTGTGCCATTAAGGATGTCCATCCCATGTCGCGAATAATAGTTGGTGTGAAGAATGAAGCTGCATATCCCGTGTTTAATGCACCCAAGTACATAATTGTGCTGTTCGTCATAGATTAGACATAAAGAGATCATCCTTCATAGCAACCTTCAGAGTAACATACCCAAGATATATTTTTTTATCACTCAATATTCTGCGTATCGCTGTCCGATCGAGTCGGTCCATGCGGTAGACTTGCGTATCAGACTGTAGTCGCGCAAGAAGGATGCTGCGCTCTCTTTCATTCAGAAAGCGAGCAGTTTCAGGCCAATCAGCAATCAGAAACTTTGCTATTATAGCAACAACTACAGTCACGATCCCTTCGAGAATGAATATCCATCTCCAGGAGGAGTAGCCACAGACCCCCTCCATAAAGGATAATCCGTAGGCTAATAACTAGATTGATGCATCAGTTTCAGATTGTTCCGTCTGGGTAGAGTACTTCTCACCCCACTTATGGCCCCTGCTAGAATGCTAGCACTGAAGAAAAGTGTCAATCGCCACTGAAGCTCAAACCGCTTATAGTACAGCGAAATCAAGTAGACGCTGCCTATCACCTTGTTAGTAGTCGAGCCTTGGATCTTAGTAGTACATACACCTACCGGGCAGGAATCCAGCTTCAAATATTCCAATCAAAAATCGGCAGGCCATTAAGGCAGACCAACTCTTCACGAATCCTTGGCCAACGGTCACACATCCTAAAAAGATCAACATTATCCCTTATCAAAGATAGCGGGATGGAGAACTTACCCCACGCCACCATGATTCCACTAATCCACGTGGATGGGGCCAGCTTTTTCATTATCAAATTGCACGGAACCTCGCAGAGAATATAGGGTATGAAAAAAATAAAAAGCGCGTAGTTGTACTGCCCACTTTTCATGCCAATATCTCTCTCCAGCCCCTGTAACCGTGCATTGCCGATATTGATGCGGTCAAGGAAGGCAAGAAGATATAGAAGCATCAGAATTGGCACAACACGTAGGTCACATTTCCTGACTAACTTGAGCTCTTCGGTAGCCTCATAGCTGTCTAGAATACCCTCGGCCCCTATATCGTCATGATGGGAGTGTTCAAGCTCCAAATTATTCTGTAATTTTATATCTGAGTCCATGATGATAGTTTCAGATGTCCATAGGTTAAGATTCGTAAAGATGAATGAGAGACGATCAGGTAGAAGGGCAGCTGTTTCCCGTATTTAACTCATACTGATAATCGAGCATGGATGTCTTGAATTTAAAATGGTGGTAAAACTGGATTTGATTGGCTTCGTTTCGATGGTACCCCAGAATCATAACCCCGGACTTGGCTTTCGCACTCCGCGATTATGATGCGGGGTAAAACTGACGGAGTCCTACTCCCGATCAAATTTTTGAAAATTGCCCCGAAGGATTGCCCTGGCCTATGTCGGCAAAAGCTTCGGGATAATGGCCACCGGGAAATACCCGTGACTGGAATCTCACTAGGTCGAACTCTTGGCAGGCAGCCTATAACTATGTCTTTAACTTTCTGACCGGGCAAAAGCTATTGATCATTTATTCGGAAGTGGGTTCGGTCCACACCTAACTTGACATTGTGCCAATTGACTTTTATAAGAGAGTTTCTTGGTAGGATAATAATCTCGGCAACTTCAGATCAGGTACTTTGGCCGTCGGGAACTAGCCGACCCGGAATCTCAGAGGCCGACTCAGACATGAATGTTTCTCTGAGATACCGCATGACACTTGACCAATACGCATCAAACAAACTGGCCCTCTTGCGATGGGACTATTACCAATTAGATACGACTGATACCCTTGATACGAGACTAATAACCTTAAGATAAGGGCCAAATATACAAAACCCCATTCTGTGACCTGGTCTCTCTCTCTGCATCTCACCGGCAACATGCGTGTCAGCACTCTTATTTTATCAGTCCTTGCAACCTGCACATTTGCCTCAAATGTGGTCAAGGTTGATGACGTGCAGTATTATGTTCCGTCTAAGGTCGAGGTATTGAATCCAATATGGCATTTCGGCTCTACCGTACAATCCTAATATGAAATCGTGTCTAGTTGACGTATGATTTTAACGCCATTGCGCCATTTCCGATCACAGTGATATCGCTCAAGTTACATGATCAAATCAACATGTCAGCTTGGCTTAACAACACTATCTCTGAGTTTCTGCTTCGAGATGATGTTTATATTCGGGAGTTTTCCACAGGTATACATACCTCCAATCTCTTTAAGTATTGATCGGACAAACTCGAAACATTACTAACCGTCCCCACAGCGTTGTACTTGCAAGGCCTCGAGAGTGTTGATTTCCATGATGATACCAAGTCTCTATTTGAGACCTTTGGAACCAACAAAATCTTTTGGGCCTCTCCGCAAAACGGTTCTATACTTCCTGATGGTCCGTACTTTGCTACAGTGTTTGGGCTACACCAAGCCTGGCGACTTTACGACGACCATACAAACTCTTTTGTATTGCCGACCGTACCGTCTGTCGATGGAACCGATGCATATGAGGTGCTTCCTGTCAAAGATACGAACCCACTTGGCTCTATATCTATCGCGGTGCCATCTAGACTTTATTTTAAGCCTACCCCTGAACATCCTCTTGCTGGCTACCGTGTCGCCGTGAAGGATCAGTATGCCATCAAGGGGCTCATCACGACCTTTGGAAGTCGGTCATACGCAATGACATATCCTCCTTCCAATGCCACTTCCGAGGTTATTCAGAATCTTATCGATCTGGGCGCCATAATCGTGGGCAAAACAAAGTTGTCTCTTTTCGCCAGTCCACTATTCACCGTCGCGCAGTGGCCCGATTACTCTTTGCCATTCGTATGTCTACCCTCTAAAAACCAATATTCCCGACCACTATCGCTTACCGAAAGAGAACCCCCGTGGCGATTCCTACCTCATTCCTGGGGCCTCTTCTGCTGGCTCAGGTGCTGCCATGGCTGCGTACGGTTGGCTTGACTACAGTATTGGAGAGGATACAGGAGGCTGTGAGTCGAGCTAGAATTTATCTCCCTCTCTCGGACTTTAACTCATGCTATCAATTATTTTTGGCTAGCCATGCGCTTCCCTGCCGCCATGAACGGTGTTTACGGCATCCGTTCCACAAAGAATAGTACCAATGATACCGCCACACATTTTGGACCTTTTGACGTCGCCGGCCATTTTGCTCGTGATGTCGACACTTTCAATCAACTCGGTAGTGTTATGTACCCCAATCCCGCAATCAAGAACTACACCAAGTTCCCCAAGAGGATTCTCTTCCCTCAGGAGTACTGGGAAAACATTGATCCCGACTACACCACAGCTTGCAACGACTACGTCAAGCATTTGGAAAGATTTCTTGGAGTCAGCCGTACTATTATTGACACAAATTCTCTTTGGCAACGGCACTCAAAGCAAAACATGAGCTTGGCTGATTATTTTGCGAACGTAAGTCTGCAGAATCCGATCACATCATTTTCAGGATTTGACGTCGATGCACTGTCCCTTATTAAATATCTAACTCAGTTCTATTTAGCTCATCCCCTACGTCTCGGGAAGCAACGATTTTATAGTAGATTTCAGGAAGGACTACTTCGAGAAATTCGGAAGCTTCCCGTACGTTGCAGTGGACAAGTCGAGCAGCTCCTCTTTGGTACCCCAGAACGCCACGTTGGGGCAGATGGGTCTCTCCCTGCAGGCCGAGTTCCAAAAGTTTTACCGGAAGTCTGTCTTGGTGCCGGACGAGGAAACATGCTCTGAGGCTACCGTAGTGTTTCCCTTCAATGGCAATGGTGGCGTTCCATGGTATCGGGATACGAATGTCTCCTATTCCCGAGATGGCTACGCCCCGGCATTACCTGGTTATATCAGCTGGAATCTGCTCTCGGTCATGAATGAAAGCCCTGAAGTGACTGTTCCCGTTGGACCTATCAGATACCAGAGCAAGATCTCCCTGGTGGAAGAAGAGTATCCGGCTGCATTGGAGATTCAAGGTGCCGGTGGCTGTGATATGATGCTTATGAACCTGGCCCGCGAAGTTGCCTACGCCCAGGGGCTACCGAAAGCTGTCAGAACAGGAAGCAAGATGTATTAGCTGGTTTTCGGGAAGGTTGGCGATGGATTAACTCTCTAAAATTAACAGAATGGGAACCTTGGAAGTCATTATGTTACTGAATGCTGGACTCACAAAACTATGATCTTGCTGAAAGAAAAGGCGACTAAAGAAATACATACATCAAGATTGGAGAGGAAAATCTTCCTACTGAAGTATTCCGAGGCAATATCTCGCCGTTCAGAATCATTGAGGATGACTGCCATGGTGCATGGCCTCGTAGTGTCATCCGTAACTGACTCTTTTCAATTAAAGGAGTATGTCGGGAAATAGCTCCATCTAAAGTTATAGATTTCAAAGTATGGATTTATCTAGAATATTTATAAGATAAAGACCTTTTCGCAAATCACACAACATGACCTGTTTCGATACCTACTAGTAGGTACTAAAATACGTTAAGGATCAAACACCTTTCCAGGATTCATCAGCCAATAGGGGTCCAATGATTGCTTGATCGCCCTCATCACAGAAAGGGATTCTTCGCCTACTTCCTGTACCATAAACTCCTTCTTTCCAAGCCCAATGCCATGTTCACCCTATGGATATACGCAGGTTAGTATGTTTTCGACAGTATTCAGGGGGAAATAAAAGATGTCCGATTAGAAGACTGACCGTGCAGGTACCCTCCATTTCGATAGCTCGGTGAACCATATCGTGAACACACTTGGATACCGACTCATATTCCTTTTTGCCATCGTATAGAATTGTCTCATGGAAGTTGCCATCCCCGATATGTCCAAGCATACTGCCGAAAAGGCCGAGTCGGTCGAGGTCTTTCTTTGAAATCTCTAATAACGGTGTTAGATGCTGCCCAAAGCTGGTCGCGAATGGAATAAGCGAATTCTAAATTACCAACAAGATCCGAAACTTTGGATAATGGAACCGCAACGTCTGTAGACCAAACCTCATGACCGGATTCTCTGAGACAGAGCATACTCCACAATGCTTGCTTGCGAGCGAACCAAAGCGCTTCCTGCTTTGACGTATCCTTTTCGACTTCTAAGTCGGACCCGTGATTTGCATGCACAATGTGACTCACGCCGTCGATGTTATCTTGCACGCCTACCTTGGTGCCGCTAAATTTGAAAAAGAGCGTGGGTTCTGCTTTCCACTCTCTCCCCGTATCGCCCATTCGATTGATAACATCCATCTGTACGTCATCCAGAAGTTCGACGGCCCCGACGGGGATTCCCTGGCGCACAACCTGGATAGCAGCGTTTGCCGCATCTCTCATGGTTGGAAATGATGTGACGGCAACTCCGGTTTCTTCTGGGATTCGTGCTAGCTTCAAGGTTGCTTCTGTCACGAATCCCAGGGTTCCCTCGGCACCGGTAAAGAGGCCATTCAGGTTATAGCCCGCTGATGACTTACTACAATTGAATCAGTATTAGATAGAGTTTTTAAAGTGAATGAAACATACCGAGGCCTCTGCCGTGTCTTAAGGATACGGCCATCCGGTAAAACCATAGTTAAATTAATTACCCAATCCTTCATGGTACCGTAACGCACAGCGTTTGTGCCACTTGTATGCATGTCAGTTGAGAAGACGGGCCAGAAACTTGAATATAGGAAACCAGATACACCTACCTGCAGTTTGTGGCAATCATCCCACCGATTTTCGCCTGTAGGAATAAAGTGAGCAAAGGATCTTATGCCTGGCTTCCCGAACAACTTCTAAAGGGGTGGCTCACAGGAGGGCCCGGGTCAATTGGGAAAAATAGCCCGCTTTCTTTGATTTTGTCATTCATATCCATCCACGACACTGAGGGTTGAACAACAATATCCATGCTGTTAAATGTGAGCGGTTTTGTATAGACCTTGCTCATTGGTGCTGTGGGTAGGCATACTCTTCCGGGTGAAACTCGACGATATCGCACATGCTCATAAAGTCAACACTAATCCCACCAAAAGCGGCTGAGAAATGGCCTTCCACGCTCGATCCGCCGGAATAAGGAACTGGAATTACAGTTATAATGGGGCTCTTCAAAAATCAGGGGTTGGGGGCGTATTCACTCATTGGAACTTTATACTTGGAGCAGATTCTGGCAATCTTGGCGACTTGCTCGGTGCTGTTGGGGAAGGCAACTGCCGTAGGGAGCTGGTCAATGTTGATCGAGGACCACTCGGAAAATCCATGTTGTCTCAGATCATCATCGTCGGTGGTGATGCCTTCCTCTCCAAGTTCTTTTCGGATTTCCAAAATTGCCTAAGAGCAGTATCAGTACAAAATCAGCCAGATAACAGTATGGCATCCACTTACCCTACCCATATCTTCCTTTGACGCATATACATAGCTCGGTTTCTTCTGTTCATTGGTTCGATGCTGTTCGTGCTCCGCATCTGCGATGGGCACTTGCCCACGAAGGTTGAAAATCAAAAGCCCGGTGATGAGTGATCCTCCTGTGGCTGCCAGCATGGATCTTGTCCATGATTTGTCGTCTGAAAAGTTTGGGCCCGGGTTATCAACCTTTGCTGTAGAAAATTGGCTTCTTGCTAGTGGGGAAGTCCAAAATACCCTTTGCCTGAACGTATGTGATCCTGGCGGGGCTGGGAAACGATATCGAGCTGGGACACCTCGCAATGGTCGCAACATCTTGAAGACTCGAAATTTGATATCGAATGTGCTCGTTCAATGCACAGGCTCTTAAAGTACTATATAATTGAACGCCGGATAGCCTTTGTGCCCAGGAGGATATGACTTAGTAACTAGTAGTAGAACTGGTAGGTCTGCGCATTCGGGTATGTTCCGAGTTTACCGTCAGTATGCATTTCCCAATTTTGTGAACTGAGCATAGCCGATTACCCGGTCCCCGTTGCATTTACCGTTGTCTGGCAAGAATTGCAGTTCCACTGGTATGCCAGTCGACGGCATAGTGAGATTACGGCATTGGTTTGACTTCGCGGCAGTCACTCATCACGTTCGGGAATTACCCGAGTGGGGCCTCACGGAAAGGCAAAATGCATCGACTTTGCTACACGGCCAGGTATAAAAAGAATCTAGAATAAACCCAGAGACATTACTAATGCGACCTGATTGAAAAGAAATTCGATAAGTTCTACTATCAAAAGAGACAAAATGTAAGTTTGGCATTTTACCCCAAATGAACGAGAATCTTGACTGAGAATGGAAAAAGGTACACAGCGTCATATGCCTTTTTTGAGGCATTGTGGGAGTTTGGGGTGCGCAACTGCTTCGTAAATCTGGGCTCGGATCATCCTAGTATCATGGAAGCCATGGCGAAAGGATACAAGGAGAAGCCAGATTCATTTCCCAAGATTTACACTTGCCCGAACGAGATGGTCGCTTTGTCCATGGCGGACGGATACGCTCGCGTGACCAACCAACCTCAATGTGTTATAATTCATGTCGATGTTGGCACATCTGGGCTGGGAGCCGCTATTCATAATGCTTCTATTGGACGCGCGCCTGTGCTGATCTTCGCCGGGTTGTCACCTTTTACACTAGAGGGCGAAATGCGAGGTTCTCGAACCGAGTACATGTAAGACTTCTATAGATACGAAACGCGTCATAAGTACCTCCAGCTAATACTTTTCCAGTCATTGGTTGCAAGATGTCCCGGACCAAAAGCAGATTGTTGCTCAGTATTGCCGCTATGTGGGAGAGATCAAAACCGGCAAAAACATCAAACAAATTGTCGGCCGAGCCTTGCAATTTGCCACAAGTGACCCCAAAGGACCAGTATACCTTATGGGCGCACGGGAGGTTATGGAGGAAGAAATCACGCCTTATCAAGTTCCCATCGTATCCTGGGGTCCTTGCGGACCAGCTGCACTCCCAGAGGCCGATGTAAGTTACATTACGAAGGCGCTGGTAAGTGCAAAAGAGCCGCTTCTTATCACGGGATATAGTGGTCGGAATCATGATGCTGTCAGAGCATTGACTGAGTTAGCAAATACAGTCAAGGGCTTACGTGTCTTGGACACTGGCGCCTGTGATATGTGCTTTCCGTCTGACCATCCAGGTTGGCTCGGTATGCGATATGGATCGGATCCAAGCATTGAAACGGCCGATCTCATCCTCGTGGTTGATTGCGATGTTCCCTGGATACCGACTCAGTGCCGTCCCAAGGAATCAGCACATATAATTCATATTGATATTGACCCATTGAAGAAGCTCATGCCGCTGTTTTACCTCCCTACCATGCGGCGGTATGCAGCGGATTCATTCACCGCAATCTCACAGATTTTGACATATATCAACTCTGCATCCGACCTCCAATCCACCCTCAGCTTGCCCGCTTACGATGAAAGATGGAACTCGCTTCAGGTTCAACATCAAGAGCTGTTGTCCGAGCTTGATAAGCGCTGTGAGCCTGTCCCAGGTTCCTCCTCGTTCAACACCCCATATCTTTGTCAAGTACTCAAGGCCCTTGTGCCTAGTGACACTATTTATGCAATTGAGGCTGTCACCAATTCGGTGCTTGTGGCGGATCAAATTCGGCCTACTACGCCCGGTCAGTGGATCAATTGTGGTGGAGGTGGCTTGGGATGGAGTGGCGGCGGAGCCCTAGGAATCAAACTGGCTGTTGATGCTCTCAGCAGTGCGGACAAATCCTCATCCAAGACTAAGCCCATGGTGGTTCAAATTGTGGGTGATGGGACGTTTCTCTTTAGTGTTCCATCCAGTGTCTACTGGATCTCGCATCGGTACCAAATCCCAATTCTCACAATCGTTCTCAACAACAAAGGTAAAGCACCCTCTGCAGTACATCATCACAGCTAGATAAACAAAGTGAAAGCCTAGCTAACCATCATGTCTTCACAGGTTGGAATGCGCCTCGGCGGTCCATGCTCCTTGTTCATCCAGACGGCCTCGGCTCCAAGGTGAGCAATGGAGAACTGAACATCTCTTTTGAACCGAGCCCAGACTATTCCGGTATCGCGAGGGCTGCCAGTGATGGAAACATACATGCAGCTCAAGTCAGTGACCGAGGCAAATTACAATCGGTCCTGAAGGAGGCTATCGAAGTTGTTCAGAACGGAACTTCGGCGGTTATTGACGTACATGTTGTTTAAGTAGTCACAGAATACGAAGGGCGGCTCTTCTGATAAATACATCAATATCCCTGAACATCGATGTGTAACTATAAACCGAACCAAGTTGCCAAGATTTTAGTCCATAAGCGGAGTGTATAAATCGATCAAAGAAACAACTTGAAAGAAGATGGGACTCTGCGGGGGCCCGCAGTGAACCTTTAAAATAACAGAAATGCCAATGCCACATCCCAGTCGCACCTTCTTTCACTTCTCACTTCTCTCTATTCCGGTAACCCACCAGCACCTGCCATTATAGGGTAAGAGGAAACTCTGTCTGGAAAAGCAGACTGCTCGGGGCGGGAATTTCTAACTACTATTTATTGTTTACATGTGAAAAAGAAAATCTTAATGTAGCATAAAGCTCGAACTAATATCCACAGCTGATTCTACAGTAGAACAAAGTTCTCATTTTCCAGGTCCAAGTGATAGCAACTGCTTCACAAGGACGAGAGAATCAAATTGTTGAAAAATTCGGCACCTAATAGGCGGCACCCATGTTGAAATCGTTAGTTATGTTGAAACTCCGTAAACCCGCCTTTGGTGCCATCTAATCCGCAAAACCCGTTTGAAACCGAATGTTAAACTTTTGGTATCATCTTCGTAATCGTCATAAAACAAAATTTCCCGTGCCAGGGGCGGCGGGTTGAAATATGCCGCCCCATCCAATTAACACATTATGGGAAATGAAATAAGGAAAATAGTTGGTACTGCTCAGATTTACTGGGCGTACTTTTGACGGTAGAACTTGGCGGCAGCCACGAGCGACTTCAGTTGGCCGATGGTTTGAGCCTCAGTTCGGGTCTTCAGGCCAGTCAGAGTTGATCCAGAGCTGCTCGGGCTTGAGGAACTGGAGCATCTGTTCAATACGCTCCTTGACCTCCTCCTCAGTGGAGATACGAGGGGAGTGGATGTCGTAAACACCAGGGCCGATGTGAGCGTCGAAGCTCTGGTCAAGGAAGACCTTGACCAGCTTAGCATCGGACTTGCTGTTCTCGATGGACAGAACGTCGGTGTCGAGGGCAGCAACAAGAAGAAGCTCGGAGCTGACCATCCCAACACCCTTACAAGCATGGCCAACCTAGCAAGAAGGACGTATAGCGATCAGGGCCGGTGGGAGGAGTCCGAGCAGCTCGAGGTACAGGTCATGGAGACTCGCAAGACGAAGCTCGGCGCGGACCATCCCGACACACTGAGGAGCATGGCCAACCTTGCCTTCACCTTTGAATCTGTCGGCCGTCGCTCTGTAGGGATCGATCTGCTTAGAACATGCGTTGACAAGCAGCGACGAATTTTGGGTCCTGCTCATCCCGACACTGTATCTAATTCCGACGCTCTGCTGGTATGAGAAACGGGAGACCTGGCTATCAAGACATGATCAATTAACAGTTTGTTTTCTTTTCTTTTTCTTTTTTTTCCATCTCGCATTGGGTAGGCTTCGTCATGTTTGGTAGTATAATTTGATTTGCGGTTCACCACTATTCACTTCCAACCAGCAACCGTGCAATGGCCACCTTTTCTTTTTCGTACGTGTGAATTACAGCTCATGTATCAATGTTTCAAAAGAACCTTACTGCGTAAGTTGCTCGGGATGTTGCGGAGGTGGTCAGTGGTGAAAAAATTTCTCTCAGACACCCGGGGCATGCGAGGGTATAATAAAATGCACGGACCTCTGCTTACGGTGGAGAAAGGTTTTCAGATGGCCAATCTCTTCCTACCATACGGAGTACATACACTGATGTTGCGTCATTTTCCTAAAAACAAACAATCGTTGAATGTTCTGTTAAAGTGTCACCACGGCCATCTTTTCGCTTGCGTTGAGTATTAGCTGAACTCCCCAGACATGTCTGTTGTTGCAATTTGGCAACAGTTCTACACTTCAGTAATTCGTGCAATGAGTAATTCGTGTTGGAGTATTACGTTCACTGATCAATGATCGCTTAACCAAGGCACAGGAGATATGATGAAGATGCACGTCGAACACGAAAGGCATTAAATGCGCACTGTATAAACACTGTACATCTTCGGTAGGATGTGATGGGCTGAGGGCGGTTAGTTTTTCAGATAAGATTGATTATTTTGGCTTTTGCCCATCCTGCTTGATATCCAAGTAGTCAACTACACCCCCCGCGAACCTATCAGCATGAAACCGGGCAAATGTTCGATTTCTTGTCTTTTTTTTGAAGGACCAACTAGCAGTTCTGTTTGCTCATGCAATTACGACTTTAGGTGAAAAATACAGGATGAGTGAGGACAGTCTAGAAAGCTTAGCCATGAAGCCTGGAGAAGATCTACGCAGCCGTTGTGTCTTTGAGTGAATTGCCATAGGGGATACATCGTGGCTTCTAGCGGCTAGTGATAGCATTCCGAGGAGCTCATGCTGCGGTCCTAGGATCAACGTACAGCACTCCCAGGACCCGTTTGTCCCTGGGAACTAATGCGACGGCCCCAGGAACTCCAACTGTTGCTCCTGGGAGAGCTTATTTGGTTTTTGCTTGTTCTCCATCTCCAAGTAGTCCTGTAAAATGTAACAAACACCCCACCCCACCCCACGCAATATTCTATCTCCGGAAACATTCTCGAGATCTTTTAGATTGATTTCTTTGATTGATTCTATGATACATATGAAATTCAGCACGATAGTACTTGACTTCGTAATGTACTTCTGCGAGTGACTGCTCGGCTCCACTCCCTTCTATCGCATTATGAACCGCCAGAAGCCAAGGTGGTGGTGTACTCTAAGTTGACGATCACCTGCGAAATTTTTGATTACATCACTTGGAGGTGATAGCTATTTCTTTGTTGGCCCTATCCAAATCTTGAATCGTTATAAAGCCTGGTTTGGGGTAGTAGGCGCACTTAAAAAAAATCAGCTGCTTCTTCTATGGAGGACGTAGCTCGTAACATACTAATTATAGGGTGATAAAAGCCCAAAACCCCGAATCATCTGCTGTCAAAATATGTACTTGACCCGTCTCTCGCAAACGAACACCTACGTATATATCTGTGTCGTATATCTTGCTATACTTGGACGCCCTTTTCATCAGAGTTGCTTTACAACAGTATTTCTTTTGTCTCTTTGATCTCCTAGGGCTCATAGAGGAGAGAGACTTCACAGCAGCTATTACTAACTAGAGCCTTACTTTTTAAGTAGCTAGGGATCAGAATTTATCTTAATAAGACTAAGATTAGTATTATTCTTATAAATATCAATATCTCGATTATTGAATATATAAAAAAATATATTACTGAAAATATTAGATAGGAAATTAGCCTTTGTATATACTCTGTTTATCATTGAAAGAAAGATAATAATAATTATTTATAGGCACTAACTAGTTATGACAATGATAAAAGTGACAGTATATTTATAAATCCTACTTAAATACGCTGTAAGTTTTGTTTAAGAATCAACGTAAATATTATATATTTATAGGTTGTAAAATTTAAGTATTGGCTTTTAATAAGAGTCTGTTAATTACTAACCTAGTATTAGATAAGGTTGGTACTGTTATAACTCCTTTACTAGAGATATATATTTGTCAATAGCTCCTGTGTAATAGCAAATACTAAAGGACAGGCTAGAGACGTATAACTAGGCAAGACTTCGGATGGTAATCAAAGAATAGGAGAATCAACCAATAATATATATAAATAGTAACAGAGACTGATTCTTGAAGAAACTTTAAGAACAAAGGAAATACTACGTCAAGTTATTCAACCTGACTAAAGCACTGCAAGATTCTCTTTGAGAATATCTGTACCTGCGAGGTCGTCAGAAAATTTGGCCTTAGCAGTGACTAGACTGTGAGCGCGCTTTAAATATCCGATTGTATTTATTAGCCGTACGAGATTGCCCGTAGAATCGCCCTCTGTGATTTCGCTTAATAGATTTCCGGCTTCTGATTTATATATTCGTCTTCTTCGCGGCTTGTTCGTATCTGTGACTGTAGAAGTCCGGTGCCGGCGTTGTTTCGGAGAGGATATATGTGAATCTTCCAAAGCTCGCTTTCTTTTGGTTGGATCAAAATCTCTGTAATAACCCCGGTCGCTTTGTCTTGTACTATTCTCCTCAAAGATATCGAAGACTCTCGTCGTACCAGGGCCTTCTAAGCTAGTTATAGAGGGAGTTTCTCGGGAGGAAGGATAAAGAGCGACTTCCTCGGGGTATTTAGGATAATTTCCAGCGGCTGATGCTGCATTATTGAGATAGAGTTTAGGCGAATTGGCTCGAGGAAGTTTGCCGGGTTCTAAAATTAGAGAGACTGTATTAATCCCAAGGGGTATTGGAGGAAGGTGTTTAAGATATGTCTTACTGAGACTTAATGTACTGCGTTCTTCTTGTGGCACATTATTCCCTAGGGTGTAGTCTGCTTTATTTCTTTTTTCTAGGGTGTCCAATTGCCCTACTATATCGATAGTCTAGATTTCTAAACCGGTGGAAGAGTATTTTACTGAAGCCCTTGGTACTGGCTGCTAAAATCTTTGATGGTTTAGCGTTACTGTGGCAGGTAGATTCAAGAGGTTCTGAATAAATGGAAATTAAAGCAAGAGGTAGTAAAGTTTATGTTTGATGTTATTCTAAACAAATGCTGCAAAGGAGGGATAGTTGGGACTATTTATTTGTTACAATTCATCGTTTCAATCAGCCTGTGAGATAGAGCATCGAATTGTCGATAGAACTGGTATAGATTCTAGATCTATCGACAAGGCCGCAGTATTCGCTGTAGCCAATCGTAAAGCCATTTCTAGCTTTGAGGGATCAGTTGTAGGAAAGGGTTCCTAGGAATGCTAGCTTAATTTTATCAGTGGCAGATATCCAGCCTAAAACTAAACTAGATCCGTCAGCCGATGTCGTCGACTTGTGTCATAAGGTGCGGCGAGTTGTTCGAGTTCTAGGTATACTATACAATAAGAGGTTGCCGAAGGTCGGTGCGAATGTTGTTCCTGGGATCAAATTGGTATAGTGTATGGAGGAACGAGGACAAGGGTGAATTTGCGTGGTTCTTTTGCTGGGTGGAGTCGGCAATATCAGCAAGAGAATGTATAAGAGGGTGTAGAGGTGAGGTAGTACTGAATATCTCATGCAAGCTGAAGGGATCGAGTCAAGCGATGGAAGGTTCGAAGAGGACAGCAAGTCACTGTAGCGACGTGGGAATATGTCATCTCTAGACCAGAACTCCCGGGAACACCGGTAGGCAGTGCGGTTACTATCGGAGCAGGCGAAAGCTAGAAGACAAGACGGAGGGTGAAGGGGCTGATCAGGGGAGAGCAACGGGGCGAGCGATCAGGTTGCTCACTGAGCAGCTTAGGGTCGCTCAGTGGGCAGCTTAGGGCGGCGGGGTGACTAACTCACCCTGGGATCCGGGAGCCGATCGCTTCCCGAGGCGGCAATGTTACCGTCACCTTTATTACACATGAAAGATTAATTTCAAGATATTAAACAACTTCAGTAGTACTAGTAAAGCCACTGTACACTACGTACCTAAAACTCCGAAAACTAAGTAGATATGGTCCATTGGATGGGGCAGCAGCACAACATACCTAGGTATATGAGTACATTGGTTGGATTCGTCTGAAGGAAACTCCGATCATTTGGGAAGAGATGGCTCGGTATCCTCAGGGTCGTCGAGTATCCAGAGATGGACACGGAAAGGGCGGTCGCCAATTTATCATTTTGCTTCAAGTTCTTTTGTATCTGGAGACATGATCCTAAAAAGGTGTTTAACTTTTCTCTGAGTCATTTCCTGTCTCATGCCCCCGGCTGAGACAATTACAACGGACTCGGAGTATAGGAATCGGCACTTACAGCGAGCTCGCTGATAAGGCGGTTCAGGATCTTTCTCCGGCAAAGGGTTGAAATCGACATTCTTGGTGGATCCACCGTCACATCAGCTGGGGAGTTAACATACTCTTTGTGCTATAGACCGGGGTGAAGCGGTGGTCATGGCTGCTCACCACACCTGACTAGTTCGGATTCGGTAATAAACTTGTCATCCCCGGAAAAGCCTCAGCGGTCCACAACTGTGGGGCTTATGGGGCATGAACTATCCCTAAATAGGTAGAAAAGGTCAGCTATGTAGTTCTATTCAAGCCGTCTGGCATTGTATCAGGCAAAATGGCCAGCGAGGCGTACTTGGATTTCTAATCGGAAGAAACGAAAACAATTCCTAACTTGGACAAATCAGTCAGCTACTAGTTGCCTCAAGCTGGTCCACGCTATAGCAGTAGGATGTGTCATAGCAGGGCAAGAGGAAAGCTATAAAGGGAAGGAAAAATCCGTTGTTTCCTGCCTTCTCATACATTCCAAGACTCTCAGTTCAATTTGACTCAACTGTACCTTTTCTTCTGCATTAAATATCTACCTCATTCGATTCTATAATGTCTCGTTACGCTGCACCCCACGTCGACCCCAAAGGCCCCGGTGATGCCCGACCAACTGCCCTTCAAATAGTCCAAGATGAGGGCTTCGAGGGAAAACTCACCGGCAAAGTCGCCGTCGTGACTGGTGTTTCTTCCGGGCTAGGCATTGAGACCGTCAAGGCACTTGCAGCTACTGGTGCAACTTTGTTCCTCACTGCAAGAAACCTCGCGAAGGCTGAAGCAGCACTTGCGGAAATTTTTGACCCGAGCACAATGACTCTGGTCCAGATGGATCAAGCCTCGCTTGAAAGCGTCCGAATCGCTGCTCAAACCATCCTATCCAAGACGACCCAAATCAGCCTCCTTGTTGCGAATGCTGGGGTCATGGCTATTCCAGACCTCAGGTTGACCGACAAAGGACATGAGATGCAATTTGCGACAAACCATCTATCTCACTTCTTATTCTTCAATCTTCTTAAGTCGGCTCTGTTGACAGGTTCATCTTCAGCCTTCCAGTCTCGCGTTGTGATACTTTCTTCTGCTGGACATCGTATTGGTGGCATCAACTCTTCCGACAACTACCACTATGAGAATGGTGAATACAATCCCTGGGCTGCATACGCGCAGTCTAAAACGGCGAATGTTTACATGGCCAACGAGATTGAGCGTCGCTATGCATCCCAGGGCCTGCATGCTTACAGTCTTCATCCTGGAATTTCCGCCACTGGTATCATTGGACAATTGACCAGCGAAGAAGTCATGGGTATGCTCCAAAATGAAGCGATGCTCAAGGCTCAGAAAGGGCTGGATCAGGGAGCAGCGACAACCATCTATGCGGCTATTTCGAAGGAACTTGAGGGTAGAGGAGGTCTGTATCTGAATGATTGCTCTGAGGCTGCCATGGGCGAGCAAGATGGTAACCCTATGTCTGGCAAATCGGCGCCGCATTCGTTCCATCCCGAGAACGAGGCAAGACTATGGAAGGATTCTTTGGAGATGGTTGGGTTGTCAGATTAGCAAAGTTTCGTCACCTGGGAATGCCAAGAGGATGTGCCCGACACCTCGGCATCTAACCCTTTCCTCTTGGAAAGTGAAGAAAGAGCTGGTAGAGAGTATACAACTTCCTTGCAATAAATCCCCTACTATATCAGTATTTCACCGAACAATCGATTCACCTTACCAATCATAGCGAGGTCAAAGTGACTAATAGTGTAAATGTACTTGTCTGATTGTACCATCTAACTAGCATGAATTATGGGAATAATAATATGTCATAAAGATGCCCGACTAAACGGACGATAAACCGAAATCGCCCCGCACCAAAAGCTTTCATCAATTTACTCCTTCGCGAGCGCAATAATGTCCGAACCATCAATATTCCACACCTGTTCCTTGCCGCTAGGAACATCGCCTTCTAACGCCCTCAGGCCCGCCTTAACAGCCGCCTTGGCGATAACATCCGCGTCCTGCGCCCAACCATTCTTGAGACCGGGGTGCAGCTTGCCAGCCCAGCCAGCGATGAAGCGGATACCAGCCTCCAGAGGCCGACTCTCCTCGCGAGTTCCACTGATCAAGCCAGGGCGAAGAATGACCGTCCGCTCAAACCCGAGCGCCTTAACATCCTCCTCAATCTCGCCCTTCATGCGCGAGTATGGAATGTTGGAAGTCTTGTTTGCGCCGGAAGAAGAGATCAGCACGTAGACCTTGGTACCGGCTTCCTTAGCGACGCGTGCCAGCTCAACATTCAGTCCATGCTCGATCTTGTACTGGTTTTCGAAGCCGCCCGCAGCGGCGCGGGTTGTCGCGAACGAGGAGATAAAGATGCCGGGTGTCGGGGGTGAGAGCCTGGAGCTGTGAGCCCCAGGTGGCGGTGTCACCAGAGACGAAGGTGGTGAGCTTGCCCTGAGGAGCTTCGCCGGCGATGTTGGGCGTGCGACGAGAGATGGTATCGACACGGCTGACAGCCGGATTGGAGAGGAGGCTGGAGAGGATGTGGGATCCCTGATTGTGGTGATTGATTGGTTAGTCGGAGGCTTGGCTTTGCTGATGATGATGGGGGTTTGAGTCCTTACCACCATGCCGGTGGATCCGATGAGAGCTACGTTCGCCATGTTTGTTTTGCGTTGATTTCAAAGGGTCGAGATAAAATGCGGGAGGAATGAGGAGGCGAAGTCGAAGGCGACCGCGACTTGAGACGAAGAATGAGTGGGGTGTGCCTCGGCCGTCTCTTTCGTCATGGCCTGCGCTAGGCCACATACGGTAGTATGCTTTGGAAGCCCGACTAGTCCATGCATCTACCTACATCCATGGATACTTCCAAGGTTCCTAGGGCCAAATTCCATTCAATACTCGGTACCATGGAAAAGCACAATACCGATACCACAGCCCTTATCAAGCATGCTCTAGGGATGGCAGGGCCTCTTCAGGCCTAGTACGAAATATCAACCCGATTTGAGACTCGGAGCTTCGAAAATGTGAGCGGTGTTGAGTAAAAGCTAGCTATTAGTAAGACTAGTATAACTTCCTGAGTAGTCGTACTCAAGAAATTTGTGTTATTAATTCTATTTGCTTCCCACTGATCTATCACATCCCTTCACCCTTTCTGCTCTAAGCATTGAAAATCATTTGACAGACTATCAAATCGCTTGATAAGAATCAAGTTTTCTAGGTTTTTTTTTCTTGTTCAAGCTTCATCGCCGCTTAGTATGGATGACTTGGAATCACCCATAGAGGGCAATTTCGGTGCGCAGTTGGGCACTTTCTTCAAATTGCCTGTTGAGTTACGCTTGATGATATGGGAAGCCCTTGTTGCGACTATTGAATCAACTCCTGAGGGTGAACCTTCCAGCCCATCATCAAATCCACTTTCGATTCTCTTTTGCAGCCACTACCTCTACGAGGAGATCTCTTCTCATTTATACTCGGGACTTCTGTGCACTATCCAGATAGATTCTCGATATAGCAAGCATCGTTAGTGACCGCAAAAATATGTTCAAAGACCGGGGTCGATCGGACTCGAGTGTTGAAAGACAGTAACGCGATGCGAAACCATCTCCTTAACTTCCCTCACGCCAAGATTGAATCAAAGACACTGGCTATTGCCATCAGACACGGAATTTTTTCTGATATTGGCTGCGCTATCAACATGTGGTTAAAGGTGAACGATATTGTAGAAACCATACTACTGGCAGGGCAAGGAGGTAATTTCAAGACCCACGTGGTTTTGATCAGTGATTGGTCACCAGAAGGCAATGCCCAGGCATTCATCGTCACTGGCAGATCAACTAGAACTCACTTTTATGATCACGACCTTGCAATTCTACCCTTTTCCAGACTCTCAAGTTATAGCTATTCTTTACCGGATGAGCTTTTCTGTGCAATCCAAGAAGAGGCAGGTGAAATATCACACTCCATGGTTTATCAGCTCCATCAGAACAAGAAGAACGGGGCCGATTTGAATGAGACGATGATCCAAGATTGGCTTTTGGAGACGAGAATTTGTTTGGATATATTCCTTGATTATGCAGAAGGAAATACTTCGAAGTTCCTTCGGCGAAATAGATATATGAACTGGTTTTCAGCAGACGGGAGGTCTGCCTACGAGCAACAGTTCCTCGAGAACCTTGATAAAAACCACGAAATGGTTCGACGCTATGACCCCAACCTTCGTATGTTTGACCAAAGACGCACCAAATTATTTGGTATATATGCAATGGTAGAACTAAATAAGGTCAAGGGTTGGGACTATGTGGGCCGTTTTGAGAGTTGGGAATCATGCTGCAAAATTGACTGGGCCTCATTATGTCCAGATGGCATAGAGCCACAATACTTCGACGACAATCCAGGCCCTTTTTGTCTTGGAGGCCTATATTGCCAAGTAATACAGACCAAGCCGCCGTATCGCGAATTTTCAGAGGATTTGGACTGGTGGACCTATAATGCGGAGGACCAATTTTCAGAGACTGAGTTCCCATGCAAGTTCTTCAATTGCTCACTCTGTATTGATACTGGTGAATCTTGTCGTTGGTGTAAGAAGTGTGAACATCGCAAGCGATGCGGATTTTGCAGAGAAAAATCGAGAGAGCCTACTGGCTACCTATCTCGAATCAATTTGTGGCACCGAGAGGATGTGCTGGCATACTGGACAGGTTTGACAAAACCGGGGTTTAGTTCATGGCAGGATTATCAGAATGCGTTTTTAGCGCTGACAAACAAAAAAGGCCAGGTAACACATGAACGAAATGACTTGGCGGATGAATTCAGGAGAACAAACTTTCTAACACCGTCATGGATGACCCGCCGGGAAACGAGATAACAACAGAGCGGAAAAAGCAGTAGTCTAAGAATAATATTTGAGAAGGACGGTACAAATTGATCCATCATGTACAAGGAAAGGCTTGCTTAAAGAAATGATTTGAGGGTGTTAAATAACTGATACTGTTTTATCTATACAAAATCAGTCAGATCTTTGAAGTCTGAGTAAGCTGTTTTTCCTGTGCTTGGTAGATCTTAACCAACTGGCGCACAGACAAGTCGAGCAACACATCCTCAGACCCACCAGGGATCCGGGCGCCAGGGACATCGCGAAGAATTGCTAATAATTAGATTAGCAGGGCCTCAAATAAATAAAAAGTGTAAGGGCATGACATACCTTCTACAAGCTCACCCTGACCAGTCTGGGTGAAACCATTGCCTCCGAAAAGAAGAACAGCACACTGAGCACATTCATTCAGGACCATTGCAGACTTCGCCTTGGCCAAAGCCGTCAACCCGCCAAGTTGGCGATCACCCTCTTCTTTGCTCATATGAGTCAATTGATAGAGGATCTGTTCGACCCACGCCCACATTGTCTCAAGCTCAGCGCCAGCCTTGGCAAGGCGATGGCGAACAACGGGTTGGTCCATGAGGGTCTTGCCAAACGCTTCACGCTTGAGGCAGTAAGAGAAAGCCGCAGCTAGAGCCACGCGTGCTTGGCGAGTGACGCCGACAGAGATAACGAGACGCTCATGGTTGAAGTTGGTCATAATGATACGCATGCCGTCGCCCTCCTTGCCGATCAAGTTGGAAACCGGGACCTTGACATCATCTAGTTCAATGTAGGTCGTTCCACCAGTCTTCTGACCCGAGACTTGTAGTCGACGCATTGAGACACCAGGGTGGTTCTTCAGAGGCACAACGAGAACGGAAAGACCCTTGGCGCCGGGGCCACCGGTGCGGACTGCCATGGTCGCATAGTCAGACCAAATACCATTGGTGATCCTGTTAAAGAGGTTAGTCAAGTTTTCTCCAGGGTTCAGTTATGATCCACGAGGTCTCGCACCATTTCTTAGATCCGTTGATGATGTAATACTTCCCATCGGCGCTCTTGGTAGCTGTGGTGACGATATTCGCAACATCACTACCAGCCTCAGGCTCAGTGATTGCAATGCATCCACGCTTCTTGCCCGTAAGAAGGTCGGGGAGAAATCGCTCTTGCAATTCTTTGCTTCCGAACTTGACAATTGGCGGGATACCAAAGGCAAAGCCAGCGTTGAGCGAGCCACCGGGGCCGCTCAGACCAGACCGGCCCATCTATCAGGCTTCACGTTAGCCTTCTGATCCATTTTAGGCAAACTGTCCGACTTCCTTACCTCATCACAGTAGATTCCAGTATATATATAATCCCAATCTTCAACCTTGACGCCCAAAATATCGTGGATCCCTACGCGTTTGCACCAATCGACGGGGAGCGGGGCAGGCATGTTGGGGAGCAGCATGTTGTGTTTGCAGAAGGTCTGGAAGACGTGCTCGGGCACAGTCCCAGACTTTTCCCACTCCATGGCATTTTGAATGAGGTTTTCCCAGGCAAATTTGCGACAAGCCTTTTGGAAGCGCCGATGAGCGTCCGTGATATATGGGGAAGGAAGGCCGCGAAGGTAGGGTGGCTCGGAGAAGGGGACAGGGTTGAGAGAGTTCTCGGCCATTATGAGAGGTATTGAGGAAGGGTTGTATATGTGATATAGTTGAGTGCAGCTTTGTGCAAGTTCCTAGGGTATAAGTAGACCGGGGGTGGGGAGAAGGATCAAGATAAAGAAGAAGCAGGTAGCTTATGGGGACTCCACCTGGGGTATTAAGTTCAAGTCGAGGCAGCTCCGCATTGTGACCGACCGAGGCTCGGTGCAGCCGCGCCAAGCACACATGCGGGAGTGCATAGATGAGTCAGCTATGCACGGGGGCATAGTTTAACTAACTAGTAGTAAATAGGCTATATGTTAGTCAGCATTTAAACTCAAGGCACCAAGGCACCAAGGCAGAAGGAAAAGCACTTAGTCAGCTTTTAGGCACCAAGGCCGCAATCGATAAGATTTGAATGAGCACGCAATTCGGACTAACCCCGAAGAGGCAAATTGGTCTGGGGAATTTTCTATACGCGGCGGATTTCCAAGCAATGTCCCCTCTTCCTCCGCATTATTTTATTTATTACTCTCTTTTATCCCCTCCCCTCCCTTCATTCAATTTGGTGATTTCTTTTCTTGTCTTTTCCTATCCCTGGTATCGTTGCTGTGCGCGCGATATCTAGACAAGAACATACTTCGCCATGGGTGCCACTTCTCCCGCCTTGTCAGCCCTGTCTGGCCCGACCTATGTCACAGCTCAGACCCTGATTCAACAGGTTGCCTATCTGTTGAGTGACAAGGTCTTCTCCTATTCCCCGGAATCTTTTGATCTCGACGCTGCCCTCCGTCAATGGTCTGCCGCTCAAGAGACCAACGCCAATGGCGAATCTCCTGCCGTGAAGGCCATGGAGACCCGCCAAGGTGCCGGAAATATCGCCCTGGGCTATCTCTTCTCTCAAGACTTTGATCTGAAGAAGCGTCATGTTCCTCAGGGTATTGTGGCTTCCTCCGCCACTCTTCCATTTATGCGCAATGCTCTGGAGCAATTGTCTCTCCTCTACTCCGTTGCCAGCCCTGTTGCCGCCCACGTTGCTGCTGTCGACTATGCTGGTGATGAGGGTCTCGTTTCCGATTATGCTTCGGCCCTCTCTCTGGCTGAGGACCTCGGTCTGGGTCTCGTCTCAAGTGGCTCGGCTCACGAGTCTCAGCACATGGCTTTGCTCACCACTCTGCTCTCTTCTGTTCTGCCTTCTATCCACATCTACGATGGTGTCCGTGTTGGCCATGAGACCACCCGCGTCATTGACGTGCTGGACAAGGATGGTCTGAACCGTGCCTATGATAATGTCCGCAAGACCCTGGAGGATTCCCGCAACCGTCACCTCGATGCCCAGGGCAAGCTACTTGACCTGCTCAAGTCCCTGAACGGCGAGCTTGGAACCGACTATGGTGCTTTCGAGTACCATGGCCATGCTGAGCCTACTTCTGTCCTCGTCGTCTTCGGTACCGTCGAGGCTACTCTGGCTGCTCAGGTTGCCCGTTCTCTGGCCAAGGATGGCGTTCATATTGGTGTTGTTAATGTCCGCGTCTACCGTCCTTTTGTCGAGGAGGAGTTCCTGCGTGTCCTGCCCAAGTCCGTCAAGACTGTTGGCATCCTGGGCCAGGTTGCCAATGACCAAGCTGTCCAGGAGGAGGGTGTTCACTCTGCCCTCTACGAGGATGTCCTTGCTGCTCTGACTTTCGCCACCGACCGTGAGCAGACTCCGGCTTGTGTCGAGATCAAGTACCCTCGCTCTCAGCGCTGGGATCTCGTTTCCACTGCTGCCGCCTTCCAGCGCATCTTCGAGAAGCCTATTCTTCCCATCAACAGCTCCACCAACGAGACCGCTCCTCTGCAGCTGCTTGACCCCGCTACTGTTCAGGAGTACACCTTCTGGGATGTTGACAACTCTGTCTCCTCGGATGCTGCGGGCGTTCTCAGTGAGGCTCTTGCTGCCGATTCGGCAAGCAACGTCACTACCAGCAAGGTTCACGACAACCTTGTCCAGGGTGGTGCTGTCCGCATCGACATCCGCAAGAGTGCTAAGATCCTGGATGCTCCCTACTCTGTCACTTCTGCCGATGTGTCCTACATTGGCAACATCGCTCTCTTGAAGGACGTTGATGTTCTTGCATCGGTCAAGGACAACGCCAAGGTCATCATCAGCGCCCCTGGTGTTAAGGACGAGGATCTGGAGAAGAAGCTGCCCGCTGCCTTCAGACAAGCTGTCGCCCAGCGCGGAATCTCCGTTTTCATTGTCGACCCTACTGCTATTGAAGATGCTTCCCTAGAGGCCTTGATCCTGCAAGCTTCCTTCATCCGCGTGGCTCTGCCTGCCCAGGAGGGTGTTGCCACCAAGAAGCTGTCTGCCATTTCTGGCAACGGCGAGGCTCTGGAGAACGTTTTCAAGGACCTCGAGAAGGTTCTGCGCCAGATCGAGACCCCCGAGGCTTGGAAGGAGCCCGAGGGTGTTAGCGAGGCTCTTCAGCTTCCCAAGGATATTTCTGCCAACAGCTTTGTGCCGTTTGACAAGGACGAGTCTGAACCTGCCACCCTTCTCAAGGATTGGGAGACCGCCGCCCGTGGTCTGGCTTTCAAGGAGGCTTTCGGTACCCGCGATGCTCTCCGCCCCGACTTAGCCGCCAAAACCTTCACCGTCCACGTCCAGGAGAACCGTCGTCTCACCCCTGCCACCTATGATCGTAATATTTTCCACATTGAGTTCGATCTTGGTAACTCTGGTCTCAAGTACGACATTGGCGAGGCTCTGGGTATCCACGCTGAGAACGATCCCGTTGATGTTTCCAAGTTTATTGAGTTCTACGGCCTGAACCCCGATGCCATCGTCGAGGTTCCCAGCCGTGAGGACCCTGCTGTCCTGGAAAACCGTACCGTTTACCAGGCTCTTGTCCAGAACGTCGACATCTTCGGTCGCCCTCCCAAGCGCTTCTACGAGGCCCTCGCCGAGTTCGCCTCGGACGAAAAGGAGAAGCTCGACCTCCTCACTCTGGGTGGTCCCGACGGTGCTGTCGAGTTCAAGCGCCGTGCTGAGGTCGACACCATCACCTTCGCCGACATCCTGCTTGAGTACCCCTCCGCTCATCCCGATTTCCACGAGATCGTCCGCATCATCGGCCCTCTGAAGCGTCGCGAGTACTCTATCGCTTCTTGCCAGAAGGTGACCCCCAACTCCGTCGCTCTGATGATTGTCGCTGTCACCTGGACCGACCCCAGCGGCCGCGACCGCTTCGGACAGGCTACTCGCTACCTCAGCGGCCTGAAGGTTGGCTCTCCCATCACCGTCAGTGTCAAGTCCAGTGTGATGAAATTGCCCCCCAAGTCGACCCAGCCCCTGATCATGGCTGGTCTGGGTACGGGTCTTGCCCCCTTCCGCGCCTTCGTCCAGCACCGCGCCCTCGAGAAGGCTCAGGGCAAGGAGATTGGCGCCGTCCTCCTGTACATGGGCTCTCGTCACCAGCGCGAGGAGTACTGCTACGGAGAGGAGTGGGAGGCCTACCAGGCCGCCGGTGTCATCACTCTCCTTGGCGCCGCCTTCTCCCGTGACCAGCCCGAGAAGATCTATATCCAGGACCGCATGCGCCAGTCCCTGCCCGAGATCGTCCAGGCCTACATCCGCGAGGAGGGTGCTTTCTACCTGTGTGGTCCCACCTGGCCCGTTCCTGATGTCACTGCTGTTCTGGAGGAGGCCATTGCCACCGAGGCTAAGGCAAACGGCAAGAAGGTTGACACTCGCAAGGAGATTGAGAAGCTTAAGGATGAGGAGCGCTACGTTCTGGAGGTTTACTAGATGGATGTGGTGTGATATGATCTGATGATTGACCTGCATTTTCGTTTTTGTCGATTCCCCCCCGCTTTAGATTTTCTTGCCTAGCGCAGTTACTGCCTATAGACTCAAAATGCATTGGCAAATTTTCATACACTTGACGATATGAGAAACAGAAAACATTTCAAGACGTTAATCATGTAGCCGAAGACCCTAAATGGTGACTTGTTTGGAAACTGCTATGAAAGTAGTGACCAGTGGAATCAATACTGAAAATGTCATTTCTGGTGTCAGAAACAGCTGCCTTTCCGTAACATTCGTCTTTCGCTGATCCATCTGCTGATGATACTAGTAGTAAGATATGGGGGCCAGAGGCTGTTGGCCACGTGGTGTCTGCGTAAAGAAAAGCGCCATTTGGTTATTTTTCCTCGTTCTATGAATCCTTCAAGTTTTTTAATTGAGTAGGAACTCTCGAGGTCCTACTATCGCCAACAGCACTCCAAGGCTCGCTTCGAAGCTTTCCGTTTAATTTCATGACTCTTCATACATTGGAGGCTTAACATGGGGGGCGATATTAGCGACTCGGAGACACACACAAATATCGTTAGCCGACTACGGCCCGATCTCCTTCAGGCGACCGAAAAGGACGATGTCAATTTGTTATGCAAGATCATCACACAGGCTCGTGAAAACGGCTATTTCAGCGATGAACTCCTACATCTCGCGCTCATGCGCAGTATTAAGCGCGGCTGTGTTGCAGCCTTGGAATATTTCCTTCAGATCGGCGCTGACCCCAACGCGTCTTCTTCCAGCAAGGGGCCATTGTCACTATTTTCTGCCATCCATAGAGGAAACGACAGGGCTGTTCGTCTTCTTTTGGACTATGGTGCTTCGCCGAACATCTTCGATCAGGAAGGGCGCACGCCGCTGATGACGGCCGCATGGAAAAACGAGGTGACCATACTAAGTTTATTGATTAGCCGTGGCGCAAATATCAACGCAACGGATGAAAGAAAAAGAAATGTTCTGCATCATCTTGCAGCGGATCAGGAATTTCGCTGGGGTTGGGAGGAAAATGTCGTGCTAGTATTATTACAAAACCATTGCAAGGCTGATGAACAGGACGAGCTTGGTCGAACCCCTCTACACTGGGCATGCGAACGTGGCCATTATTGTTTGGTGAACTTGCTGCTCAATGGGCCCGGCGGACCTTACGTCAATATTCATGCCACGGAGCTCCGGGGGAAAACGGCGCTTCATCTAAGCGCAATTCGAGGTCAGGTCGATGTTTTGGAGCTTCTCTTGAAAAATGGTGCTTCTGTGGTAGCAGTCAGCGATGGTAATTGGACTCCTCTTCACAATGCCTGTTATCATGGGTCTGTGGCCATTGTGCGCAGTCTACTGCATTGTGGTGCCCCTATCAACAGCCAGCTCCTGAATGGAGTCACTCCTTTACATCTTGCAGCACAGGCTGGGCATCTTGAAGTGGTTAGGTGTCTTCTGGAGCGGCCAGACCTGAAGTACTATGCCTACGACAATTTTGGAGGTACACCCTTCATGCGAGCGGCCCAATCCAAGCACAATGATATTCTACATCTGCTAGCTCCGTCTAACAATTTCAAGAAACTTTCCGATGATCAGCAGGCAGCTTGTATGGAATTTGACGCCACAATCATGGATTATGGGGTTGAAGGGACAATCAGATTCCGAAAAAGTTCCATTTTCAGTCTTCTATATCGAGAAGATCCAGATGATTCTTCCGGTCAGGCAATGAGAGTCACACCGTCCAGTGAGAGCATCTCGTTTCGCTGGATTCATCTTCCGGCAAATAATATGGCCTGGGTTGAGACTCTCTTTACAAAGGTCTTTATCGAAAGGGATACATATAATTTTCAGGAATTTGGGAGCCTTATGAAGTCCTTGAACTTTGAACGTCACCATCACTCCCAGATCATGCTGCCTCTGAGTCAAATATCCCATGGCGTAGCAAAGGACTCGGAGACTTCCACGAATTCTCACATTGGTTTCTTCTTGCCTTATCTGCACTTTGATACTGCAGAACGAGTGCAAAAGATGCAGATGGCAATTAAACATGCCAAATCCTCCAAGTCACGATTGCCAGACTTGAAGAAGACTCGCACTCATGATGAGCTGCTCATGGAGGCTCATATTTCTACCCCAGCGACGCCGCTGCATCCACGCCAAACTTTGGATCAATATTTTTACCCCCATACCAACACCGAAAGGCGTGATCAAGATCAAGTAGTCTATCGATATCAGACAAGGAGCCCTGGCCGGAAGGTTCTACGAGATGTGGAACCCAAGCTCATCATGGTGGATCGTATGTGGATGTGGATTCTTGGGGAAGATCTCCTTATTACCTGTTTCCCCAAGCGATGGGATCAGCCCAAACATGATCCCTCGAATCTTCAGGAAACAATAATTGAGGGCTTATTCTCAGCCAGTTCATGGCCGGTTGAGTCCGTATATGATTTGGCAGCACACGTCACCGATAAATGTCTGGGCCTCTTTGATAGTGAAAATCTGAGCCATGCAGAGTATCAATTTTTCGACATGTTCGAGTCTTCTATCAACCTGGTCAATGATCGAGAAGTCGTTTTCTTTTCTGATTTCTACCAGTCATCCAAGGAAGCTTCAAACTGGCTGAAGAACCAGCGGAGGCCGAGTCCGTTGTCTCGAATCCAGTCCCTATCCCAGAGTGATCCTCTAGAGGACAACTCAAATATCGATGGGAATAACGATCCAATGTTGTCTCGGAGCTCGCCGCACTTTGTGGATCGGATGTTAGATATTGGTGAGGAAACCGATATGCTCGCAGAAGTCAAAGACATTCGTGATGAATTGAATATAATCCGCCACTTGCTTGAACACCAAACTCAGATTTTGTCCCGCTTCCAACAAAAAATCAAGTCGGTCAACCGTACTAGCTCGTCACAAACCGTCTTCAATGACTGCCTCGAAAACCGCCAGCTTAGGATCGAATTAAGACTGCAGTATGTGAATCGCATGGATCAGCAGGCGGAACGGGTCTACCTTTCGATGGTACACTTGCTCGATTTGAAACAGAAGCAAGCGAATGCATTCGAGGCTCGATTTGCCCGGGATCAAGCTGAGGGCACGGCTCGCCAAGGCAAGATCCTCATGGTATTCACTATGGTCACAATTGTCTTCTTGCCCTTGTCCTTCTTGACTTCATTTTTCGCTATCAACATGCGGGAATTTTCAGACTTGAGCATCGGCTTCGTCTCCAAATGGACCTTTGGAATTGGATTTGCAATTTCAATTCCTCTGATTCTCATTGCGATATCCGTAGATAATATCGGATTCTTCTTCGGTGAGATGCGACATTTGTGGGGGTCTTCTCATCGAGAGAGGCCGACGTCATGCGAGTTATTGGTTGGGGAGTCAGAAATGGGGGATCCTGAAACGCGAATGGACAGTGGAAAGTTTTTTCCGAGCCCCAAGGCTAGCGGACGTTCGAGCTTGCTTCCTCTCTACCGCGGCTCGATTCGCCCGAAGCCCCAGTCAGATGGAAATTAATACAGCGTTGCCTATTTGGAAGCATCGAGGGAGATACCTCGGGATTTCCATGCCCATACCCAATCTATACTTCGCTCTTAGTAGAAGCCTTCCGACCCATTTTCCCTCAGCCCGAAGGGCGATGAAGAGGCAACTAAACTCCAAGCCGAAACCGGAGATGTCGGGCAAAAGAGAAAGAAGACCCGAGGCTTCTCCTTCGAGCACCTTGATTTGCTCTCATCCCCTCAAGATAAAACCGCCCACATGAGAAAAGAAACCAGCTGGTGATGCGGAAAAAGCTAACCTAGGAGGAAGGTTTACGAGAGGAGATAGTAGATGCTGAAGCTGAAGGGTCTAAATAAGGGAAGAAATGTGAATAACACTGACGTTTCTGCGATCAGAGCCATGCGATTCAACTGTCTCTTGCAGAAATTTGAAACGCAATCTCGGAATTTTTGAAAAGAAAGAACGATGAAACTTGAAAGAAAGTACATGCTGAAGGTGGACTCGACACCTTTGAGCGTCAGAGGTCCAGTTCGAGTTGAATGCGATCAAGCCTCAGTCTGTTCAATAAAAGGAAATAAATTCCCCATTATGTTGCATTCACAACGCAAATTTACCCTTGCGGTTTTCTATAATTGAGATTGTTTAATCTATGAATGAGATACATTATTTCATTGACGTGTCATGTGTCGTTCAGGCCCTTGCCAATGGCCCATGTTTGGTCTTTCCGTAAGCACCGCTCATTTCCTTCCTCAACTCCAAAGCCTTACGATAAGGTGGAGCAGTCGGAGGCTGCACTGGCTGCAAGCTGACATGATCAGGAGGAAGGGCATATGATGCATCAGAATCCCAGGCAGACAGGTCGCCACAGGCAATGAATGAAGGAATCCATCGATTCTCCTCGGCAAATTTGTTGGACAGCTTCTGCCCAGGTGGATGGTTCGTTGTCTCGGATGATTGTTGGAGACGGCGCACTTCCGTAGAGTGTGCTAACGAAGCATTGGATCCATCGTTTGTATCCGCTAGGACAGGCCGAGCTCTGGTATCTTGGTCTATATCATCTTGTACCTCGAGCCCAACGTTGCCATCTTCCGTAACGGGCTTCGGAATAGCCGCGCCACCAAATAAAGGATTTTTCAGTGCCGCCATGCCAACAAGACCTTCATTGCTGACTGGTGGAATATAGCCCTCGCAGACGATGAATGCCTCCAAACTACTGGCACGACTACTCCGAGGCTTGGAGACACTAACTCGATCAAAGACAGTTCGCAATTGCGCATAGAGAAGATCGACATCTCGGGCTCGGAAAATTTTAGCAACAAATTTGCCGCCAGGTCGAAGGACACCCATGGCCAAATTCAGGGCTGCGTAGAGCAATTGGGACTGAATGTAAATGTCCAGATCGTGTAGACCGGTTACATCAGGCGCACCATCAGAGATAACCAGATCAACAGGATGGGGCTCTCTGATAGGTGCTGGAGGGTTTGATGGGGGATCAGTGGAAGTAGAAGAAGACTCGTAGGCCTCGGGGTCCAGGGCACGTAGAAGGAGAGGAATTGTGGAGGGATGAGTGATATCGGCTTTGAGGGTCGTGATGCCTTCGAGCGGCGCCATGGGCTGCAAATCAATGGAGACAATCTTGACGTTCTTGCGAGGTTTCAGTTCGGCATTCGGGTCGCTCTCTCCAAATTGAGGCTCCATGTCATTATCGCTTGGCTTGGTCGCATTGGTGCCCTCTTCCAAAGCCAGTCGGTCTTTTTGTTTCTTCTCAAGCCACGCGCGTCGGCCAAAACTTTCTCCCTTAATCAGTACTCGGCTGAGTACCTGACTCCAGCTGCCTGGTGCAGCGCAAAGGTCGACAACTCGTGTGACATTATCGGGGTTCTCGTGATCGAAGAGATCGAATTGTTCGTCAATTTGGATGAGCTTGAACGCCGAGCGAGCGCGCCAATTTTGTTCCTTGGCCAGGCGATAGTAAGCATCGCGCTTATCCTTGGACGATTTGCCCATTCTGAAAGCAAACAAGAGCCCTGCTTGTTTCTTTTTTGTCTTTTTTCCCAATGAAGTGGGATTTGCGATAGAATTGGCTGCGAAGGCGGGGAGCCGCCGCGATAAGATTTCCGGGCGGACTCTTTCTGCCGCTTTTTTTTCCCTCGCCGACGAGCTTTTCTTTTCTCTCGACGTAGCACTCTCGAATTCGTCTCGAACAGGTCCTCACAGTCGTCATGGGTCAAAAGCGAGGACGCGACACGAAAGCACAGGCGCAGGAGTCCAAGAAGCGCAAGAAGGGAGGCAAAGCCGACCCTGCTCCCGACGATGGTTGGAATGGCCTCGCCGGTATTGAAGACCTCAACTGGAAGGAAGTGACTCTTCCCGATCGAATGGAAAATGCCGAAGGATTTTTTGGTCTAGAGGAAATCGACGGGGTTGATGTGATCAAAATTGAAGGCTCTGCAGGTGTGCAGTTCAAGGTGAGTAGCTCTAGTGACAGTCTATTTTGCCCTGCGCAATTTGCTGATTTTCATGATTTACTCGGAATAGGCCAGGTCGGGAAAACCCAAGAATTCGATTTTGAAAGAGCCGTCCTCCGACGATGACGGTGAGGAATGGTCTGGGTTTGGTGACGAGGAGCCCGAGGAGCCTGCTATCCCAGCCGCTGTTAAGAAGGAACTGAGGGACAACAAAGCGAAGAACAAGGACGCCGCCAAGGGGGATAATAAGAAGGGCTCTCAAGATTCCAACAAGAAGGATTCCAAGAAGGATTCTAAGGAGTCAAACAAAAACGAGAAGAACAGCAAGAACAACAAAAAGGACGCCGAAACAAAAAAGGTTACCCCCCAGGAAACAAGTCTAAAGTCCAGTCTCTCCTTCGCGGCACTTGAGGAGAGTGAAGATGATGACGGCGTGGATGTGTCAGAGTGGGAGAATCTTGGTCTTGCCCCCGAGATTCTTACCGGTCTCTCCAAAATGAAATTTGGTACACCCACTGCCGTGCAAAGGTCTTGTATCCCGGCCATTCTCGACGGACATGATGTTGTTGGAAAGGCATCAACTGGTTCTGGAAAAACACTGGCCTTTGGTGTTCCCATCCTTGAACATTATCTTGGAAAAAGGCCCAAGAAGGTGGAGGGTGATGAGAAAACCAGCTTCCCACCCATGGCACTCATCTTGTCACCTACACGTGAACTAGCACATCAATTGGCGAAGCATATCGGCGATCTGATCTCGAATTCCCCCGACACTGACGCGCGCATTGCTCTGTTGACTGGCGGATTATCTATCCAAAAGCAGCAACGCCAGCTTGCTACTGCCGATATTGTTATTGGTACACCTGGTCGTGTCTGGGAAATCCTTAGCAAGGGAACTGGATTGATTCGCAAGATGCAGAAGATTCAGTTCCTGGTTGTTGATGAAGCCGATCGCCTTCTCAGCGAGGGCCACTTCAAGGAAGTTGAAGAGATCCTCACTGCGTTGGACAAGCCAGAGCATGGGGCCTTGCCTGATATGGATGAGGAGGCTGATGCCGAGGAGGAGCCTGCCAAACGACAGACCCTGGTCTTCTCGGCCACTTTCCATCGCGATTTGCAGCAGAAGCTGGCTGGCAAGAGCCGTTGGACTAGTGGCGACATGATGGATAACAAGGAATCAATGGAGTATCTCCTCAAGAAGCTCAACTTCCGTGAAGAGAAACCCAAGTTCATCGATCTCAACCCCACGAAGCAGATGGCTGAGCGTCTCAAGGAGGGAATTGTCGAGTGCCCTGCAATGGAGAAGGATCTCTATCTCTACTCGCTTCTACTCTATCACCCCAAGCACCGAACCCTTATCTTCACCAACTCTATCTCCGCCGTTCGACGCATCACCCAATTGCTACAGAACCTTCAACTTCCCGCTCTCGCTCTCCACTCTTCCATGGCACAAAAGGCCCGACTGCGTTCTGTAGAACGCTTTTCTTCACCAACAGCCGACCCCAGCTCTATACTTGTCGCCACTGATGTCGCTGCTCGAGGTCTCGATATCAAGGGTATTGACTGCGTCGTCCATTACCACGCCCCACGAGCCGCCGATGCCTACGTTCACCGATCCGGTCGTACCGCTCGTGCCGGTGCATCGGGTAAGAGTATCATCATTTGTTCGCCGGAAGAAGTGGTCAGCGTGGCCCGCCTGGCCGCAAAGGTTCACCATAAAAGGACGGGCGAAGTCAATGCGAAGAAACTTCCTTTGGAATCGCTTGATATCGATCGTCGTGTCGTCCAACGCGTCCGCCAACGCATAAATATTGCCCAGAAGATTACCGATGCCAGCATCGCCAAAGAAAAGATCTCTTCCGAGGATAACTGGATGCGTGCCGCAGCTGAGGATCTTGGTGTGGAATACGACTCCGATGAATTTGACGAGTCAAAAGGAAAAGGTCGCGGTCGTGGAGGTGGTCGCCATCTACGTGACAAGAAAAACAGCGAAACCACCAAGGGTGAACTGGCCGGCCTTCGTGCAGAGTTGAAACAACAACTTTCGCAGCGGATTAATATCGGCGTGAGTGAGCGATACTTGACGGCTGGACGGGTTGATATCGAGGCTCTCATCCGTGGCGAGGGCAACAGTTCGTTCCTGGGACATCTTGATCCTTTGAACTTCTAGATTAACTTTTATTGTGAATACTATTTGTCATATAGTGTAGGTATTTACTGTTCAAACGGGAGTTTTCATGCTGAGGGTTCCGGCTGCTGTTCATTGTCTTTTTTCCCCATAGTACAAAATGGCTACCTTTCAATCCAAATTTACCAAGGAACCCCTTTTACGGGGCTATCAGAAACCTGGATTTTATTTAGTGAGCCTCAAAACTAGATCCTTTCGTCCGGACTTTTTTCTTTTGACTGAGTTCTATTCAGACATGATATCGAGCTTGCTCCAGACTAGAGGATCCGCTTGCTGATCAAACTATAATCCGCTCCAAGTTCTCCTCCGCCACGTGGGAATCTCAGAGGGTCCATCTTATCTGTAATCGGCATGCCGAGATCTACCTTAGGTCCGTCTCGGCAGACATCCGAAGCGCCGCCGAAAGTCGGCCCTCTTGGCCCCACTGTTGGGTCCATCAGGGAAAAAATTGAAGCAAAAAAGAGGGACAAGTCCGATAATAATCGCCGATGATCTCATCTAGTGTGAATTCTCCTTGAAAATCTCCGACTCACAGGTTCGACGTTATTCAAGATCACCACCCCCTCCTCAAGCCATATTACCTTATACTTCTCAACGTACAGAAATCCGAAGGATTTTGATACCGGCAGTTACTGCGCCGGGAATCCGCTTTACCGGCAGATAATCTTGCATTAGCTTTTCGGCATTTGAACATTTGTCGCTCCTCGCATTCTCCATTGGACACTTCTCGGCCTGTTGAATATCAAACTTGAATTTATTCGCCACATTACATTTCAACCAATATGTCTGGTCTCCAACAAGCAGCCAGACGGCTTCTTCGCCAGTCTATAGCCACCAAAACCAGATCACCATTCACATCATTGGGCTCTATCGCACAACTTCACCAACAAGGACCATCACGCTCAGCCGTTGTCCACGAACAAGCCCTCCCGCAATCCCAAACACCCTCCGTCGAAGCACCATCATTCCTCTCCCAAACCCAACAACAAAAGCCTTCACCAAAAGAAAACATCACCAACCTAGACAGCATAATCTCCCAAATCCCCCTCGTCCAAACCCTCCGTGCCTCCCACAAATCCTACAAAGAATCCCGCCCCCACCTCGCCATCCCACCCGCTATCAGACAGCACCATTTCGTCGGCGGCTCTCTAACGAGCCCAGGCAAGCTCGCCCTAGCACCGTACATGTGGACCTCATCGCAAACAAGCAAGAGCAAGAGCAATACCGAATCCACCTCAACCGGGAAAACCAGTCGCGTCGTCTCAGTCTTCCACATCGGCCGTGATCTCTGCGGTCACCCAGGCTTTGTCCACGGTGGTCTACTATCCGTACTCTTCGACGAGGTCTTCGCTCGCTGCGTTTCCGCTGCGTTCCCCAGCGGTCTCGGCATGACTGCTAATCTGAATGTAGATTTCCGGAAACCTGCGCTGCCGGATCGGATGTATGTCTTGCAGGTGGAGACTACTAAGGTTGAAGGGCGGAAGGCCTGGGTGCAGGGTCGTATGACCTACCTTCCTGTGCATTTGCCAGTCCCGTCTGACGGGATTGAAGCTATTGTCCCTGATTCGGCGCTGTTGAGAGAGGACGCTGAGGGGTCGGTTATGGTTGCTGAGGCGAAGGCGTTGTTTATTGAGCCTAAGTTTGCTGATGTGAGTATAATTTTCCCTTGAGGACGACGAGTGCTGTCTGAGTTGCGGAATTATCGTCTCTAATGTTTTCTTTGTCTAGTCTATGGTTTCGGTTTATCGCACATAAACTTCAGGTTTGAAATAGAACACGCGCATGACGGTGGAGTTGAAATATCATAGACTAGATAGACATCTTAATTTTTAGTAACGAAGTTTTCACGAGTCAGCAGATTCAAATTTGAAGCCCAACTTCAAGTTAGTAAGATCGCGATAATATGAGGTTCCAAGGTTACTTCTAGAGTGATATTGCTTACCAGTAAGGAAGCCTCAGGCTGGTAGCCATTTGAGTAGGTACTCTTGAGCCTGGCTCTGTAGAATCTTTCTTTCGCCCGAGTGGAAAGTTGGCAAATACCAAGCTTGAAAGAAGCTACCTACTAGACATTATGAGGAAACATACTATTGGCCTCAGTCTTATTGCTAGCTACTCTAGTTAATCTCAACATGTTTAGGAGAAGAGAATATGATCTACAGTAAGATAGCGAATGACGATAGAAAGGGTTACCATTACTATCTAAGATCACCATGAAAAAAGACTCCGCCGCAACACCCCATATCCCATAAAACAAAGAAAAAAGGAAAAGGAAAAGTCAGCCCGGCCGAAAACTTGGGAATAGGGAGTTGGGATTGCAAAGCAAGTCAGGTCATTGAGTCATTAAAAAACGTTTCCGTCTTTCTGGTTGTTCAGAAGACGGATGTGAAATCGTTGGGCCAGCCAGGTTGATTGGGGTCGGTTATCCGGGGGAAAAATCAAGACTGGAGTGTTGCGCCGGATTCTGAGTTTGTGTGCTGGTTGCTTGCTGGTTGCTTGATGTGTTTCTCTGTCTTTTTTCTAGGACAGATGAAATGCTCCTTGTCCCTCTTTTATGGCGACGGATAGTCGTGCACCAAGGACATCCAAACTGCTATAGTCTGGCAGCTTGAGGTAGTTCACGCATGTCATGACGCTAGGGAGGTAATCGTCCGGAGTATAGGGGGGGTTCACTGGGGCGGCACACCACAGTGAAGATGGGGGTGAGACTTTTGAAACCTGATAAATGACGTTAGATAAGGCTGAGAGAGAGAAAGCATAGATGTGACTTACCGCCAATTGGAAGCTTCGGGCTTCCCGTAACAAACTGAAGGAAATCGCGACGCTGCTGTTTGTCTAGTTCACTCATTGTCTGAAGCAAATTTCGCACGCTCTTGCTGTCCATGTTGAATCCATGATCGGCTTTGATGGAGTCCATGAGCGTCTCAATGGACCAGTCTTCCTCGGCCTGGCCAAAGAGCATGACGAGTTCAGTGGGGGTGAAGGCTCGAAGCGAGGTGTAGGGGAAGACGAGCGAGAATCCGGATCGGAAAGCGTCCACCTGGCGTCTGACACCACTACCCAAGGTCATATCAATAACTCGCTCGATGTATTGATCAACATTGTCAATATTTAGCGAAACATCACCGCCATTGAGAACAAGCTCGATTGACGGATAACCGGGCAAGGTGAAGTCCAGGCTCAAGTCATCGACACGAACACCGTCGACTTGAATGTTTTGAATTGCATCAGTCTTCTCTTGTTCCGTGAAGCTCTTGTTCTTTTGGATTCTCTTCTTCGCTTTGACAAATTGCTTGAGCATGATCAAGGACTTGGCTAGATCTTCATCCACTGCCTTCACAGTTCCCAGTGACGGGGCAACAGAGGACAGAGTATCGGCAATACGGAAGAAAGCTGGGTTGAAAGATATATCAATGATTCGAGAGTCGAGCATGGAACGTGCAACGAATTTGCCAAGAATCTTGAATATGTTCAATTGCTTCTTGCCAGAGTCTTGAGATGCTTGCTCTTCACTCATCGGGCATGGGAATAGACCGCGCTTGCCAAAGGCATATTCGGGAATGGCGGAGTGACCATCGGTTTCACGCCAAATCTTGAGCTTCTTCTTCGAGAACTCCTTGGAGACGGTTGAGTAAAACTCGAGTGTAGGTCCCAATCCAGTTCCGACCTCTTCGAAATACTCAACCTCAAGAACACTCGGGGAGGAACCGTATAGCTCCATGACCTTCATAGCTGAATCCAAAATACGAGCCCGGGAGATTCGAACCTTTTGACGTTGCAAGCGACCGAGGAATGGTTGGTTATCACGACGCATGTCTCGTCGACTATCTTCGGTGCTCTGGGAGTTGTGCCATCTCATCATGGCGCGAGAATATCCGAACGCAGTCGACTGAAGGAAGAGATGTCTGGTCTCAAATGGGAATAAGAAAGAGAACAGTCGAGCTAAGTCTTCGCTCCAGCTTGGCAGACAGCTACTAGCCACAATCAATGGCTCCTCGAGTTGTCGGTTCACCTTGGCAGTGAGCTTGGTGTTAATAAATTGAGCCAGTGGCTCGGGGATGACGTTGACAGGATCCCTAGTCTCTGTCAAAATATCATCGATTGTTGCGTTCATTTCGTGCAAGACCCGAAGGAATCGAAGAATGGAGGCGGTGGTAGCATCCTTATTCAGAGAAGCCGGAATTTCAAGGCTGTCGCATGAGGAAGATTCCTCCTGTCCAGCAGTGGCAAGTGTTGATGGCTCCGCTGGCGGAGGTCCTGGAACACGTTTGAACGTAACCGTGTGGATTGCAGTCCAAACATTCTTTGCGTGGGACTCCTCTATATGCTCACGGTTGTGATGAACAGCACGATATACGGTAGTATCGCTAGGAACGGATTTTCCATCCACGCAGAACTCGAGGTGCCAGTCTTGTGGTATTGATGCCATGGCAGCGGCATACGATTGGAACGGGCGCCCGGCGGTTGACAGAGGTTGATGACGTGTGGTGTTCGACGATGCTGTACTTGGTAGCGACGAGGAAGGCTTCGATGCCGGCGTAGACTGAGACGGTGTGCCTATTCGTGTACCATCTTCTTTCCGTGCGGTGACTTTGCCAGAAGATCCAACTTCCATGTTAACGGCGGTGGGGTCGTGGACATTGTCATCCTCAAGATCATCCTCTAGGTCATCAACTATAGCATTGAGCTCCTCGTCTTCATCCCCATCGTCAACATCCTCGTCTTCGTCGCTCAGTTGCCTCTCATCAGCGCATTCTAGTGGTTCGTCGCCATGCTCATCATCTTCCTCTTGGAAATGCATGTGGCGGCGATGATCACCCGAAGTTGTCCGTTCCTGGTCTTCGTCGGCAGACTCGTTGATATTGGCTTGGCCTCCGGTGCGTGCCAGTGGACTACCGGATTGCGGAGCGGTCAGTTGATCCCGAAGACGCGCAGCTTGAGAGATCTGGGATAGGAGAGTGTCACGGCGAGAGTGACGAGGACGTTCCGACATGGCAATCTTTGGCTGGAGGAAGTCATCGAGGGACTTGAATGTAGCTATGGCATGAATGGAGACCATGATATTTCGGTAGTGGCGAGGTACACCAGATCCCTCTTCTGCGACCAGCTTAAGTCGAAGCTGCTTGCCGAGCATGTACGTAGCATTGCTGCGGGTATTCTCGAGCGAGTTGTGACTGACAGTAAGAACCTCGAAATGCTCCGTTCGGCTTAGCAAATCCTGGAGCTTTCGAATCAAAACGCTGAAAGGAGTAACGGCCGTGCTCTGGCTTTGGGCCTTCTCAGAAATCGTGGACCCCATGAAAGCTTGCAAGAAGGCAGATCGCGCGATGCGAATGTTAGGAGCTAGTCGCAATCAGTATATTAGTCACTTCATCCATGAATGGAGGACAATGCCTACCTTTTGAATCGCCAAGAACCTCCAGGAAAACATCGATGATGCCGGAATTTAGAAGCTCTGAGCTGGTGATATTTTCTAGCGCATCCCCGTCAAAGTAAGTCGCTAGACGTTTAAAGAGCACAAGGCCATCATCGCCCTGGGTAGCGTAGGACTTCTCGGATCTGACGGGCCAGAGATCGCAGCTCAGTTAAAATACGGAGAGCTTCGGTACGAACTTTGGCACCCTGGCCTTCTTCGTAAACTTTCAAAAACGCGATCGCGTCATGGATGACAAGGTCATGAAGAGCATTTTCAACCTTAGCCAGCGACTGCCGGCCAGAGACTGAGGAGTCCTCTGAATCCGAGTCTTCTTCGTTGTCATCTTCAGCGTCGTCATCGTAATCATCGCCATCGTCCTCGGAATCGTCGTCTTTCTTGCTGCCACTCCCGCCGGCATTGTCGGCATCCATGTCAACGTCGGTCGAGTTTGCGGCAGCCTTTTTCTTGGCCTCTTCGGCCTTTTCGCCATCAGGAGAGAAGAGGAGCCTCGGAAAGCTTCACTATTTCCGAGATCACACCTTCACGATGGAATTGATGCTGGTAGACGTGCTCGAGTCGCTCAAACAAAAGTTCCGAGCAACGAAGAGCGAGAGAAACGAGAGAGGGGTGGTCCTTTTGGGAGAGAATGGATGCCAGGAAGGAAGCATATGGAACGGTGCGCAAGGCATCCTCGATCAAGGTGGGCTCCAGAATGTGCAGCATTTTCAGTTGCGCGATGAGGACCTTTTGGCGAACATGGAGGTTGACCGTGCTCGAGAAGGCATCGGTCAATGTCGGAAAGAGGATGGTGGCAAACCGCTTGAGCTCCGACTTGCAGTCATCCAGTAATGCACGTCGCTCATCGGCCGACTCCTTGGATTTGGACGATTTCAGGCCAATTGACATATTGCTATCAAAGTAAGAACTGAGGATGCTGTCTGTTCGGGAGGCCTCGCGACTCGGAACACCTGGTAGGAGTTCACAAATGACATTGAGGGTTTCAAAAACTTGTTCGCGGGGGCGATGTATCAAGGCTTGCATAACCAAGACGCTATCCATCTTGACAGCCGTGTTGTCGGTGTCTTCGGGGGGCGAGACTCCCGTCAAGATCTGATATAGCGTATCTACAACATCCATTTTGAGCAACTCGATTGACAAGCGTGGACTAGCCTTTGCCGTAATTGCAAGTACTCGAAGGAACTGGGTATGAATGTGTGGGCCGATCAAGTTTGTGGTACCCGGGAGCAAAAGCCGGAGAACAGCCTTGAGCATTGCCGGCTCGATCAGCTCTTCGAGATTCTCGGATCGGTACTTGTAACTCTCAACGATACGGGAAACACATAGGCAGCCCTGTTCCACCACCTTAGGGTCATTGCTAGACAGGACGTTCAGCAAAGTGGGCATGACATCCCGTACGACGGGGAATGAATCATGAGGCAGGTTGCGGCAGCAGTTGGCAGCAGTAGTAACGGCAGTTCGTTGTGTGCTTGTTGGAAAGAATTCCAGGTAGGTTAAGCATGCCGTCAAGCCACCTTCACGCACGATCGAGGCAGGGAAGTCCACTGAGATTTTTGCCAGTGTCTGTGATTGTTCTGTCAGTTTTTTGTCTGCCAGGCAGGGTTCGGGGTCTAGCTAACACTTAAAGCTTGCTCAGCAAGATCGATGAACTGGATATCCAGTAGCTTCTGGCACAGAATCGGCACGGCGCCACCATATACAACATTGGCCACGGAGCCCCTGAGGGCTTCCATCAAATTTGCAAGACAACGGCACGCAAGTAACATTATTTCAGGGTTTTCCTCGCCGAACTGATTCGGTTGCATTAACGTAACCAGCTCCTTGACGTATGGATCAGGAGAGAATTGTCCTGATAGGTTGTCTTCGTTGGAGACAAGTAAAAGATCCGACAGCTCCTGTAGAGCAATTAATTGGAGCGACGGAGAATCCTTTGCTCTCAGGTTACTGAGGATATCTCGGAGTCGCGAGGACATGCCAGACATCATTCCACTGAGAGCACGCAATGTACTTTGCAGACCCATTGGTCCCCGACCTCCAAAAAGACTGCTACTGAACGGATCCAGATCTTCATCGTCAAAGGCCGAGTGGTTTGTACCGTCATTGCTATCACGTTCTGGTGACTCGTCTCTTTCTTCCTTTTCCTCGTGCTCTTCCAGATCCTCCTCCGTGTCCCGTGTTAGAACATCAGAACTTGTCTTTGCCTGACGTTTCTTCTGTTGGCGTCGTGGGGGCGGAGATTGTGTCGTGGCAAGTCGATCTAATCACCCGACCAGCAACTTTTAGCCTTCATTCTCTAGCACCTTCAATATTTCTTTGCGTAGGGAAAACATCACTTACCATTGCGGCTGGATCTCCGCCGGGCGTCGGGCGGAGATGTCGTGGACTTCGATTCCTCCGACGGTCGAGAAGATGGTCTATGGGGAAGCATTTTCATCAGTAACTTGATCGTGCACGGATTATCTAAGGATCCAGAGCTACATACCCTGGTTGTGACATGATTTGACGGCCTCGGGGAGCGCGGCGAGGACCAGCAGCAGGGCCAGTAGATGGAGCTGCACTGGGAGCTGCAGTCCGTTGTCGTTTCGATCGACGGGGAGGGGACGGGGCCGTTGGTTGGTTCGGGGTGTCCGAGTGTCGGTCTCTGCGTATCGAGGTCTTGCGTTTGCGGGAAGCCGAACCAGCGGCGGAATTCGAAGTAGCAACGATGTCAGCGGGTGGAGGAGGAGGGTCTGTAGCAAGTCTCGCCGAGGAGCGAGTGGTTCTGCCTGACATGAGTAACTGATTGTGGGTTTTGTTTCTTTTGAGGTCAGGAGTACGTGAAGAAGAGGTTTCAGGTACGTAACTCCTCGGGTGAATGAGCGGGATCTGATACGAGGGAAAGGAAAAAGTAGCCAAAGGGTGAGCTTGACAACGTGAGGAGACCAGCAGTCCCCCGCGTTCCTAGCAGTTGGAGCGGAGAAGCAATCTGAGAGCAGCGAACGGAGGAAGCAAGGAAGCATCCAGCAGTCGGTACTTCCCAGATTCACGTACGGGCACCCATGGGGTAGGGCAAGGAAGGTCGCAGATGGGCAAGGATATGAAGGTTTTAACGGCGAAGGAAATGAGTGGGTAGATACCTCAGAGCTGAAGAGGCGGCAGAAGCTCCAGCGGTGGAGACGGAATAATCCTCGAGGGGGTCCTGACGGGTGTTGGAGGGCCTTTGCCTGGCCATAAGTTACCGGGTCGGAGAGATTCGATTAGGCTTGGGGGAACACCGTTTCAGCCGCCATCCGCACACCGGGTCCAGAGCCGAGAGGTTGACCGGGGAGGGGGGAAAGAGGTGAGTCAAAGTATTTCGGGTCAGTTGGGTCAGAAAGGCGATGATGCGGCAAAGGGATAATCGTGAGGCAATGTGGAATCCAGATGGAAAGAAAAAATTAAATTGAAGAGAGTGGATGGGAGGTGATGGGAGGTGATGGGAGATGATGGAAGAGAAGATGGGGAGTAGATGGTGGGGGAAGGGAAGTTGTGACGACTGGGGATGGAGTTCGGGGAACGTCAGGCGGCGGAAGTGCAACATTCGACGCACCAGGGAGCCCAATATTGAAGGAACCTGGTAGAATTAGGGGGAAAAAGCAAAGAAAGAAAATAATTACAACAGGCTTAGTTATAGATGGCAAGATCAAGAAATAATATAGTGTTGTTCACAAAATAATAAGTATACCAGAGAGAAGAGGAGGAGGGACAAAGAGTATCTTGTACTCCGTAGTAAGTTGATAATAGTGTCATTGCTAGGAAAAGGGTGGGGTATAATATCTATAGAATCACATTGGGAAATTTTGAGTCTTTCAGGCAAGATGACCGAGTGGTCTAAGGTGCTGTGTTTAGGTTATTACCTCAGGGTGATCTCTATATCCCGCAGTCCTCCGGGGCGTGGGTTCGAATCCCACTCTTGTCATTTTTGTCATTTTTCCCCAATTTTGCAATAAATTTTTGTCCACCTCAATACAACTGCAGGTTGTTAAGGAATATATATATCCAGGTACTATATATATACCTACAAAGTCAGTATCCTAGAGTTCCTATTGAGGTTTAAAGTACACTAGTATTAGTATAGTGGCGGCTATACTTCCCTGTGGCAATACCCTCAGGACTACACCTTAAGGTAATCCAGTTGCCTAGCTGTACACTATATAGTACTTTACTAGACATGGATTATTACTGAATAGTATGATTGTTCAAACTTGACACTATACTACATAGTACCTAGAGGTTTAGCTACTCGTACATATAGGTTCTATCCACTACGGTAATTACTAGTTTACCCCGAGCAATACCCGTCTCTCCCGCCGTCACCGGACCTCCTTCCGACTTCCACCAGAGCCTCGATTGACTCACCGAGCTCTCTTATTAATCAATTTGATCTTTGATCATATTCTATCCCTTCAATACCATTCAAGCCAAACATCCAAATATTCTAATTTCCCCCCCAATCCTCATTAACCAGTCGCAATCCGGCGCATTCTCTTCCGCCTCCTCGTTTGCCCCCTCCGAACTTTTCTCTTCCCCCACTTCCCCAAGCCCTCTTCCCCTCTCCACACCTTCTAAGTGCCACTCTATCGCCTTCTTGCCCTGCACTCTCGCCCTCGGCCTCGCCCTCGCCCAAGCGACCATGTCCACCGAATCCATCGGAGGTCAGAAGGACCACCTTCACTCTCCCTCGACCCCCGTGCCTACCATCCCGACAGATGATTATGTCTTTCCGGATTTCCGCCTAAAGCGGAAGATGGACGATCCGGACAAGACGCCGCTGCTGCTCGTCGCCTGCGGTTCCTTCTCCCCAATCACTTTCTTGCACCTGCGAATGTTCGAGATGGCCGCCGATTATGCTAAGGCCGGCAACGACTTCGAACTTATCGGTGGCTACCTCTCCCCGGTCTCAGATGCTTACCGCAAGGCCGGTCTCGCGAGCGCGGATCATCGGTAAGACCCGGTCCCCCGGAGAAACCAGGTTTCTCTTCCTCACGTGCCTGACATATACTAATCGGCGATTGTCCGCGACAGTGTGGCGATGTGCGAATTGGCTGTCGACGAAGGCTCAAATTGGTTGATGGTGGATACTTGGGAACCCACGCAGAAGGAGTACCAGCCGACCGCGCTCGTGCTGGACCACTTTGACCACGAAATCAACACCGTCCGCGGCGGAATCGATACTGGAAATGGCACCCGCAAGCCTGTCCGCGTCGCCCTGCTCGCGGGCGCAGACCTGATTCACACCATGTCTACCCCAGGCGTCTGGAGCCAGAAAGATCTGGACCACATTCTGGGTAAATACGGCGTATGTGGTTTCCCCTCATGAATTTCGGACTTTGTTCCGATCTATCGATTTACTAATTTCTTCCTAGTCTTTTATCGTTGAGCGCAGTGGTACCGATATAGATGAGGCCCTTGCCAGTCTCCAGCCCTGGAAGGACAACATCTACGTCATTCAGCAGCTCATCCAAAACGATGTCAGTAGCACCAAGATTCGCCTGTTTTTGCGCCGTGAGATGAGTGTCCGTTATCTCATTCCTTCTCCCGTCATCCACTATATTGAGCAACACCGGCTCTATGAGGATGATGGCACCGCCAACGAGAAGGGCAAAGACAGGCAGTAGACTTGCTGGCTAGCCAGCGGCGGTCGCCCCTCGGCCGCTCAACCTGATGAAAACGAGCGAAACATGTGTGTGCTACGATACCCCCTAAATCCGTCTTTCCCAAGGTCCTCTTGCCGGCAGTCGTGAAGTTGCATCTATAGCGGTGCTTCTGACGGGCTGATGAACCGCCAACCTTTGGCTGGGTTGATTCTGAAGCCTCTCGTATGACCCAGCCGAGAACTGCTGGGTCATGGCGCAGCACGAGGACAAGACGATTAACGATTTCCTTTTTCCTTTGTTAGTTGGAGTTATACGGCGCTTTCTTTCGGGCTGGGTTTTTATTTGTCCAAGCCATCTATCTGTGACGCAGGCGTTTGATGCTGTGCTTGCCCCAGCGATCGCCAGTAGTTTCGCTGCTGAACAGGATGTACATAATATGCTTGCTGTTTTTCCTAGTCATTCCATTTGTACATATGGGGCTATAATAGACCTCTGTTTCTAGACCGGTCTTGCTGGAGGTTGCCTAAATTAGGAAGTGGCAGGTGCCTGGTTATAATCTTCGCACTAGGGTATTACATGGCTGATATATTGAATCTAACGGTCTTCACCCACAGAGAAACAATTTGTAAATACTTGGTAGAAGTACTCAAGATGACATCTTCCACTGAATCATGACCCGACCTTTCAATGGGCTACATATCACCGGGGTTTACGTCTACTAATCGCCGGAATCGGCGATCTTTTACTACCTTACTTAGTATGGGGGGGAAGCCTGCACACCATTGCAGCAGTCAATGACACCATCTCGGCAAGGACTTAACACCTTCAAGCCCTGCAGCATAGTAACAACTTCTGACAAATTCGATAATCCCAGTGATTAGTGTTTTACTAAGACTTTCCCCATGACTACAACCTACTAACGAATCGAGGCAGTGCCGAGGGGATCGCCCGATGCACCTGTTATCTTCCGTTATCGACTGATTTGATCTCGGCCGCGCGACTAGCCCTCCACATTTTCCCGGCTTCCCTCCACTGGCTCCTTTGTACAGGCTAGGCCTTCCTAGGGGGCCGGCATCACCACCTCCTCCTCCTCCTCCATTCATCATCGCAATGGCATACCAATCTATTGACTCTTCACCCCAGTCGACAATGGCACACAAACCCGCCGACTCACTCCCCTCATGGCCGCTCACTCCTCCCGACCCTCCACCCCCCACATCTTCCGCTATGAGTGATGTCTCCTCCGTCGTCACAGCAATTCATGTGATGGCCACCGAGCGGGCTGCGCTCGCACACCTCGAACGTCTCTACCAGACAGATGCGCAAGCGCAGCAGGGTCTCGCGCGTGCGGTGGACCTTATTGCGCGCAGTGTGCAGGACGCCGGTAAATTGGTGGTCTGCGGGGTCGGGAAGAGTGGGAAGATTGGACGAAAGATTGAAGCGACAATGAACAGTATGGGAATATACAGTGCCTTCCTTCATCCGACAGAGGCATTGCATGGGGATCTGGGCTTGGTTCGTCCGGTAAGCAGCCACCTGCATCTATGTACATGCATCTACATCGGCATCTGCATTTGTCCTGGTCAATGTGTCGATTATTCGCCGAGGGCCAATAGGATCGGTAAGAGCTTGAAACTGACAGGTATTTACTTCAGAATGACACGATTCTACTCATCTCATTTTCCGGTCGTTCGCCTGAACTTTTGTCACTGCTGCCGCATCTTCCCGCCACAGTTCCTGTCATCGCTTTGACCTCGCATACGGATTCGTCAGCGTGCCCGTTACTTTCTTTGCATAATCCGTCCGGCATGGGCGTTCTTCTACCAGCTCCCATTCACGAAGACGAGGAGGCTTCTCTTGGAGTCAGTGCGCCGACTTCTTCGACGACTGTAGCTCTGTGCCTCGGCGACGCTCTCGCTATCGCGGTTGCGCGCAAGTTGCACAATGCACCTGGCAGAGGCCCTGCGGATGTCTTCCGCAGTTTTCATCCAGGCGGTGCCATCGGCGCTGCTACCGCCGCTGCAAGTGGCACACCACTAACTACGCCCTCGAGCGGCGTCTCTTCAACTACATTCGATTCACCCTCTTCATCAATTTCACTACCTTGGGACGACCTAAATGGGAGCTCGTCGATCCCTCCTTTCACTCTTCAATCTCCACCTGAGCATCGCCGCATTCCTCTGGACAAACTGGTCCCACTCGACCAAATCCCAACTGTCAGAGCATCTGCATCTGACTCGCCTAGCGAGGTGCGATTGCTCGATATCCTGCTCACGGCCATCCAGCACCCCAATGCCAAATCATGGGTGTTTTTATCTCCATCTCACATTGTCCCGCCACATCGGACTCGTTCTCTATTGTCACGGCATGCAGACGTCGATATACGTGTCTCTGACGCCGTGGCTAAAGACGGCCAGCCTCTTGCCGTGCACAAAGACAACTGGCTTTGGGTACCGGAGTGGACTCTCCTCTCCGATATCCGCAAGCTTGTCCTTGCATCCCAGGACGGACCAACTCCACTGTCTATCGTCGCGGTCTCGAAAGATCAAACATGGTCTGGCTGTGTAGGCATAATGGAAGCCGAGGAGCTCTGCGATGGATGAAAATGAAGGCCTCAGGTAACCTTGCGTGGGGGAAAAAATCATTGAATTCTTATTCTTGCCCATATACTATTTTGGACTGTACAAACATCCGCATCTCTTGGTGCGGTTGACGATGTTATGCCTACTGTTGCCGACTTGGGAAGCTATACACACATTTATTACGATTTGCATTTTACATTTGGCCAATAAACCCTGGCTATCAAACGACCACATTCAAAGCATTATATCGATCTACCTTTTATCTTTCTCGTATATGTACCATTTCACTTTGCGAATCTTGGGAGAGGCTTTTTGTTGCTACTTACTAGGTATTCAGTAAGATCCTTTGGGGAAGAATCCAGAAAATCTGCGATGTAGCCCTTAAAAACTGTCTGGATCCGAAATAAATCTACGAAGAGCACTGGCAAGAATCAGGAATTTTTTGGTCAAAAACGGCGTAAATCAAACAGAGGTCGTTTAGCAAGACCAATATCTATTAGGGTTTTCTGAGGTGTAATGGTAGATTAGACTGAATTCTATCAATAGTGCGTTTGATGTAGCCAGTAGCTGCATCTCTGAGCTACTTCAAGTTGGTTTATTCCTGCTAATTATATCAAGAATTAATATCAGAGTAGACTTAGCTAGATTGGGAGCTATGAGTGGAAGCAGTCACCAAGAAACTGTGGTAAGGATGGTATTTAGGTTGCAGCTTCTTCAAGTTGTCTTACAGCTGGAGGTAATAAACATTTTCCCAGCTCATATAAGAATCCAGTAATTTTACGGTATATCTTGAAGATAGATGAGGTAGTACTATTAGCCCCTCTTGAGGTGGTTTAGTGTATCTTGGTATCTAGGAGTGACATCGATTTCCGGAAATACTGTACAAAACATGATATACGAAATTTGTCTATAATACACAATCCCACCACCCTCCACTTCGGGAGTGAACGATGGGCTTAAGGCCCCCACTCTTCCGATGCAGCAAACCAAGCTGGAGAAATCCCCTCGATGATATCTAATCTTCCCCAAAATCATTCGCCCTCAGCTCTTTATTTATGAGCAAGGATCCGATCCCCCTCGTTACTGCAAGCATCCTTTCAACAATATCCTCCTTGGCGATAAAACCATGTCCACGTGAATACCAGGTAGTCTAGTCCGATATGAAGGGACTTGAGAATGAGCGGCGCGCCCTCTCCCACCATTCCGACACATTGAGTCTAACTAGACCAATCTAAGCCTTGACAACTGGCTTGATACCCTTGTGAATAGCAGCAATACCACCAGTCAGGTTCTCATAGCCCTTGCCAGGGATCATAAACCCAGCCTTCTGGATCATACCCCGGAATTCATCCTGACTAGGGAAGCGCTCGATACTCTCAACAAGATACTGGTAGCTGTCGCGATCACCCGCAACAACCTGTCCAATAAGGGGGATAGCACTGAAGTTCCAACGCTTGTACACCGCGTCAAAGAGCGGGTTATCCACCTTGCTAAACTCCATACAGGCAAAGACACCGCCAGGCTTCAGCACGCGGAACGCCTCATTCAGCGCAGCCTGCTTATCGGTGAAGTTGCGGATGCCGAAAACGACAGTGTACAGGTCGACCGAGTCAGACGGGATGTGCGGCATGCTCTGGGCATTGGCCTCGATGAAGTCCAGTCGCGGTGTGTTGTAGTAGGGCGTGTCGATGGAGCGCTTGCGGCCTTCGGCCAGCATGTCGGCGTTGATGTCGCTGATCGTGACGCGGGTCTCGAGGTCGTGGTTGATGTTTGTAGCGTGGTCGAGCATGCGGAAGGCGATGTCGCCGGTCCCGCCGGCGATGTCGAGAATATTCCAGCCCTTGGTCTTGGAGTCGGTGGGGCGGTTCGCGACGGGCGTGCCGGGGTTCAGGGAGCGGACGAAGTGGTCTTTCCAGACGCGGTGGATGCCTAGAGACATCAGGTCGTTCATTGTGTCGTATGATGAGGCGACGGAGCTGAAGACAGCGCCAACTAGATGCATATGTTTGTCAGTACAGTTCGGGAAATAGCTCCAATTGAATGGTCTCTAAGAGTAGGCGAGGACTCAAGCTTACCTCGCGACTCCTTCTCATGTTCAGGCACATTGGTGAAGCCAAAGTGTGTCATGCGATCCTGTTCGGACTTGGGATCTTGAACCTGACGAGTGCAGGAGAAGCAGCGGTAGGGAGTAGGGGGTTGGAAGGCACGGCGCTTTGCACTGTAGTGCAGCGCTCTCCAAGCGGAGCGGGTCGACATGGCTGGAATGGAAAGGAAGGGAATTGACGAAAAAGTGCACACGTCCAACGATTGTCAAAGTCCGAGGCCGATCGAGGCTCGGAAGGAGCTGCTGAGCACTTTTCGACGGGAAGGCGTGACCCACTTTTCTAGCCTGCGACTTCCGATCCAAACAACCAATCAGAGTACTCCGTTTGAGGACATCAAAATGGAATGGTTCACTGTATATCTAGATCAGCCGGGATTTACGAAATTATTTGAAGGACTACTCAAATAATATTGGTCAAGGAAGTTATGATATTATTATTCACAAGCTGGTGCCTTATAACTGCAAAATTTGAGTATAGCAACTCCCCTTTGTATGTCTAATATTCACACTGTATAACTCTCACAAAATCACTCAAATGCCAATGGCAAGAACCCCTCAGAATGCGAATTATCCAACGGCCACGGCCAGTTCGACAACAATTCCGGCGGAAGCTGAAATTGTAACATCGGGTCTCCAATAGCCGATGCTGACCTGACAGCATGGGGTGGCCCATTGGGGGCATACGGCGCAGGTGGAACAGCCGGTTCGTTTTTGATACTATTCATCAGGATGGCACTGCCATTTGGAGGCGGAGGGGCAACTGGAAGATTGACTAGGCGGGAATTGCGCATGTATCCGTCTATGCGATCCACTTGCGATCTTAAGCGTTCGCTAGCACCCGCTGCACGGTGAAGACCGGTTTCGAGGCGATGGAGAAGGTCGGCCATCTCAAGTCTGTGGTCATTAGCAGTGGTTCTTTGAACGTATTCGGAATTGATATAAATACAGTAATGTGCGAACTCGTTGGTAAGATGCGTCAGATAGACTGCCTTCCATGACTGAGCCTAAAATGTAGCCGATTCCACCAAGATGATGAAGCTTATGGCACGTCAGTGTACTGAATAATACGCCGTTGTATGAGACACTTACCAGGGGGGGAGCTGATGGCTTTCAGATATTCCACAGGAACCTTGGAAAAGACGCTGAGTAGCTCACCCGCCACGTCACATTTCCGGTCCACGCCAATTTCTTCCGCAGACAGCAGGACCATCCGGAGAAGCTGCAGCGTTGCCTGAATATTGGCAGATTGAAATCCAAAAAGATCCTTGCCGATATCACCAGTGGTGGGCGGTGTTTCTCTAAATTGTGGGGGGAGAGCAGCGTACATCGAAAGTACTCGCTCCATAACGGCTGGCTCGGACATGTTCGCAGGGCTAAACAGAGACCAGACTTCTTGGGTTCCATTGGCCGATGAAAAGCGGCGCCGAGTGCCATCCACAACGTGCTCAAGAATACGGTACAAATCAGTTGTGAAATTCCAACCATGCAGCCAAGACACAGGGGGGGCGTGAGCCACCCGTTGGGTCTATATGACCTGGTGTGGTTGACATAGGCGACACGGGCGGCAGATAGCCTTGATGAGTGATGAATTCATCGTTCAATTCAACCGGGTATCGAACAAGAGAATGGGCTTCGCGATATCGAACGACTCCTCCCCACACGATGCTTGAGTATATGTCTAAGGTGTAGATAGACCAAAACTAGATTCTTGTTAACGAAGAAACGCTGTTATCGAGCTAATGTACGTACCAGTCTTCGACGTTCTTCGGTCTCGATGGGGCTTATGTCCTTAGGCCAGAGCTTCTCGTCGTGAAACCCTTCCATGCTAGTCAATGTATGATAAATGCCGGAGTATTTCTGCATGTTCTTTATCTGGCCATTTTGAATGCTGGCAATCGCTAAGATCGCACATGCTCGCATATAGTTCATCCCTTTCGCAGCTGCAAGATCTCGGGGTAGGGCGTCTTTAGCTGCTGCATAGAATGCTTCAGAGGGCGGTTCTAGAAGTTCTTCTCGATGCCACCTGTTATTGTACAATGCGCCGTCGCGGGCGCGGCCTGATACTAATGAGCAGACTGCCATTGTCGATGCAAATAGTCCTTGGTTTGAGAGATGCTCTTTGTTGTTGATGCTTGCGATAAATGATTGCTTGTGAAATAATGGGAAGCTGGGGAAGGGGAAGATGGTTGTCAAAATCACTAGATTCAGCACGAAGCAGGGACAAGGGAGGAGCTCACATTGGATAGACAATTTCGAAATATACTTGGACAAGATTTCGAATTTGTCTGTCACTCGCGATAGCGAATGCTTTCCATGAATTGCGCAACGCTCCATCGTCGTCATATCCCTCTGCCGTCGACCATCCCGAATTGAAGGAAGACCAAGGATCCCCGGTCAGGGAAGGACGGTGACCCGACTCGGGATAAGTTGAGCTCCTGGAGACCGAAGATCGTGAGGCTCTATCAGGAGCTGTGACTCGAGCAGTGGGGATACTGTCAGGCGTAGCTGTGGTGACTGATGACTCTCGCGCAGTCACCCTGGTACCAGCCTTAACGCCACGGCGTTTAGCCGGGCGATCAAAAGTACAAGCGACATCAAAGTCAGCACAGTTCTGACATCGGCCTAGCTGGTCCTCGCCTTGGGTGCATTTAATGCTGCGCCGATTGCAGAAGTCGCCTAAAAGGGGTGGTGGCTGTCAATTTCACATTCTCCCGTTTATCCGCGTAAAACAAGGGAAGTGGAGAACAGGGCGTGGCAACGCGGGGGAAATTGGAATGCTTACAGGCCTTGGAGACGCGCTGGAGCTTTCGTGGTTTTTGCGACATTCAATATGATCAATCATGCCACACTCGGGACACGGAGCAGGGCACGGTTCCTAGCAGCGAGGAGGCGTCTCGGCTGCAGATTTCGGGGCCGGGGAAATCGGGTGGTGCATTTTGGTTTTATTTCCATGCCTGAGGCGAAAATATTGCCAAATGCGGCCTCAATGTGTCATGTGACTAGATTTGCCATTACCCTCAGATACATGGGGTCTATATTATTAATATTATAGCCATAGCCAGGCTCTGTACTTCTCAAGAGCTGTATATATCCCCAAGAATTTCATCCTGTTCCCTTTCAGCAAATTTCCTGTATCAACGGGACGGGAGAACGGGAGCACGGAGCACCCTGCACGGGTCCGGGGGTGAACGCGGGTTCGGGTTCGGGTTCGGTCCCCAGGTTCATGACAAAAGTAGTATGGCCATTCCTCTAGCTTATAATCTTCCGACATATCTGAAGGTGGGGAACTCGCGGGAAAAAAAAACAATCATAAACATTAATCTATCTACATCGCTTAGGCTCTAAAGGCGTATTGGCTATCTAAATGGTGGTGGTACAGGTCGTTGTATAGTAGTAGTTGAGCATGGATCCAATCGTCAAACCATTTATTGAACTCATTAAGCCATGATTGCGGTCGAGTATTCTGGCTCGCCCTGGCTAGTTGTTGATGCCGACTTGGGTACATCATGGGTCTCGTTCTTGGTGACTCCGTGTGACGCCAGGACATCACCATGCAGTTTATAGGCCTGCTCCATTCTCCAGTGGAAGGGGCTGGTGGTTGAGAATAGAGCTTCAATAGACTCGAGTGAACGGTTTCGAGTCTCCGGATAGACTGAGAAAAAAAAAATTAGCTCATGGCAACATCCAATTTCAATTTCAAGACTGGACTCACAGAGGAACACGATAGGGATCCAGATCAAGTTTAGCCCAGCAAGCAAGAAATAACTTCGGCTCTGAGAAGATTATTCATTAGTGGGTCACAGTGAGGCAGAAGTACCAATGCAACTTACAAAAAGGTGGCCGAACATTATGGGATTCACCAGAGTAGTCATTCCCACTCCAATGGCCCAGCCAGTAATTCCAAACCCATTCCCCTGCGCTCGTAAGTCACTCGGGAAGATTTCTGTAGGAATCAAAAAAGCAACAGTGCCCCATGTAGCCGCATAGCTATTAATTGTTAGATAATTACCATGGAAATGATGTGTCCGTAGATCTCGGACATACCCAAGATTAAACAAAAAAAGCATCGTGACCGCCGCAGGTGCATATGCTTTGACATCTTCTGGATGATGGTACGATGCTTCATATACCGCACCAGCCTGTGAAAAATTAGTACGGCGAATGTCATCAACTTTTCTGGGGTCAATCATACAACTAGGTTCACTGCAAACAGCACAACCGATCCGCCCATGAGACAGGCTCTGCGGCCTAAGCGATCGATGATCTGAGCACTTATAATGGTGCCAAGAATTCCAACTGTATTGACACCTCCTGCGAGACCAGCAATTTGGATTTTCGTGTACTCGGCCTGTTCAAGAAGCACCGGAGCATACGCAGTAACAGCCTTATGTCAAAAAAATTAGCACGTGGTCTTTGGCTGACAATATGGGACGTCCTAGACATACCGTGATGCCCGTCCAAGACGCCATAATCTGAAGCCATATGCATAGCCACGCTCGGCGACCCAGGTTTGTACCTTTCTCTCCGCCCTTTCCACACAAAATCTTCGCAAATTGTAAAGGCGAGCTTGGCTTGCTGTACTTCGCCGTGGTGATAATTTCGAGGTATTCACGGTCGATTTCCGCTGACGTATGCTTGTCTTTACGTAAAAGCGTCAACAGTTCATGCGCTTCTTCCGTTCTTCCGACTGAGGCTAAATATCGAGGGCTATCGGGTAGCATTTTGATAAACAGTGCAAGAAGAAGCGCTGGAAAACACTGAAAAGCGAGCAGAAACCGCCATCGAACGTCGGAGTATCCATCATTGATAAAAGAAAGGCCGAAAGAGATCCAATATGCAACGGAAATTCCTAGATCTAAGCTTTTTTAGCCAGATGCCCGCCGGGTACCGCTCTTGGTACTTATCTATGGTAGGGAATGGAGGCACAAACAGTTAGCAATGAAAACGTAGCCCAGAAATCCTCCTCGGTTCTTCGCTGTCGAGGTTTCAGATACCAATACCGGGGTGATACCAGTCAAAGCTAGATAGCCCCCACGAGTTAGTCAAAGTTCTACCAGGATGGGTCTCGCTAAATGACACTAGCAGGGATACTTACCACCGGTGCCAATCCCTGTCAACACTCTGGCGCAGATCATGAAATTTGAGTTTGTGATGGCAGCTTGCAGGGCTCCGCCCACCAACGCAAACAACGACCCTGCGAGCAGTCCATTGATACGTCCAACGCGGTCTGCAAGCCATCCGCCAGCGAAGCAGCCAAAGATCGCGCCCAAATAGTAAACACTCACGATGCCCCCTTGATGCGTTGTGTCGGTGACCTTTCCATCAGCGGTGCCGATACCGACCAGCGTCACGTAGGTCGGGGAGGAATTGACGCCTCCCATAACACCCTGGTCATAGCCTTCGAAGAATATGGAGACGAGAGAGAACGTGTGAATGGCAACACTCAATTGCCGCGGTGTGAGCCGCTTCCAAAGCGTGGTGTATCCCATGACGCGGTCAGCATCAGAGGCCAACCTGCAGCCCAACGCGCCGAATAATCCTTCGTATGGGTCGATCCCAGTTCTAGATGTAACTCAATTGCGCCAAGAGCCTCTGGGGATGGCCTAAAAGTGGTAGATCGTATGTAACTTCGCGGGGGGAACCACTCTTGAAGCGCGTAACCATTTAGCACTGGCAGGATTTGTTGCATTAGCCTCACGCATAAATAGGCGTTTTACCGATTGTCCGCCCCCTTTCAGGCGGTCTGGCTCTTTAAGCGGTGGCAGACCATTGGAACATCCGAGACGCATGAACACCCTCTTGCAGCTGGAATCCTTTGGTTCTCGCCAAAATTCGGTCATGGGGCTGTGGCTGTGGGATTGACGATGGCTACCCCCGGTCGCATGGAGGCCATTTTATAAGCCCAACCTCCCAGGGATTCGGGGCCATATTTCAATTTCTTTGTTTCCCAGTGACATCACGATTCACAACAATATAGTTCAGCCCTTGATCGGTTCAACCATGGGCTCAACAAACCCCGCAGATGAGATCTCCGGCTCTGCATTAGATTTGACTGTTCTCGGTCTCAATAGTGGCACATCGATGGTGAGTGATTTTTCTATTAAAAGACTTGGAATGGGACTTGGTGCTAGTTACTACTAGTCATCGAGGGATGCTGGTAGTAGTGCTCATAATTTAGCTAACAAACCTATCATACAAGGATGGCATCGACTGCGCACTTTGTCGATTTCGTCAAGAGACACCGGAGTCGCCGATGCATTTTGAGCTGCTCAAAGTAGGGATGATCCATTGAACCCACATTGAAATAATTAAACCACAGCCTACTAATCAACCACTACTATTCTCTAGTATGGCGAAATTCCATTGGAACCAGTGATCAAGAAGCGGGTAATGAACATGATTCTGCACAACCATACATCGCCCTCCGAACTTTCAGAAGTAAATGTGATCCTCGGTGAGACGTTCGCATCTGCCGTGCATCAATTCTGCAAAGAATATCAAATCGAGATCGACTCGATCGATGCACTAGGCTCTCATGGCCAAACAATTTGGCTTCTATCTATGCCGCAACCTGGTGAGACGCGCAGCGCATTAACGATGGCAGAAGGCTCATTCCTGGCATCTCGTACTGGTATTACTTCTGTCACCGACTTTCGCGTCAGTGATCAAGCAGCCGGTCGCCAAGGGGCGCCTTTGATAGCTTTCTTCGACGCCCTTGTCCTGCACCATCCGACCAAGCTACGTGCCTGCCAAAATATCGGCGGTATCGCAAATGTTTGTTTCATTCCACCTGACTCACATGGCGGAGTTGATGCATGCTATGATTTCGATACGGGCCCTGGAAATGTCTTTATCGATGCTGTTGTGCGACATTACACAGACGGCCAACGCGAGTACGACAAGGACGGCGAGATGGGCGCCCGGGGATCTGTAGATCAGCAGCTCGTGGACGAGTTCTTGAGACATCCCTACTTCGCTTTAGATCCCCCTAAAACCACTGGCCGTGAAGTTTTCCGCGACACGCTGGCGCATGAGTTGATCAAAAAGGCTGAGGCCAGAGGCTTGAAACCTGATGATGTCGTTGCTACTATCACTCGTGTCACTTCGCAAGCTATCGTCGATCATTATCGACGCTATGCACCCGAGGGACTTGAGATCGCAGAGATCTTCATGTGTGGTGGTGGGGCGTATAATCCAAACATTTCGGCTTTCATCCAGGAAAACTATCCTAACACTAAGATCCTCATGCTTGATGATGCTGGGATCCCCGGCGGAGCAAAGGAGGCCATCACTTTTGCCTGGCAAGGTATGGAAGCGATTGTCGGTCGGTCGATTCCAGTTCCCACTCGCGTGGAAAATCGCCAGGAGTATGTATTGGGAAAAGTCTCACCAGGTAAAAACTACCGGAAGGTCCTACGTCACGGTATGCTGTTTGGTGCCGGACGTGACCATTTGGCACCTGTCAAGGAACTGGTGAACTATGTCGATGGTCAGATTTTCGATAATAAATGGTGATTCCAAAGAAGGCCTGTTGGAATTTCATCTACTTTCATCACAATTTATTCAGGTGAAGCATTCTTTCGAATTTTCCGATTATAATGCTTGGATTGCGAAATTTATACACCAATGACACCTCATCTGTTTCATTCAAGTCGCACAAGAATGTACTGCCAGTGGAGAAGTGACGTCCTGATGGATAAATATCATATTTTTGCGATTGGGTAATTAGTAATGGCATGATAGATATTTTCTAGCTTTAAAGCATCGTGTCAACACATTGTTCTATATACTTTCCTATCGTAGTTAGCCTCTGCGGCTCTTGTCCGATGTCACTTGAGTAATTAGCAGTAGCTCCATGGCTCCACTGGAACCACAGTACGACACCAGAGCCGAAACTACGGATATATTTCTTCCGGAAGCTCGTGAGAAAAATCAAGGGGATGGCGATGAGCTCAACTGTCGAACTGGTTACACAGGAATGATGGATCACCATAACCCGATCAGCAGGCGACACAAAGAAAACGAACCCCTCCACTGCATTCACATAATGCGCCACTCGGGGATTCAAAGTCGAATCAATTATAAATACGAATCAGGTGAAAAGCAGGACTTCTGCAACAAATAAGCTAATCTTGAAGTGACTCATCTCATTCGATTGTGAGTGAATCCAAGTAAGGCGGGAGAGAAGCGGCGATCATTCGGTACCGAGATTATGCCGGGCATGGCACACCGAACTGTACTCGGAAAATAGCTCAACTTGAACTGGTTTCAGGCCGATCCGATCTATTTTTTAACCTATCATATTTGATAATTGGCGCCTTCTGAAGACCCAAGATATGTGAAGATGTCACGGCATATCTCGGTGATCGTTCGGCATGGAAGTGTGATAAGCGTAGCTTGTCTTTGACTTCCTCAGATGACTTATAAATACCGGACTTTCTTCCAGGTGTAAGTACCCCCTTCCATTACCATCCTTATCACTCACCATATTTAAAGATGGTCAATTCAATACCTTCCCAATCAACGCCCAGCCACTTGGTTCGGGATGAGACTCGCGAAAGCCTTTGCAGGGCAGGGATAACAGAGAACGCCCCTGCTCCTGACTACAGCTACCCAGAAACGAGACGAAAGGAGCACCCGGTATTTCCGGAAGAATATACTGTCGAAACAAAAACTGGCCTCGTTCCCCAAAAGACATTGGAACAGGTCCGATCCGGTTCATCATCATCAACACAGGCGCCGGAGGACAATGGGAACACCGATTTGGAAAAAGGACCTAAAGATACACCTGAGTTCATCACCTTCACAATAAATGATCCTGAACATCCTTACAACTGGTCTCGCGCTTATCGATGGTACATCACCCTGGTCGCATCGGCACTCGTGGTGTGTGTTGCATATGGCTCGTCTATTGTCACGGGTGGCTTAGGCTTGATCCAAGAGAAATACAACGTCTCCCTTGAAATCGCTATTTTGACATGCTCGATCATGGTGTGTGGCTTCGCAGTTGGTCCATTGCTATGGTCTCCATTGTCAGAGATCATCGGACGAAGACCAGTGTACATCATCTCAATCGGTCTTTACACGATTTTCAATATTCCATGTGCATTGTCACCCAATATCGGTGGACTCCTAGTCTGTCGTTTCCTGTGTGGTGTCTTTTCCAGTTCCGGTCTTTCTCTCGCCGGTGGGACTATCGCCGATATATGGAATATTGAGGAACGGGGTATGGCCATTGCATATTTCGCAGCTGCTCCCTACTGTGGTCCTGTCATCGGACCGATCGTCACAGGATGGATCAACGTTGGTACCCATCGACTTGACTTATTCTTCTGGACAAACATGGCCTTTGCTGGCGTGATCTTGATTCTAGTCGGATCTATCCCAGAAACATACGCGCCCGTTATTCTCAAAAAGCGTGCTGCTAGAATGCGCAAAGAAACTGGCAACCCAAACATTATCACTGAACAAGAACAAAAGAAGCTTTCGCTTGGTGATATTGCCCGCACAAATTTGATTCGTCCTATTACGATGATCATGACGGAGCCTGTTTTGGATTTGATGTGCATGTATATCATCCTCATCTACTCGATGCTATATGCCTACTTCTTTGCATACCCGGTTATCTTCGGAAAGCTCTATGGTTATAACGACGGACAGATTGGTCTGATGTTCATCCCCATTCTGATCGGTGCTGGCATCTCTCTACTGGTCACCCCTGCCATCGAGAAGCAATTCAAGAGAGTCTGCGAATCTCGAGCTCCTACCCCCGAAGACAGGCTCATTGGGTCACTTATCGGAGCGCCCTTCATCCCGATCGCATTCTTCTTGCTGGGAGCCACCTCCTACCAACATATAATCTGGGTTGGCCCGGCTTCATCCGGCATTGCCTTCGGATTTGGCATGGTTCTGTGCTACTATGCCGTGAACAACTACCTCATCGATGCGTATCAGAAATATCCGGCCTCGGCTTTAGCAGCCAAGGTGTTCCTCAGATCTGGCGGCGGTGCTGCTTTCCCTTTGTTCATCACGCAAATGTATGACCGCCTCGGACTGCAATGGGCGTCGTGGCTACTGGCGTTTATTGGCCTGGCAATGGTTTTCATTCCTTTTATGTTCTACTTCTTTGGCATTAAGCTTCGCGCAAAACTTGGACGCGATTAAAAGAGATAATTACGGGCGGAGAGGGCTAGACTAGGTTTTAGATTCTTTAGAGTTGAAGAGATGAGCAATTGGAGCAAATTTTTATCTTTTTAGAAAGTACTGGATCTGTCTGTAGACAGTGTAGAATTAAAGGTAACGTTGAGGAAGTGGATAGGCCTCTAGACGGAGATATCAATTGAGAACCGCCAATATTTCGTCATTGATTGGGCGGCTGGCCTAATGGAAAGGCGTTGGTTTTCGGTTTCTCTATCAATTACCAAAGATTGTAGGTTCGATCCCTGCGTCGCTCGTTTCTTTTTTTCTCCCTTTTTTTTTCCCCCTCTCCCGTCAATATTTAGCGTATTTACCTGGAAGCGAGTTTGCCAGGGAATAAGAATGGGAATTATTATTTATGAAAAAGCTCCGTCTGATACTTGAAAGATCTTTATCCTGGATTCGAAAATGTGGAGATAGGAAAATGAGATTTAAGTAGGGGCTTCTACCAGACAAAGTCTACTCAGTAGTTGTTTGATCCCACAAGCTGCGAACAGTCACATCCTTGACCCACTTCCCACCAGTCTCGTCCTTTTGTACATGAAACTTGAGTTTCTTCTTCTCCCCGGGAGAAGTGTGAAACTATTCTCATCGAAGTATCCCACAACACCCGAAGGGTAATCTAGCCAAGTGTAAAGAGAGACGCCGCTCTTTGCTTCAACAACGAAAGTTTTGTCTTCTTCATTGAAAGAGACACTGAGTTTCGGGTCGACAAGAGAAAGTTTGTTCGGGAAGACAGGCGTGAATTGATTAAGGTGGGTGAAGGTTGAAACTGCATCCCCGGCGTTGGGCAGACGACCACGAGCGTTGATCGAAAGCACCAAGACGGCATCTGTCTTATCCGGAAGAGACAAATCTGACAGACCCGTGGCATAAATCTCAGTTGAATTGAGTCCACCAACAGTGAATTGCTTGGTCCTGGGAGTGCCAGCGTTTCCAGCAATGGGCTTGCCGGACAAATCCACCCAGGTCAGGTTGAGCGTTCCACGAGCAGTTTCCCAAAGGTCAGATGTGACATAAACAGAGAGGCCTCCGGTAGTGTAGTTCCAGAAAGGGGAAACAATGATGGGCTGGTAGATATCCTGAGCCATGTAGTGGAGCTTCTTCCAGCGTCCATCGTACTCGATACCTGCCCAAGTTGGGGCCTGCCAGATATCCTCCAGCTGCCAGTACAACGAGCCTAGTTGACGTTCTGGCATACCACTGCCACGACGGTAGAACTGAATTTGAGACTTGTACATGTCTGCCTGGAACATTTGCGTCGCGTCACACCATGCGCTGAAATTGGCAACGGGATCGTGTTTATTCGGAATCGGATAGTAGCGCTCGACCGCGATGGTCATTTCACCCATACCCATGGAGGCGTTGTGGTAGTTATCGGTCTCGGTGTCACCGGGAGGATAGTGGTGGTTTCGAAGCACAACGGTGCTGCTATTGAAATGGAGATCCTCTTGATCCACTGCTTGCTTCCAAGTCTGTAGACTTGGCATGCTGTGATAGCCAAATTCGTTTGCGAAGCGACCAACAGGGTAAGATCCATAGTCAAAAGCGACACTACTGTCGTAGTTGTAGTGGTCTGTATCTGAATAGTAGGATCCACCAGTAGTGTTGTCATATCGCTCAGCCATGGGAATGGGAGCAGACAGGTTGACATAGAGATAGCCATTGTTCGTGCTACTGGGCGTGTAGGAAATTGACCGCGTATTTTCGTACACGAGAGGAAGGATCAGACGAACAAATAATGTTTCGTATTCCCCGACCCAATGCGAATAGTGTTCTGGATCAGCTTCCTTAATAAGAGGCAATTCGAGACTTTCAATCTCGTTCCCACCAGCCCACAATGCCAGGGATGGATGATGATTCACGCGTCGGACATTGTAAATGATTTCCTGTGCGACATTATCCAGGAACGGTTTATCGGTCGGGTACATCGCATCGCTAAATTGAAACTCGCTCCAAAGCAAGACACCACGCTCATCGGCGATATCGTAGATGAAGTCAGGGAGATATGCACCGGATGACCAAACACGAAGCATGTTTTGATTCCCAGCCACAACAGCATTGAAGAGGCGATCCATCTTCTCCTCCGTGACACGAGGCCAGAACGCATCGGGCGGGATGAAGTTCGAGCCTTTGGCGTAGAATTCCTGTCCATTGACTTCGAAATGCCAATTTGCGCCCGGTGCAATGCCCTGGGCCAGTTGTTCTTCAGTTATGTCGAGTTGATTGAGGAAGATTGTGCGGAAGCCAGTGCGCTTCGTGATGCTGGCCAGTTTCTTCTTATCCTTGCCTTCGATATTGATGGTTGCGGAGTACATATTCTGCTTCCCTAGACCATTGGGCCACCAGAGCTTCGGTGCGTCGGCGTCGATAGTGATACTACCCGTAACACTTTGCCCAGAGGTGGACACACTCTCGAGTGAGCCAGATTTGAGCACCTCGCCTGACTCAAGATCCTTGATTTCAATGGTCATCGATGATTTATCTGGAAGAGTTCCCAAGAAATCAATGCTTGCATTCACGACCCAAGGCTGGCTTTGGTCCGGGGCCAGATGATTGATCTGGCCCTTGCGGAAGATATCCAGGTCTGTGTTCAGGGGATAAACACTTTCATCGTTGTCAAACTGCACAAGCCATGCCTTCTGCCATGGCCCGACCGGGGCAAATGCTGGGCCCCAGTCCCAGCCAAAGTCCGATTGTTCCTTGCGCATGAACCAGCGATTCGGGTACTCGTAGATTTGTTGTGGGCCATAGGGCCATGCTAGTAAAACGATTAGAAATTGTTTCCACTTCTAATCGTTCGGCTGGGAGCCATACTCTGTGAATTGGGATCCTCGGCGATCTTATTAACGATACTGGGAGCACTGCCGAAGTTGAGGGCTAAAGTCGGCTCTCCCTTGCACTTGCTGATGGCCTTGGAGATGTCAAATGTATACTGTCGGAACTGATTGTCTGTTGTGCCAATAATCTGTCCACATATTTCGATAGTTGTGAATGTATCGAGTCCATTGAAAACAAGGTATGACGATTTGGAGTTTTTGGACCTGGATAGTGTTAGTCACTTCACCATTGGATGAACGGGGACCATATGACTGACAGTCCCTGGATTGGATCGCTGGTATAAGTCCAGTTGTTGTTCACTATCCATCGCAGGTTGAAGTCATTGAGACCGTAGTATCTTTCTTCAAGTTAGCGAGAGGTCTATAGAATTTAGTGGATAGTAACTTGACACTAACGGATCGTCTGGTATCTGTATTAGCTTCTCTCCTCCCAATCCTATTTAAATGATCGAGAACTCACCAATAACATTCGCAGCATAGAGATCCAGGTGAGCCTGGGAGGGCAGGTGGCCAGGAACAGAGATGTTCAATGCCTTGCTGGACACAGTCCAGCCATCGCCACTTAAGTCGACCACATTTTGTGACAATACAGTCTGAGCTGTTGCAGGGAGCAAAGCCAGCGCAAGCCTCTTCCATGAATGCATGGTAACACTGTGATGGTCGGAAAACTCGTACCTAGACAGGGCCAAACTCGCAGTTATATGGAATTCGGGTTGAACCCCCCCCCCGACCTACCCTGCTACACAGATTGGCTACCACACCGGAGGAATACCGGCATTCAAGTGGAGAAAAAAGTGGTCTGATAGCTCGGCTGCTACGATCAAACTGCGCTAGAGACGAACCGTGCCAGGGATTTTTGTCGATGGGAGTATCTGAGGTGAAGGGGATTAATATCGCCAGACGGTGAGGCGGGTCTTCCACGAGCGGGGGTGAAAGCAACGGTAGCAGTGCTGAGTAGTGGGCAGGGGCGATCCCCCGGGTAATGAAGCAACTAAGCTCCAATTTTGGGATGCGGGTGGTGGAAAAAAGCGACGATCTGCATTGTTTGACTGTGGAGTCGAGAGGGGTAACTGATACCGGGGAGAAGGGACGATGGTCGGGAGACTGAGGATATTCCATGTTGCTGTGAGTTGTATGTGAGCGCAATTTTAAAGATTTGTATGTAGATACTGTAATGATTGCATTGTATTGGGTGGTCCATGTTGATGTTGTGGAATGAACAATGAACCCCTGGATTCGGGAGCACTGGCCAGTTTACTTTTTGCGATCTGGTACGAAGTACAAAGTACCAAACCTGATTGCAGGGCAATTATCATTTCTATTTCTTGTATACTGTACATGGTGCCAGATCTATTATTTCTTTATGAATAATCTGTAAGGTGATGGCGCATATTCTGTACATCTTCTGGTGAAAACCCAAGCTTTGTCGTGAGAAATTCTTCGACGCCACCTTTGTAGGTGTTCTCGAATGTCTTCAAGAAAGCTGCCATCGATTGCGCTCGGACGCCACTGAGTTCAAGCATGCCTTTAGCCTCAGGACTGAGATGGTCGGTGCCACCCTCTAAAGCTAGCGCCTCGGTCAGGCTCTCCCGGACGTTCTCCAGGGCGACCCGCGTGAGGATGTAGTCATTGATGATGTCGTCATGGGTGCGACCGATTAAAAGCAATATTAGAGCTGCTAGAACTCCTGTACGGTCTTTGCCAGCTATAATTTGGAAAAAAAAGAGTTAATTGATGATATTTCAACAGTTGTAAACTCGTCTACGACTCGTTGCAACGGGGGTAGAAACAAGGTTAGACACTGACCTGAGCAATGGAAGATAAATGGATCGTCGGGCTGATCTCGAATGTGACTAAAGACCTGGCTAAATGCCGGGGTAGCTGCATCGAGAATTCCGGTATACATCTTAACAAAGCCGGTCGCAGATGTGTCTTCTCCAGCAAAATCTCGAAGATCCAAGGAAGCTGGACGGGCTCCGTAGGGCATCCATATCGTATCGAGACCTTCAATCACAGGGCTGGGAGCCCTTAATCTTTCCCCTTCATTCCGAAGATCGAATATTGTAGTGATGCCCAATTGTTTGGTTAAGATTGCTTTACCTTCTTCGGTAATGTCGGACAGGTTTCCTGAGCGATAGACATAGCCAGCTCGTAATTTTTCATCATGGCTCAGATCACGAAAATTCGAGACGCCGGGGACTGTGATGAAGGGAGGAAGGGAGATAATCTTGGAAACAGTGGTTTCTGGAATAGGTGTCTCGATATGGGTGTTGAGCACTTCGTGCAGATTGTCTGTATCAATCATGTTGATGAAGTGACAAATACTACTAGTAGTGGTATGCTTTGGATGGGTTTATCTTGAAACAAACCACCGAATACTTAGTATTTTATAGCAAAGATTGAACCTGGAGAACAAGTTCGCTCAAGTACGGTACCCACGTTCATAACCCATGTCGGCACCGGGCTATGTCATTGTGTTAATCGCACACTTCCCTGGCAGCAAAAGCCGACGGTGGGGTCCCCTGCGAAAAGAACGGGGTTATGACGCCAGGTCACGCCGGGTAACGATGTCATCGCATTGAATTGCATTTGGGAGCCGAAAATTGCTGGACCTATTACTCAGTCACTTTCGAGGAAATTACCATGTTTCCTTGTTTTTATTTGTGATCTTGTCCAAGGTAGTAAGTATTTCTACTTCAAACTTGAACTTGCACTTGAACCAAGGTATACCTAGATGATTAATGGATAAACCAGAGATTACTACCTTGGCAATCAATTTGCCCATAGTACTACTAGTAGACTAGTAGATTTCCACTCCTGTGAATACGGCATCCGATTTTCGCGTGCGTATTTCCACCTGAGAAAGAAAACTGCCCGGAAGAATTTGGATCCATTTTTGGGTCTCTGATCAGCACGACACTAGCTAACGTCGGTGATGGATTTGAAATTGTCCTAAGTAAAAAATCTCGATGTCTCATTGGAAGGTAGACGAGCGTCACTAATTCTTACCGGATAACGAGAAACTTTTCTCTTTCAAAGAAACCTTACCCCCGACTTTAAACCGAGTTTAACTCGATTAAAATTTTCTTATAGTTGGCCAGCTTTTGGATAGATAAATTTTGATCCTCCAGTCTACAGAAATGGCCACATATTTACCAGGAAGAATTGGCTGCTGCAGCACCGATCTAGGTGGTCGATTGTATCAAAACTTACTAGTAATTGTGGGGCTTCATTATCACTATGGTGTTTGTCCAATAATACAAGCCTGCGATTAGCGGGATCTATGAATTGCTTAAGTTCTCAAATATTCTCCGGCTCCGAGAGAATCGTAAGACTGGTGTTTACTTGCGATCCATGGATTGCTCCGTATAAGTGAGGGCACCATACTTGGTAAGCCCTTCGTTTGGATATAACTCGCCCCAGCCAAAGAATAGAAAAGCAGATGGGACACAACGATACAATTAGTTCCCTAATGTAAACTGTCTTTGGATTTATCTGCCGATACAAATTTGTGTGTGACCAGCAGTTATCTTGCATGCATATCCCACCCATTACTACTTAACGGTCAAAAGTGGGGTTGATAAATCTAATCAGCAGATACTACTTTTCATTTTTATTTCTCCAATATTTTCATTTTCTTAAATTACCGAGCCCAATAGCCTCTAAAACTATTGAGATATACAGATAGTTTTATCCAAGATGCCCCCGGGGTCATCGCGGGTTGTGAAACGGAAGGGAGATGATCAGACATCTGAAGGGTCGCTCAAGGCCACTAAAGCACGGTCCTGTGATGCTTGCCGTCGATTAAAGACTCGATGTGAGATTGACTGCGGATCTGACAAGTGCCACAGGTGCAATATTCTCCGGTAGAGTCAACCTATTTGATGCTCAAATAATCTGCCCTAGCTAATATATTAAAGACTAGATTGTTCCTTTCCGAGTGTTGTTCGCAAATTTAAGTTCCCCCAGATGGAAAGTAATTCAGGAAAGAGCTACTATGATCTGCAATGTCGGTATGTGTCTTCCCCAAACGTCTAATCTTCAAACAATGAATTCAATTAACAGAAAAGAATCTCCGACGTCGAAATGTCTTTATCCGAGATCAAAGCGTCGTTGTCGTCGCAAAATGCGGAGAATTCGTCAAGGTCGCATGGCAAGAGCGTCCATTTCTCAAAGCAAATAAGCATTGTACCTGAACCAACCCCACTTTCAGTTGAGAGAACTACCCGCCATGCACCGATGAGTCTCATACAAGAAATCAAGGAGAATATCTCTTTGCCCGAAGAGACTTCTCGGTTGCAATTCCCTTCAGAAGATGTTATCGCCAATGGTATAGTATCTGAAGATGAGGCCCGGATGTTGCTTGAAGGGTAAGCATTTTTTTCTCCGTGACACCCGATAGGATTGATCTCAATACAGTCATCCTGCAGGTTTTCAAAGTTATCCAGCCGCTGGCTGTTTATGAGCACGGACCCAGTTGAGCTGCGCACAAAATCGTCGCTTCTATTCGGAACTTGCATCCTTGCTGGTATTCATATTACCCCATCCTTGTATGGATCTGAAACACACCAAAAGCTATACAGCCATATCCAGGAAATATTGGCCCAGTCACAGCTTGTCGCTGGAGCACCTCTTGATACAATACAGGCGTTATTGATTTTCTCGATGTGGGATCTCAGGCCAACCCGGGACCACGATCATGGGAATTCCTGGTTACTCAGTGGCATAGCTGCCATGCAGGTTGTTATGACAACCCACTTTGAAAACATGTTCCAGACGGATGACTCTCAGAAAATTGCTCGTTCAAGAGAGTTCTCGCGTACTTGGAATCTGGTCTGCCTTTGCCATTTACAGTTTGTTTCGATCCTTTCTTTGGTCTGAAGGAGATATTGAGCTGGGAAAAGCTAACCCCCTCTTAGATTCTCCATTGGCTCTGGCCGACCGCCTGTGGTATCAGGCCAGTACCTAGATCAGTGCTCCAATATTCTGAAGTTTGAATCTTATAATTCCCGTGATGAACTCGTTTTGGCAGGGGTCGAGTTATATCGCACGCTTTGGGATTTGATAAAGTCGCATGAGATCCAAATGGATAAGCCTGTCTGGCCTGAAATCGAAAAGCTCCGGAAAAAGCACGAGCATATATACAGTGAGCAATTTCGCCTTGAAAAATGAGCGTCTCTAATTATCTGACCCCGCAGATCTGGACTCCTCTGAGCCCCTTCGTTTTGCTTACTCCTGCACCTCCTTGATTTTGGCGCGAAGAACACTGCGACAGATAAGCTACCTCCAGAATGAGGAGCAAGATAGCCCCCAGCAGGCATATTGGAATAGTTCTAGGACTGAATTCATTCAATTTGCAGTTCATCACTCACACCAAATTCTGAATCTGTTCCTATCTATGTCCGATCTTACAACTTACGTTCATCCCGCCTACGAGAACCTTCTTTGTTCTTTCGCCATGGCAACCTTAGTTGAGCTTGCAGACCATGTCTCAAATATTTTCGAAACCACGACGCTGATGGAGCATGCTGTTTCACATATTCAGCGAGGCGGCAAGGCTGAACCGGTGGGCCGTTGGTCCCTCGGTATCATGAAGCAGTATATCACCGGAGATAATAATGATCAAGATCCAATCTCACAAGAAGATACAGCTGTAGCTGATGAGCTTATTGATCCAGCTACAGATATTATGAGGTCATGGGAGGAGGTTGATTGGAATTTTGAGCAAGATTTTCCATCACTTCAAGAAATGTTCTTTGGGGTTGTGCCATGATGTGGCTAAACTTCGGTATTTAAACAAATTTCATTATGATCGTATAAAACAGCATATGAAGCTCAATTCAGTCTCTTGCCCTAAGTCTTATACCCGCATGGCAGTCCTTTGGCTTCTTTGAAAACCCTTCATGGGATTCCATGACCTGCTGATATAGTAGGAAATCGTAACGATGGAAGAGAGTTCCAATAATCAATTGCAATTCCATAATGGCCACATTCTGCCCAACACATGCTCTGGGTCCATAGGAGAATGGATTGAAGCCCATCTTTTGCCGTACAGTCAAATTGAGCCAGCGATCAGGTTTGAATTCTTCAACATCATCACCCCATATTTCTTGCATGTGGTGAATCGTATAGGAAGGAACTGATAGGATAGTACCGGGTGGAAAATAAAATTCACCAAAACGGACACCACCTCCATTGTCAGCGACAATACGTGGGAGACCGATAGCCGAAGTCGAGTGTAGTCGCATACCTTCGTCAATGCAGCGACGCAAAAACGGAAGCTCTCTCACTTGGTGGTAAGACATAATCTCAGGGTTTGAGCTAGCGGCGTCATCTAGTTCTCTTTGTAGACGAGAAACGATTTTTCCGGGGGCACATCGCTCCCCATGCAGTATCCAGTAGAAAACAGCACAGGCAGTATTCGATATAGTGTCAGAGCCGGCAATCAGCTGGGTAAGAGCTTCTGCAATGAGTTCTGTTCGACCCATGGGCTGAGAATTTGCGTCTTTAGCTTGCAATAGACGTGACAAAATATCATCGCGAGTATCAACCACTCCCTTCTCCGCCGCATCTAGTCGTGAAGCGACCGCAGCGACCGCAATTCCAGTAAGACTTTCCACCGCCGCAACCCCCTTCGTGAAGAAGGGATCAGGCAGATACCTTGCGATTGGGCGTAACGTGGGGAGGAGGCCGAGAGTCGAAGAAACTTCTCCTCTTCTGTTCAAAACTTCGACTGCAGGACAGTAAGAAATAGGTCCATCGGGTACAAATCGCACCACAGTCTCGTCTTTGCCCTTTTCTACCATTCCGAATGGAGACCCAAATGCCAGGTCGCCAATTATATCGAAAGCAAGATAGCTAAACCAGGGCATTGCGTTATATTTGGAATAGACATCAGCGTTTTTGCCTTCTCTAACGCCAGAGAAGGCGATCTGGTCGAGCTGTTTCACCCATCGCTGCAAATTTGCCGCCATGTGTTGTTCAAATGCAGCAACTGATTTTGGAGAGAAGGCATGCGAGATGATTTTGCGCTTCCTTGTATGCTCTCCACGATCGCGAACATTGAACATGCCCGGGGTCCGGGCCACAAATGCTTCATAATAATGGCTAGACTTGTTTTCAGTATGAGGAATTGGACTATTCAGAGAGACTTGTGGTTTCATACTCTTTCAGAAATCCATTTCCGTGCCCGTATACTATATTCAACGCCGTCTCGTCTGCAATCGAGACATGATTGAAGCCGATACGAACGATTTTGCCATATTGGCGATGCGCCCAATCTACTGCGGCGTATTTTTGACCACTCCGGGCACTTAGTCCAATCCATATGTTACTGAATTTGGCACTGAAGGGCCCTGGAATTTTGTGTATCTGCCAGTATATCGTAAAGTAGGGAAGTATGTAATAAAGAGTGAGGCTTGTTGGGATTGCAACTGCCATGGCAAATGGCGAGAATAGTAGCGTTAATAGAGCCATTTTCAATAAGTTTGATTGCAATAGTAGAAAGCTTATTAAACATGAATATTCATCGGTGTGTTTATGAGGCTGCTATAGTCCTTTTTAAATGACTTCTTGCGGTCGGGCCCATGTCGTATCTTATCTTCCTCCGACGGAGATGATAGTCAACACCGTCGGAGGAATCACGGGTTGAAATAGGCGACACCGCGCCTTGAGTCTCTCCGACACAAGAGCCATTGAGACAATAAATCTGGAGCTAATTGGAAAAGAAAATTGAATAGCGAAAGCCGATTGAGAAGGTGCGGACGAAGAAATAGAAAAAGAATATAATAAAACAGAAATAGCAAACAAGAGCACGCAAGGGTATGAGATGGTGATGGTAAAACGCAAATAGTGGACAGAAGAATGCGCCGTGCAAGCGCTTGCCCAGGTGCACACCGACCACAGTAAGAATACAAACTTGACGATGACCTGAAATGCAAAACCTCCAGGGCTCCCAGGGGAAATTATTGCAAAGCACCCATCAGGTGTGAGCCATGCTTTCATTTGCTGCCCCCCTTTATCCGGGCTATTTCCAGAGCCATCAATATTGCGTGCAATTGCCATGGCCCAGTGGCCCATGCCGGGGAGCCCGCAACGGAGAGCCCAAAAAGCGAAAAGTGACGAGGAGCCCATGTGCGGCTGCGGCCCATGACGGGGCCATCAATCTCGCGTGCAACTACTATGGTTATAATTGTCCATGGATGTGGGTTACTTAGCGTTGGGTATATCTATACACTGCCTACGGTGATATAATAGTTATTAATTACTAGGAAGGCTTTATCTTTTAGCACCTTGATGGTGTGCACGCAGAAAGACTAGGGGTCCGGGGGAGCGCCTAGCTCCCTGGCAAGTGGAAAAAGGAATGGTAAAAGTACACCATAGTCCCTATGCAAAAAAAAGCAAATCACAAAGTGGTAAGAACCTTTGTAAGAAGAATAATAATAATCGCAACCTTGGAACATGTAAGAGAATACTACAGAGCAGTTTTGCTAGTATGTTTTAAGCACAACAGGTTTTATGAAACTCCCTTTGTTGTTGTTAATGCATCAGAGATCGCGGAAGGTCCGGACAATTGCAAAACAAGTACTATTAGTTGTAGAACAGTGAATAAAGAATGGCTTGTGTTTGCATCAATGCTCGGCAGCCACTGCATACGGTGACAAACTTTGGTTTTCCTAGTGATTAATATATCCGTGATGAGAGGTTGTCATAAGTTACTTTCGCACGCCCACTCATATCCTTTTTTTTTTCGTTGCGATGTGTTTGTTATTTTCAAGACTATAGTTAATAGTTGGAGAATTGGAGAGTTGGGGGGGGCTCCTCTCGGCTAAAAGCGGGCAAGTGACGCCAACTGCCGATGGTAACCGACCCCGCCTCCGCGTTTGCTCCAGATCTGCCCTCACTTTCATAGAGACCTGATCTCATATCCGTCTCTTTCTTCCTCCCCCCCTCTCTCCTTCTACCTTCACATCACCTACAGAATGTCATCCAGGATCTTCCTTCGGCGGCCATGGCAAATAGCCCGCGCCGCGAATCGTGCTATTCCAGTCATCTCACCCCCCGCACGACGATGGGGAAGCTCTATATCCCAGCGCCCAGGGTCGGATCGGTGAGAGACTACTTGGACCTGTAGTGATTGCGTCGTTCAATTAATGGGAAACTGACTCTTCTTCAGCGTTCTATTCCCAGGTGCTGTTGATAGCAAGTTCACAACCGACATGTCCTTTCTCAAAGCCTCCGACCTCCCCGCCATCCCTACCTACCGAGTCATGGATTCCGACGGTGAATTGGTCGACAGTTCACGCAAGCAGCCGAATGTATCAGACGAACAGGTACTCGAATGGTACAAGAATATGTTGTCAGGTGAGTGACGCGTGACCGTGCGACGGATGTACTAGGGTTTACAAATTGCTGATTCCCAACAGTGAGTGTCATGGATGTAGTGATGTTTGAGGCTCAGCGGCAAGGTCGACTCAGTTTCTACATGGTATGTACCGGGAATTTGTTGGAAACAATTCGAAGACTATGCTAATGTTGCCACAGGTTTCTGCCGGCGAAGAGGGAATTGCTGTTGGCTCAGCCGCAGCTCTGACTCCCGATGATGTGGTTTTTGCCCAGTATCGCGAGGCAGGTGTTTTCCAACAACGTGGATTCACCATCAAGGATTTCATGGGTCAGTTGTTCGCAAATGTGAATGACACTGGAAAGGGCCGGAATATGCCTGTTCATTATGGTCAAAACTATCCCCGCATGGTAAGTCACATTGCTACCCCGGCCACGATTATTTCTCTTGTTCTATGGAACTAACTTACAGCGAAACAACTAGCATACTATCTCATCTCCTCTTGCCACTCAAATTCCTCAAGCTGCTGGTGCAGCCTATGCTCTCAAAATCCAAGATCAGCAGAACCCAGATCGTTCACCTCGCATAGTCACTTGCTACTTCGGCGAGGGTGCTGCCAGTGAGGGTGATTTCCATGCCGCTCTGAATATCGCCGCAACTCGCTCTTGTCCAATTGTGTTCGTTTGCCGGAATAACGGGTTTGCCATTTCCACCCCCACATTAGAACAATACCGTGGCGACGGAATTGCCAGTCGAGGAGTCGGATACGGCATTGACACTATCCGAGTCGATGGAAACGACATCTTTGCTGTCTATGAAGCAATGGAAGAGGCTCGCAGAAGAGCATTGAGTGATGGTGGTCGACCAGTTCTGATTGAGGCGATGAGCTACCGTGTCTCCCACCACAGCACCAGCGACGACAGCTTTGCGTACCGCGCCCGTGTGGAAGTCGAGGATTGGAAGCGTCGCGATAATCCCATCATTCGATTGCGCAAGTGGTTGGAAAACAAGGGCCTTTGGAGTGAGGATCAAGATAAGGAAATGCGGGATTCACTTCGCAAAACTGTCCTGAAAGAGTTCGGTGAGGCTGAGCGTGAGAAAAAGCCTCCACTGCGAGAAGCCTTTGCGGATGTCTATGAGGAGATCACTGAGGAGGCCCAAGAACAAATGAAAGAGCTCAAGCGGATTCTGGAGACATACCCAGACGAATATGATCTGCGACCATACAAGGATGGGGCCAAGGGACTCGATTAGATCTAGATACACCATACTACATAATGGAATGATTAAAAAATCAAGTACAATTTAACGAGCTCTCTGCGAGTTGGCTTCATACTTAGTCTATCTAGCAGCCTGGATATCCGGAATCCATGACCAAAGTCAAAATTCAGATGCATAGTATAGCCCCTATGGGACACTGAAGAATTGACTCTATCAAAGTTTATAACCATATCCAAGAAAAGCATCATGATGGGTCTTCAGCATACCACAAATGCGTTAAAATGTGAGAATTTCAAAGGGTAGTAAATTATCCGCTACTAGTTAAACGAGGCAGCAACCTTTGTCACAGTCGCAACAGACATGTAATTATCAGTGCTGGTCAAGTATGCAGCTCCGAGACCCATGCTCTGCGCCTCCTGAACAACAGCCCGATAATCAGCTGTTTCAGGTGCGCTGTACAGAATGATAGCATCCTTGGCGTATTGCTTGCTGGAAGAGAACTGTTCCGCCGGAATACAAGTCGTCCACGTAGAGTATGAGTTCTCAAACTCGACAATCAAGTCTGCCGCCTGGAAATATCCATCCACGGAGCCTGCTTCAAGCGCGGTACCAGGGTTGAAGACAACTGTCGAGAGTGCGCTAGACTTGGCTGTTGTCGACACCTTCTGCATATAGGAGATTTTCGCCGCGTCATTTATCCTGGGCGCCTCGTCGAAGAAGATTCCCGAGACGGTAATGTTCTTTGCCTTGTACGAAGCCCATTTGCTATAGGTTGAGACTTCGCTTTCGATCTCTGAAATATCACGCTCGGCGTATTCTGTATGGACGTAACCAATGACTTGGACATTGTCGTGGCTATTCAGTTTGGCGACGCCAGCGATGATGTTCTCATCAGGATAGGCTATAGGGGTGGTCAGAATGCATAATTTCACTCATAAAGATGTCCTCCGCCCTACCTGTATCGCCGGGGCCACTGTTGGGATTGACAATGACTTGGAATTGAACATCGGGGTATGAAGAAATGGCATTGAAGACGGGCTCCCAGGTCGAGTCGTCCTCGGGCCACACATATAAAGGAACCAGGATGCTTGTCGACGAGGCAAGCGAAATAAGTGCAAGAAATGCACTAAGTATAGTAAGCCCAAGCATATTGGATGGGTTGAAATGAGTGTATTTGAAAGGAATGTAATAGATCGTGACCACCAGGGCTTACGATCTGGTTGAGAAATAGAGGCAAAAAGGGGAAAAAAGGAGCGACAAGAAGCAGGCCACAGGACTGATGAGCCATCGCAAGAACAGGATGGACCGATCGGCTTTATATTCGGCCAATTTGTGAAGTCTAGACCTATTGAAGGATCACAGACTCATTTCCTCAGTGTTCTCAGCCACCCGTTTCAAAAAGGCGAACGCACACTCAATCAGATCAAGGAACGAGTCATGAATACGCCCGTTCCAAATCCTGTAAGCTTGGGGGACAGCCACCAGGAACGATCTTTATCCCTCATTTCCTGGAATCAAACTTCCGAAGGAACGCCGCCGATGGCGTACTAGGCTAGACCTGCAACAAAGAATGCACCCAGATGCGCCCTCCACTTCGCCAAGCACAAAATCAAGAGAAATGCCCGATATGAGGGTGAAATTCCGAGAGTTAACTACTCTACAGTGCAGTGTCAGACATCTTGGCAGCGCATCTGCAAACGAGAGATGGCGGTGTCGAATACCAGGCGAGTTGCCGGTGAAAGTGACAGCTTCTAAGCGCTGGCGTCGGCCCTATCGATCACATCGAACGCCACATGCAAGGCTGGCCGCCATCCCTAATTTATTTTCCGGTTTCAGATCCAATCCCGCCCCAACACTAATCAAGAAGCTTGGCCCCTTTCTTTTGTACCCTCATAACGGCGGAGAGCGTATGGACGGCATCGAGTATGGCATGGTTAAGGATACTATTTTAACATTTGCCGATTACCCCAGGATCTCGTCTAGTTGGCTCAGCTATTGGTAGGCTAGTACTACTATTAGCACGGAGTAGAATTGTAAGAAATCATAAATTCATGCAAGTTTGTGCATGTACGCATAGTGCTAACTAGCGACTGGTAACCGAACATGCGGTGTCACTTGGTGGCTTGCAGTAAATTCTCAAGAGGCATACGAATACAGAGAACGGTTGCGTTTGGAATTTTGTATTTCTTTGTGATATTCATACAGGCTAAGTAATAGTACACCGAGAAAATGAGGGATCTCAGTTGGGTGCTGTTGTTGTTCACGTATTTTGTGAGACTTAATGTCTAGCCTCACCGGTTTGCTCATGCATTGGAATCTCCGACAATAGAGAGGGCCTGGTGCTGAACCTTCTTGTTTCGCCGAAGTAGGGCTCCAAACTTCTTTTCCAAAGACTCCAGCTCCTTGCGGGTGGTTTCAAGATCTTTCTGAGACTTGCCAGAAAGCTCCTTGAGCTCTTCGTTGGTCATGGCGGCAACATCGTCCAAGCTAGGGTTACTCCCGGGCAGCGCGGCAGTGCCAAGCATCTGCTTGGCAGTGGCAGCAGCGAATGAACGAACGGCGGCAGTGGTGGTCTGGAGGAGTTCAGCGGAGTGAGCGACAGCCCAGTCATGGCTTCGAGTGCTGTCGGCTTCCATTGCAGAAATAACATTCGGTGGAATCACGGACTCAGTTGCGTCCAGAGTGCTTGTTGGAGAAGTGGTACCCATGTGGGTTGATTCGTCATCAACCCAGTAGATATTGTACTTCTCGGGTGTTGCAAAGAGTGCCTCTAGTCCGCCGTTGATGTTGCTGGAGTCATCGCCGACAACGAACGGATCAATAGCGCCATTGCGTCGCTTTTCCAAATCTAGGTACCGTTGCTCCTCCGCCGGTTCAAGATGACGTAGAACGCAGCCTCGAGGGGTGATCAATACGCGATTCTTTAGTTCATCATAACCAGTTCGCACGGGCTGGCCACGTAATAGAGTCTTGCGATGATCATCTGTCAACTCAATAGGTTGCTTGAGGAGGTCATAATCGCGCATATTGCACTTCATGTCAGTTCGTTGGCTGAGATTTGCGGGGTTGAATAGCGAGCTCTTGTTGAGATCGAGGTTGCCAGATCTATGCATTGCGGCAAGGAGCTCATGAAGTGGTTTTGTCCGTTCCGCGAATAGGTCTTTGATGGAACGGCCTGTCTCCTCGGCATCCTTAACCAACTGCTCCACGGTGTTGCGAGAGCGCCAGGCCTCCTCTGGGACAACCTTCTGTCGGATGGGCTCTTCTTTTTGGGGGTGCTGCCTTTACCTCCGGAGGTGGTTGCTCTTTTTCGTTCGCCTTCTTGGGAGGCTCGGGCTTGGGCTCCGGTTTCTTCGGAGAAGGGGCAACTTTAGCAGGGCTGGCTACTTCGGTGGGCATGTTTGCAGTCGAATCAGTCAATTCGGAGGCAAGAATAGGCGCCTTCTTTGTCTTGCGTTTCCGTCCCATGATGGGAGCTTGAACAGGCTCTTCGGCAGTGGTCGTCAGCTCAGCCTTCTTAACTTCAGCCTCCTTGGCCTTCTGGCGCCTGTCCTTTTTAGCCTGGCTCTTCGTCACCGAGCGGACCGGAGCAGAACCGATGCGGGTAGGAGGTGGAGAGTTTGCACGAGATGCCGTGGTCGAAACATCAAAGTCGGCCTCGGAGCCCAAGTCGGCAGGTGTGTCTGGGCGACTGTTTGATGACAAGCTTTGTCGGCGAGAACGGGATTTGTCGGCCCCGGTAGTCACAGATGGCGCCGTGCTAAGGGGGAGGGGGACCTCGGGCTTGGGAGTTTCTACAACACGCAGAATTCGCGCTTGGCGGGGAGCCGGGGAATCAGAAGCACGAGAAGCTGCTGTCAGTGGAGTATTAGGCCGTGAGCTAACAACAGATGCCGATCCTGCCACGGAGGCAAATGTCCCAGAGATAGCGCGCTCGGATTTGGCTGGAGTCGTTTCTTGAGCCAGAGCCGTATTCAGGGCGATTGGACTGGGCTTTACCCCAGTAGAGGGGCTTTGCTCAGTATAGAGGGCGGGACTCTTGTCCTCAATGGCATCTGCCGAATCCAGCTTGTTGTTCATACGAGCCTTTGAGCTGGGTTTGGCAATTGGCGATCCGAAAGAGATTTGAGAAGCGTCCCTTGTGCGGGCCGACATGGAGTTGGTGCGTTCTGTCGCCTCAGGCGTCATAGAGCGAGACTCTGTGACATTTTTCTGCGATGGACTTCCAGACCGCGAAAATCCAGTGCTCAGACCTGGCGGTAGAATCGGAGCAGGGGAAGACGGTTTAGATAAACCCAACTTTTCTTGATAGGCCGCCGATGAAGGGTGAGCATGGGGCAGAGGTAGTCCAGGTGGTAGCGTCGGGGTTCCAACCCGGCCAACAGACTCGCTAGGAAGCTGAGACTTCAGGAACCCGAAGGTATCAATGGGCTGGCTTTCTTTCACCGGTGTACCCAGAGGAGGGAAATCCTCGTTCACTGCAGACCCCCTGTTAGTAAAGCTGTATCATCACAACAGGGCGGTGGTGCAAAGAGGAGGGTAGGTGAACGACGCCGCATGATATCAACGAAAAAGGGGTGGGACAGGAGGGCAGCGACTAGGCAGATCACAAAAATTCAGCATGCACATCCGCAAAAACGACTATTTACACGATGTGCACCGACTGACCGGGGTAGTCAGGTACAGAATAGGGCATAGTCTATGGAGACAACGGCAGTGAGACAACTGGTTTCGAATAAGACCCTGTTCCGAGTTCGATAGCAGGGTAGGGAAGGTCTTAACGTACATTAATCAAGAAACAGCCACCGTCTTCAAGACGCTGCAGATAGCCGAATGAAGATTCGAATGCGGAATGAAAATTGGGGTACAGCAGCCGCCAGATACATGAGAAGGGGCCTCCGAAGACATGCAAATATTTCCACAAATGCAAGAACGCCATAAGCCATTGAGAGACAAAAAGGCCAGGATAAGACATGCATGAAAAGAAGTCGAGGCCTATCGCGATACGCCTGAGGCGCGCCAGCCAGTTGTACTGTTTCGGGGCAGCCTGCCCGATTGCTAAAAGCAAAATGCAAACCCGGGACATCATGGGTTGGAAAAAAGGGAAAAAGCCATGTCATCAAGGGTGGAAGAGGCCGATAAGAGCGCATGGCAAAAGAAAACATCATAAGAAGCACGGAGAATGCAAGACATCATAAATATAACAGTGCAAAGGGGGCAGTGGAAAAGAAATTCACCAGCGGCTAAAACCACCTCCTCCATACATCATCGAAGGGTTGTACCCACCTTGACCCTGGCTCCCGTACAACGCTTGCCCAGCAGTAGCATTGCCACCGACTTGCTGCATCCTCGCCTGTAAGATGCTCGGGTCCGCAAGATCTACTACACCACCTCCACCGGAGGAAGTGTTAGCGTGTCTGTGCTTCTTCCCCTTCTTCTTCTGTTTCTGTGGGCCACCGGACTCGGGTGCTACACCTGTCTGAGACCCATAGAAAGAGCTGAGAAGGCCATTGACGGGAGTCAGGGGAGGTGGGGTTTGGTGCTGTTGAAGAAAAGGGAACATGAACTCACGCTTTACGGCCTCCTGGCCTTGTACTCCGCCCACATTTGCGCCGCCTCGACCACGCAGTAATTCACGCATCAATTCGGGGGTCGCATCTTGCTTCCCGATAGTACCTCCAAGTCCAAGGTTAGAATTGGCGGTAAATCCATGCCCTTGTGCAAACATACCTCCACCACTGATGGGGGGGAGTTCCTGCTGTCTTCAAGCCAGGGGGGAGGACCCTGAACGCCACTTGCATAAAAGCCACCGGCAAGGCTATGCTGGGGGCTTGGTGCCGACAAAGGGTTTGGTGTTCCAGACTGCATCTGACTCAGCATTCGAGCGTTGCTGATGTTCTTCGTGCCAGTTTCGTTTAGGGCGAAGCGAGAAGATTGACGGCCTTGGGCTTGCAACGCATTTAATTGAGCCATTTGTGTTTGCAAAAGACCTTGGCGTACTTGGTTTGCCTGGTCAACAGCAGCCGAGTTCAAAGAATCAGATAGCCCAGTTTGCTGGTTTCCAGCTGACTTCAAAAGCATCAATTGCTGTTGCTGGAGTGGAGTCAAACTGCGACCAGCTAAATTGAGACCCTGGAATTGGTGGCTTGTCGCAGAAACAGGGGATCCAACGGTTGAGTTATCAGCTGTGCCTTGTTGGGAAGTGGGCGGCTGAATAGCACCATGCGATTCGCGGGTCTGTCGGGCTTGAGGAGCAGGAGAATTCTCGGGTTCCCCTCCTAGTTGAAGGCTTCCTGCCTCGCGGCTGTCTTCTTCGGTTGCGACAGACTGGAGAAGCTCTTGCTCCCGCTTGATTCGTTCCTGCTCGGCCTTTTCACGCATCGCCCGGCGCTTGACACCGCCATAGGGGTCAATAAATGATGGATAGGACTGGATGATCCTCAGCTCGTCAGCTGGAATATCGGCGGTGGAAAAGGAAAATCGGAAGTCGGGAGACAAAAAATCCCGGAGCACATTCTCCCAGGCGATATCTGAAGGCGACTTTTCATCACGAGGTCTTGGTTGCGTGACACTTGGTTGGATGGCAGGCGAACGTGCTTCGGGTGGAGATGCTCGCTGTGCGGGCTGGACGACGGGTGACGGTTTCTCGGAACGCCTAGCTTCCTCGGAGGCCGTAGCAATGCTCACACTGGCAGGGCGAGGGCTTTGCGATGCCTGGCTACCAGTCAAGCTCGCCCTCCTTGTCCGGACTGTAGCGTTCATATCCTTGTTCGCCCAGCTGGCAGAGGAAGGAAGGGCAGGGCCATCCGGGATGGATTGGCGTCCGGTGATCGAATCGTCCTTGCTTGGCTGTCGGCGCATTTGGTGGGCGATTGGCTGTCCAAGGCGAGAGTGAGTAACCTGAGGTGTTGGGTTCGGGCGCTGGCTAGACAACGTATTCATAGAAGAAAGGTCAGACCGAGTATAGCTTTCGCTGTCCTCGCCGGTCTCGTGCAAGAAGGTGCAGTTCCGATTATTGCATTGCTCATTCCGGAGGAAAGATGAGCAGTACTTCGTCGTTCCATACTGCGCCCGCAAGACACGGTCACCATTCGCAGAGCCATCGACGGCGTTGATACAAGTTGCGGCATCTAGCTTGCGTGTGAAGGTCACATAAACCCCAATACCCTGGTGGGGGTTACCACCGGGCTTCGCCTTGCTCACCACAATCTTCTCGATATCACCGTATTGACCAAAATACTCCTTCCCGCGCAACGTTTGGAGAAGTTGGTTTTCGTCGCGAATTGTCGGATTCAACCCGATCACATAAACCAGGTTTTTCTGAACCACGCGGACGCCCGCCAAATTCTTGCGACTCGAGGCTTCGATTTCACGTTTCTCTGCTTCCTTCTTCTTCGCGGCGGCCGCCTTGCGATGCTTCAATGCGAGATCTGCCTTGAATCTATAAGAGGGGGATCGGGTCAGCAATTTCATTGTGTGGGGGAGGACTGTGCAGAAGTATGGAATCACTAACTCCTCGGCGTCAGGTATCTTGTATTGAATCGTACTATCATCGTAGGCACGGCGGCAGTTCGGGCATCGGCCTTCGTCATTTTGAGTTTTGATATTGTTGTAACAGAACTGGCAAATCTGTAGGGGTGGTAAATGTTAGTATCGCCGATGAAAGTGGCGCACAAAACGTAGGTCGATGTCGGTTCGGTTGGGCTGGACGCACTTGATATCCACAGGGACACGGTTTGAAGTTCTTGTCCGACAGATCGAACTCTTCGATACAAAGGGGGCTAGCAAGCGGGTCAGTTTCCTAGTTGCACGGTTATCTCGAAGAATCTCTCATACCAGAACTCATCATCATCATCGATGACTGAGTCAATCTGTTGGCGACTCGACATGGTCACTGTGAAAGCTGGGGGAATCGGGGGGGGAGAGACAAAGGCGACAAATGAAATTCAACGCCGGGACCCAATCGAAAAGGCGGGGTTCAAAGTAAAAAAACAGAGGATAACACTACTCCAGGTCCGGAAAAATGGAAACGAGGAACGAGAAAGAGAAAAGGTGGAGGAGAAGAGGGCACGTTGGATGAGGGCGAAGGAGGGAGGAGAACTTTGAGCGCGGCTTCCATTTTGCTGGCATCGCCTTTGCGTTTTGCGTTTCCGGGTTATGTCAGCAATATATTCACGTGACCAGGGGCAGGTTCAGGTTCAGCCAACCTCCGGCCTGGCAATCCCAATTACGCTTGTCCCCTCCTGCCGCAGCCGTGTTGCTCCCCCCTCCTCCCACAATGGCATCTGCACGCTCTCTGATGCGCCTGGGCTCTGGCCGCTCGGTGGCTTCGGCCTCCAAGTTCATGGCTAGCCGCGCTTTTTCCTCGACTTCCCTCCAGTATGCTGCTAAGGCCTCGACAGCACCAGGCCCCGAGCCCGAGAACATGCGCCATGCGCAACGGCCTCGTACGTGAAACCCTTCGACATTCGACAGTAACAATTGCAATTGAACTAACTGAATCTCGATCTTCAGCCTCGGGACCTCTCCGTGCTCCCCGTGTCAACCCCACCGACAAGTATCAGGACAAGCAGGACAGCCTGCACACCTATGGACAATACATTATGTCCTGCCTGCCCAAATACGTCCAGCAATTCACCGTCTGGAAGGATGAGCTTACCGTTTACACCGCCCCGTCTGGCGTCGTCCCACTCATGAGCTTCCTGAAGAACCACACCGCCGCTGAATTCACCCAGATTTCCGACATTACTGGCGTCGACTTCCCCACCCGTGATCAGCGTTTCGAAGTCGTGTATAACCTGCTCAGTGTCCGTTTCAACTCTCGTATTCGTGTCAAGACCTACTGTGACGAGGCCACCCCCGTCCCCAGTGTCACCGGTCTGTTCGAGGGTGCTCTGTGGTACGAGCGTGAGGTTTATGACATGTTTGGTGTTTTCTTCTCGGGTCACCCCGATCTCCGCCGCATCATGACCGACTACGGTTTTGATGGTCACCCTCTGCGCAAGGACTTCCCCTTGACCGGTTACACCGAGGTGCGATATGATGAGGAGAAGAAGCGCGTCGTCGTCGAGCCTCTTGAGCTCACCCAGGCCTTCCGTAACTTCGATGGCGGTTCTACTGCCTGGGAGCCTGTCGGACCCGGCGCGGCCCGCACCCCCGACTCTGTGAGTACACTTCCTGTCGTTGGTTTTGAAATAATTGCTAATCCGCTGCCATACAGTTCAAGCTTGCTACCCCCAAGCCTGAGGAGAAGGTGGAAGAAAAGAAATAGAGAGATTCTGTATGCGTATTACCACTTTTCTTTGCCATGTCTGTATGTACATATCGTTAATCGAAGGTGTTTGCACCCTCCGCATTCTTTCTGCTGTAGGCTCCATGGTACTATCCAGGGATCATAATGAACGCGTAGCAGATGGACGATACTACTATATGGGTAGTAGGTACCTAGGTAGTTATATACTTATATTGGTTGTAGCTGTACTACCTAGGACCTACCAGATACTACTACTGGGCAATCTATGTCGCTCTCCAAAACGAACCTTGGAAGCAGGAGCGAAATTCAGAATCTTAAATCACCATCTATGATGGGGGCCATTTCTACCGATGATTTCCGATATTACCATCAATTGCAACCACTGGCAGTTCTATTTCGCAATTTCGTGGTTACCATATGGGTCTGATCGGTAAATGATAAGACGAGGTCCTGATAGGCCAGAGGCGGAGAATATTGGCAGATGCCCACCTGGGCAGGATGATCCGCTCCAGAAAAAAAATACCTCCGCATCTCCGCCGACTTTTTTCAACAAGGTCAAGCAAGAACTCAAAAAAAATCCCCTCGATTTTGTCGCATTACTACGCCACTGAAAATTCATCTCGCAGCGAATTCCCTCAAACTCAGCATTCCGCAGAAATCAAAAACATGCCGAAACGCAAGCTTGGTGACACCGACGGCCCCGCGCGGTCTAGCGACAAGGCGCACCGCAAGATGTCCATGAAGGCCGTTCGACTTGGCGTCAAGTTCGAACACGGAGTGCAGATGATTGTTCGAGGACTCAAGACTGCGCGCGGCTTCGAGAGACAAAAACTCAGCCGGCGAGAAAAGACTGCGAGATCAGAGAACTCGGAGAATACACGCATGACTTTGCTTAAACTGGCAGAGGAGATCGAAGCGCTGAAGGTATGAATGGGCTGCCTAGCTGGGGTTTTTATTGCGCGTTTTAGAAAAATTTGTCCATATGCTAACTTGCTGTCTTTTACTCTAGGCGCTTGATTATCAGAAGACCGCCGAGCGATACCTTTTCAAACAACTGTCTAAGACTAAGCGTATCGCGGAACTGCCGACGTTCAAGGAATTCGAAGAGTCTAAGAATATCACCCTCGAGGGACCCAAGAGTACTGCCGAGGCGAATATCCTGGCGCGACTGTTCAAATCGAACCCGGTCAAGAATTTGATGCCGAACATGATCGCTGAGATTCGGAAGCTGCTCGGCGTGGATGAGGCACCAGCTGGCAAGAGTGGCATGAAGGAGGCGCCTCAAAAGGAAAAGTCGAAGAAGATTCAAGCCGGATCCGAATCCGACTCTAAAGACGAAGTGCCCCTCAAGAAAGCCGACAAGAAGAAGAAGCCCACTAAGGATGCTGAGCAGGACTCGCAACTTGAGGATATCAGTGGCTCTGAAGGTGAAGGATTTGATAGTGATGAGCTAGAGCAATTCAAGTCACGACTAGCACCAGGATCAGACGCCGAGGATGAATCCGATTCAGAGGATGCCGACGAGAGTGGAGGCCTTGGTCCAGACGACATCTCCGACTCAGTCGAATCCCGCTCATCCTCTCCCGACTTCTCCGATGCTGGATCGCCCCCGCCTAAGAAAGCCAAGGGAGCTAAAGCATCTACCGCACCGGTAAAAGAAACGACATTCCTGCCATCTTTGATGATGGGTGGCTACTGGTCCGGCTCGGAAGAAGCGAGCGAAGACGAGGCGGCTGGCCCGCCAAAGCGCAAGAACCGCATGGGTCAACAGGCTCGTCGCGCTCTCTGGGAGAAGAAGTACGGTGCCGGTGCGAACCACGTGAAGAACGAGGAACAAAAGCAGCAGAATAATCGGGACAATGGATGGGACATGAAGCGAGGAGCGACCGGTGGTGGCCGGGGAGGATACGGTGGGCGGCAGCAAAACAGGTACGATGATCGGTCAGGATGTCGCCCAGGATTTGGTGGACAGAGCAGCAGACCACCCAAGCCTAAGGAAGATGAAGGTCCCTTGCACCCTTCATGGGAGGCCAAGAAGAAGCAAAAGGAACAAGCGCCCGCTGTTTTCGCAGGAAAGAAGGTCACTTTCGATTAATCATCTCAATTTTGTATTTCAATTACCGTTTGAGCGGAAATACTACCATGCATATATGATAACTGGGAAATCCTCAACTCGCTTTGAAGCGCTATATACTAGCATATAAAAACCAAATGCTGCCGTGATGGCAGAACGCCCCCCAGTAAGAACCACAGCACCCCAAAGGACCTTGTCAACAGGAACAGCCCCGCGAAATGGTGTATCAACTAAGCAAAATAATGAAAATCGAGAAAAATGGCTCGATATGAAAGATCGAATCGCTGGTTCATAGAGGAGTCGCGCTCCAGGTCATTCTATAGCTCACTCGTTCATGAACTGCAACCAATGCGAATCGGGATTGCCTGAAGGGTTCTTAAGGTCAGGGCCGACAAGACCCGGAGGATTACCTTGGTTATCCGGCTCAAAGCATGGAATGGCAGTGAATTCGCCCAATTCCTGCGGAAAGTTGGAGACAAAATGATCGAAGCCGAAGTGGGGCATCTGAGAAAGAGACGGGTGTGACAGAGAAAAGTTGTCTGATGCAGAGAGGCCGCTGCTTGGCATATCTCCTTCCAGCAAATCCTGATCCATCCCACCAATGCCGTGCTCGGAATCGGTAGTGCTAGGGGGAAGAGGGAGACTGGGTGATGTGATGGCGATTCCTGAGCCAATGGCGCCGGCGGCAGATGGCCCAGGAGTCGGGTGTGAGCCTACGCCTTGTTGGACAGCGGAATCATATGCTTCTTGTTGTTTCCATGCCATGGTGGAAGGCGACACGGGGCCGGTCTTCCAAAGCATCTCCCAATTTTTGAATCGATCGTAGGCGGATTCAATGCTGTTTCCGTTGCTCTGGGTTTGTTGTGACTCGCTCCACATTTCGAGACGACGAATAGCGCGCTCGAGAGCTTCGATGACACTAACAGCTGAGCGTGCAGAGCCGACACCCATAGACATAATCTTGATCAGAGAAATGCCCTGTTCGAGAGCTGCACCGAGACGTTCGGTTCTTTTTGCCAACCCTTGGGCTAGAATCACTAGGAGTGCCGCACGGCATGAGCTGAACTCGGTGAAAGAGGCGCGAGCGAGCCCAGTTTCATCTCGGAGGAGGCGACAGAGGTCGATGATTTCCAGAGCCGCTTCAACGCAGTCTGTGACAAGAGTTGCTCGACTCTTGGATATTCCCGATGGGCCCTTGAAAGCAGTAGGCGTTTGAGAAAGAGCCCTTATATTACTGAAGAGGAACGGTCGCCCGATAAATATCCGAGTGAGGCAGTAGTCGAGTTTCAGGTGGACGTTGGAGCGAAACAGAACTCCATTAGGATTGAGGTCACGGCAGCTTGACTCTTCCGGTAGTGTGGACCACCATTCAATCAAATGCTTACGGATGTTCAGCAGCCTTTCAAGACAATCTTGCTGTTGCCCTTTGGGACACGTTCGGAGCGAGGTACTATGATCCAGTCAATAATAATACCTTTGATATTCACGTAGAAAGATGCCTTACATTTCATTTGACACTTGGCCTAGTTTCAATGTCAGCGTAATAAGAGCGATCATATTCGTATGATTTGAAGGTTGCGAAGCTGGCATCAAGCTAGGAAAATCAATGGGGAATGGCGCATCGACATCAGCATCAGCTAATGATGCTGGTCTGCCATGAAGAATACTGATCCGCCTAGAGCGTTGTTAGAATCAATGTCAGGACCTCGAACAAGGGGTATGTACTTCTCAATCGTATATGATGTCCAGAACACGCGATTTCTGGTTTCAATCATGCGTGGCGAAAGACCTTCTCCATGATATCTTCGGTGCATTCCATTCTGAATAGCAAGCTTGAGTGCCAGGCCAAAGTATGTATAGCACAGTCCTGATGTATCCAGAGGAAGGAGATATGTTCCGATTAGCAGACAAGCTTGCACACTGCGCACAGATGCAGTCGCAATAATATCTGGCAAGAGTTTCGAGGCAAACTGATAAAATGTCAAACCGACCTCATCCTCTGAGAAATGGTGATCTTGTGCAGCATCCGAGGGGATGCAGTTGACAGGCGTAGATGATTCCATATGCGCAAATTGAGTACCGACCGCTAGCACCATGAGAATAGCACAGACTGCACCGGCATCATCGGAGGATAGTTCGGATGGATTGGTATAGCAGACATTTAGTTTTTCGCAAAGCCAATCTTCTTCCACATAGAAGTTATTCGTCTGTGCATACTTGAAGAAGATTTGGACCAGAAAGTCGGCGACATAGCGCGGTGGAAGACAAGTAATCGATGCCGACACTAGGGGTGATGCGGACTGAAGTTGAGTGGCTCGCCATCGATCCTCAAACGGCTCGACTTCTGTGCTTGCCTGGGAGAGTAGGTTAGGATTGATGTACTGCAAGAGAAACGAGGAGCGATAGCAGTCCTTACATCTGGAGCTGCAGTTTTCATCCAGCCGTCAATTTTCTTTCGGATTTTCTCCGAGAAGTTCAGATACGAGAACTCTCCGGAATATTCTGTTGCCACGATTTGGTAAGCTGCTGGCACCGATCATCACGGGACAAGTTGCACTCACGAGTCGTATTATCCGGGAGAGCCTTAATTGTAAAGTCCTCTTCATCAATCGCGAGGTCTTCCAGCTCATTGGCATCGACCTTGGTGGAAAGCACATCGGACTCCGAATCACGGCGTTTGGTCTTTAGCTCGTCGGCTGCCTGTCGCAAAGACTGGATGTCGAATGTGATGTTGGGAATATAGTGCGAAAGAAGGCGCTCCATACAGCGCACACGCTCTGCTTCCGCGATCTCATGTCGACTCACCGAGGCAGCTCGATCCAGTAGTCTATAACCGGGGATTTCGATCCGTCAGTCACGAGGGCATTTATGCAAGGGCCGACACCGCCAAAAACTTACGATACAGAGGTCGAACGAGTCTTCTCGGTCGGATCTATATGTGTGAAATTGCACTGCCGACGGTAGCGCAGACAGCGGCGACATGGCACACCACCTTCGCACTTCTCCTTCACTCTGCGACAACCATCACATCTGCGAAACGGAACAATTTAGCGGGCCGACTTTCTCTGGAGGGTCTCACTCCACCAAAATCCGGGGGATCTGCATACGCTCGGACAGCTCGCTTGCGATTTTCTTCGGCCACGCGAGGGCGTTTCTGTTGGGCGGGAGTCGAGGTCGGGTCGTCCATTACAGGCACAGGCGGTGTCAACGTGGGCGAGGGCCGGGCATCGTCTGCGGAGAAGGCGGCGGAGAAGGGAAACGGCGCCCACGAGTTGATGAGGGCGTAGAATTGGGGGGATGGGTTGAGAGGGCGGCGATATGTAGTATGATATGTGTAAGAATTGGGGAAGTCGGAAGGTTGGGAAGGAGAGAAGCGCACTTAATAATTGGAGACGGAGAGACGGAGACGATCACGCAGAGGAGAAACCACGGCTCGCCCGCCCCGCATCCTGGCAGACTCTTTTTTTGCTTTTGCTTTTGCCTCATGGCCAAAGTTCATGGTATAAATTTAATTTAATAGTTTCCATACTTTTCTTTATTGATCTGATGTGACTGAAGATATATTTAAATTTATTTCACGGTTTCAATTTTCAAAGATAGTAAGTAGTGTAGGCGAGGGTTCCCATCGGCGCCCAGTCCGATCGCCCGGCATAGATTACCCTAGGGTATCTATCTTAGGTATCCTGCTAACATCGACTGTCTGATAAGCCACCTGGGGCAACTATATCCCCCTTCCAAGTTATTCCTAGGGTCATGTCCCATAGACTGGGACGATCACTGGCCATGAGAATTCTTATCTACATCCACTATACTCGATTGGCTACTGCATAATTTACAAAATGAATATACTAAAACCCCACACGCTGAAAGAAGCTAGAGCACACTAGAACTCCTACATGCAGCATACAACCTGAAGTATTTAACTATGATATTGAAGGACGTACGATCTACCTATCGTAATATACTAACGCACCTAGCTATGTGGAGCAACTTCCAAGGCTGCCCCCTAAAATCCATCAACCCGAGTTCCCAATCCCATTTCAGCCCCAACATCTAGTACCTTCTTCCCAATTACAAGGTCCATCAATCCCATGCCCACACATTTATAAATCACATTAGCACCTATCGGAATCTCAACCCCATCACCGGGTCCCATAGAAGCCAATAAATCACCCATCTCCGTCAATTGATCTCCCCGAACCCCCGCCGTAATCAACTCCCCGGATTCCTCCAGACAAGCCGACTTAGAATCAACATAGATCTTCCCACCACCCGAAAGCAGAGTTTCAGTATCAATCTCATGCATGGGAGGCTTATAAGACCCAATAAGAGAAATAAAGCGCTGCTTCGGCACAGACCGCAAAGCCGAGAACGAGAAATTCGGCCGCAGAGAAGGCGTACACGAGAAAATGACGTCGGAAAACTGTAACTCTCGCAGCAAAGTCTCCTCATAATGCGGCGTGTCTTCCTTGGCAATCGTTGAAATGTCGACGCCTGGATTGCGCGCTCGCAGGTCCCTGAATACGTCGCCCTCCATTTCATTTAATCTGGCCCGGCTCCGATTCACAAAGACCACGCGTCGGATTTGCTCCGGGTATAAGAGTAATGCGAGGCGGGCGTGCCATTCTGCCTGTCGGCCGGAGCCGAAGACGAGGATGTTTTCCTTTTTAATGTCGTGGCTGCGCACGAAGAGGGTCATTGATGCGAGTGCGGTGCGGAAGGCTGTGATTTCGGCTGCGGCGAGAAGGCCCTGTAAGCGGCCGTCTGGAGAGAAGAGGTTAATCACGCCTTGGATGCCGCCAGGAGCGACGGTCACGCATTTGATGCCTGTTGTCTCTGTGTTGGAGACGGGCATGAAGATGCATGTGTTGTCGGCCTTTGTCGCGAAGACTGTTCGCAGGGGTTGGTGGATCAATTTGTCTTCGGCTGGAACTGATGGTTTGGATTCGGCGGAGATGGCTACGAGGGCCTTGCCTAGTTCTGCGATGAACTCGTGGCATTGTGATTGCGTTAGAGTGCGGAATAGCTTGGCCACGTCAGGCTCTGAGAGGATGTGCATCTTGAATGATGGGGTGGGCTTGTTTGTTTGAGATAGGATTTAGTGTATGTTCACCGAGACTTTTCACATTCAATTGATTGCGGAGATTGAAATGTATTTGATGAAGGTATTTATCAGTGGGGAGGTGAATATTGGCAGTCCCAGGCGATGATTGCTACTCTGGAGAGGGGCAACCGCGGGGAGATCCACCGGGGTTCAACAGCTTCGAGCAAGCGCTTCCGCACTGAAGCACGCGGAGGGCAACAAGTTCCGCATTGTCAATCATAATTGGCTACAATCTAATTTACTTGCTTTAAGATACTGATAGTTCTATAGTCTTTGAACGTGAATTTCAACAATCGAATTTATTCATTATGAAACAGCAAACGTGAGTCGTGAAACGTTAACGCCCTCTATAGATGCGTCCCAGTTGTGGGGGGTATGCGCAATGCAGAAAAAGGTCCTAGAAGTGCCCTTTCGGGCCACTGCAAATGGGAAAAACAAAAAGAAAGATAGGGATTGCCCCTCAAGTGAAGTGTAGCTTAGTTGCTACGGGCGAAAGCGTTGCGGCAGCGACGCTTCAGCTCCGCGAACATGGCCACCTGGGAATCCTTAGTGCGGCCAACAGCCTCGGTGTTCTCAATTGCGCGACGCAGCAGGAAACCCATGCACTCCTGAACAGAGCCCCAGGTCAAAAGCTTGAAGACGTTGGGGGCAGCGACAGGTGAGGCACCAACACTGTTCTCGGCATTTTCAAAGCCCTCAAGCAGCTCACAACTGACCTCGTCGGCCATACCCTGGAGTTGAGCGTAGCTGAGATCAACATCGTAGTCCTCACCACGAACAGCCTGCTCCATGCGAATAGCGTGGGCCTTGCGAACGGAGTCACGATTGTGGGTGGCGATAATCACATCCAGGGAAGGCAGCTCAGCGGGAGTGTCCTTGGTGGGAGCCTGGAGCATGGAGTTGTACTTGCGGGTAAGAAGAGCCTCGACGACCTCGTCGTAACAACGATCAGTGTCCTCCTTCTTGGCCCAGATCAGGTGGCGGGGTTCAGTCTTCATGTAGGCACCGCGGACGAGCTTCACACCGAGGGTGTATCCTTCTTGGCGAGCGGTTTCAAGGTGGCGAGCGAGAGTAGCGGGAGTCGAGCGAAGATAACCTTGGTAGGTACCATAGAAGATGGCGCGGCCGGGGGGTTTGAGAGTTGCAGTACTTCTGGTACTTCATGATCCAAGCCTCAATACCGGGCTGCACAGCCTGCTCTTCGGCGTCCACAAGTAGACGCACACCACGGGAGATAGCCAAGTCGCAGACCTTCAGGATGGAGGAATCCATAAACTCAGTAGGGTCGGCTTCCTTCTGGAGGAGACGCAGAGCATCGGTACCCATGCCAGTGAACTTGAGGGCGACGAAATCGCCCTGCTGAGCCATATCGACAGTTCGCATAGTACCATCGAACCACATCTGAATCTCAGCCATAGCGGCCTTCTCATCACGAGCAGCATCCTGGTTTTCTCCGACTAGAACCTCGCGAGCATAGCCGAGCAGGACGCCGCGGCAGCCCAACTGCTTGATGTTGCGGATAGAATCTTGGACCTCGACCTTGTTCTCACCAGCGTTGAATTGCTTGTAAATGGTGTGCTTGACAAGGAAGTTCAAGAGTGGGTTCTTGGAGACATCCCAGAAAGCAGACCGAGGGTGTGCGAGGTGAGAAAGTGTATAGATGCAAGGCTTCAGGAGGATAGGAGAAGAAGAGACAGAGAGGACTAGCAAAGAGCGCAAGACCGAGGAGAAGGGGAGCTTGGCGAGGGGAGCTGCCAGCGACTTGCGTGGTGGGGGCGGGGACTGAGTGAATTGTTGCAGGATGTTGCTAGCAGCGACGGAGGATCTGGTGTTGCTAGTACCACTGACGAAACGAGAGTTGGCACCAGTGGTGCCAACTCGCACCGCGCGTGCAGTCTTCATTGATCTGTACGTGTTGGTGATGGACGGGTTGTGGAAAGAATGAGAAAGAGTGATGGGAAGGAAGAAAGAAAGGGAAACCAAATATCGGTTCCGCTGACTGAAATATGAAGAGCTCTGGTTGGTAGAAGAGAGCGAAAGAGTAAGAGCCGATATCTTTTTTCAGGTCCTTAATAGTTTTGGTTGTGATAAGACCCGGTGGCAAGCGTCTAACACCGGTACGGTGAATGGGCCTGACTGCCGGCAACTACTCCAATGGAGACTACAACCTTAGCAACTTTCGGTGAATCTGCTGTTATGGAGCATGGGATTAGGTACGGGAAACCGGGTCGGTCAAGGACTCCGAAATTATTATTCATAGAATTCGTGAATGAATTCTAAGCACATATCTTTCCTGTGACTGAATTTTACTGTTTATACTAGGATACCCCACAACCCGACCCCCGAACCCCGACCTATCGGCACGTCCTGCCCTTAGCATGCATCAATGTGTCCAAACGGGCTCACCAACTGGTGCTCGGGGTAGGGATCCGACTCATGATAGCCACGACTTTCCCCTTTCCGGTCAAGTCATGAGGTATCCGGCAGGGGGCTCCCCTGGAAAATCCTCGTTCGTGAGCATCTAAAAACGCTGCAGGATGACGAGAGCCGCTTTCTACGGGCCGGTTGGCTACCATAATAGGCTTAGTGCGATCTCGGTGAAAGCTCCATTATCCACTTTCTATCCACTCTTTTCACCGCGTACTAGCCGCCAACCGGCCCGGTCAAGTCAGGTGATAGGGTCAGGTGCTTCCTAAAGATTACTACCATAGGCTGTTATACTGGCACCGGCATAGAGTATTACAGATCATTCTTCATATTATCCTACTAACAGGATTTGTTCTGTACTACACATCTCTGCTGTATGGATTACTATGTAGACATTTGGATTGCTTAGGTCCATGAGAAACCTGGGGAAGGGGCTGTCATTAAAGAATGGTCAAAGCACGGGTCTATTCCTATCGTGGCTTAGTTCACCCGCGGATCTTTGTTATGCAGGCAATTTTTGAATGAATATTTATCCAATAAAGTTAGGCCATTTTATTTGTAATTATTCGTATGCTATACACATAGGACCTGGATTATGAGAATGCACCATAGCTTTCTTCAAAATACCGGAAGTACTCGCTCTGCTCTGCACCTATTCGATACCCCGGCACTACCCCAATTATTGAGCAGGTGGGGTAGACCTTGGCAGAACTGACCAACCACCTTCGACTCCGGCCCGGTGACTCCACCCGGGATTCTTGCCGGCCGCTGCTGATTTGCCGTGCTTCTTTCACACCATTCAAGTTGTACGGAGAACGTACCACTGACATGCGGCCGCAGAAGATTATACCGCCGGTAGCCGGTCATTTCATCATTGGTACCCCGCGTTCTACTTTTTTTTCCCTCTCGACCTTCTCTTAATCTCCAACTTCTGCTGGAAGCTAGCTTTTGACACTCCCATCTCTAGTTTCCATTACACACCATGCAGTCCATCCTGCGCGCCAGAGTGCCTTTGTCGCGGTGCCAACCGCTTGCCACCCGCATCCAATCGCGTACCCTTGGTACCTACGCGACTTTCAAGATCCCCCAGATCAACAACGAGCCAAACGTGAGTAGCCTTGCAAGAACGCGACGCAGCTTCGGCAGCTAATTGACCCCCCCATAGAAACACTATGTCCCTGGTTCCCCGGATCGCAAGGGTCTCGAGGATGCTCTCGCTTCCTACAATAAGCAATCTCCGCTGAACCTACCTCTCATCGTGGCTGGCAAAGAGATCAAGTCCTCCGAAACCTTCACCCAGAGCAACCCGGCCACCCATGCCCCCGTCGCTACCTACTCCAACGCTTCCAAGGCCGATGTTCAAGCTGCCATTGACGCTGCTCTCGCCGCACGCAAGTCATGGGCTGATACTCCCTTTGCGGAGCGCGCCAGCATCTTCCTGAAGGCCGCTGATCTTATCTCGACCAAGTACCGCTACGATATCATGGCTCTGACCATGCACGGCCAAGGAAAGAACGCTTGGCAGGCGGAGATTGACTCGGCCGCAGAGCTCATCGATTTCTTCCGCTTTGGCGTCAAATACGCCGAGGAGGTCTATGCCCAACAGCCCGTTCACCACGCCCCCGGTGTCTGGAACCGCCTGGAGTACCGCCCTCTCGAGGGTTTTGTCTACGCCATCAGCCCCTTCAACTTCACTGCTATCGGTGGTAACCTGGCTGGTGCTCCCGCTCTGATGGGCAACGTCGTTCTGTGGAAGCCCTCTCCCGCTGCGATGGCCTCCAACTGGCTTGTCCACCAGATTCTTCTCGAGGCTGGTCTGCCTAAGGACGTTATTCAGTTCGTCCCTGGCGATGCTGAGGAGGTCACCAGCACCGTCCTCGCTAACAAGGAATTTGCCGCTCTCCACTTCACTGGCAGCACTGATGTCTTCCGCTCGCTGTATGGCAAAATCTCCCAGGGTGTGGCGGATGGCAAATACCGCAGCTACCCCCGTATCGTGGGCGAAACCGGTGGCAAGAACTTCCACCTGGTTCACAAGTCTGCCGATGTGCGCAATGCCGTGGTCCAGACCGTCCGTGGTGCCTTTGAGTTCCAGGGTCAGAAGTGCAGTGCCACCTCCCGCGCCTACGTCGCTTCTTCCATTGCCGACGAGTTTGTCGAGGGCGTCGCTGCTGAGGTCAACAAGCTGAAGATTGGCGAGCCCACTGAGTTCTCCAACTTCTGTGGTCCTGTTATCCACGAGGGCTCCTTCAACAAGCTTGCCGGTGTTATCGACGAGGCCAAGAGCGACCCCGAGCTCGAGCTCCTCGCTGGTGGATCATACGATTCCTCCAAGGGATGGTATATCCAGCCCACCGTCTACCGCACTGCCAACCCTGACCACCCTCTCCTCTCCCGTGAGCTGTTCGGTCCCATCATCGTTATCCACTCTTATAACGATGCTACCGATGCCGACTTCCTCAAGATCTGTGACAAGATTGACAACACTGGCACCTACGGTCTGACCGGCTCCGTCTTTGCTCAGGACCGCGAGGCTGTTCAGGTCGCCAGCGACGCTCTGCGCAACGCTGCCGGTAACTTCTACATCAACTGCAAGAGCACCGGTGCGGTCGTCGGCCAGCAGCCTTTCGGTGGCGCTCGTGCTAGTGGTACCAACGACAAGGCTGGCAGTGCCAACTTGCTTTCCCGTTTCGTCAGCCTCCGCTCCGTGAAGGAGGAATTTGTCCCCACCTATACAGTTGAGTATCCCAGCAATGCCAACTAAGGTGGAGGGGCTATGATCTCATATTGCTTTTTTTACTTTGTATGCCTCATGATATCACGGCGTCAACTTGCATTTTAAAATGGCGTTTTCCTATATCGAAGTCCAAAGTGACTTCAATTCTTTAGTTTTTACTTGTCAAAAGATGTACATCTACAGAATATCCAACTGCGATTTGCAATTTGTGATTTCATCACCATCTTCGCTGAAGCAGTCAATAAAATTTATTCTCATCTAATTATCGGCGCAGTTCTTCAACAGCCTCTGCATATTAGCCATCGCCTTCTTTGCAAAGTCATCCATCTCATACTTCTTCCCCTTCCCGTCCGGCCCCGCATCGAAAATCTCCATGGAAAACCAGCCCCGGAACCCCGTCTTTAGCACTGCCTTGGCCACATCCTCAATGGGCAAGTATCCCCCATCATACGGCATGGGTCGATAATCATGACTCCACCTTCCCCGTGCTCTTAAGCCGCCAATAACCTTGTCCTCCAGCGGTGGTGAAACCTTATACGCGTCCGAAATCTGAAGCAAATAGATCTTTTCCGCGGGAATAGACGCCGCCAGTTCATCCATACTTGCATCGAACCTTTCGCGCAATTTCTCCTGCGAAATATTTTCTATCAAACCCGACGCCGCGGTCGGATCACCGAACTCGCTTCCGGCAGTTTGGAAAGTATCCAGACACAGGCCGACATTGGGACGGTTTACATCGCGCACGATGTTCCACGCGCCTTTCCAACCTGGTGCGTGGGTGGCCCAGCACCAATTCTCATAGGCCATGCGGAAGTCTTCTTTCTGGAGCATTAGGGCTAGTTCGCGCAGGTCGGCAACGATGTCTGCGTGGTTGGTGGAGATTTTATGGGAAGGTGTATCTGTCGCCCCAACCTAGGTGAAGATGTACTCTGGTTAGCTCTGACATAATCCAGCTGTCGGTGATTTGATAGTAGGTAGCCAATTGGCGAGATATACCTGCAGTAGATCCGTACCGAGAGTTCTCATAATCTCAATCCACCCCTTTGCTCTGGAAAACGCATCTTCCCGCTCCGGCGAACCCTTCGGCCACCCCTCAAAGTTAGCAAAGGGCTGCAACATCATGATGCCTAACGAGTTGCCATCGCAGAGTTTGCGGATCTCGGATGCTATGCTGAGGAGCTCAGTGTAGTTGTCAGGTTGAATCGGATGGCCGAGTAGATGGGTTCCATGATCGATGATATCAGGGAATGAGAGCTCGATAGAAGTGAAGCCTGCCTTGCTGATTGCTTCGAGTTTACGGGGAAGTGTGTCGCTTGGTCGGCAGCCAATGGAGCAGGATGCGTAGGCCAAAGGAATTCCCTGTACCGATGAATATGTGATTGGGGCCATCTTTCTCACACTATGTGTGTAGAGCCTGTGTAGATTGTTTCTGGTGACCGTTGAATGTAAAATCTGCATGGAAGTGGGCACGTTACCATTCAGCGAGAAAGACCTGTCGTCGATTTTGAAATTTAATGAAGCATGTTCTGAGTGTATTATGATGCAATCTTATTGAAAAGTGACCGGTGTCGTCAGAGCAGCATCATATGGAGTAAATCCTGGAGTTCATCGCTAATCATAGTAATTCAACATCATAAATACTAGTATAACTGTTGCCGCCCATATTTGGGAATATGGGGACGGGCGATATACAACGTACTAGTAGAATCGCCCCGTGGCGATTTCTGATTCCATATTGACATGTCCCCGGATCTCCCGTCCGGTCGCCACAGCCCCGAGTTCAAGAAGGTGACATTTGCTGTATCTATATCTTGTGCAATCTATAAGCTACATTTCTTTCATTCCTTCTTATCATTTTGATTTGATTTGACACATGTAAGTTTGGACTCAACCGCCACTATGCCGTTCAAACCAGTTCAGCAATTCAAGCATATTGGTATTGTCGGTGCCGGAAGTATGGGATCGATGATGACCTTCGCCTTTTGCGACCTTGGTCTTGATGTCTCAACCTGGGACGTGGAAAAATCAAATGTCGACAAAGTCACGAACTGGGCAAAGAACTACAAAAACGCCAAAGGAAACATTCACGGATTCTACAACATCGACGATTTCACCAAGAGCCTCGAAGGCAAGGGTGGAAGAAAGCTTTTTATTTTCTCCGTCACTCACGGAGACCCCGCGGATTCCGTCTTGGGCATGATGAAGCACAGCCTCAAGAAAGGCGATATCATTCTTGATGGTGGTAACGAGAATTATCGCAAGACCGAGCGACGCCAGAAAGAATGCGAGAAAATCGGCGTCAGTTGGATCGGAATGGGTGTTTCTGGTGGTTACCAGTCTGCTCGACGCGGACCTAGTCTCTCACCCAGTGGAGATGCCGAGGCACTGAAGGTCGTCATGCCTTTGCTGGAACAATACGCTGCAAAGGATCCCAAGACGAACACGCCATGTGTGACTCGCATCGGACCCGGAGGATCGGGTCACTTTGTCAAAATGGTTCACAATGGCATCGAAGGCGGCATGCTGTCTGCTCTTGCGGAAGCATGGGCCTTTATGACATTCGGACTGGGGATGAAGTATGAAGATATCGGCGATGTCTTCTCTAGTTGGAATGAAACTGGCGAACTGCGCCAAAACTTCTTGCTGGGAATTGGGGCGGATATCCTCCGGACCAAGAGGACCCCACAAGGCGACCAAAATGGCGAGGGGGCTGGTAAAGACGGATATGTCCTGGACGATGTTCTTGATAAGGTTGTACAGGATGATGACAACACAGAAGGAACACCTCTCTGGTGTGTTATGGAGTCGGCAGCTCGTCATATCTCTTGTCCTACACTGGGCGCTGCGCATTACATGCGTATTGCGAGTGGAAACCGAGCTGAGCGCGCTCATACCTCGAAAAAGCTACATATGCCTTCGCCCCGACCAATTGAACACAAGCGTGATCGTAAGACTGTACTTGAACAGCTTCGTCGTGCTGTATACTGCTCATTCCTGTCATCCTTTGTCCAGGGTCTTGAATTGATCGCTCGCGCATCCGAGGACGAAGGTTGGAACATCAACATGGGCGACTGTGTCCAGATTTGGCGTGCTGGTTGTATCATCCAGTCCGAATATATTGCGGACCTCTTGCAGCCAGCACTGACTCAGAAACTGGTGACAAATATGAAGTTTGTCGATGAAGTGTCGAGTGAGCTGCATCGGAACTTCGATGATCTGAAGGCCATTATCATCGAGGGTACTCAGTTTGATCAGTATATGCCGGCATTGTCGGCAACACTGGAATACCTCAAATATGAGGGAGGACTTGAGCTACCTACCAAGTTTATGGAGGCTCAGATGGATTACTTCGGTGCCCACTGTTATAACAAGCCTGGAATTGCGGGTGAAGATCCTGGTCCGGTTATGAAAGGCCCACACCACTACGAGTGGAAAGTTGCTTAGTGTGGAGGTATGCAAATTAGAATCATGTGTAACTATTTTGGATTTTACAGCTTCCGTAAAGCTTGAATTGACATGTTATCATTGAAAAAAGCAAAACAGATTAATTAAACACATTGCCAGGCATTCTCATCGGTATAGTTTCCAGGGCCCTTGTAGACATTGTGAAGGGGGTATTTGCAGTGCTTGCGGTGATATTCAATCTTTGAGCCAGTTCCGTTCGAGAACTTAGCCCCACGAACATAATCAGGTGCAACGCCTTCTTCGACCCATTTGACCATAGCCATGAGTACATTGTCTTTGGGATCACTTCCAGCATAGGTTTTGCTACCCTGACCAATACCATACGCTCCATCTCCACTGCCGCAGTGTCCCATACCACTGATCGTGAAGAAACGGTAGAACTCATCAAGTTCGGAGGGTGACATGTCCATTTCCTTCGCGACGCGAGAGTAATACCACTTAGAGTCCTCCGAGCTGATCAGTTGATCCTGCATACCATGATAATGAAGCACCTTGCCACCGGCCTTCTGGAACGGCGAGATATCGGCATTCCAAGTCTGAATATCATATGGGTTCTGAGCAAAGGCAGCAGCAGCATCCTTGACAGTCCAATTTGCGCCACTGTACGATGGATCGTTGTAGACGACGTATCGCCACCAGTCCTTGCTGTATTGGAAGGGCTCACCAGTGTACATGATGGGCTGGGCCAAGATCTCGGAGCCAGGCTGCATGCGTGGGTAGATCAAGGTCCCATCGATTCCGTAGACAGGCGATAGAATTTGTTGAACGGTGTTGACCTGCTCCGGGGAGAGACAATTTGCTTTGCTCTTGGTGTTGGACTTGCAGATAAGCGTCTCCAAAATAGGGTGACACATATCTGTGTCTTCAATGATGCCGTCCTTGGCTCCATCAATGGCATCGCATTGACGAATGATCTCTTCGTGGGCAATCTTCCATTCGGCAGCTGTAAGATATGTCTTGGATGAAGGGGGCCCCGTAATGGGATAAAAGTGTGCACTCCATGAAAGCAATCCGATAAAATTGATGGCAGGAGCGCCTGCGACAACGCCATCGAAGTCATTGGGGTATTTCTGTACTGACTTCCACCCCTGTCGGCCTCCTGTTGAGCACCCGAGATAATAACTTTTATCGTAGCCATTATCATAAAACTTCTTGGTGAGTTCCTTACCCACCACGACTCCAGTGTGGATAGAGCGATAGGCAAAGTCTTCAATGACCTCAGGGTGTTTGTAGAATGGTTCGCCTGAGGTTCCATTGTGTCCATTATTGGCTCCAACCGTAGCAAAGCCTAGCTGGGCAGTATATGCGAGGTCGTAGTATTGTATGCCTAAGAAATTCAAGTTGTTAGCGCGATTGACCTAACATGGCCTTTTTTTATCGCTGCTGCTTTTGTAACTAACACCCAGAAAGACCACCGTTGCCGGTGCTCAAGAAGCGGCCCTTGTACTCTCGGGGGAACCAGGCTTCCAACGTGATTTCACTACTGTTGGAGGTAGACACGGCCATTGCGACACGGCAAAGATCTACCGAGACAACCTGCGAGGATGTAGAGCAGCTGGCTGCATTATCTGGCAGAGACAGGTTGGTACCAGCCTGCACGTACTCGGCAAAGTTGACCTTGACATTAGGGAGATCGATCTTGTTCGCGAATTGGTCGCATTTGGACTTGAAGGCATCCTGGCTGGCAAGAGCCAGCGAGCCCAGAGCTAAAGGAAGAATCGCGCTGAGTCGAGTCATGACGAATCACGCCAGAGAGCAATTGAATCACTCTGAGTATTGAATTTGGCGTGGATATTAGTAGGAAAAAGCAAGTGGATAGACCATTATAGATGCGCCGCGCGACATACTATTTGTATCGTGTTTAAGGTTCGCATCGTCCTTTAAAATATTCACGGGATTCACTGAAGCCGAGAGTCGGCATTGGCCGAAGAATCATCTCCCGGACATCTCAAAATCTCAAACGTCGATCTCAGCCCAAATCAGCAAAACCCCGAGGATGAGCCGGAGATGGTGGAGTTGAAACCAACACAAGGCGAATGACAGGAGGCAGAGCGAATAATGTGGACTAAAATGAGGAAGTGGCTTAATGCTTTTCCAAGATTATGTGGGGCTTCCAGGTCAAGTGGCAGAAGGGGAAATGAGCTAGGCATACCCCGATGGCTGCGTTTGAGGAATCCGGGGACTCCACAAGTGCGGGGGCGGCGGTGCCTGGCTACGAAAGTCGGCATTTCGCAATCCGCGGCTCAGGGGAGCCTAGGCAAATCGGAGGATTAATCGGTTTACTAATGCATGACTAGTAATAATACCCACTACATGAAGCGATGGACTGTATCTCTCGTATCTAACGTGGCTGTGACGCCAGATACATCAAGTTCCGAGGCTTGATGCATGCTACGCATCAACCTAACGGATAATCTCTCACGAAAAACAACAACAAATTAAGTACGCCGTATTAATCTTGAAATACAATAGAGACTTCGAAGATAACGGGGCTAATATTTTAATACGTATGGCTAGCCATCGTTGGCTTGAAGGACATATACCCTTCATTACTGCCAATGGAATAAACACTCTGTTTTTTATCCTTAGGTAACTTGTATCGTTCAAACAGTTTACATGGCCCGAGAATCAATAAACGGATGTGAGTTGTAATGCTGCTATATAGCAGCTCGTTCAATATCCGAGCTTTAATATCCGAGCTTTCTCCTTGAAGTACATTACATAGGCAAAGTAGTATCCATTGATCGCGCCAAGAAGATATTTGCCATAACATGACCTGAGCCCGGGAACTTGAGGCTTCACACTTGACTAGATATGTACTAGTAGATATCGATATCTACGAGCAACCATATATAGTAGCTAGAATGAAGGACATGTTAGATCATGATATTATCTTGGAAAATAAGGACCAGGTATTAGTATGCTAGACTTACAGGACCAAGTGATGTACTTTCCATAGCCCATAGCAACCCAATAACCGTTGGTAAGCTTGGCCCAGCCCCTAAGAGTATTCATCATTAGTTGAAACCTGGTATTTATAACGCGAGCTGATACATACGGATCACCATTCTCGACGGTGGTGCCAATTCGGGTCAAGCATTTGATCGAGATCTTTGTTCCCTTGGCGTACTGGCCAACCGCAGTACAAGAGCTCTTTGGGCAAGTCCGATAGCGAAGCCCATCTACCAGAACCTTTCCTGATACAGCAGCACGCTTCTCTAGATCGCGACCCTCCACGACAGGAACATCGGGATGGTTGGTCGGGGCCTCTTGAGTCAAGGCAAGGGCAGGAAGTAAAGCAGCGACGGCGAGGGCAGAGAACTTCATTTTGATTCTGACAACTGGATTGATTTTTTGAAAGTTATCTAGAGAAAAATGAGAGTGAATGGAGGCTTTTGTAGTGCGAGTTTCGAACGATTCCAAAGTTTGCCTTTACATCGAGCCTTGGCTCTTCGTGTTGATACGAGGATTCAGCTATACCAAGATCTTATTATACGAGAAAGATCAGCGTTTTCCCGTCAATTGGTCTCTGCCAAGAAATTTTAAGGTGTTGAGTGTGACATCAAGGCAGCATTGGGAATAATCATATCCTTACAAATGGAAATAAAACATTCCCCCAGCTGGATATCTTTCTGGCAGTTTTCGTGGTTCATGAATTAGGACTTGAAAACAATGGTCCTCAAAGAGTACTGTGTTTATTCAGCTCCCTCACTTCATTGCTTTGGATAACCTATCACCGAGTGTTACAATTCTGGCGATGGACCCTCGTCAATATGGTCATCGGCGAGGCATTCGTATATGCCGGAGGGATGCTACCTTAACAATAGCCACCAAGGGAAATTCGCACTCCTCCGGCTGGCTTGGCAATTGGTGGGGGCACCTCAATGAAGTTAGGCGCTTCTAAATTAGAAATTGAGCCTCGTGTTCGCACCTGATTCCAAGGTTGATACTACCTCTAATAATTCCTGAACGACTCGGAGTTAGGGGTCAAACTTGAACTTTCAAGATTAGGTGCCCTATGAGAGAATCTTGAAACTTCCTTACTACTTAAAGTGAACTACACCGAATTATATATCCTAAGGTCAAGATATAGTATTGTAGGTTCAAAAAAGCAATTTCGACACATAATGGTGAATGGGGACTTTGAGCTTACAATAGCAAGATTTGTTCAAATGCATATTAGCGTGCTGCGGATTTTTCATGGATACAAATGATGAGTCTCGTGAAAAATCCAAGTAGAACTGGCATTGCCTGCTAACATCGGGAGTATTGTAAGTCGAAATAGTTGGAGTGGACTTTTTCCTTGCACGGCCCTCCTCAATCCCTCGGCAAACGGGCTTGTTTGTTTAGCCTCGATAGTGACCCCGCACCTTTTCTCCCCTGCAAGTATCCGTCACCTGGAATCAAAATTAAAATACTGTGATGATTGAACGAATTGGCAACGATCCCTCTAACTTTTGGACTTACGATGACGAGACAGGGCTTGTCGATCTTTCGCGAGGGGCTGGGCAGGGCAAACGGCTCACAGTCGAGACCACAACCGGTCCCATTCAGTTAAACCCCGATACGAGCGCAATGATCATTGTCGACATGCAGAATTTCTTTTTGTCGCCTGCCGTTCGCCCTCGAGCTAAGCCCCAAGAGCCTACGCCCGCCGAGGGAGCTGTGGAGGCATTACTTGGCACCGGAATCCAAGCCGCACGAAGCCGTGGCATTCGTATTGTCTGGCTCAACTGGGGTCTCACCGACGAGGATTTAATGATAATGCCACCTGCAGTGATGCGCACATTTGGGCCATATGACTCGTCACGCAACGACATGAGTAATGCCGTGCCATCCCAGCCGGGGATGATTAGAACCAAGAACCGTGAGCTGTATAAGGGTCTTGGTGCGGATATTGGCCCTGTGGACCTTGGGAATGAATGCAAAGTGGAAGGTGGAAGAGTGCTGATGAAGGGATCATGGAATGCTGCAATTTATGGGCCTCTGGAGAGTAAATTACAGACGGACAGTTCTGACAATCCTTTGTCGGTGACTTCGAAACCCGACGTCCTCATTCACAAGAATCGCACATCTGGTCTATGCCTCTCCAACACGGAATTTGAAAAGTTTCTAGAGGATAATGGAATTAAGACTCTGCTCTTTGCTGGCGTGAACACTGATCAATGTGTTGGTGGAACATTGATGGACGCTTGTAGCAAGGGATACGACTGTGTTCTTTTGCGTGATGCATCCGCAACGGGGACTCCTTTCGGCGCGAGTGAGACATGGGAGTGGAATGTGACAAACTGCTGGGGATGGGTGACAACCTGCAAGGCTTTCGCTGATGGGGTTACTCTCTGAACGAAAGTAGATGCTGAGAGGATGAGAGAAGAATGCACAGAGATATTAGTCAGTGGATGCTTATTTGTAGATCAGACTACTAGTATATAACCAAGAGAAACGAGGGAGAGCAAGGCAACCTTGATTGATTCATGAACTACCATAGGCTTCAAATATCGTTCCAGATGATTAAGTGATAATATTCACATGGTCTTCTCACCAGAACTCTTGCTGACCTGCTAGCGCCATCCAGCCTGTCCCCTTTTCACACCCCACATATTCGCATTCAATCTCCCCGTTTTTTAAAACAGTTGTTTCTACCCACAGCACGAGCTTGCCCGACTCCATGGGCCCTTTGGGGCTATATGCACGCATGAAATGGCTACGTAATGCTGCATGTCCCTTGTTCGTGCGGCCCATTCGTTCCATGTGCTGCAGGTCTTTGAAGTAAAAAAGTTGAGCCTTTTTGTTGTAGTTGAGAGCTTTAGGCGTGGAATCTCTGAAGACACCAGTTTCCGGCGCATAGCACATCCGGGATCCTAAGATGCCCGAGTCAGGACCAGCTGAAAAGAGGGCTTTCATCCATTGCGTAACATTGGAGTCGAGGTTGTCATTCCAATATTCCTTTTCATCCGCGGTGATATTTGAATGGTCTTGACCCTCAACCACAAAGAGGATATTGTCCGGAAATTTGGTCATTAATACCCGCCCAATTTGATTTCCACCAGGAGAGCCCGGCATGTGTTGAGAGACTTCGAGGTGCCGTTGAATCGGCGACGCGAAGTCATCTTTTGAATGGGCAGCCATTCTATGCCGATAGCAGCCCCAGTAGCCGGTCTTATCACCAACTGAAACTTCAGTTCCAAGGTGGCCTAGCCCAACAGGCTCGCTCTTGTTCGTCATATATTGTGTTCTGGATGAATCTGGAGACATGATCTCTCTCCATATACCTGCGGAAGGTGGGAGATCTTTCCAAAAATTGGAGACCTTTTCACTAGCCCACCAAGCTAGATAGGCAGCATGAGATTTCCAATAGCCGAGCCATATCAAGGTTTTTCCCTTGCTAGTTGAAGCACATCCATCTTGAACAAATAAATCAATATAAGTTGCGTGAGGTGTAATTAGGCTATGGAGTTCCTCTTTAAGCGTCTTTTTCTCAGAGCTTTCCTCGCCGTCGGGCAGTTGAAGCCCAAATATTGAGTAGACGAAGGGTTCTTCCGAAGATAGTTTCACCGCTGACATTGTGTGTAAGAAAATTGGTGTTTGGTCAGAGGCACATGAAGAGGTTATGTGCAGTCGGTTCTCCTCTAGGGTAGAATGAGAGCAGATGGTAAGAATTATCAGAACTTGGTGTGGTAGAGATATTTAAGTCTCGGCTGGCGAATACGAAATCATCACTGTCACGCGTTAATCGACGAAACAAATTGCGGAGACTTTCATTCCGCGATTCAGCTGGGTCAGATTTCTCTATACGAAAGTAAGCTGCGCAGCCCAGGACGTCTGGTGGGAACCAACCAACCACACCTCATGCCCAGGTGATTAGACTTCCATTCCGCACCTCACACACACCTCATGATTAAATGCATACGTAATTTGCAGACAGCAGATTAACTATCATGAACATTGACCGTGGGTTGAGATATCAAAGCACGCTGATTCGCTACAAGGAAATCTCCACGTCTTGCGATCGCTGCGGAGGTTACGCTCCCGCAACTACCCCATATCCGCTCATTCTAATACAGACATTAGAAACCTTAAGGAAATGCTTATAGCGAGTTTAATTGGGCAAGAGTTCCAAGTTATCTGGAAGCCAAGACAAACCATACACAGTGTGCGGAACCTTGAATTCCGCATAATATCAGTCCAGGCACCCCTACGGCCAGTTCGGTTGGTTAAGGTAACTGAAACCGGTCTTATCGGGCGGGGTAGATGGAAGTGGACACATCTGCTTGCATAAATGGACGAGAACTCTCTCGTTGCTGTCTCGAATAACAAATTTCATCTTTCTCATAACAGATCGACCTCAGATCACCTGTATCAAGCCATCATGCCGGGAAGCAATGTCCGTGTTGCGGTCACTCAGGCTGAGCCTGCCTGGCTAGATCTCGCCGCCGGCGTGAAAAAGACGTGTGACCTGATTGCGGAGGCTGCAAATAACGATGCAAAGCTGATCGCATTTCCCGAATGCTGGATACCTGGATACCCTTGCTGGATCTGGTGAGTGATTCAGTTGAACAGACTGAAATGAAGCGCACTCTTTCTGATATCATGTCATTCCTCACAGGTCGCGGCTGCTCGACGTTGAGCTGAATGTCGCCTATGTCAAGAACTCTCTCCGTTTGGACTCCCTGGAGATGAAGCAAATCCAGGAATCTGCCAAGGCGAATTCAATTGCAGTATCTCTGGGATTCTCAGAGAATCACAATAAATCTGTCTATATTGCCCAGGTGATGATTGACACCGATGGAGAAATCAAGTCCCACCGTCGCAAGATGAAGCCTACACATATGGAGCGTACCGTCTTTGGCGATGCCTCCGGTGAATGCTTCTCAAGTGTTGCAGAGCTTTCCATTGCTCGAGTTGGTGCCTTGTCTTGCTGGGAACATATCCAGCCATTGCTTAAGTACCACACAATTTCCCAGCAAGAGGATATTCATGTCGCAGCATGGCCAAATGTTAGCCCGCATACCGGAGGACAAGATCTGTGGTCCATGTCGGCAGAAGGTTGGTTGGTCTCCTCGACGGTATGAATTCGTTGCTGATCCCCATGACAGGCTGTCATAATTTGTCACAGACATATGCCATAGAGTCACAGAGCTTTGTCCTTCATTGCACCGCAGTTCTCGGGCAAGGCGGCATCGACCAAATGAGAACCAGCGGCGGCGTGCTCATGTCCTCCCCTGGTGGAGGAAGCTCTGCTATATTCGGCCCCGATGGGAGAAGGCTTACCGATCCAGTTGAAAGTACAACCGAGAAGATTATCTATGCAGATCTGGCCATGGACCTGATTGTGGCTACCAAATTGTTTGCGGATCCAACTGGTCACTATAGTCGCCCAGATCTCATGTCACTGAACGTTTGCACTCGAGTTAAGAAGATGATTCGTGAGGAAGAGATTGAACCACTGGAAAGAGTGGGCGATGATCTTAGTGATGAGAAGTGACATCCTTTTTGAATAGCGGCTTTTCAACGCGAGATCTCTTGAATCAATACCATCCAAAGTTTAGACGCAATAATATCAGAGTAAATCTGGGTAGTTCTCGAAATTTTGGAAGAACTGTGACAAGCCAAAAATCTCATCGTCGGCTGATATGGGTATGTTCACCATGGAAATATCAAAAAGATGTTGCTCATCTCCAAGGTATTCTCCAGTTGGCTCGGTGATACATGAGGAATTGGAAGGCCCGCTGAGACCATGGTAGGCCGTATCGATCATTTAAGGATCCGGATCGATGCCCGTAACAGATGTCACGTCGGGATGAAACTGTTTCGATTCATTCTGCACTTGGCGAGCCGATAAGTCCTGATTCTGATCGTCTCCGTCATTCCCCAGCAGAATGAATCCCACATTCCACCGCCTAGCAACAGCCTTGATTGTGTCGATGCTCTTTTGAGATCGCAAGGGCCAGTATGGACTAAGTCCACGTAAGAGACCCAGGCAGGTCCTTACTAAGCGAGTACTGTGTCCCCGAAATGATGAAGAGGTTGCGGTTGTATTCATCAAATGCACTATAGATGCACTCAGAATGTGGTGGATTAGAAGTGGGTTGGCATGTCTAAATCCGTATGACTTGCAGTATCTCTGGACAAGTCGAATCATCGAGGCAGCAGCTGAGGTGATAGACCGCAATACAAGCGACATCGCCTGGGATATTTGACTCTGCTCCGTTTTTAACGATGCGAATAGTCTCAGGAAAGATGGCATGGTGATCAAGATGGCCATTTGATAGGCCATATGGAAAAGAAGTGCGGGCTTTGGCGGCATTCCTCGAGTGACCTCGAGTCGCTCGTCGCGCGATTTGAAAAAGCGACACAGATCTTCATGCGTCGAAATGAGCATGCGAACTTGATCCGAAATACTTTGTTTCTCAAAAGAGGGCGAAAATCTGTCACAAATTATCAGACAACGTTTCCATAGATACACTTGATGTATAAGCAGACGCACATTTGATCCATATTCTGATCATGCATATACCATAGTTTGCATTGCCAAGCAAATGAAATCTTGGATATATCACACTTTCCATAGTGGAAGAACGTCTCAATGGCAGGAACATTAACCCGCCGCCATGGCAAGATGCAATTCCTACCCAGAATGGAAATCGACGTGCGATCTGTCATATAAAATGTCCAAAATGTTTGGACGGTTTCGAGTGACGGCTCGACGGATTGTGCAGCGATCTCATCCAGTGCAAGAACATGAAGCCGCAGATGGACAGCCATCCCAGCTGCCATTGACAGAAAAGTCCAGCCGAGGTGATCTTGCCCTGAGGCAAGGGACCGCCAAGATAGAATGCAGAGCCCTTGAATGACGTACATGGAAGGTGCATGTCTGAAGCATGTGAAAATCAAACTCTCGCTCAACTCCGCAAAGCCATCACTCAGTTTCAATGACTCGGGTTGATTTTCGAAAGTTGCACCTGCTGCTAGCATAGCAGCGTGAAGGAAAAGAAGATCAGGTGGGTGGTCTGGGAATGTAGAAAATGCCTCAGACGTTTCATATTGTGTAAACTGATGTTCCCCATTGATGCAATGTAGGAATAGATTTGCAAGTATGTTAATTCGACCCGGGTCCTGGCCATAATCTGGGATATGCCAGGGTGTGTTGAGTTGCGGGGCTTGATAATTTCCAATTGCGGCTGTATGTGAAGGTTTTGAACCGGGCTCTGGATCAATGGTAACTCCATCTGCAAGATTCGTACGCCACATCATGACGCTCAGTTCCTCCATCGATTGGAGAGATTGGCTAGATCCTCCGCCATCTTGAGCAGCTTGTCCATTAGAGGAACGCTCGAGTTGATGTATGGAGTGGGTAAAGTTTGAACGACCAGTGTCAAAATTTTGGAGATCAGAGGGGGCGTGTTTCGGGGTAACGCTACTCTTATTCTGAAGCGCTAGTAGGGCCTGAACTTGATTTTCGAGGGATTTCACGTATGTCTCATCCCAGTACTTTCGCCTGTGAGTCATTAGCTGCTGGACAAGCTGATAAGCGGAAAGGGCGAGCTGACTTGCGTGGTTTGGATTCTTTTACATAGACACAGGTCTTATATGTCTTCTGGCAATATGAACATTGGGGTTCGACTCCATCGCACTAACCGTTGATCGACGTCAGTCTGGTTGGGAAATTGATATGGAGACTACAAGTGCCCCAGGGTGGGTACTCACTCGGCGTTTCGAGGCGCGGCATTGCTGGCATGCAAATCCAAAGAGCTTTGGCTTTGGGTCTGCCATTGAATGAAGAGAGATAAGAAGTCAATGGAAAACCAGAGGGGCTCGAAGATTAGCCTTTCAGTAACAAGGAGGGGCCTGATGTGGCAGTGATCGACACGTGACCTTCGATCCTAAGGATGAAATTTACTGATTTTGTAATCGTGCATCAGGCTAGAAGATGATCAAATTCGAAAGATCTTGCAGATGACGACTTAATGTGAATTTATCAACTGGTTTCTCCCACGGCGGCATGGCTCAACCACAAACCCAGCTCCAACCCCAGCTTCCCTTCTTGATCATACATCACGAGATGTCCCGCATCCTCGATTAATACCACATCGCGAGCATTTAACTTTTCCTTTAGTCGAAAAGCTGTTTCCATTGGAATCCACTGGTCTTCTTTCCCCCATATTATTTTTACCGGAATCGTTTTACCCACCTCGGGGTATTTATGCTCCACTTCTTCCGTGCAGCGGCTATTGGCCTGCACCATCTGCCTAATGAAGCCCTTTCTTCCATTTGCATCGGAAAGCCATGGTCTCTTCAGCATCTCCATTTTTTCCTTTCCCAGATCTGTATAGGCTGCATCTCGAATGTAGGCCTCAACCACACCCTCGAATACCGGGCCAGTCAACTCATTGAAGACGGCTTCATTCTCAGCTATCAGCTTGAACAAAGGCTGACCAAATGGACCGATTGCAACGACGTTTATCAAGCATAGGCTTGCATAGTGGAAATTGTGGATTAGATGTGCCCGGAGACACATCAGGCCCCCATGATCATGAGCAATAACATGGGGCTTTTGTTGCCAAGTTTGTGCCCAAAATTCAAGCAGCGCGGCAAATACTTCAGACTGTCTGGCTAGATCTGCATCAAGGCTCAATTTGGCACTGATGCTATCTTCTGTGCCTGGGAATGGGCTTCCAAGAGGGCTATCACCGAATCCCGGATTGTCGAAGAGATAGACATGAAAGTATTTGCGAAGGGATTGGGCATACGTCGTCCAAACTCGAGATGACCAGGGTGTACCATGCACAAAGACAAGTGGAGGTAAACTGGGATCCCCTAGTGAATTCCACCGAATTTTGTAACGGTGGGTCGAAGTGGAATAATGGAAGGTTTGCGTGAGGTCAACGGCGGACGGAGTTGAAGTCATATTGTATTATATCAGAAAGTCTGAGTAAATTTGGTATTTGCAAGTTATAAAATTATTCTGCGTTTGGAGATCTGAATATAATCGTTTTCAAATATTAAATACTCGAAACACAGGGAATTTGAATTTGTAATGTCGCATACCAATGAATCGTTCTGATTGGTTAATTACGAAGCAAGAAATGCACAATGACACCACCGAAGTTCCAATTAGTATCGATGTTACCACACATTGATTACATCAAGTCCCATCAGATACCTGCCGCGGGGCCAGCTTCTGGCCAAGCATCAATTCCGTCCAATAGCACTAACCCCATTCCCGAAGACAAATGCGTCTCCATGTGACAATGCAAAAGGAATGCACCAGGGTTTTCAACATGATAGCGAATAGCGATCCAGGCCTCTCCGGCCGGAGAAGTCACAAATGTATCACGATAGATGGGTTTCTCAAGAAAGCTTGAAGGAGACTCTTTGGAAGCCTCTGCAAGCGAGTTCCATGTAAACTTTCCTCGGCCGGCCCCCATCTGAAACGCTTTGTTGGAATGTTTGTGTATGGGATGAGGAGGCTGTAACTTTGTTGGCTCTGGAATGACCAGTTGAAACACAATATCCACCCAGGTGTCATTTTTGGTCTCGATTTTCAGAGCGGATTCGAGACCTGGTGCTTTCGGGTTGAGTAAAGCCGGCTCCATTGCAGCGAGATTGGCAGGGAGGAATGCAGTCCCGTCTAATGTCCACTCCCAGGACGAGTTGAGGCGTCCGAGTGAAAGAAGATGGAAATCATCGGCATAATCTGCTGGCAATATTGGTGGATATGGTGGGAGTTCGTTGGTATTGAGTGAGATCACAGAGGCTGTTGTGTTGATACCGCCATAGTCGATATAAGGCACCGACTCGTATGTGGTTTGCTCGCCACCCTCGTAACCGACAACTGCAAATCCAGAAATGATCTGGTTTCCATTCCCAGCAACTCTCATTATATAATTTGCGGGGTTTTGATCAAGTCTGATCATGGCTGAGTATCGTTCACCGTTGTAAATTGGAACCTGATGAGCCAGCTGAGGCTCGATGTAGTGACCATCAACCTCGTATATGTACATCGGATGCTCATCAATCGATACTGTCAGAGCTTTGAGGCTGGCAGCACTGATGAAGTTGAAGCTTGCCCATTTTGCGTCCGCTTTGACGCGGATAGTGGAGTTCGTGCCTTGGCTTGGAATGCATCCAGAGTTCAACCCGCCAGGCAGTTTGTCGGGATGATGATCCCAATCTCCTTGCAAAGTGGCCATAAAAGGATCGCATCTTTTGAAAAATAATTAGTAACATTCACCGAAGAATAAAGCTTACATACCCTTTGTCGGTCAATGGTTCGGTCACAACTGCCCTGATTTGTGGCGGCTGCAAGGCAGTGAGTTCTTCTGGGTCTTTGCAATAGACCGATCCTCCGCCATTGATAAGTACACTATCGGAGCAACTGAGAGGAATAAAAGTCAGCAGTGTCCGAGCTGTAGTATAGCAGTATGTGATTATAAGAGGAGAGCCTCACAAAATATCGTATCCTGTCTCCATTATAGCCTGCATATATGCATCTGAAGTGAGATGATCCCAGTCGGAGAGAACTACCAGGTTGGCATTTTTCTCTGCAATTTTCATGGCTTCAACATCATCGGGATTGTCAGATATCATAGCAAAGGGCGAATCATTATCATCTGATGGCCTATCATGATGTTAGAAGGGAAAAGGGAGTTGTCGGGAAGTTGGGTTCGCCTCACAGAACTTGGATTGCCCCATACAATCCATCCATTATTCGATCTTTATCATGGGAATGATACCAGTAAGTTCCCTTCTGTGTAGCTGTCCACTGATATCTGTACGTTTGACCAGGTTGTATAGCCCATTGCGATAATCCAGATACTCCATCTGCCCAGGGTGTCCCTTTTTGTCTAAACTCTAATTAGCCAACACTATTTTAAGAGTGCGATGAAGTATTTCTTACTCGATTCCATGGAAATGTAAAGACGTGTTGAATGGCAGATGATTGGTTACATCGATCTTCTGCTATTAGCAACATAACATCTAAAGTCGGTTGGAACTCACAGTGACTTCATCTCCCTGGTCCATGATCAACGAAGGCCCGGGAAAGGCATCATTCACGAAAATCATGTCGCGCTCGACACCATTGGGTGCGCCCTTCTCCCATGTGAGATCCAAGGTGAAATTGACCTGAGCCGCCTGTGTCAATGCCACGAGCTCTAGAATCACGGGCAGTAACATCTTGGTAGGCGCCATGTCGTGTTTGGCAATGACCCTATGAACTTCGTTGATGCGATCGGTAAAATCGCTCATAAAGTTGTAACGCGTAGCGGCGTCTCGAGATTTAATGTCGAGTATGATCCCTACATACTTGCCAAGCTGTGGACTGGCTTGCCCGTCGAAGTTCACATTCCTCACGTTTCAAAGGGGCTAGGCTGGAGGGCGACCACAACAAAAACATGGCGACTTGTCTAGACTTTCAGACCGAAACTCAAATTATAATAAATTATTGAGTTTGGTATGGGTATTTTTATCTGATTGGGTAAACTATTACTACTAGTAGCTTATATTTTGAAGGGGTTGACCAGGTTTGCGCTGGTAATAACTCGTAATAGGCTGACGCAGTTCACATACTATTCACGTTGGTCCATGGATCGGGATGCATTGACACTATCCTATTACCTGACGATAGACTAGATATTCTTCAACTTGAAAATATTATGATGTTTGGTGTCGATGCTTCCATTGGTTCTTGCGATTGTTCAAAATCCTCGAATCAAATCAGCAGCCCGCTCAGCCACAGCATAGACAGTGGCCAAAGGATTAGCATGAGGAGTAAGGGGGAAAATGCTCGCATCAACAACGCGTAGATTTTGTGTACCATAAACCTTCAAATCTTGATCCACCACGCCCCCAGCAGAGCGAGGAAACATCGCGAGTGTCCCGCAGATATGATTAGTGGCCAATGCGTTCGCGCGAATGCTGGTCTTTATTGACTCAATATCATCGGGTACATCGCCCAGGTCGAGGTATTGACCAAGCTCCGGAGATCTAATCAAGTCGTACATATTTCGCACATTCCGAGCTAATAACTCGAGATCTAGCTCGTTGCTTAAGAAAGCCGCATCCGCAATAGGCGTTTCTTTAAACCCATTGGAACTCGTGTGCAGACTTCCTCGTGAAAATGGATAGCTGTTAATGACGCCCACAACAGCTAGCTCTGGAGATATGAGAGAAAGCAAGGTACTGGCGGAGGCCTCGTTAGGATGTTGGATAATCGATCGGATTGTTTCGTTGGGCCTGCCCTCGGTCTCGGTATACGCACCGAGAAGCTTGTCTTGCTCGTTTGGAGAAACCCTCATGAACCCCAACCCCTTTAATCCGAGTTTGGCGTCTTCAATTCCAGATTTGGCTTTGATAGGAACAGGTATAATGTTCATCAGGTGATTTTGAAGATTTCGTCCCACATTAGGCTGGTCGATCTTCACTGGAATGCTGAGGTGGCCCAGCCACTCGCTGTCCCCTATACCAGAGTGCTCTAGAATCATGGGCGAGCAAAAGGCCCCGGCAGCCAAGATCACTTCTTTATTTGCCTTTATGGTTATAGTCTCCCCATTGTAATTGACGCGGACGCCAGTTGCCAGTAAATCCAGAGATGAGGAATCAAATAAGATCTCTTGCACTGTGGTTTCAGTGCAAATTCTCACATTCAGACGAGATGCGGCTATAGTACCATACTGGCTGTCAGCACTACTGCGCTTGCCGGTCTTGGGATCGATAGTAGAAAACAATGGCCTGGTCCCAGTCGTTGTATTTTCGGCGAGAAGGTCGGGATTATTGGTCTCATATCCCTGGGACCTGAACGCATCGTCCCATGCTTGAGTAAGTCGCATTCCAATCTTATCATCGGCCATAGGGCAACTAATTTGTATAGGGCCCGCAGCTGCATCGTGTTCCTGTTTATGGAAAAGGGGTAGTCCCTCCGGTGCGGTGACGGCATAGCACTTCTGGAGATAAGGGCGCAGGGATTCCCATGTCCATTTATCATTTCCAAGCTTTGCCCAAGCATCGATACCCGCTGGAGATGGAGGCACAAATACTAGTCCATTGATTGCCGATGAGCCCCCAAGTACTTTCCCAGTTCGGTGATCTTGACCGCGATCGTGAAGGCCAGTCTGATATGTCAATATACTTCACTTCAAGTTTATTTCGGGTGCAAGGGATTTGATTACATACCTGAGGAATGAAACTCATTTTCCAATTCAATTCGGATTCGGACAAAGTATCCCAGGCATCAGGAGTTTGTATTCTCGGATCTTGCCTGCAATCTGGGCCAGCCTCTAATACCGTGATACGGATACTAGGATTCTCTGATAGTCGACAAGCAACGACTAACCCAGACGTTCCACCTCCAATCACAATATAATCGGTCTCATGGGGTAAATTGTGAGATTTCATTGTGGTGGAAGCAATAATGATGAAATAGTGGCAGGGAAGATATAGAAAGGAAGAAGAAAAACAAACACAGAAGGGGTCCCTGGTAACCTTGGAAGGTGACGTTGGACTGAGAGACCCGGACATAAGCGTGAAGTGTCAGACTAATTTCCCCGCTTAATTGCATTTTGTAATGGTACAATGGGGGGGCCTGAAATCATAGGAGTTATTAGTTGCAAGGCTTATCGTCCTGCGAAGAGATGACCCCGGTAGATGAGAATCAAATGTATACATTAATTCTTTGGAGAAACACCTGATCCAGAAGTAATGCGTTTGTAGAAGGGTATTGACAATAAAATGCAACTTGAAGTTGTTAATTATCGGGAATCTTTCTCCGAGTGGTAGTCAGTCCGAGCGCAAAGGCTAGTCATTTGTATTGCTGACCCACTAGTCAACTAGTAGTATTGGTTACTTGCTGATCCATCTGAGAGTCTGGGGAGTACGGAGTACTGCAACGCCGTTTAGAAATCACCCAAGCCACTGGCTAAGATGACTTAAAGGAATAGGTTCCAATTCGGATTTTGGAACAGGATGAATCAACTCTAATGACCCCTAAACTGCCCATGGATGCAGGATTCACAATCATGGATTTTCTGGGGACTTTTCTAAAATATGAACGAGGGAAAAAAAGGTTTATTGTCACCTATATAAAAAGGGACATACCACACTAGTAAGTAATATATGAATATATATCCGAGCCAAGATGTTCTAAGGTTGCCAGTGGTACTAACTAAGTATCTATGGTCGATACTAGTACCTAGGTAGGTAGTGACTCCATTTTGTGTATTGTAAACAATGGAACTAATTAGCTACTAGTGATATGTAACGAGGTGCACAGGGGTTATCTACATGCTATTCTCATCGTTAATTCAAGATTATGTACTATATGCCCATAGGTAACTACCTACCTAGTACTACCCAATATGTAGCTAGTAGTAACTATTTTATTTGTTGTGCCGAGCCCAAGCCAACTGGCGGCTCCGCAGCTTCTCCGCAATTCTCTCCGGCTTTGAAATCCGCCCGCGGGTTTTCACCTCTCACTGTCATTCTCACTCTCACGCTCACTCCCCAGCCTTGGAGGAACAGCACAGCGTAAAAGCGAAGTCTCAACAGAAAACAATCATTCCTAGATGACGGTCAAAGGAACAAATGGGACTTCGTTCAGTCCGTCGGAGCAGACTCCGTTGCTGCGCGATGACCCCGCGAGCATTGGAGCAAGCGATCGTCAGGAACCAGTGGCCGAGGAGCCCAGTACTCGCGAACTGATCGTGATTCTGGGCAGTATATGGGTGGGAGTCTTTCTCGCAGCTCTTGGTAATAAAATACCCCACTTTTCACTCTCCTTGATATGCAAGAATATGCATGGACGGCTAACCATACCACTCGGCAGATACGACGATCGTTGCGACGCTCTCGGGCCCCATTTCCTCTTCCTTCAACTCGTTCTCCCTTCTCTCGTGGCTAGCGACCTCATATCTTATTTCTAACGCTGCTTGTCAACCTCTGAGCGGCCGGTTGACTGATATCTATTCGCGCCGCTGGGGGGCTGGTCGTTTCCAATGTCTTTTTCGCTCTTGGAAACCTGATCTGTGGCCTGGCAAACGCACAATGGTCGATCATTTTTGGCCGTGTCGTCGCAGGTATGGGTGGCGGCGGACTGCTGGTTATTTCGACCTTTGTGACCTCCGACTTGGTCCCTCTCCGCAAGCGAGGTGTCTGGCAGGGTGTTGGGAATATTTGCTATGGCGCAGGAGGAGGATTGGGCGGTGTCTTTGGCGGTTGGATCAACGATACCCTGGGCTGGCGCTGGGCCTTTTTGCTTCAGGTCCCTTTCCTGATCGTTTCGGGCATTTTGGTCGCGTGGAAAGTCAACATTCCCGTCAAGAACTCAGATAAATCTCGGATCAAACGTGTCGACTTCTTGGGTGCCATTACGCTTGTTCTGACGATGGTGACTCTCCTTCTGGGTCTGAATACCGGAGGTAACCAACTGCCCTGGACACATCCGTTGGTTCTCATCTCTTTCCCAATCTCTGCGATATTCCTCGGCCTTTTCATTTATATTGAGGCGCGAGTAGCAGCTGAGCCCATCATTCCCATTAAACTACTGCTCGACCGGACGGTTGCGTCAGCCTGCCTGACAAACTGGTTCACTACGATGGCAGTCTTTGGTCTGCTTTTCTATCTACCTCTCTACTTCCAGGTGCAAGGTATGTCGGCTACGGCAGCCGGGGTGCGCTTGATCCCCCAAGCGATCGGCACTTCCATTGGCTCTCTCGCATGTGGTTTCATCATGCGTGCCAAGGGACGGTATATGATCCTGAATTACCTGGCAATGGCCCTGATGGTGGCTTCTGGTGGGCTGATCTGCACTTTGACATTGACTACGCCTGCATGGTTACCATTTGTCTATTTCTTCATGATGGGGACGGCATATGGCAGCATTCTGACCATCACTCTGGTGGCGCTGATATCTGCCGTAGACCACGAGCATCACGCAGTGGTTACCTCTGCGTCGTACGCTTTTCGCAGTACTGGAAGCACGATCGGTATCACGATTGCCTCGGCCGTGTTCCAGAACACACTGAAGGCTGGGCTGTGGTCCCGCTTTGGAGGCCTCAAGCACGCAGCAGAGCGAATCGCGCGACTTCGCGACAGCCTGGATGAGATCCGCAAGCTTCCTGCAGATTGGATCCCGGGGACCCTTGACATCTACATGATTTCTCTACGCAGTGTCTTTCTAACTCTTCTTGGTCTGACAGTCTTGGGGGCATTGGCGAGCCTCGTCATGCGCGAGCACAAGCTGCATAATAACCTTTCCCGCCGTTGAGGATATCCAAGAGACTGAGAACAGCCTCAAAAGTTCAAAATCATGGAGTCAGTATAATTGTGTATACTGAGTGTATATATAGATGTGAATAAGAATCCAAAATGGAATGAAATGAATCGACATAGTTTCAATATTGACTGTCTTGACCGCCTGCCAGCTGGGACCGACTCCGCTATTTGTACTGCAGCCCATCTCACTCGCCGCCTGTAGCCGCCCGATCTTGTGAAACCTGCATTCCTATCTCTTCTGGTTGGCCAGGCCTTGCTGCACCTCCGCTGGATCTTCTCTGTTTCTCCTCTCGACTTTGTCTGATCGTGCCCCGACCCGCTGCAGCTCAACTCTCCCGTGGCGAGACGTGGCGACGCACTTCTCCCCTCCAGCCAGCACAGAATATCTACACCGCTCGGATTTGAAAGAAAAAAGTACACTGCATCGGTCACACCTGATTGAATCTAGTGGAGGGTTGGTGGATTCTTTAGGGTCTCGTCGTACCCACCGTTTCGATTGCCTGATCACCGTTCCAATTTGCAGTTGTTGGATTAGAACTTAAGGCGCCAGTTGTCATTCGATCGGCTCAATTTCTCGAGCTCTACGCCTCTCTTTCTCTTTGATCTCGACCTTTCTTCCTTTGGACCTATCGAAATTTGCGATCCATCGTTCCCTCGTTCCTTTGATTTTACGATTTTGGTCAACGGCGATCACTCTATACTGGCTTAGACGCCCGCCGCTACTCCGATCTTCGACACCGACCCGACCGAACATATTGAGTGCAAGTACAACGACAAGGGCAGTGGCAGAACTAGTTTGAGCATCGGGCTCTCGAAGAACTACAGAGTCAGTGATATGGAGGTGGAGAGCGACAGCGATGGAACAGTGATAGGGAACAAAGAAGGATATCGAGTATGTTGCGAGGCAACGCCACCGCGTCAACGACGTCGGCGACTCCTTCTCTCAACCGACAGTGCCTTCGCCGATGCAGTCCTCCCATCCCTTATCCAAAACTCCCACATTGAACTGCGCCTGATAACCGACGAACCCTCAGCGCTGTTGACCGGAACCAACAAAATTCCTCATTACATGGACTCGGTGGATGGCCAGACCTTTGATAAGAAGACCGGCGCGCGGAAATGGCTGAAGGCAAAAACGGCTGAACTCTGCGAATGGGCAGACATGCTACTGGTTGCTCCCATTGATGCTGGCGCTCTGGGATCGATGCTAGCGGGGTTGACCAACACTTTAACCTTGGCGCTTCTGCGGGGGTGGGTGTCTTCAAAGCCCGTCATTCTCATACCAGGCATGACAGTATCAGAATGGGACCACCCGTTAAGTACTCGTCAGTTGGAGGAGATCAGGCGATTCTGGTCGTGGATTCACATCGTGAAGCCTGTATTGTGGAAGTCCAATGGGCCCGAAGATCTGACGCTACTTCCCTGGCATGGATTAAACGATCTGCATAATATGCTCGAAACATGCTTAAGCTTACCCCCGTGGGGGGCTTCCCTCAGTGGAGGGAACTCACTTACGGGAAATGGAACAGAGCCTTCATCGTCATCAGCAGCTTCATCAATTAAGACGTCCGATAGCAGGACTGCGTCCGCTCTCCGACACCTTCAAACACATTGGCCTAATCCAGAGGCAAAGGTGCAATCTTTACCCCTCGAGATTTGGCTCATAATTTTTGAAGACCAATTACGTGACTGGGAAACAGCCAAGGCAGTCGGCATTCCAACAAATATCCCCGTCCCGCAAGAATGGCAAAGTCATTTACTAAAAATGTCAACACCTGCTTCCCTCGAATACACTATCCTCCGCGGTTCTTTCGCGGCCATTACGAAGCGTATAGACGCTTTGCCGCGGTGGAAGCCGCTATCCGATCTCGCTTGCCACCTCATCGTGAAATTCTCTCGCACCGACATACTCTCTTATCTCACCGAAAAACATCTCGATCTCCTGTGGACAACGTCTCGTCTGACCAATATCCCTTACCGAGCATCCGCAATTTATGGCAACCCGACCGTGTTGACGTGGTGGCGTGATGCTCCCGCCCTACCAAACAAGGAATACATGGCCGATGCGATGGACGGAGCTTCGCGCGCAGGCTTTACTCACGTTTTGGACTGGTGGCTGGATTCTGGGCTTCCTTTACGATATAGCGAACGGGCCCTCGAGTCTGCCAGCGCCGAGGGCCAAGTCGCGGTTCTCGATTGGTGGAAAACAGCCTCTGCCAAATCTTCCCCATATAATCCTGTTCCGCTGAAAGTTGGCAAATCTGTCCTGTTAGCAGCTCAGTCCGGAAGAACCGAATCCTTGGCTTGGTGGGACGCCTCTGGGATCCCGTATAGTCACGCAGAGAACGTCGCCCGCATTGCTAGCACCCATGGCCATGTCCATGTTCTTGATTTCTGGTATCGATTAAAGGGGCCCAAAATGATATTCGATAATCAGGTTCTTGTCGGACCAACGAAAAATGGCCACGATCATGTTTTGCAATGGTGGAAGGATTGCGGGTTACGAGTCGAGTTCAAGACCTGTGACATTGAGGAAGCCCTTGAGGACGCGGTTTCTGGCACCGATGAGCGCGTACGTCACTGGTGGGAACGAAACGGCCTCAATTTAGGCCTCGGAACGCGAGAATGGATGAAGCCAAAGGTGCTTTGATTCTGCGAATATCTATGCTTTTTTTCGGATTTGGGGTTTTCGGTGTTGGATCGGTTTGGGATGGAGTCTTGGACATGGGCATTTACACCTGTCGCCCACCCCTGCTGCTCACTACTTTTCTCGTTTGAGCGCCCTTTTACGACAATGACGATCATCTTGTAATAACCATGTCAATTTCATGTACATCAATGCCATTAGCCGTACTACAAAATGGAGCTCTAGCCATACATCCAGTATAGTACAGCAAACAATACCTGTCGCTGCTCTGAATGCCTAATATAGATAAAGTCAACTAGGAACTAAAATGACGCCTGATCTAGGAACTAAACCAAAAAATTGAGAATTGTCGGGTAGTTTGAAGCTTAAGCATAGTTCGAGGTAGTCTTAAGTCTGCTTCAGAATATCATCCTTCGGAGCTCGCATTAATCTCAAAATCCATTTATCTATTACACCTTGATATGCTTGACTAGACTAACACAGTATGCAGCTCTCACTTCACATTAGCCCTGCAGCATATCTAGTTCTCCGAGTCTTTGCTCTCTCTTCCATTGTTTGAGGTTGAATTTCCTTTTCAGGAGTTCATCCCGTTCATAATTCCACTTGAATGTAACTCCGTCGACGGTCCTTTCGATTTCATTTTGCTGGTTGAGAATCTCTATAGCATAAGGGACAAGCTCTTCTTTCTCCGTCTCATAGGATATAAGTCGATCAAGTTGAGTCTGAGATAAGATTTCAAAAGCTATACCGTCGACTGGTTGGTCTGGAACCCCATCAACAAGAGCAGGGTAGGAGCCCCAGAGCTTAACATCATATCCTATCACTTTGGCACGTATTATTTTAGGAGAGAGATTTGGCATTCTTAAAACTTGAGCAAGTATTCCTGGGTCCATTAATGTTCGGTAGAAAAAGAAGTACTCTCTTTCAAATTGTTCCACAGGAGATGAGACTTCTTGCGAGCCTTGATCTTCAGTCGACTCGTGACTTGAAGAACTGCGGTTCAAAAACTTACGCACCGTCCAAGACGGCTCGGATAGTGTTCTGTGCATTTTGTCGATTTGCGGATCCTATAGTATATCAGCAATGCCTCTAGTGACTCTTTCGCATAGGGTTAGAAAGGCCTCGAGTGGGGAGTCTCATATCGTCACGCACAAACCTGACGTAGCAAAGCAAACCCGAGTGCTCAGTGATCAGATCAAGTCAGGCTGGATCGGTAGATTACATCAGGATGACTGATCGGCCCAGGTTGATCAAGGGTGTGCTCAATTCTTGCAGTGATTAAAAGCGGCGAGGGTGAGCACTAGAACGGAAGGAGAACGCGAAGGGTTGCCGGACATTTTCCGGTATATATGTACTACCTAATGGTAGATAAGTTCTGGCAACTTTCTAGTGCTCACCCTCGCCGCTTTTAATCACTGCAAGAATTGAGCACGCCCTTGAGCGGCTTGACCTGCTCAGTGTTTCTTGTATTGATTGTGGAGCTTTGGAGCAGCGGTCTTCTCTCTTTTGGCCTTTTTTTCAGCAATACTGCGATTGGCATCCTTGATGGATAGTATACCATTTTGAGATAGAGGTTTAGCCTGTCGCTTGCTATATTTGTGTCGTAATGGCTTTCGTGCGGCTGTCATCTTTGCAATTGTATCGCGTAGGATATCAGTACTCTCAGCTATAATCTAAGCATGTTGTAACACCCGGTCCAAATTGCGTCGCTGCTTTGGTGTAGCAGTAGGTATTATGCATTTTGCATGATTCAATTGGTGTCTTTCGATTCTTGGAGGAGGTAAACTGTGCACAGATGAAGATAAAGCGATACCAGGTGGCGGCGTTATATCACTATATAGAGCGTAATTGCTTATATTTAGATTATCTACCTTGGGCAATTGGTTCGCAAGGTCCTCAACTATTGTATGACCATTTGTAGGTAATATTCCACGATCTTTGAATGAATTATGAATAATATGAGGGCTTTTCCATGCAGTAGCCCGAACCTCAGAGATAACATGCAAAAATTCAGATTTCTTTGTAACCTTACTAGACCAGAAGGCATGTAAGTTATTTTGTTTCTTAAAATTCTCCTTCAGTGCTAGAAATAGCTTTCTATCCAGCGGTTGACAAATATAGATTGAATGAGGATAAAAGTAGAAAGGTATAATGTCATAATTGAGAGCAGTCTGTATGAATTCATTTGTCTTATAAGATCTATGGCTATCAAATAGAAGTATCTGTTTTTTTACCTTTTTATAGTGATCCATAGTTACTTTATGAAAGTGATAAAGCCATTGAAGGGCCAGGTTCCTCAGGAAGATTGGTATTATAGCAGTGAGGGTCTTCCAGAGGATACTATCACTGCTATAATACCAATCTTCCTGAGGAACCTGGCCCTTGAAGATGTAAAATAGAGCCATTGACAAGCCAGCAGCGGCAATACATTCAGGTGCTGTTATAGTCTCAGAATGCTCTGTCCCAGCGATATTAGAACACCGCTCTGTACGTACCACTAATGATGTTTTGTGCCTTTCGCCTCCCAGGTTGAAAGCCAATTTCATCGAAGTTGTATACGAAGCGCGGAGGAATGTTCCTAGTAACCCTTGCCAGACTGTTTTACCACTGCTCAAGAGCTCCAGCATCTTCAGCAGAGATACGCTTCTCATCCTTTGGCTTTTGGGATATAGGTTTGGGGTTCTTGTGACGTTTCATGAAGCGATATACCTGCATCTTGCTTAGTGGTTTTGCATCCTTTTGTGCACGCAAAAGATAGCATTTGCTGCATCTTGCAAGATAGCAGGCGTAATAGGCATATTCACGCTCTCCGTAAACAGGACCCAGCCTACTAAGACCTGTTCCTGTTCATCTTTCAGTGCCATATTGGTAGGTTTTCGACCTGAAATCGACGTTCTACCCTCACGGACGCGTCGATAGAGGGTTTGATAGGGAACGCCGAAATTGCGTGCAATACACGATATATTCGGCTTTTTGAGGGCATTGGCCGCTTCGCAGGCCTCGGCAACGCGCGATTCATCAATTTTAGAAGATCTAGGCATCGTGTTGTAGCGACTGGTGATGTAGGTTGCGAGTTCCACTCGCCCATCTGTCTTCCCTTTCCTTGTGAGATCGATGTGGTGTGGGACAATCTCAATTGGTAAGTTTTTAACTAGAAAGCACGAGAAGCAGGTGGTAACTGAAATCAAAATTTAGCCAGGAACTCGCAACGCGGTACTCTACAGATGCCCACAACATTACTCTGACTCAGTTCATGGCCTGGAATCCAACCATCCTAGGCTCATGTGGATTTGTTAGTCACGTTCAAAGAGTCTGCAAAGGGTTCGTTCACAGGAGGATATTTTCGGGGCCGTTTGGTTCTTCTGTTGTCTTTTTCGGCGATGCTAATCCACCTTCCAGTCCCCCAGGAGGACAATTTACTGCCACTGCAGTTGTCTATGCCCCAACCGCAGCGGGATCATATTATTCCACAGGTATGTATCACTGGATATTCATTCTCGGTGATTCGTAATAATGAAATCTCACCATTACGTGATGTCAGAAACGCCGGTGGAACCAACTCAAAGTGGAACTACATCTGATTGCGGCTTATTCTATGATGTCGTGTCCGGAGACACCGTGAGTTATATCAACGATTAAACGGCTTCCAAAATATTTTCTGACACTCCTTACAGTGTAATTCTGTTGCGCTAAGTTTGTGAGCATCTTGCCTGTTTCTTCATCTAACGTTTCCCACACTCACGATCAATTCTATTTTGTAGTGGCATTACGATCAATACTCTGCAATTGCTGAACAATTTCGTGAGTATCCTGATTTGAAAAAGACCGTAATATAGATTGACCGAAGCAGCTGTGGGATAATTGCACTAACCTTTGGCTCGACAACTCGATCTGTGTTGCAACTGTTGCTGGTATCCCGACCTCCACAGACGGCACGTGTGGTCCCTCGAACGGAAATTCCGTTTGCCCAGGAGATGACAGGTAAGCACAGCGTCACTCGTTACCTTGGAGGTTCCTGGAGTGCTGACATGCGAATAGCTGTTGTTCAATTAGTGGTTACTGCGGTACCGCATCAGATTACTGCAGTCCGGGTAACTGCATATCTGGTGCATGCGAGACGACTGTCGCCACCACCAACGGTACATGTGGCCCGTCTTGGGGAGGCCTGACGTGTGATAATCCTAGCTTCGGATCGTGAGTAGATCAATCTCTAACTCTTCTGACTACTCCGAAACATGCGATAGCTAATACCCATGTCTACAGGTGCTGCTATATCTATGGGTATTGCGGAAGCGGAGAAGATTATTGTGGTCCTGGCGATTGCTATGCAGGAAACTGTGATGGTGCCAATGGTGGGCTCAGCCTAAACGGTGAATGTGGACCCTCTTTCCTGGGGAATAAGACTTGTGTTGGGACTCAGTTTGGAGACTGTTGCTCAACCGCGGGCTACTGTGGAAGCACTGTCGACTACTATGGTGCCGGGAATTGCTATGCGGAGGCGTGTCTTTAGATGTCTTAAAAAGGTCCAGTTCTACAGATCATGCGCTATATTTGCGCCTGCTATATTTCTGGAAAACATAGATCTTCATGTCTCTAGCTGACAGTTCCCCATTCGCGGAAATTAACCGAGCGATCAAGTGAAATTCCACTATTACTATTAAACGATCTCACCAAGGAATAAAATATTCTCTCCAGTGCTCTTCAGTGTCAGCCTCCTTAAACTTGTCAATACTACCGACAACGCCGTCTTCGTCCACCTGCCAATCACCCTTTTCCACTTGTTCAGCCCAACTTTCCAGAACTTTGTGTAGATACGAGCTGCGGGAGTCCCAAGGTAAGTAGCCACTATAGCCACTGAAAGTATCATCATTGTAAAGTTGATCAGACCACTCAAATCCCGGACCCCTAGCTCTTTTGAACTTGAAAGGGATACCATTGCTACTTCGAGCAAATCCATTCCTGCCGATGCTAAACGGCAGCAAGAGTCGGCTCCGGTTACCACATTCCCAGTTGTAATATTTGTCGGTAGGTTCAATGTACAAACCAGAGGGAATGTTCTCTGCCTTCCCGTCAGGAAACCAGGGCCGAGTCCAGGGTGACTTGTTCTCTCTTTCCCCTCGAAATAAGAGTAAAGGGAATGAAGGTGTATCCTGATCGTTACCGAGAGGGTCTGGACTCAGAATATGATGGCGACGGTCAGCAAGTGGTTGGTTTATATATTCGATCGGGGTTTGGAGTCGAATGCCAGGGGCAATATGGCGAAATTTGAGGTGCCGGACAGGAAGAGCGGAAAGAAAAGCTTTAACAAATGTGTCCGGTTCTATGAAAGACGCCTTAATGACCGATCCCGAGTATGGGAGAGCTATGCCTTCGAAGCTTGGCTGTTTGTGGTCACTTTCGTGTGTTGAATGCGTCGAATTTGATGGAAGTCGGATCTCGATGGCATCAAGAAGACGAGTGAGGGCACTGACAGCCCGCTCAACGTCTAGTGCAGTATGTTGGTGACTTTGCCAGGGGAATGCCCCGAAGCCGAAAAAATGTTCTTCAGATTCCTTCCGACGATCCGAATATGTTGTTATCTTGCCCTCTTCCACCATGTCTAGATAGAGTTGCAGAATATTTTGCAATGGCCGCCATGCCCACCGTTGCCTATCAGGCCAAGATATCTCATCCCAGTCTGGGACGAAAGCTGCAAGCTCGGTTTCTTGATCGAATCTTGTTGGTGCGTAAGCATTCGTCTTCACAGGTAGCGAAGCTTAAGAATCTTACAATATGCCGACTTCTTCATCACTCCTTATCCGTGTTGCGGGATACAACCAGACAAAACGATCGCCGAACCTTCTGAGCAAAGATATTGGAACAAAGAGGTCATCTTTCCCATGAAGCCCTAATAGGTAATAGAAAAGATTGAACTCCGAGCTAGAGTCAAATATAATGGCTTTTGCCGACCGTAGGAACCTGATCAATTTCGGTTTCAGTCGAGATGCGAGATCGAATGGAATAGGCGAGGACTCTTCCCACCAGGTCTTGGACGGGATTGAATCGGCATCTCGTCCGGCTCCAATCCATCCCCGTTCAAGGAGCTGGTTGTGAAGGTGCGCCGATAAATCGGGATCAAATACCAATGACATGGCTAAGACATAGGTCTGGGATTTTTGGTGGGAGATGCGGAAAGAGAGATGAGTACCAATCCGCAAAATTGGAGATGTCGATTCTCGAAGCTAGACCGAAAGAATGAGAACTAGCCCAAAGAGGTAAGTTATTCTACATAGTATCGCTGCCATTTCAAGTTGTTTTGTGACCACTCCACAAACAAAAAGATAGTTGGCTGGACAGTAATTCTAAGTCCAGGTCCTGGGGTGGTGTGGAGAGGTTATACAGTGTATTTAGGAGCTAACCCTAAAACCGCAATTCACAGGTCAGCCTCTAAATGAATTCTAAATAATATACAGTAGTCTTCTAAAGCTAAAGAATAAAAGATACAACGATCACCACATGAACCGCTGGGGCCATTCAAATCCCTTGTAAAGGAAAACATATCCCGTCACAGCATTGATAATGATAAACCACACAGTCTCCAGGAACTTCGGAGCATTGGTGATCGTATCCTCACGAGCCTTCTCGCTTTCCAACTTAGGTCGTTTCTGACGGAACATAGCAGGAGTCGGGGAGGACGGTAGGTGCAGACGCCACATCACCCAAGGAAGGATAAAGTAGCGCGGCTCGACAAGAGGAGCAGTGACCATTGACAAAGCGGTGGTAGAAAGCCAGACAAGAACGAAGCTAACTCGGGGCGCATTGGGCTGTTCATTCTGTCGCTGTGTGAGGCTTCTTGGACCTTGACGAGGGCCTCTGGGGATTGAGGATCAGGTTGGGTCTGATTGCTCTTCTTAGACCCAGTGTCCTTTTTAGATGTAGCCTCCTTCTTGGATGTGGCTTTGTCCTCTTTTGCCTTGGCGCGACTTTCTTTCCGGTTGCCTTGGGGTTCTTCGGGGGCAGTGGGTGTGGGGAGGTTGGGCGCGGGGGCGGCGGGCTTCGAGGACGCAGGAACCCGTACGAGTCGAGATGGTGCTAGGACGATGGAGAGGCCGAAGGCGGAGATGACGGCCCACCCACAAAGGAAGTATACCAAGACTGCACCCTACTTCACTGCCGGGTGCACGCCAAGAAGGAGGCAGAAGACGTAGAAAACGTACCCGGATCTTCTTCCAGCTAGCAGGGTCCCAGAGTAGATAGGCTCCGCGCTCGCTGACTCCTCGTTCCACGTCCATATAGATTTGACGAGAACCTTGACTGGCAGTCCGGAGCATCCGGGCTTCCCGGCAATAGTATGAGTAGAGACACAGTGGAGAACTAACAAGGGGCAGCAGTATTGGTTTGGATCTTGTCATGAAGGTTTTCTTGCGTGAGATTATTATACAATTCCCGATTTTAGATAAGTTTAGCCAAGTCAACATGTGAGTCTTGTCTCTCTTAGAGGACTTTAATATCCAAATACCTTACTATCTCGTAAAACTTGATTTCTGGTTGATCTGGTTTACGATTCGCCTCGGCCTTTCTCCATTGAATTATACCCTCTCACTTTTGTTGAACAGATTGAAGCCGTACCAACAAAATCCAAGGTTTATGAAATACCGACGTAGAAACTTTGCCAACAAACTTACTAGTGATATTTGATGGTTCTTCAACCGAAAAACAAATTCTACATTATGATTGGATTGAACCAGTTATGGCCCCGCGAGAATCGGCAGGGATTGAATGGAAATGAAAATAGATCCCATATCATGACTCTCAGAGCACTATTCCCCTATAGATAAAGTTGAGTAGTCAGGAGACTACAATTCCAATAAGATTAATATTTTGTGAGACAAGTATCGGAGAACTATCATTCCTTTTATCGACGAATGATAAACCCTGTCGGTGCGTGAAACCACGTCAATGCCAGCTCACCAGCATGCAAAACATGTCGAATATGCAGTTACCATCGAAAGCTCATGAGTTCGGGGGCCACTCCCCCTTCGCCCCTCATCCTTGTCACGGTTTTATTATTCCCAGCCCAGTGTTCATGTCAGTATTCTATGCCTAAAAATTGCAAAACTCTCTCATCGGCTTGTGCCGAGGGAATAGCTCTTAGCTTTTTCTTTTCGCGGGTGCCCGCGCGGGCCACTAGAAATGTACTCCGTCCTTTGCCAGTTGAACAAGACGCGTATGTTTTGCCTTTTGATAAGGAGCGTGACTTATCCGAAGCTTTCGCGTTTCTGGCAAAGACAAAGGATGGCTTTGAATACATCCCCGCAGTTTGCGTGGAGCAGAATCTACCAGGAACCGAGCTGAGTATTATTCTCGCCATCAACAAAAGCACTCACGCCGATGGAGATGATCTCCTGGAAACTCTCAAGGGCAATCTCGAACGAATATGCAAAGTGCTTCACGACTCTTTATATGGCATGTTCTCGCTGTTCGCAACGTGTCTGCCTTTACGACCAATATCTGCTGACACTTCTCAGAAAATAGAGTACAGTCAGAAGTCCAAAAAGCCATATTTGTATCGATCACCGAAATGTGCTCCTCGCGAGTACTATCTCGTCTGAGACTCGAGCAAAACAGGAAAAACACTCGGAAGTCCATTCATGAGTTACTCAGAGAGGCAGTTTTCAATATTGGACGTATTGCGCCTCAAAAGCTTCAGGCCACAGATCTATCACATACGTCGTCTTTATTTATTGCCGGGGCAAAAAGTGTCGTGAAATCGATTGATCGCTGGTTGAAGCACCAAAATCTCGATGAGCTGGGTGATCTTGTAAAGGAAATATTTCATCTACAAAGGACGACTCCACGATATCAGAGCTTGTTGGATTTGATCTCGGATCAAAACATGGATCCTTCGTCGAGATCTAGCCTATCTAACATGATTAAAAAGGTCTCAAGATACTGGGAAATTTCCAGACAGCTGTATCGTATAGCGAAGAAATTTTCCCTGGCGCGAAACATGAAGGTTCAACTGGCGAAACTCCCTCAAAAGGCATTTGAGAGACAAGCGAACATTGAAAATCTCCTCAGCCCCGAGTCTGTCTTATCTAGACACGGCTTCATCAATAGGAAACAGGGAAATATTCATCAACTATGTCGCAACTTGAAGGTCAAAAAGGAGGAGGCCAGCTCAAGATATAATGAAGCCTTAGCGGCTCTTCCAAAGGCCAAAATCCACGCTGAAATTCAGATCATTGCATTTTGCGAAATGCAAGCGCCAAAGATCTTTCCTCGGGTGGTTAGCTCTAGCAAGGACGCATGTTTCCTATGCAACAGTTTTATTAACTTGTACGGGCGCATGCATACTCCCAAAACACATGGTCGACTTTACCCTGACTGGAGACTACCTAGTCTTCCAAATTTCAAATTATTCGAGCAGAGTCTCAACAAAACTCTCATTGAAAACCTTCGACGAGGCGTTTCCTTGGGTTTAGCACAAGGGAAATTACCTGTTTATCCCTGCCCGAATGAAAGCACAGTCCTTACAGTGTGTCTTTCGGAGACCACAGCAAGTATGCCTGGCATTTCCTTGGGGACTTCCTCGGGAATAGTTTCCTCAATGAGTACATCTTCGAAATTCTCAGAAACTCCGCTGCAAGATGACAAGGCCTTGTCAACCCATCGACTACCGAATATTCAGTCCGTTTCCTTTGACTCGGTTCACACAATGTACCCAGTTGAGGGAGAAGTGGTCACTGGTATCATGAATTGCAGCAGTTCCTGTCGTCATATTGTCGCAGAATCGTTTGAAGTATACCTCAGCCTCGAGGACGCAATTCTTTTCGCGACTAAGAAAGAGGCGACGCTGGGATATGACGTCGAAAGGCTGACAGCAGAGAAGAGAAAGCTTCTCGACACCACATACCATTTTATTGACGTTGAATGCATAAAGGGTGAACTTGAAACCGTGTACTCCTTGTCAGAGAGCAATGAACTCTTTCTTGCTGTCGGGGAGGTGATGCTCAGGATCAAAACATATCCATAGATGCTAGGACTAGTACTTGTACCTAGGTACCTAGTAGGTAGGTAGGTACTAACTATTGTATTAAATATTCCCGACTCGGAGTTCAATTTAAGACTCGGACTCGGAATGCCTTCAAGTTGTAGAATCTTATGAATAAGTGACCAAGAGGGTCGTATCATTGGGTATAGCGATATTGGCTAAAAATGAATAGATACAGAACATAGATGATAGAGGGGACATCTATAGTCCAAAGGCTATATATCAAAGCGCGTTTTATACCTCCTTCCTGTAAAGATATTAGATGGGAACTGGAGACTACAAATATGGGAAACTCACCAGGTATAACCAGCCCTCTCAACACCAGGGGTCTTAATCGCGTTGTGATTTCCAAACGGGTTATCTTCGTCCTCCTCTTCAGACTCGCTTTCACTCTCACTTTCACTCTCAATGACGTGTCGAGAGGAAGAAGCCACAGGCCGCGGGGGCTTGGCGGGATTGACGCTCAAGCCGTTAAAGCTTTCGCCCATCTCGTCCTCAATCTCCGCTCTGGACCTCCAGTTACCTGATAGCACATCGTCATCACTATCACTGTCATAATCGTAACTCTTGTCCAAAACTTCGTAGGACATCAATGCGTCCACGAGTTCCTCATTGGCGTGAATGAGACCGCCCAAGAACTCCTCGCTCTCGATATGTTGGATATAGCGCAGAATTCGGTGTCGGAGCTTCTTGCAGATCTCGAATCGACTAATGCACTCGGCGTCTTCGCTGATACGGGTGGTTTCACGGTTAACCAGCTTGAGCGCATTCAGCAGATTTGTACTGGCCACTGAGGCTGAAGCAAGTGTCTGAAGAATCTCCGGTCGCTCTTTCTCCAGGTTGAAGCTCTTGCTAACTGACAACTTCTTCTCTTTCTTATCCTTCTTCGATTTCGACTTCTGCTTTGGACTGCTCAGGGTTGTCGATGGTCCGTTGCCCGCGGAAACAGATACCGTGTGGCCCATAGGCACCTCGTTGTGGTTTGCCCCATCACGGAGAACCTTGGCCTTGGCCTGTGTTGCCGGCTGTTTCCGTTTCGGAAGCTGCTTGTATAGGGCAGCGATCTTGGACATGCCCGCTGTGTCTTTATAAGTGACCGCCCATTGACCGAAAAGGACCTTGCATTTCTGCTTCACCAGTGGATCGGAGACCGAGTCTGTACCCGCAATTCGAAGACGTTCAAGGAGTGGCTCATCAGCAAACTCGCGGAGGAAGCGATCGCCGGCGTTTTGAATGAGAAAGTCGAGGATGGTCAGGGCTCGCAATTGTCGGTGTAGGTTTCCGTATTTCCTATCGAAATCGTGCATGAGTTAGGGAGGTCATCTATGTGTCGGCGAGCGCACCCACAGCTTCTTGCGCAGTGCCCGACTAGCCTCAGTCGGGCCACTGGCCTGGATGCGGACCACCTCGACTAGATCGACGATACCGCTCCAATCATCCACTTCATATTGTTCGCTTGTCAGGACCTCTATTTGTACGGTCACGGCCGAGTAGGGTTTCTAGGGAGGGCGCAAGGTCAGTGTGGAGTCACAAGACAGCTTATCGCATGCCGAGATCGGCTCACCGATGACTGAAACATGGCGAGCGCAGCTCAACGATGCCCTCGAGGGGGGGGTTGATGGATGTAGAATCTGGTATTTCCGGGAGAAGAGATGTGGTTTTGGCTTTTGACTTTAGGTGCCTAGGCAAAGTATCGCGTACTCGTATCGAGCCAAGAAAGACCGAAAGACCCCGCACTGCGCCCAAGATCGGATTGAATGGAATAAATGGGAGTTAAGTAGGTTGCGTGATTTCAATGAGAGGTAGCGCTAGTCCCAGGTAGCGTGTTGAGGTCCTTTGAAGGGTAGTATGTTTCAAAAGGTGAAACTGGCCGGGGGTTGTGGTGTGATAAAGGGGACAAGACGAGCAGACGGTGACGTCGGGGAAGATCCGCAGGGCGATCAACGGTGCGAAGAGGGGCAGGGCGCAAAAAAGGGTAACGATCGATTCCCACAAAAGCCGAATCGAATTATGGAAAAATGGTGGACTCGAACGGGAGGATCGGAAGGGTAATCGAGTACGAAGAAGACTGGCCAGGTGATAATGAGACTCTCAGACTTTCCCAAAAATCCCCAAAAATCCCCCGTGACAGTCATGCCCCAATTGGGACTAGAGCGGGGGTGTCTCAATTTCCGAGATCTTATCATTCAAATCAAATATACTTGAACATAGTTGAATACACTGAATACGAGTATATTTACTTCTTCCAATTACTCGAGTGGCCTAGCTGAGCACTCGGTGAATCCACGCACAGGCAAATTAGCCACCGAATGAAGCCCCCGCGCGTACGTGGACTGCTGCTGCTCTGCTCCACCGTCGTTTTGGCTCTCACAGTGGTCGTTCAGACCCGCTCCCGTCTTGCGCTTATCCCCTCCTTCTCTCTCTTCTCTTACTTCTCTTACTTCTCCTCCCCATCTCACCCCATCACCATGTCTTACTCCCAAGAACGCTACATCGCCGAGCTTGCCGTCCAACGGGCATCCATTCTCACCCAGAAGGTCTTCTTCGAGAAGGCCAAGGGTACCGTCTCCAAGGATGACAAGTCCCCCGTCACCATCGGCGACTTCGGCGCCCAGGCCCTGATCATCCAGGCCATTCGCAAGAACTTCCCCAACGACGAGATTGTTGCCGAGGAGGAGGCCAGCTCCCTGCGTGAGGACAAGGATCTGAGCGCCGAGATCTGGCGTCTGGTCAAGGACATCAAGCTCGATGATGAGGAGAGCAACAACTTGCTCGGTGGCTCCCTGGCCAGCGAGCAGAGTATGCTGGATATCATCGATGAGGGCAAGAGTGTTGGTGGCGGTCAGGGCCGTATCTGGGCTCTCGACCCTATTGACGGCACCAAGGGTTTCCTCCGTGGTGGTCAGTACGCTGTCTGCCTGGGTCTGATCGTTGACGGCGACGTCAAGGTCGGTGCCATTGGTACCCCCAACCTTCCCGTCGATGATGCCGCCACTATCGACGCCAACACTGGTGCCCAGCAAGGCCAGACCGCCGCCAACGGCGTCCTCTTCTCCGCCGTCCTGGGTGAAGGTGCCACCAGCCGCCCTCTGACCACCGGTACCCTTGCCGCCAGCAAGCCCATCTCCATGCGCCCCGTCTCCGATATCGCTCAGGCTGTCTTCTGCGAGGGTGTCGAGGCTGCTCACTCCGCTCAGGGTGACAATGCCGCCGTTGCTGGTCTTCTCGGCATCACCGCCCCTAGCGTTCGTCTGGACTCGCAGGCCAAGTACTGCTCGATCGCCCGTGGTGCTGGTGACATCTACCTCCGTCTGCCCGTCAAGAAGGACTACCAGGAGAAGATCTGGGACCACGCTGCCGGTGACATTATCGTCCGTGAGGCTGGTGGCCAAGTCACTGACATCTACGGTGCCCGTTTGGACTTCAGCAAGGGCCGGACTCTCGCTGCCAACAAGGGTGTTGTTGCTGCTCCCAAGGCTCACCAGGCGCAGGTCATTGATGCCGTCAAGACTGTCCTGAAGCTGTAAGTGTCTTTCTAGCTTTATTTGTTACCATTTTCATCCCCGGTTCCGTGGCTGAGCCATTGGGGACTTTTTTTTTGTCTGGTTAGGGTCACGCTTGATGCGTCCAGAGCACATTTGTGATACCAATTGAAGGAAGAGATCAGAGAGGAAGGCAGAGGAGGAAAAAGTACATATGTGATGGAGATAGAGTATAAGAATACAGGGAACCAAAATGCGATGTTCCAAAAGTGAAAATGAAAAAGCACAAGCACAAGCGCCCATAGACTATTTGATCTTCTTCGCCTTGAGCTTGATAGTCTCTCCGTTGACAAAGATACCCTTGCCCTTGTACGGCTCGGGTCGTCTCCATTCACGAATCTCAGCCGCAAACTGTGTCACCTTGCGCTTATCGACGCTCTCCAGGAGGATACGGGTAGGCTGGGGTGTGCTGGCCTGGACGCCCTCTGGAATACCCAACTCAATGGGGTGGGAGAAGCCGACCTTCAGCGAAACAAACTGCTGTCCGGGGTAGGTCGCCTTAACGGTAGTTGCCTTGGGTTCGATGGTAGCCCTGTAACCGACACCGACAAGACTCAGGACACAAATGTGACCTTCTGAGACACCGGTGATGTGGTTCTGAAGGAGTGCGCGAGTGGTACCTGCAATTGACCAATTGGCCATCATGTTAGACTCAGATACCAACACGCTGCGGGAAATGGAAGACACCTACCCCACATAGCACGCTGGTGCGGAACTTCTCTATCCTGGATAGAGAGAGTGGCCTTCAAGCTTGTCTGATCGTGGTTGACAGTCATGAAAGAGGGAATGTTGAGGATCATCTCGCCTAGATATCGCGTGGGTTAGCACTCTGGGGAGAAAGATGTCATCTGAGACCCAAAACATACCCCTCGGTCCCTTGATCTGCGCAGCATGGGTGGGAACATCCTTTCCGTGACCGCGGCTCTGGCTCTTGGGCAGGTCAATAAGGGTGAAAGACACCTCTGGGGGAACGGAGATGGCGGCGCCTCCAATTCGGGATTGCGCTGGGTTGGTGGTCGAGAAGCATTGCGCACGCGATGGAGAGAACGCGGGGGTGAGGAAAAGAGGTAATGAGGCGCGCTGGAAGGGCTCTCGGAGGAGCTGCCGGGCGCAGCGTTGAGGTAGAAAAGACATGATGTTTGGCGTGTTGAACAAAGCTCCGCTGCGGCGTCGATGATTTTGTCGGAGGAGAACCCCGGCCCGATCGGGTTAGTCACCACGTGATATGGTATTATCGCCTTGATAATCAGGCTACAATATAAATATACCGAATATCAACACCTTGTTCAAGTTTCCCTTTATCGGGTTTGAAATATTTATGGAGGATAAATGGACGTTAAATAGTACTATCCATATTTCAAGGTCCAATTCACTATCGCCTTGTGCTTTTATGGCCAATACTTCTTCCTCCAGGTCCTAAGTACATCATGATAGTATCATGATACTAGTACTAAAAACTAGTAGTTCGATGGTCAAAAAGATACCATTCATGCCAGCCCTGGAGTGGAAGGTGTTAGGCATCAGCATGTGCCTCAATTTGAATCCAGGTAATATTCCCAGAAGGATTTATTTATCTTTTCTTCTCTCCAATTACTCTCTAGGATTTTCCAAAGAGGTCTTAGAGGAAGCTAGTGAGAGAAGGGGACTTGATGTTGAAGGCACAATGTTCGACGTGGGAAGTGAGCTCTCCCGGACCGCAACCAACAACCACCTCACCTTAATAACTTTCATCCGCCGTGATATTCCTTGAGATTTGATCGCTGGTCTGGAATTGGCTTTCAACCTCTCCAACCCTCGATGACTCGGAGATCCGGACACAATGAGCTGGCTCACTACTACTCGAACCTGGCTCATGCTGGTCATGATTGAATTGGCATGGGCTATGGCCGGGCTCGAACAATTTGAGAAATCAGATGGTGTGATTCCTGAAGATGTTCCTGTTCGCCTTGATCAATCTGCTAATTACCTCAGGTAACCTCTCGGCCCAACCGATGATCGCAGGTGACAACCATGTGCTTCCCTACCTAGGATCCAAAGCCCAACAGCACGATGCGATCTTCATCGAAGCAGTTCAGCTCCTCGACTCGATGAAATCTTCACCATCCTGCAATCGTGTTGCCGTAACGAGACTTGTCACATCGTGTCAATTCGTCGGGGGCAAAGAAACAGGCGATTCGAACACTTATGAATATGAAACCTTGGATCGCATTCGGTCTATTTACGCAGCTCGACTGGCAATATGCGAATTGAGTGGTGCCGGCGCCTCAGTTCCTTCTCCTTGTCTTCCGGTGGCAGTCTCTCAGCCCCCAACATCCAACTTTCGATTCCCGTTCACCAGTAAGCCCCGGTCATCGCCCGATACTAGCATCGATCTCTTGCCGGAAGACCTTCTCAGGCAGTGCCTGAAGGCTTTGGAGTCGCGACCTCAGTGGTGGACTTCCTATAGCAACAACCGACAGAATGCAATGGTCATTTGCCAAGCGGCTCGGATTGAGGTGGAAAGAGAGGAACTGCTGGATCTTCATCGGGCCATTGTGAAGACTAGCTCGAAGCTACATGAAGGACTAGGGGCAGCACTGGACAATGCCGCCCTGGAAGCATCCCAGCATCATGCCTTTCTGGGAGAGGTCAGGACAATGCAAGAGAGTCTCACGGCGGATCTTGAGAAGTCAGCATTTATCACTCAGAATGCGCTCGCTAGGCTACTCGGAGAGATTTGGTCTGGCTTGGACAACGTCGCTACTTCGGCTAGCTCAATTATGGATAATCTTCGGGGAGAGGCGGGAATTCTAGCAAAGGTAACAATTGATCATTTTCATTGTTTTGGAGAGACTAATCCCCGCAGGAACTTCGAGATACCTCAGGATCCGTTCGAAGTCTTCAAGACACTCTATATCAAGTGCAGGAAAACACAATTTCGCGGAGCCAGGAAGTGATTCGCATACATGAAGAAGATGCTCTGGCGTACCGAGATGTGGCTTCAGTTTTGCATCATTCACTTGAATCAATCGTGGACACAGACATGGCCCGCCTTTTTCAGCGACTGATGACATTTGATTCCTCATTGGTATGTATTTGAGACAGTGGATGACTTCATTCTGGGCTAACGTTTACTATTATAGGAATGGCTGAATGGCCGGCTTGTCATGATCATGGAGCAGGAGAACAGAATGTCTCAGGTATTTGTATCTGACTTCGAGACTGAGTCTTGTTCTAATGATAACAGCGCTTACAAACCATGGAGACCTCCATGGAGCAGTCATACAACAGAGCCCATGACCTACAGCAAGCTCAACAGTCTCAGGCGCAACTACTAGCCGCCCAGTTCAAAGTACAAGATGAAATGCAATTCAAAGCACAGGTATCTCAAGCTTTGCTGGAGAAAGTTGCTATATCAGCTGCCAACCTGCATTCAATGATCGATGACGCGACGGTGAAATTCAAACGCACACCCGGGTTGCACTCTGGGGGTATTTCAGCATGGACAGTGTGTGCACTTCTTCTCATTCTCATCGGGGGGCAGAGCACCAGGATGGCGATTAGCCTGTTCTTTCTTATCCTTGGTAAGTCACTTCTAATCTCTTTAACAGGTGAGACGGCGGCTAATGTTCATCAACCAGGTCATATCATTGCGACCTTTTGCTATCAGTTTTTCTAGTTATATTGCGGCTTCGATATTGCTATATATGCCCTCATAAGTCGGTTGTTATCCGGATATAGCCGTATGATACCCTCCTATTTGGTTTTATTACACAGTTTCATCTCTATCCACCCTTCCATCTATCTATAGGAGCTTTCAAGCGATGCAATTTCCACATTGCAATCGCTCTACCAAAAGCTCCCAATCAAACTCGGCACAGCTGGCCGGTGGTCATCTAAGCGCTAAACCAGTGGACCCAAAGCCAGATGACGGTGTTTCACCCCCTCCCTCAGATGAAGATGTGCAGCACCGCCACTGCAAGCTGTCAGGGCCAAGTCTCTGAGCGGGTCGGGCCCCAGATTTGGCCCACATGAACCAATGGTTAGCTCTCACTGCACGGGTGACGACTGGAATTATCTCCCCAACGCCCCTGAATACCGAACCTTCAATAACCCCAATAAAGCTAATGTAGAGGGGAAATAATGAAATCTTTACCTATCAAATAGCGGACACTGCCTCGCGCTACGTCCATGTCACGTGTTCTGTAATGCCAGCAACGTGGATAGGGAAGGAAGTGAGCTGCCGTCCTCTTCTTCCCTCCTCTGAATCTCCAACAACTACAAAGCTACGCTTCGAATACATTCCCACACGGAATAATCCAGTATTTACGTGACTGTCATCATGCCTGGTGTTCGTAAGTGCACTCCATTCTCGTTCGAATAATCGTCATCACGAACTCCCCCCCAAAACGTTGATCTCCTCGAGTGCTCTTTCTCTAACCCCACACTAGCTCCCGATGCCTTCGCCCAGGTGAAGAAGGGCCTCAAGAACATCTTTCGTCGGAAGAAGGAGAAGAAGGCTCAACAGAATTCGGATGCAAAGCCTACTGAGACTGCTGCCACTCCTGCTGCTGTTCCCGAAGCAACCCCCGCTCAGCCTGCTGCTCCCACCGAAGGCACTGCCCCAACTCCAACACCAGAGGCTACCCCAGCTGCTCCCACCGAAGGCACCGCCCCAACTCCAACGCCAGAGGCTACCCCAGCTGCCCCCGCTGAATCTGCGCCTGCTGAGACCAAGCCTGCGGTCCCTACTCCTGCTGCTGGCACAGATGGTGCTGCCGGTAAGATCACTGCCCACATCTGCCGTGGCTCATGATGTACTGGCTGTTTTAAGTGTATTGGCTGACTCGTTATTATTAGACCCTGTAACTGCCGCTCCCAAGGCCGAAGAACCTGCTACTGCTGCTGCCGCCGCCGTTCCCTCGCAGCAGGCTACCGAGACTCCCGCCAAGCAGGGTGAGTGATGCTGCTCCAGTGTTGGCACTTCCGTTCCATGTGGTTCATACTAATCGGTTACAGAGCCAGCCAAGTAAACCGAATGGAATTCCAACCTTTTAAAAGGAACTGTCAGATGGAATATTGTTCTGCATGTTTTTCTGCAAAGTCTGTTTGTTTGTTCGTTTGTGCTTTATCGTCTCTTCTAGGCTATACACCCCCGATAGCCATACAGAAGCATTGAGGTCTCTCAGCGCTCATACCTGTTTAGTTAGTTGCATAATACCCACTAATGTCGAGGTCTTGGTTACCTCCTAATTGAATTCTTATTTTGAAAAAGAAATTCAAATATGGATGTGGAAAGCATTGTAATCGTAGGGTATCATTCTTACTTCCGGCTGGGTAAATCGATCTATATAAGCCTTGAAACGGCCTACTCTTCGCCACCGGAAGATACATCCCCATCAGCCATAGCAACATCACCGTCAACAGTCTCGCCCGCTTTGGCAGCCTTTTCCTCGCGGGCCTTTTGTCGCCGCTTGATCTTTCGTTCGCGGTTCTTGCGGGTCCGCTTTTCTGCCTCGTTCTCCTTGGCAATCTCGGCCGCCTTGACTTTGTTGCGAAGCTGAACACGGCGCTTCTTGCCTGGCTTCTTTCTGGTCTTGGGTGACTTGGTCGGCAGGGCACCCTCGACCACGTATACGGGCACAGTTTTGTGTGCTGACGGCACTTTCGTCTGATGGCGTTTGAGACGGATCACTCGCCATGACAGGTCACAACCAGGCTAGAAGGTCATGTTAGTCGTGTTTCTTCATAATTCGCGATGGTGGATCGATGTATGTTCCAGTAAAAGAAGCACTTACCCACGGTTGGGCCTTAGCCCAAGTTGTTATGTGTTCGCCGGTCACGGCTGTATCCTCATACTGGCGTCGCTTCTCTGACAGCTGCGCCTCAATATTCGACCCATCCTTCGTGTCATAGAGTGTCGGGTCGGTGAAGTAGTATTGCCATCCGCGGAAGGCCTTGATGAATCTACCGTCCTCTGGTCTGGCGGATACGGGGGTTGGAGAACGCAATCGAATGCGCAGCTTCTGTGTTCCTTCATTACCGGCCTCTTTCTCCTTAGATAATCCCTTTTGCTTTGTAGATGATCCTTCTTCGGTTGCGTTCTCGGTGGTTTCTTGGGGTTTGACGGGCGCACTGAACAGTCGGAATTCGAACTCTTGCTCGTCGTCCTCATCGGCAACGTCAGGTTGTTGGCTCTCTTCGTCATCTTGAGTAGTATCCACTCCAATAAGGCCGTCTAGATTTAGCAACCTCCCGAGGCGGTCGCGTGCATCTTGGAGGTCGGCTTCGTCGGCGGGGATGGAGAGCGTGATGAAGCTGGTGATTGAACCTCGTCACGGCGGACGCTGGAGAAGAAAGGTCAGTTTATTGATCAATTGGACCTTTCTATTCAAATCCCGCCTACCGTTTTGCTGTGGGAAGATCAAACATGGTATGCTGTCCTGTCGAGCGCAAGTCGATGGTGATATAATGAGACGAAAAAACTGCTGAACGGTGAGTGGTGGTGATTGTCTAATTTCCACGCTGCGGCCACGCACTTTTTGGTTATCAATGACATCGCACGGACGCCCAGCCTCACCTGATGGCCTGCGCCCGATCCGATACATCCAGCATTTTTTCCCCTCTGCGCCATTTTCTTCGAGTCTCAGTTCACGCTTCCTCACCCCCCACACTCCTTACCCTGCACGTCGTTAACCGCTCGACTTCTATCATCATCTCCACCGCAGCCCCTACTGCGAGCGCGGTGGAACCGCTCACTGCATCGATCATTGGGGGTTGTTTAATACCTCGTGGACCGCCGCAACGTGCGCCTCTTCCGTTCTCACCTCGACCTCGAGTTTTATAAATGGGTATCTGCGCCTCTTGTCTTGGCGGCGCTCGCCAGGAGTCTCCAGAAGTGAGTCCCTTTATGAAGGTGTTTGGCGAAGGATTGGATTTTCAGGCATCATGTTCAATGCGCATTACCTCGGCCTAATGCGCGATACGTGGGACGCTCTCAAGAGAGAAAATCGATCTAACGTTTCTTCTCTACAGCCGGAGTCTTCACGTCTACTAGACGATGACCCTTATCAAGCGGGTTATGGTTATGGGGCCCTCAATCATGCCCAACAAGCAAACCAACCGGATCCGGAATACGTGAGGCGGGAAAGGGAAGCACTGGATGCTATCTGTCAACGAACGTCAGAGTAAGCTACTCTATTTGAAGAAACAGCGTATTCATTGGCTTGGTTTTGGGGAAATTGAAGAATATATGTCGCTAATCCTTCCGGTCTCCAGCTCCGTCATCGATATCTGGTCGCTCCAGCCACAACCCCATCTCCAACCCCAAGCGACCCTTCACACCCCGGCCTCAGCTTCGCCTTCTCCTAACCCAGATGAATCGCACCTCACAGTGACTTCAGATCACGGTTCCCACACGAGTCGCCCGACATCTGAAGGCACCGTCCCCAAGCACTGGGGCGAAGTCGTCGTCAACCCCAAGCGATCCCGATCGGATATCAAAGCCGAGGCGAATGGGGTCCGGGACGTCTTTGGTGTCTTGAAGGTCAACTAAGTTGCATATTCAAGACCACTACTATGTTTGTTGGAAGGAATCCAACATCTTCGCCACGCCGACAATGATGCACGCTTAAAAAGAAGGCGTGGAATGAGCGGATAATAACCCGCAGGCCCCTGAAGAAATGGGGCAAGGAAATACTCTGCACAAGACTTCCAAGGTCACCCCAACCCTTGTATGTTGTAACTCTGTTTGTTCAGGGTTTACTTTCTGTTTGATGTTGCATGGATCGCCGGTCGACTGTTTCGCACATACATATCCACTCACTTATTTCTCCTTGATCTGATAATACCCACAGCTCAGGATTTCCGTCGTCAAATTTCTCTTGTTTCCTTTTCTTTTTTTCATGTTTCGTTTTTGAAATCTTCCTTTTTTAGTTGGCATCGATATTTCTCTACTGCAAATCCTGGTCTGGATCTTGCAACTGCGAACCCTCTGTTCTGATATTCGTTTATAACCATACGATGGTTCTTCACTTTGTGATTATTCTTAGAGACTAGAGCAATTGAAACAATTTACAGGTAAATACCTATATTTTATAACGGTCCTCGTGGGGGTTTGTTACCCAGACTTCCGAGTCAGTAAACCACTCTACTGGAATCTGGAAGGTCCAAGTTGTAGATATGTGACTTCCAAGGTTCGATGAACTTTATATTGGGGGCCATGCTACTTCAAGTTTGCTGGATTGAAACGAGTGCCCGAGAATGATGCCACTTTACTGTTAAAACTGCGAGCGGTGGAACTTTGACTTGGTATACTGCGACAATCACAACAGCAAATGTTGACGGCAGTGGCTTACGGCCCAGCCTTGAAAGCCCCGAGGTTGTGCGTGAAAAATACAGCCATTTCTAGTATCAGAACTAGCCATTTTCGAGGTCGATGTCCTTATAGTTCTAGTTACGTCAATCCTAGTAGGAATTGCTCTTCGTCCAGCAAAAAATGCTACGACTACAATATGAGATCGAACTTGAAGGTTGGAGGTTCGGGGTGGTATGGCCAGGGATACTGTCTGTGCTCCTGGGAAACGCGACGGGCTTGGGTAGACTTCATAACGCGCATTTCACTTTCGCAGATCGGGAAATGTGTCCAGATAGATTGCTTGGGTACATTGATTCAGTCCATAGCAGCTGGCTGTACTATATGGAAGGAGGGTATAAAGGGTGAAGCTGGCAGGGGAGCGACTTGGGAGCATGAACGCGCGACGTGTCGATGAGGTGAGAAGGGGTGACGCGGAATTGAGCTCTGTTCTGATCTGCAAGTGTTGCGTGCAAATGCATTTGATAAGTCGATTTACGTATCTTATGAGCAGGGTTACAACTACGATAACCTCTTCTCCAAGCCCGGGCCATTGGCCCAGGGAATGATGAAAAGATATTTAGATCCAACAAGTGGAAAGTGCCAAAGAATGCGCCTGTCAATGACCCGAAGGCCGTTGAACAAACTGTTCCGCCGCGCTGTGCAATGCAGGGACCAATCTGTGGTGGGCCGCCTTCATGAGCGCAGCCACCCAAACAAGGTAAGTATGAAGAAGAAAGAAAAGAGGAGGAAGACCGCGGGCGGCGGGCTGGTTAAATACCCCCAGGTCACATGCCAAGTGCTTAGCGAGAGGAAGGGGTCTTGGTCATGTGATCTTCATCCTTGGCATATATGGTCACCTGACTATCACTACTGTGACAGCTCACCTTCTCTGTATGCTCTGCTAAGGGTTTACGGGGGGAAGGACAGATACGAGCTTTGATAGTGTCTGTGCCTTGCATCCTGAAATCTATAGATTCGGCCGATCAGATCCACGTGTGGCAGAAGCATTATTGGGTTGAGGGTTGAATTTTCAATAATTGGGCCTCCTTGTTTACCCGTCCCAAGTGGACTCTGTGCAAGCTCGTGTGGAGCCTCTCCTATTATTTTCCACGGATGGGTACCAACTCTGTACAGTGGTCCTCGCGAGCAACCATGGTCTAACTCTGATTCCGACACGTTTTTATTTTATTTCCCCCCGTTTTGGCTTCCATAGTTTCCTGCGCACGTTGGTACATTTCGCCGATACATATTGGCTGCCTGTCGGACTGATATACCAGGCAAATCACACGGAGTAGCCTTCTCCATATCTTGTTCAAGATGAATCCACCGCGGTCTCACGTAGCGATGGTGTGCGCATCTTCATTAAAGTGTGCCATGGTTAGGGGGAGGCTCGATAACAAGTCTAGTAGACGCTAGAAGAGACGGAGGACCTCGGAGGAGAGCTTAGACGGGGAGAAAGTTTCAACCAGGAAGAGTATTGGGGCCCCCTCAGGCACACCGCAAGAACAAATTCTTGTCTGGTGTCCGTGTTTTCGCCCTTGGCAAGCGATTCCGTCGCCTTGAGGACGGGATCTTCGCGCGATGATGCGATCCATCCGGTTCTCTATCCACGGATGGGTCCTACGGGATGACTCTAGTCGGTGGTCCTGCGGGCATCTCCGCTCTACAGATGTGGATGGAGTAGGTAAACAAATACGGAGCACGGAGTACATCTGCACATACATCACGTAGTATGTATGTACATATTCCGTAACAGGCCACCACCTGAAGCGCAATGACAATTGGATAAGCACCCTGGCAGGTCGCATGGCAGCTGCAGGACCAGAAATCCTGACAGCGAAACCGCCAGCCAAAGAGATCGACGGGGGCACTGGCCATTCATCGACCTCAGTCCCGGGGTCGGCAACTCGTGACTTGGAGACCGCGACAGCACGAAAGAGGCAGGATTGGCAAATCCAAGTCTTGGCCTCAACGGGTGGAAAAGGGGCAGGCCGATGAAGCAATTGGAGGGCGGGATACGGAGTGGATCGGTCGTATGGGCTATCATTACTGGAAAAGTTTCGGTTGCAGTCTGGCTCTGGTAGGGTCGTCTCCTGATCGACCTGATAGCCACGACCTGTTGTGAGTCAGATATCTCAAACTGCAGAACTATGGTCGAAAAACAAAAACAAAAACAAAAAAACGATCGAACAGCTTTGCGAGAGGAGCTGAACCATGGGAAGACACGAAACAAAGGGAATAGTTGGGCGCTAGATGAAGCATAGGTCGTATAGGAGTAGGGCTGGCCAGCCACCGATGGGAGATGGCTTAAGACACGGGACCACCAAGTGGGTCGCAACCGTACTTTGAGCGTTAGCCCGAACATCTAGAAGAAATTGGTCCAGTAGCTGCCTCTAGGAGAGAAAAAGGGGGCTGTTAATTAGGGGCAATTTCGGATTTTTTTTTTTTACTTCTTACGGATAGTATTGATAGTGGGGTCTGATTTACAGTACGGCCGATGTAAACAATCATACCGATATTGTAGGGTAGAACTCTGTAACTTCAGAGTTGTAGACGAGATGAGACTCGGTCGAGTTGATCCCAGTCGAGGGAAGGAATACGGAGTACGGAGTACGAAATACTACTTACAACCCCTCCTCGTATCACGTCAAAAGAATGAGCTTTTGGTGTGGATGGTGTCAGAACCGTGCGGAAAGATAGGACCGTTAGAGAAGTACATCATGGGATCCTGGGCGCGATATCGTGGGCGCCAATGCGAGCTGATCCATGATACGTCCTCGATAGGGCACAACATGGGGTGATGACGCGCACGAAGAAGGAGGGGGTTGTGCAACTGGCGTTGGTTGGCCACGAGGGTTCGCACGCCACTGGGATAGCGGCTGGTCATGGGGTTGCTGGATTACACCTTTATTGTAAGAAGAGTCGATATCGGGACAAAAGGCAGATAGGTTGAGTTGGATCGCCAGTAAAATGCGGGCACCAGTCCAGTATCCCAGTATCCCAGTTGCATCAAGGCTGGATCGGCACCTTGAGAACGATTCCGACAGGTGGGCGACCTCACCCTGGCTGATCAGCACTGCAGAATGAGAAAAGGCAAACCCGCTGGACCAGAGTTGGAACCGGCCCAGCACCTCAGAAAAGGTCCTTTATTTTGCCTCTCTCTCCTCGTCCCCCTCCTTGAAGATTGAAGGGTATGATGCCTTGCGGGAGGGATGTACATAGCAGGTACATATCAGTTGACGGTATTGAAGTATGTAACGTGACATGCTCGTACTGGAGTCACCCCCTGGAACTGTGTAACTTGGGAGAGAATCTACGGGTGGTCCATACTCCAATCGCCCCGGTGACCCAGGCTGAAAGGACCTAGGTACGGAGTATCCAGGTATCATGATATGTCGAAAGGCAAGTTACAGGAAAATTCAAAGTACAGAGAACAATGAGAAGTTAATCAATTTCCGGAAAGTCTGGAAATTAGGGTAATAATATAATAATAATATAATAATAATAATAATAATAAATTTCAAATTTCAGAGGGCAACAAAGCCCGTTAATTTGCACGGGAGGGAACCCGAGCTGTACGGGCAAATTAGGGGGGAACGTTCAATGCATGGCCGATCTCTCTCGGTGGTGTGATGCCGGGGCACTCGTCCAATAGGGGAGATATCTACTCTGGACAGCGTAGACAGTACGGAGTACACTCGTGATGATATACCCATGGATATCTGTAATCTACTCCGTAGAGAGTGTCAACTAAATACTGTATTTTATATACTCTGTACATTGTACTCTGTATACGGAGTACTCTGTACGTATCCAAGTACCCAAGTATCTAAGGAGTACCCCTGTTACCTAACTAAGCGCCAGGACCCACTGGTCTGGGCTCCCTGCAGCTCTTTTCCCCTTTGGTTGCTCCCCTCCCCCCATCGCTCTTTTTTTCTCGCCCTTCCCTCCCTTTTTCTTTCCTCTTCTTCTTTTTCTCTTCCAAAGCAAAATACCCCCCCTTTTTCCTACGTCGTTGTGATACCCGAGCTCTTTTGTAGCTCTTATTTCTTTGCTTTCAAGATACCCCGATACCCCCAAACTCGCCGTTTCTTCGAAGCTCTGCTTCTTTAATCTCGATACCCCCAACCACTTCGGTTTAATTATTTCTTTTAATCATGTCTGACGTCCAGAAGCCTGTCGAGGAGACCCCCGCGGTCGTCCCCGCTGTTGAGACTCCCGCCGTTGAGGCTGCTGTTGAGGCTCCCAAGGAGACCACTGAGGAGACTCCTGCTGCTGCCCCCGTTGAGGAGACTGCCGCCGCTGAGACCACTGAGGCTACTGAATCCGCTAAGGAGGAGGCCAAGGAGGAGATCAAGCCCGCTACTGAGGGTACTCTCGGTCACAAGGCCCCCGGTCTCGTCAAGTAAGCTCCCGAGTTCTTTGTTTACTTCGCGACAACGTGCGCATCGAGCTTGCAACTGACCTTTTTTTTTCTCTTTGCGCAGGGGTTTCCGCTTCTCCAAGCGTTTCTTCTACTTCACCGAGGAGGCCACTGAGGCCAAGAACCTGGCCGTTTTCCAGCAGAACGAGAAGGCCGCCGTCGCCAACCCCACTGTCGCCTGGGCCACCCAGACCGGAAAGGGTCTTCTGTTCTTCACCAAGCGCGCCGAGGACAAGGCCACTCCCGCCGGTATCTTCAACCTCGCCGAGGTCACCGATATCACCAAGGAGAGCTCCAACGAGTTCATTTTCAAGGTCGCCGGCCAGAAGCACACCTTCCAGGCCTCCAGCGCCGCTGAGCGCGATAGCTGGGTCCTTGCTCTCGAGTCCAAGGCTACCGAGGCCAAGGCCGAAAAGGAGAACATCACCTCCGGCGAGGGCTACAAGGCTGAGCTTGAGAAGCTGACCAAGCCCGCCGTTGCCGTTGCTGCCGCCAAGAAGCCCGTTGAGGAGACCACCGAGGAGACCCCCGCTGAGGAGGCCAAGCCCGCCGAGGAGAAGAAGGAGGAGAAGGCCGCTACCAAGAGCCGCTCCCAGTCTCGCAAGCGCTCCAGCATCTTCGGCTCCCTCCTAGGCAAGAAGGAGGAGGCCCCCGCCAAGGAGGAGGCTAAGGAAGAGACTGCTGAGGAGACCAAGGCCGCTGAGCCCATCGCCGAATCTGCTGCTGAGCCCACTACTGAGGCTGTTGCTGAGCCTGCCGTTGCTGCCACTGAGACCACCGAGGCCGCCCCTGAGGTCCCCGCTAAGGACGAGGCCAAGCCTGAGGAGACCAAGCCCGTTGAGGAGAAGAAGGAGGAGAAGAAGGCTAAGCGCGCTTCCATCTTCGGCAGCCTGTTCAACAAGGTCTCTTCCCCTTCCCAGGAGAAGTCCGAGAAGGAGGCCACTGCCGTCCCCGCTGAGGAGAACGCCGTTGCCAGCACCGCTCCCCAGCTCGAGAACCCCGTCGAGGAGGCTGATGTCAAGCCCATTGAGGCTGAGGCCGTGACTGCCCCTGCTGAGGCTGAGGCTGCCAAGGATGTCGCCGCTGCCCCCGAGACTCCTGCCGAGACTGCCACCACCCCCAAGGACAAGCGTCGTTCTTCTTTCTTCGGTGCCTTCGGCAAGAAGGAGAAGAAGGATACCTCCGACAACGAGGCCACCGATGGTGAGACCAAGGAGGCCAAGAAGGAGAAGTCCAACAAGCTCGGCGGTCTGTTCCGCAAGCCCAGCAAGGCTGTGAAGCTTGACAAGGAGACCCCCGCTGCCGAGGCCGAGACCAAGGCTGAGGAGACCAAGGAGGCCGCCGAGGAGACCCCTGCTGCCGTTACCGAGGAGACTCCCGCTGCCACTGAGGCTACCCAGGCTGCTGAGCCCGCCGCTGAGGAGGCCAAGAACGTCAACGTTGCTGCCGCCACCCCTGTCCAGGCTGCTGCTTGAACTTCGTCCTCGCGACACGTCGAGTTTGAGCGATGGTGGGACATGACCTCTACATCGCCAGCTCTTAATCGTCCTGATGGGCTCGGTTACCCCGCGCCCTGAAGGTGCAAATACGGCTTTATACCAATTGTCTTTACAGTTTTTTGTTCAGTATTTATTTTTGTTCCTCGCCACTGTCATCCTTCCTATCACCATTGTCTTACTGCCTCGTGAGCTTCGTGGTATGAAGGGTGTCAATGAGATACCCGCTGTCGCCGTTTTTTTTTATTTAATTTCCTTATACCAAAAAAGCCCCCCAATAATCCGCCTCGGCGCTTTCACCGACGCCGTTCATTCCTTTTAACGACATGCGTCCCGCAATCGAATTTCGATTCACGACTTGTTGACGCGTTACGTGGTGCGTCTCCCGACTAGATTGATACCACTCTGCCTTTGTCCGGTTCTGTGCGTTCTGATATTCGTGCTCGATACCCTAAGGGGAGGAAAGGTTGCTGTCATTTTTGCGAGGGTTTCATGATTTCCGGTTTATCGCTGGTGTCTTTACGCTGCTCCTCCAAATTGCTTGCCCCTTTACTTGTTGTCTGCCGATGTTCCCGGCTTCCGGGGTTTATTTTGAATACTTCGGGATGTGGGCACATATTGCGATAGGTAATACTTAATAGAATCTACTTTGCTTTCAAATTTTGCATTTCATCAATCTACCTGTAAACTTCGTAGAAAGCTTATATGCTTCAGCCGGTGAACGATGGGTCAAGCTGCGTTGGGTGGATCTGAGCCGCTGCAAAGCATAATGCACGACACAGTCTCCATCAAGATGCGCTGGCGATGGGGTCGTTGCAAGTACTAGTCTGTACATCATCTCATGAACGGCACGTCTCCACTTCCCGCTGGGCGTTATATGCGAGAGAACCTGTCTTCCAGGCCATTCCTCCAACACCCAATCTAGCCGGGGAAGAGAATCTCCAAGCCCTGGCCCTCAAACAAACAAATCAACATTGATCCCAGCTTCATTGAGCGCAGCAGCCAGCCTGCCCTTGAAAGAGCTATCTCACCGTTTGCATTTGTAATCTAAATTATTTTTGGCCGGTTACCTTGTTTCCTCTGGCTCCTGCGGCGGCGGGAGATAGGTCGGGGTTTGCGTGGCCTTCAAAGCTGGGTTGCAGGGCGGATGCAGCCATACTACTAGTAATGAAAGACTCGATCTCGGTGACTCGGACGGTTAGAATAAAGCTGGTTGTACTAGTAAGGCACGCAACAGTTCATTCAACTTCAAGTTGGAATGTACATAAAACTGAATTGATTTAAACGTTCCAACGTCCCAACTTGAAGGCAACTTGAAGGCTAGTGTTTCAAGTTATCGGAGTTCATGATGGATATTTTAAGTTCCTATCTAGCTCTGGAGGTAGTAGGTCACATAGTAATAATATATACCTACCTCGGTAATAGGCATGATCCCATCTCACTGGCCCCTAATGGCCTGGGAATTTCATGCCCAGATGTCATTGCCATGTAATGCCGCGGCCGCTCCCTCGAAGATGAGAGAACCGCTTCAACGAGTTGCGAAATGTCTAATATGAATATCGATGTATACTACTACTAGCACTAGTATGTTTAGAATCGACTTCAGCATTGAAATGAGATGATGAGTTATAGGTAGGCCTATCCTGCCCTGCAGATTGTCTAGCATCAGCCTTCCTCGATTCCCTCCTATATTCATATCTTACTACAACTTGGCTGCTATTTCGTCACAAAAAAACTTTACCATGCAAGGCGAATTGAAGGACATTTCCAATTCCCCAAAGCAGAATGTGTCCATCCCCCTCCACGACCTAGCTTGGAATGAGTGGACGATGCCTCGGCTTCCCACCTTTAGAGCAGCAACACAGCAACTAGCCGGCTCAGGTCATCATGGCATCGTCGGTGCTACTGGGTCGAGTAGAGGGGGACCTGGACCTAGCCAGACACTCCGCGATAACTCGCACAGCCCTGGAGGCCCTGACAGAAGATCCTTCAAGAACACAGAAGATATGCGTGAGAGTTATCGACGTGGTCCAAGACTCGATCCTCAAGTTTTCCAAGGTTTGGGACTAGAACCGCGGATGAGGGGTTAAGTATCAAGGTTGATTTCAAAATACTTGCGAGTAAATTCAAGGTTTCCACTGTTTACTGAATACTATTCAACAGTTCGGTCTTGTACAGAATGCTCCAGCTCCGTCAACTTTTGACTTACAAGTGGCACCGTATGAAAGAATTGCACCTGCCTACTAACTTAAGTAGTACTAGTTACTACTGAGATACTAGTAGTAGTAGCCCTAGAGGTATTCCATAGTATTAATGGATAATTGTAGAGGAGGGATTGGTGCTGCTTGCCCGTTGGCAGGTGACATCAATTTCAGCCTCATGTTCAAGGCTTTTATCATAATCCATGGATGGGGCGGTTATATATCTAGTAGGGGCTTCCTAACATACCTAGGTACACTGTATCTACAAATTGATCTGATATGCTTACACACCTCTCAACTCTAATGGATCTAGTCAGACCGGGCCGGACGTGAAACACGGGCAGCCAGTCGCTGATTTTTGGACCTCGGCGGCCGGCCGCCAAGGGCGCGCGGTTCGAATGCGAACCCCGTTTCACCCGGTGGATCCCAGGTATGGACATACGAAGTTAGCGAAAAAGGAGCTAGGCGTTGTTTGATTTCGGAAGGCTCAAGCGACATGGCTAAAAAAAATTAATTGATGGCTGGTGGGGGAGGAGAAGAATGGGAATGAGTGATCATCAATCTACGGATAGGACGGGTAGGATAGTATCCCGGAGTACTTAAGATGAATCACAGCGGTTGAGCCGGGATCGAATTTCCGTCCTATCATCTGGTCGAGAATAGACGGTCAGGGTTATAGAATGCAACCCTTGATGATTTCAGATGCAGATTGATTTTGGGACGATCTCTGTGGAGGACTGGGACAAAGTCAATTTTTTTTTTTCACGCCCTTCGGCAAGGCTAGTATCAAAAGAGAAATCGAAGGGGTACACGGGCCACGGACACAGCCCGGCGCGGGGACAGGATTGGGAAAAGATCGGTGGAGTCTGTACTCCATCGAGAGTCGTCGAGTCGAGTCGGAAACGAGGGTTTTGCTCCGAGGGTCATCCGCCGGGTTTTTACCTTGAGGCTAGGCGTTTTGTATGGAGTATGGACTACGTAGTTGAGTGAGATTATCGGGCAACCGTTTGGGAAGAGAGAGTTGGATTAATAATACTGCCAGGACGAAAACACGAGCCTGGGCGTGGTCTTGTCGCAAATACGGAGTACATCCCATATGTACTATTCAGGCAGACGTCATGCACGGATAAGAGGATCCGCAGAGGAGCAGATCGCGGTTTTGAGTCCAGGCCACCATCATGATCAATATCAGGGGCCTAGGAATTTCTCTTCAAACGATGTGGAGGACGTGTGGATGCCTGGGACATGCCAGGTAAAGGGCGTAGATTGGTCAATTGGCGGAGATGGAGGAGAGGGGAGGGGGAGGCTCAGTGGGGAGGTACTTCAAGATACTTTGATGGTGGAGTGGAAGGTACCTCATAAGGTGGGAAACGTCAGCCAAAGACACCTTAAAGAAGGGCGATCCAATGTACCTCCTCCGTACTGGTTGTACTTGCAGTGTAGCCTCCTGTGGGTCTCACCTAAGGCAATGCATCCAATGGAAGGAGGGTCCACTCGAATCTGAACCAATCACAATGCTGTCATCGAGTGTGACTCACACCCCGTGACCTGTACCAGGCCTCAGCCCCAACCAGGCATGATCTCTGATTGGTCAACCGGACATTCGGCGCACACAGCCAAATTGGTCGACCGCTTAAGAAGTGCCTGAATTCCCCCATCGATGCCTGCCTTCTTCTTTTTTCTTCCATCCCTCGTGATTTATTCATCCATCAACAAACTACATTATCCACTCTTGACATCATCTTCAAATTTTCACCATTCTGCCTACACTGAAACATCATTTTGACTCTCCGATCCAAAATGGCCGCTTTCTAAGCGACTCGTCTCGACAGTCTCCGTCTTTCTCACAAGAGACAGACATCATTGATCCCACGGGAACTTCGTCTTTTATCTCCTCTCAACAACCTTCTACCCCGACCGACTTTACGTCGTTCACCACGGATAACTTCCAGCAACCATGGCTTCCCACGCCCCCGCCCCATCTGCCACAGGCCTCCAGTTCGAACAACAACAGCAACAACAACAGTGCGTTAGAGGACTTCGTACTCTATCCCGCTCCGCAAGCTCCAGCTCCTCGTCCGCAGCCTCAACCCAGAGCCTCGCGTGCGCCCGTACCCTCGAGTACTGCCCTTAAGCCGTCTGCCCTCCAGCCCTTTCTGGCGCAGAACAACCCTCGAAGACATTCCTTCAGTCTGCAGTTGCATCGTCACCTCCAGCAACAACAGTTCTCTGGTTCTCCCCCTCAGGACCCCAGAGTGACCCAGCTTGCCCGGTCTCCTTCCTACTGGTCTCACCCCAACTTGAAGCGCTCCCCGCACTACCAAGCGGCTTCCGTGCCTTCATACTCGCCTCACAACCACCCTTCCGCTCCCACTTTCCACGCCGGAAACTTTGATATCTCTACATTCGAGAAAACGAAACAACACATCCTGGCATCCCGCCGCAATATGTCCGCTCCAAACTTCACCGACGACGACCTCTTCGGGTTCCCCTCTACCGGCATTCATACCGGCATGGGTTCTCCTCTCGATCTCAGCCAACTGGGCCACGAGACCGATGCCTTTTCCCCCGTCGCACCCACGGGTACCATCTCGCCCAAGGATCTGATGTTTGACGCATCTATGCCTCCTTCCAGCACTTTCACCGACCTGAGCACTCCTCCCTACGACTCGCCTGCGACTTTCAGCCAGAACCCTTCCCCGCTCTTCACTGATGTGGATTACATGGGCCAGGAGGACTGGGCCCCACTCTTCCACGACGCTTCCTCCGGGGGCAACGTGTTTGACGCCCAGTTCGATGTTGCTGCTGCTCTTGCTGCGAAGCCTGAGCCTATGTCGCCTGCTCCCAAGCGCGTGACATCTGTCAAGTCCTCGCCCATTCCCGCCACTGGCCACACCAAGCACTCCAGTGTTTCTGGCATCAGCCGCTCGCGCAAGGAGCTGTCGCCCGTCGATTTTGACCCGGCCGACCCTATTGCCGCGAAGCGTGCTCGTAACACTGAAGCCGCCCGCAAGTCTCGTGCCAAGAAGATGGAGCGTCAAGCTTCTGCCGAGCGCACCATCAGTGATCTGCGCAAGCAGATCTCTGACCGTGACGAGACTATCGCCAAGCTTCAGGCTCAGCTCCGTATCCAGGAGAAGTTCCAGTGAAAAAAAAAAAAACCACGGACATTCTAAAAGCTCTTTGCCATTCCTTTGACCCGAACGTGTGTTTCGTTTCGTGATATTATATTGTGTTTATTTTTTTCTTATATCCGGCAAAATCGGTTTGATGGGCGCGGGGGTTAATGGGTAAAGCCTATTTCCCCGACGTCTCCACGAGATGCCAGAGCCTTGCCTCTTTGGATCTCTCAAAAGTTCGACATGACCCGAGACGTCATTGTTATATTTGCTTTAATTCCTTTCTCCTAATATGTTTTTCTTAATTGTTTCAGCCGGTTCTGATTGTCTCCCCCGCTTCAGCGAGTGGATTGACTCGTGGCTCTTGCTATTATTTGATTAGCTTTAATTTGAAATTGAGTTTTCTCTTTCACCTTGTCCTGAAGTAATACCTATGCACTAGAGATCAGTAATAGTAACTTAATACCTTGCTCCATTTGTGGCCTTCATGCCTGTACCAAATTTGCGAATATCGAGCTTGTCTATATCTCGTCCAACATAGTAATGGCCGAGTTCTCCTTCACTGAATCCTTATACTTCCGAGTCTCTCTTTGTATACACCCCAGTGCTAACAGCATGATAGCCTTTCTTGCCCACCCTCGCCGTCAAGTCACTCCGCCACTGCTCACCACGCATTAACCTCTCCACAGCCCCGACAAACGTATATTTCGGATCCCACCCCAACTCAGCAACAGCCTTACTAGAATCATATACCCGATCAATCCTCGCGAGATGCTTCCATCCCCTCTCCCTAAAGACCGAATCAACACCAGGTGAAACCTTACTCACCACCTCCGCAGGACTCCGACTCAAAGCATCAAGCGTACCCTCATCACGACCGAACGGCGGCGGCGCACTAATGATATACTTCCCCCACCGAATCCCCCTCGCCTTCCGCATAGCACAAACCGCCGCCCCAACAATATCCTCAATATCAACCCTCCGATACGCCAATTCCAACACCTTCAGATTCTCATCACCCATAGCCGCCCGCCTATCCTCATCATCATCTGCCTCGGGGAAGAAACGACTCGTACGCAGGACAACCACAGGCATCCCGCTCGCCCGCTGCATCAATGCGCACACCTCCTCCGCCGCAATTTTCGTCACGCCGTAGATATTCTTCGGCACAGGAACGACATCCTCGTCGATCCAGGCCGCCGGATATCCAGGCTTAGGACTCAACGCCATACCAAAGGCACTAGTCGTGCTGAAGAAGACGAAGCTCCCGATTCGATCGACAAAGCGCGATGATTCTTCCAGTAGGATCAGCGTGCCGGTGATATTTGTCGAAATGAATTCTTCCTGGCTGTGGCTGCCGATGTGTGGCTTGTGCAGCGTTGCAGCGTGTAGGACGTGCTTGATGGCATTTGAGGCGAAGATCGATGCAATAAAGGGCCTGTCGGTGATAGAGCCTACCAGCGTCGTTGTTGGTGAGGGGAGAATGTCGATGCCGAGGGGTTTGTAGCCTAGGGATGGTAGACTGAGCATCAAAGCTGCGCCGAGATGACCTGATGAGCCGGTGACAAGGACGTCAAAGGGCGACTCGGTCGACATCTCTGTTTCTGTTTCTGTTTCGGTGCGTGAATGCGAGTGTGTTTCAAAGGCTTGGTGGTATGAGACTGTCCCTACGGGGGTGGGCTGGGACCATGCGAGAGCCATAAAATATTCCACCGGCGCCTCGAGGTCGAGTTTTAGAGAGACATTGGCCTTGAATCCAAATCGCGTGTAGAATTTCGGGTTACCCAATACGACACAGCCGGCCGCATGCTGGCTTTGAAGATCTGCCAGCGCTCGTTCCACTAGTAATGACCCGATGCCATTTCCTTGATGGCGGGGTAAGACGGAGACTGGCCCGATTCCGTGCCAATCTTGACTGCTGTCGGAGATTTTCACTGGTGAGGCGGCGATATGGCCCACGATTTCGTGGGTGGTTTCATCTTCTGCGACAAGCGAGATTGAGAGTTGGTTTGTGGCGCGGAGGTCGTGGATTATGAATTGCTCTGTGGACTTTGAATTTGGATTTTTGCTATATGAGAATGCTGCCGTCGTAACTTGAGTGATTGCTGATATGTCGGTTTTAGTTTCAGGTCGAACTTGAACTTGAATTGGCGATGCGTTTGTCATTTTGTTGGTCTGGTCGAACGTGTGTTTGTTGTGCCCTGAGACGTTATTTGAGGACCTTCACTGTTGATTTCAGGTGGTATGGAAAAAATTTTCAAGATGTCTCAGCGGCTATAAGAATGTATAGGAATGCACAGACTTTCAATTTCTAAGAAGCTCATTTTAAAGATGACTCATGGCAAGTCATTCTGCAGACCCCATACAGTAGTACTATCTCGGGGAGTCGGGGCGCAAATAGTATCCGATACAAGTAATTAGGGCAACACTTGGGAAGTTGAACAGGTACTAGTATATAATAACCATTGACCTGATAAGAACATTGATTTGAAAATTTAAAAAATTACTGGCTTTAATAATTACCTAAAACAAGCAATGATAAACGGCTATAGACCATAGTAAATTATAAGACACTCAGGTGAATAATAACTATTGAGACTACGAGTACTTAGAATCACCGAGGAGTCAACTGTTCATCATTGGAATAGAAAATGCTACATTATCTCATAATTTTATTTCGTCTGTCACTACTAGACAGTGAATTCCTCCAAGTTATGGAAAGCTCAGCTCAGACTTGCCTTTTGCACCCTCATGAACCGCCAACCCTCCGAACCATGTTTCTCTCCCATTTATTTCAACCTGCGAGAGAACGCTCACACGCGTTTGCCAAAACCGACCCGAGCTACACGCCGTCTTGAGACTGCTGTTACTCTGGGAGAGTCAAGACGGGAGTTCGTGCGAGCGAGGACTCACATAGGAAGAAATGTGAACAAGAGAGGATGGGCGAGGGATGGGGTCTCAGAAGTATCTGATTCCATGGTTTGTCATCATCGCTGGCTGGGTTGGGTCTTTTTACAGACCGGGAAGTCTCGAGGACATGCGTGAATAGATTAAGGACGATCGAGGAAATGGAGGAGTGGGGTATCAAGGAGAAAGAAAGTATATAGACGGGAAAGGAGATTCAACTCAGCGCATCGGTACCTTTTGTCCGACCTTTCTCCATTTTCGCAGTTCTCGCACCAAATTGAATAGCCCTCTTCTTCTCACGCGCAACCTGCTGCATGCCCAGTCGAAGCGCTACAAGACGGAGAGACATCTTCTCCGCATCAATACCAGCTGTTATTCCAGCTTGATCTTCACCATTGCTGGCAACAGGCTCCGCAAGACCAAATCCGCATTTCTCCCAGACCGGCATGCGGAGCGTCCACGCAACAAAGTCCTCGTCTAGAAATGGGAACCGGGTTTCACGGCCCCAGTGAGATAGAACTCGATCATCACGGCCGAGATTGCGCTGTCCAAGTCTGCTGACATCGAGATGAATCTCAGCGATAAGTCCCCCAAAGCCGTTGCGGTTGAAAGAGACACCGTGGCGACCATATCCCGCAAAGAGTTCGTCAGCACCGAGGCCAGAGAGAAGAACGCGTGCAGAGGTTGTGTAGGTGTCTTCTGATGGCATGCTAGGATCCGAGGACGAGGTGTAGCATACGCCTTGACCGCGTGATGCGAAGTACAAGGCACATGCGATAGACAGATCCATTTCGGTGTTGTGCGGTCTCATGAGACGCTTGACTTGATCTCGGTGTGCGATGGTTTCGGTATAGGGGATATTGATGGCGATGAAACGCCAGTTGCGCCCTGGACATGTCCTTTGGAGTTCGTTAAAAGCCGAACGGCCAGTCATCCGATCGGGGCATGCCTCGTAAATCGAGAAGGGACTTGGGGGAAATGAAGATGAAGATTGGTGGTTTGAGTTAGCAGCAGCAGCAGCTACTCGTGGATTTTCAAAAGCGACGTTGAGCAAGTCGATGGGCTCATCGAGTGGAATAATGTCGTGTGAGAGCCTGGCAAGGAGAGTGCAGTCAAGTCCACCTGAGAAGAGAACTGCGATCTTGGCACTTTCGCCCTTGACGTAGTTTGGAGGCTCGGGCACATTTTCAACTCGGAGAGCCAGTGATCGATGAAGCCTTGACTCAAGGTCTATGATAGCTTCGGTGTCCAAGGTTAATGACGGAGGTTGTGTATCTGGAATAGACATGTTCATTGGCGGTATTGGGCTTTTCTGTGATATTGTCAGCTGCCATTGTATCCACGGTGAGATTTCAAGACTAACAAGATGTCCCTCTGGGGGTGAGGATTCAGAACTCCAGGGCAGGGTCTCAATATTATATCTTCCACTGAAAGCTGAAAGCGGATCTTGCTGTGCTTCAAGGTCGATCATATATAGACCACTGGTGCCAACCTCTTCAAAAGACGTAGATGAAGATCCATCGCACAGGCTGCAAATCTTCAGAGCTCCATCCTCATCTAAGCCCTGTAGGAGAGATCTCCGGCCGAGACAATCTCTGCTAAAGAAGACCCGTGAATTGATCGCATCGTAGAACACAAAAGCAAAGGGCCCGGTTATACTTGCAACAGCATCAACCATGCCACCAAGGGCCTTCTTACGATCACAGCTCACGGCATTCAAAAACAATTTGAAGACCTGCTGTGTATCATTGCCTTGGACCCGCTCGCCGGAAATCTTCCATGCTTCCCCATTCCAGCAAAGTACTGACTCTGTGGCGGGGTCTACGAGTGGCTGGTTGTAAATATGGTCACCTCGCAACGCGAGGACCGTCGATATGAATGTGAGATGGTGGAACAGGGGCTGCGACAATCCATCTTGTGCCGTGATTCCCTTCTGCACCGTATGCTTTTGGCAACTGTCGGGACCTCGTTTTCGGAGCAGAGTGTTAGTCTCCTCTGTCGGTGGCGCGGATTTTTTCGATATCGAAAAAAAAGATCCCACACATGATTGGGGAAGCGCCTGCAATGGAGGCAGGGAGGTGTGTTTGTCGTGGTGGACTTTTCCTTTTTGATGCCGCCCGCGATTCTTAGTCATCTTTAGTATACTGCAAGTTTGTCTTGAAGCAGTATTTATCGACAATAGGACAATCAGCTTAAATAAAAAGAGAGATATAACAGAGTGTGAGCGAGTGTGAGAATGATACAAATTCCAGACGATTACTAAATATCAAAATAACCTATAGTTGATCCATAGTGTACTACTAGTAGTACATATTACCCTAATGCCACGGAGCTGGACCGACCTCGGCCCAATGATGATCCGCCCATCAACAGTGAGCCTCAACTCCCCCACGCGTCCCTTCGAGATCGCCCTGAACCTGTTGTCGAGGTCTGCATGCCGAATTTAGCTTATGTCGACCACAGAGCCCTCGGCCTCCCCGCCTTTAGGGAAGGGGGACGGTCAACCCGCCCCGGAGGCGTCCCAGTCCCCTACCCCCCATGCCCCCAACCGACCTCCCCGAGATTCAGATGGAGGCACAGCTTGAGCCCTCGAAGGAGAGCCCAGAACAGAACGACGAGAACACAGAATCACCTGCAAACCCCAGCCACTCTCATAATACGAATGATTCAAAGGATGACTCGACAAAGGTTACAGACTCGCCTGGCCTAGTCCCGCCTCAGCCGGACCCGCTGGCGAGACAAATGGAAGGGTTATCAGTGTCAGCAAAGAATGTGTCGGAGTCTGCGCCTGCACCTGTATCCCAAGCGAATACTCCCCCTCCACCTCCTCCTCCCGAAAAAGACGATGCCTACATGAACTCCACAGCCCCCTTGGCCCTCACAATACCGCCAGCAAACGATCCAAGCTCCACTCCAAGCTCCGAGAAAGAGCTCCCAGACGTACCTGGAGATAGTGATCCAGAGTTGGAGAAAGCTAGAAAGAGCGATGAGTCTCGGGATGATGATAACAGCTCACAGCCGGAGATTCAGAGTATTATGGGTCAATTCCAGGACCCCGCGCGAGCTACTGATCAACAGGAGATACAGGAGATCATGTCTCCCCGGCTAGGGCTTGCCGACCAATTTCGTGGCCACCAACATCACTTTCCACCTCGCAAGTCAAGTCTAGAATCTACGCAGCCCACGTCGACTGGATCTACGGCTGCTTCACCACCGAGCCTTAACCACACCTCACCCGCATCTCAGCATCATCATACACCCGGCGGCCACGATGAACCGCCCGCAATGAGGCGACAGTCATCTTCTTCAACGGTTCCACCTCCACCAGAGCCCGAGCCCGACCAGAGGTTTGATTTTCATCGCTTCCTGGAGCAACTGCGTCACCGGACGGCTGATCCAGTGGCCAAATTCCTGCGATCGTTCCTGATGGAATTCGGAAAGAGACAGTGGATGGTTCATGAGCAAGTCAAAATCATCAGTGATTTTTTGGCTTTCATCACGAATAAAATGGCCATGTGTGAGGTGTGGCGTGATGTGTCGGACAGCGAATTTGATAACGCCAAGGAGGGTATGGAGAAGCTCGTCATGAACCGCCTGTACTCCCAAACTTTTGCACCGGCGATCCCCGCCCCACCTACCATTCCAAGAAGTGCTAGCCGCAGTCGACGAAGAGAAATCGAGAGGGCCCATGGTCCTTGGCGGCGTGGTCAACACCAGGAGGATATTGAGCGGGATGATATCTTGGCGCAGAAGATTCGCATATACAGTTGGGTTAGCGAGGAGCACCTGGATATACCAGTTGTGAGCGGTAGTGGGCGTCGATTCTTGAACCTTGCTCAACAAGGTAGGTGGTGATGTGGTTTCCCAACCCGATCTGAGGTGATTTCTAACCGAATCCAGAAATACTAAAAATTAATGGCTACCGAGCACCACGGGATAAGGTCATCTGCATTTTGAATTGCTGCAAGGTCATTTTTGGCCTTTTGAAGAACTCTAAAAAGGCCGACACCTCGGCCGATTCCTTCGTTCCGCTCCTTATTTACGTGGTCTTGCATGCGAATCCCGACCATTTGGTCTCTAATATCCAATACATCCTGCGATTCCGCAACCAAGAAAAGCTTGGCGGAGAGGCTGGATACTATCTTTCGTCCTGGTAAGCACATACGGCATCTTTTTTCCGTTCCGAATACTTCAGTGGCTAATATTCATCGCAGTCCGGAGCCGTCCAGTTTATTGAAACGCTAGACCGCACAAGTCTCACCGTCAGCGACGAAGAATTCGAGCGCCACGTCGAAGCAGCAGTTCTGGCAATTGCAGAGAAGAATCGCGAGCATGAATCCATGCACGAAAAGCCCTTGAACCAACCCACGACCTCGCGCACCCCTCCCCAGTCTGGCCCTCCCCAGCCCGGGCCGAGCCGTAAAGATGCAAATCAATCCAGCGACGATGATACATCTGCACCGGTCGCTGGACTATTAAGAACCATCCAAAAGCCCCTCTCCACAATCGGCCGCATGTTCTCAGATGAATCTGATGTCGGGGTCCCTCAAGATCGGCCTCTTCAGCCAGCCACTACCCCTCAACCAGCTCCCGCGCCGCCTCGTCTCACACCGAATGTCTATCAGCCCCCGCGCTCCAGTAGCGAAGGGAGACGATCCGGCGACGAGCGTCCATTCCCGCAAGAAGGCGCAAAGAAGAACCTGACCCGCGTCCTCGACGCCCAAGACGCAGCCGCTCGCCAAGCTAGTGCAGAAGACGCCGAGGCACGGCGCATCCAGCGCGCTGAACATAATAATGTTGTCGAAACGCTGTCAAACATGTTTCCCAACTTAGACCGCGATGTCATTGAGGATGTGGTGAAGATGAAGGAGGGAAGGTGAGTTACCGAATTGCACTGGCGTAGATGATATTAATCAGTTACTAACCTCCCTAACAGAGTCGGTCTGGCCGTCGACGCATGTCTCGCTCTCAGCACTGAGTAGTATATAGAACAGAACTCCTTAACGAAGCCCCTTTGAATCACACAAAGTGGAGAACGAGCACTGGGATAATTTATGATTCTGATTGACACGACATGTTGTAGCTCTTTTCTTTCTTTCTCGTCCCCTCTTGTTTCTTTCGGAAAATTTTCCCTTTAATCCTGTACGGATGTCCTCCTCACTTCCCTCTGAGGGACATGGCTTCTCTCCTGGCCTCCACGGATGCAGCTTTCCAACTCTTCTTGACGAGAATTTACGACTTTCTTTTGCGTACCTATAAATATAATGTAATTATGAAGAGTTCACTAGTGCTATTAACAGCGTCATGTACGGAGCACCATGTTCTATGAATGATATGTAGCTACTATGACAATGTACAAGAAAATATGTAAAAGATCCGCCCAAAATGCAATTTAGCTCAGAACCCCGCCCAATAGATTGGTTGAATCGGAAAACGAGCAAAATATGAAGAGAGCCAAAGAGGCCATCTGATCTTGAAAGATCTCAAGCAGCCATCGTTAACACGTACCTGGATGAAGAGCAGGTTAGATCAAGTTCGCATGGAAATCCAACGTCTCCAGGCAGCGGATTAAAACTTACGAGGTGATGCAATCCATCCTCTCAGTCGTTAGCTTCAAGCTAACAGTCAACAGTTCGCGAGCGATGCGAGGTTCTTTCTCCTGCAATTCCTTCCACCGCTCATCACTCAATGACCAAGCAATACACTCGTGTTCCGCCTTCACCGTCGCCGTGCGGCGCGTATCACTGAAGAACGGCAGCTCGCCGCAGGGCCGGCCCGCGACGACAAGTTCAAAGTACCGGCCTTGTGGAAGATCGTACTCGCAGCGCAACATGCCTGATTCGAGGAGGTAGAAGGCGCGCGGAATGTCGCCTTCGTGGTACAGGATTGCGCCGGTGGGGAAGGATTCGCGCGAGAAGTAGGCGCAGGCGGGGAACCAGAAATCTTCATTTTGGGTCGAGAGGCCTTGGAAGGTTTGGAGGAGGAGGGGGAGGGGTTGGCGCATTGTGGACCAGGCTGGGGCTGCCATGAAGGTTGCTTCTTGTTCATGTTCGCGGATTGTAGTTGTTGCGACTCGTTGCAGGTACTGGCCTCGAGGGGAGCTGACGATGTTGTCTGCGAGGCTGGGCCGGGGGAGAGATGGGACGGAGACGGGGATCGGGACTTGGAGGCTGTTATCGTTGTTGGGATCGGGGGTGCCGGTGCGTGTGCTAAGGAGGGCTTCTTGGCGGCTGTAAAAGACTTTCAGGTAACCGTTCTCGCAGAATTCGAGGGCTGAGTTTAGGTCTTCGAAGATTGGTACGCCCGAGTCGGACTCGAACAAACCCACGTTCTGTAGACTTTTGCCGACTTCGCCCTCGATATCGAGGCCGGAGATGGTCGTCTGGACATTGCGTTTGCGTAGAACACGATTGATGCGTGTGAAGGCCTCGGCTGCCGAGAAGTCCAATCCATAGACCCGGGAGAAGTCTAGAATCAGGTTGCGGATCGGTTGTTGCTGGAAGGCTTCCTCCTCTATTAGTCCTCGCATGGTGTTTTCTACATTCACGATCGTGCCGAAGAAGAGATAACCGCCCAGTTTCATTATGAGCGTCTGTTGTCCAGCTTCATGCAAGAACTCTTGTTGAATAGGAGGGCGACGGACGGTCGAGCCTGCAATTTCTCCCGAGAAAGTTGCTCGAATGGCAGACTTGCGAGAGGTCTGTACCACAAAGTTGACGCAGGCCAGAATGATTCCAACCAAGATTCCCATCACGAAATCAACAGCCCCCATAGTGAGAACAATTATCACCACCTATACCAGTCAGTTGACTGTAGCTCTAGTGTTAGGAGGTGTGCGGAACATACCGTCAAGTATTCCAGACGCGACAATTTCCCCCATGTGTCTACCAATGCCTCCTCAAGTAACTCAATACCCAGAAGAAAAATCAGAGCACCGACAACCATAACAGGAATGTATCCTATGATCACTGGTCCCATGACCATGATTCCTGCGGTGGCTGCAGCCAGCATAAGTCCCGCCAAACGGGAGGATCCACCACTAGCAATAAACATCAAGCTGTTGGTGTACACAAGATAGTTCTGCTCGTGTCAGTTTTGTTGGCAGATAACATTGAAAGTCGGGGTAACCTACTTGAATACTCCCGGCAAATCCCGAGAGAGCATTGGTCACACCGTGTGCCATAAGCTCTCGGTCCACATTGAGATTGTCTTCTCCGGTCGAGATGCCAAGGGCTGGCACATTGATAGGCACATGAAGAACTCCGAAGAAGGTCAGAGCAAACATTGCCGGGATCGTGTCGGCAAAGGCAGTCCAGTTGACGGCAGAAAAGTCTAGTAAGAGATTAGTCAACTCGAAATTGCAATTGATAAAGACGCTGTATCGGCTCACCATAAAGAGTATAGAAGTGGTACCACGGATTGTTGGATGATGGTGCATCAAAGACCCATCCCTTCTGATGCAGAGTATCCATTGGGATACCTGCGCATAGGATAACGACATAAAACAAGCCCGCAACCGCCATGAAATAAGTGCCAACCAGGAATGTTGATCGAATAAAACGCTTCAAAATGAGGAGAGCAATTGCTAGAGACAAGGGTATAATCCAAAGTGGAAAAGTGTCGAGTTGAAAGAGCTTCTGTAAGGTAATGAGGTTGTAATCGAGGGAGCCGGACAAGCGGGCGGAGACCTCAACTCCGGTTGCAAGGAGGAAATAACCCACACCACCAATGCAGCCGATAAGGATATGACGAGGGAAGAATCCAATAAGCGAACCGAGCCCGCAAACGCCCATGAGAAAGAATACCAACCCTGTCAAGACGGAGCTGACCGAGAAAGCTAAAATGGTTGTCGCCAGCACTGACTGAGGGTTGTCATTGCCAATTCGGGCAAGAATGGTAAACGCCATCTGATGAAAGAATGGCACAACCTCAATCATCTCGCTTCCGATTCCTCCCTTGAAGATCGAGCCTCCACATGAGAATACCACCTGTGAGATGATGGTACTGACATAGAACATTGAGATTCCATCAGATCCAAGAGCTGCAAAAAGCGGCTCTCCCAGTGGGAATAGGATCATTCCGTAGGACAAAGCATCAAGAATGTTGAGGAGAAGACCTAACAGGACCGCGGGGATTAGACTGAAAGGATGAACGACTCCTTCTTGCCAAATCGCACGTCTATCCCAGGACTTTGGATTAAATAGTATCCTGGACCACTTGGCAACATTGGCCCTCCCCTTGATGAAGAACTTGGCTGGTCGTCGGGCTGTAAAGCCCTGATTCTCGATATCCTCGACTGCTCCATAACCATGGGGTGACCTGGATCGAGTTTTGGATAATAACGATGTTCTTTCCGAGTCTCGCGGCTCGGGTTCGTCTAGGATGGTCGGCAATGGCGGAAATGGTGTCTCTTCAATTGTTTTGGCATTTTCATCCACAAAATCCGGGTATGAACCACGCATCATATCGGTAAGAGCCGAAGATGAGGGAGAGAGATCTTTCGGGGCAGTTTCCAGATCAACAGATGTTTCTCCTAGTGTGGGCAAGGAACTGGCAATAGCATCCTGCGAGCCGCTGGGACCAGGTTGATGGTGTCGGTTTTGCTCCCGGAAGATATCTAGACCAGGCGGCAAGCTTGTTCGTCCCCGCGAGGGCTTTTTATTCAAGGATAGACCGTAGGTAGCCAGCTCCGCAGTCTGTTCCCGGAGACTATCTGTGGCATAGTGAGCCGGGTCTGGAGGAATTTTAAGTGGTCAGTAAATCGCTCGGGCGCATTGAGTGAAGACGGAAAAAAGACGTGGGGAGGGATCACCACAGTAATTAAGTCTTTTGGAAAGGGTTTTGAATGGAACATACCGGTGGGAGTATTGAAGGAACGATGAACAAAGGAGCGGCTTGGAGTACGTAGACTGGAGCTGTTATAACTTGAAGGCTCCATGCCGGCACCGGGGGAGCTGCCTAGGTTTGCGTTGGCGTGCTCCACCAGTGAGGAGGATTGGACGGAGAAGTCTGCATCGCGATCGAAACCCCAATTGCGATGTGATAGGGCCGATGCGCGGGAGTCACGACGAGCTCGTGGCTGTAGCACTCCCATCGTTGCCAGTTGCGCAACGGCCGGAGATGTGCCACAAAATTGGCAGATTATCGACGACAATCACGCTAGCGCATGCAGCGGCGTTAGAGGCGAAGGACGAATGACGCAACGGGAACGATCTGGGGTGGCTCAAGGCTCAACGGGCCATTGGTAAATCTCTTGAGCGCGTTGCGCTAGAGTGGGAAGTGCGGTCAATAAAAGAACGGTAGATGGATATCGTGGATCCGATGGATTATCAGGGAAATTAGCAAACGAAGTGAATCATTTTGGTCTTTTGACTAAAGTTGGGGTCTTCCAAGGAAATTCTCGGCGATAACAGGCCGCTGTTATCACCTTATCACGAGCTAACCGCTTGCGGACGAGGTAAGGTGATCTCGCCCTTACCATAGGCTACCCCTATGGGTTACCTTATAGGTCACCTTAGGTCCAGACTTGAACACCAACTGCAACTAGCTCACTCTAGCTAGGTTCGTACTTATCACCCCCGCTAGCAAGGCCTTAGCTACAGATTACCGACAGATTGCAGCCAACGTATCTGTCGTGCTCGTTTCCTCTCTACCCATTGATGCGAGAATGCCGGCCCCTCACCCCCATTCCGGATTGGATCCCTGACCCCTGCAGCCATTGATATCCACTCCATGCATCAAGTTCAACGTCTTACACAAAAGTTTGACGAGATGTTTGCTTTTTATCTCATCACTCCACCTGTCAACAGCAGTACTGTTTGCTACTGTGCAATATTGAACCCGAGTCATGAACAAATGACAAGGTACACTCCACTCCATAGTAAAAGGGCCGAGATCGGTCTTCTCCGCAGTAGATTGCGTTAGCCAAGCCACCACTGCTGATTCATGCTCGCTATATTTCACACTCGGCATGAGCGACAAAAAATAATGAAATCAAATCAAATCAAATCAAATCATAATGCATCACAATCAAAGTTTGTGCGCCATCCCATGGCGGGGTATCTCAAAGGTCCAAAGAACTCCTCCCGTCGAGCCACGCCGCATCCAATCTCTCCAATCCAACCCCAGGTTCTAGGTCAATCGCTCGAGAAAGCCCTGCGCAATCAACCTCTCAACATCTCCCTGCCGAACGTAGAGCTGACTATTCTTGGTCAAGTTGATCACCCTGTCATAAAGATAAATCAGCCATAAGCGAAGGACCAAACCTCCAATTCGCAATTCAACGTACCCGTATTCCGTCTGGATCTCCCCCGCATCCTTCAAGACGCGTACATCAATAAAAAGATCCCTTGGCGGCTCCAAGGTCCCCGTCAAATCAACATCCGTCCACTGTCCCTTATACGCCGCCAGCATATCCCCATACTGCCGAAAGTACTCCTCCTCCTCCGGACTGAGAGAACTATGCCCACCGGTGCCCTGCATCTGGCCCCGCTCCTCGGATTCACTCGGCTGCTGCTGTTCCAAAATATCAACGCCATTCCAGCAGAGCTCTTCCAATTTCTCCGTCCGCACACGGTGGTACGCCAGGAGACAGCGCTTGTTGCGGCGCATGCATAGGTGGTCTACCAGCAGCGCGCAAGCAACAGCCGGGTCCGCAGACGGATTGAAGGCACCGTCAAAGGGATCGAGGAGACGGGCTACATCCCGGTCTAGGTCGCGCACTTCGCGAGTCACGGCGCGGACGATTTCGGTTTGGTAGGGCGGGAGATGGACGAGGGCTTGGGTGCGCTTCGCATGTTGGACCTGGGGTGCGTTAGTCTGGTTCCAATTGTTCTTGAGATCCCTTGGCTCTGGAATCCTGTCCACTGACCAGTTTGTTGCCCAATTCGCCGTACATGATGGCCGCGCGATCAGGGTCGCAGAGAGGAGGGACGCGTGCCTTGTCGTGGATCCATCGCGCCCGGATGCCAAGCGGTCTTAGTAAGTGGGGTGGGGATCGGCCGGAATGAGGTATGAGACAGCTGGGCTTCAGTAGGCAAGGAATGAACAGTACTAGTAGAGAAGTAAACTCCTCAAATAAAAACGAGATGATCTAAGATTTAGCAGAGATGAAGCGGAGTGTGACAGAGCCGGAAGGTGCCAGCCTATGATGGAATGAATTGTAGCCCTGGAGCCTGGGGAGAAAGGAAATCTCCAAAGATGTATTCATCTATACAGCAGTTATATCGTACCAATGAGAGTACGTCTAGAATTCAATACTATAGGCTTGATAAATAAGGGAATAAACTGAGCTATGCGAGCCTTTGTCAATACTGCATTGATGCACGCATCTGATTATAACCAGCCTGCGTGATCGGCTCATACTTGGCCGGCTCATCAGCCCCCATGCAAGACGGGATACACGCGATCACAGAATCAGAATCCGGCGCCAAGAAATAAGGAATAGAAAAACGTCTACGAGTCATTCGTTGTTCGCCCTCGAACCGATCCGATAGAGGCGGTAGAGTAACACGATGGCTAGTCGATCGCAGATGATCTGAACTCATTAGCATGCAGCAACAACCCGAGAAACAACACAGCCCACGAACCATTGCTCCATCTCTGCAGCAAATCGCCGACGTTCATGACAATGGCATTTTTGATGGGCGTCGCTTGAACGAATTTGCCAGGGTTCGTCACGTCCTCGACTTCCAGTCCGCCGCAGTCATCCTGGAAGAGTAGGGTGATCGAGCTCCAGTCTGTATGGGCGGGACAACGCGCTGCTCGTTCGGTCTCTAATGCCTCGGCTGGGACTGGAGGATAGTTGAGAAGACGTAGCTGGTTGTTATGTCCCGAGTGCTTCTCCAAAAGATAGTCCTCATTTTCCAGCCCCAGGCCGATGGCGAGAGCGCGTAATATCTCCCCTCCGGCGTGAAAGCATTCCCAATAAAACCGGGACATAAAGTCACGGAAACCCGGGAGCACTTCGTTTGGAATCCACTGGTTGGGTTGCGACGAATTCTGGTCGCTGCCAATGTCATAGCTCTCCTGTCAGCAGTCAGCGGGGAGTTGCATAAAACGCCAGAACTTCAAGGATTTCGTTGAGCTAATCGTCCGTTGTCATCCAACTCACCTTGATGTCGGGTATCTCTCTCAACTGCTGGGCTTGTTCCTGGTCATTAGTTGTACTCATTGCCTGTGAGACTTTCTCCAGCCCCGGCCAGGAATAGCCTCTGTGAACAGCCCATCCCTCTGGATGAGGTGCCTTGAGTTTGTCCTCTTGGGGTAAATCAAAGAATAGCCGAGACCATAGGAAGGCCTGGTCGACAAGCTGGTCTGGCACAGGGTGATTGACGATATACACGAACCCCACTTTCTTACAAGCAGCGACGATGTCTTGGGCGATTTGCAGACGACTTGACCCGCCAGCGGTCCACTTGGCAAAATCTACGACAGGGATCACTGAGTCGGGAGTCGAGGCCATGGTAGTGGACATTCAAGCCGCTTTGATGGGAGAGAATAAGGACTGCGTCCTATGTGCGGTGTGAAAAGAGGGAATCGTTTCCCATGTGGTCGGTGAGACAGACAACTCTTGTCTTACTACTCCGTAGAACAGGGTCTGCCTTGGGTAGAGATGGACATGACCAATGGGAGGGAATTCCTGAGACAAGCCCGATCGATAAAGATCCAGGATTTCCATTGTTTTCCAGGATCAGTACTCAGTGCTTCGTACTCCACACGGAATTACTAAAGAATTTGTGCCGCATTTAATATCGAATCTGCGATGGCTGGAAGGCTGGGCGCTGGTTGGGCATCGTGGGACGAGAATGGGTGAGTGGTGACTGGTTGCTGTGGCAGGATGACCGGTGGAGCATGGGATTGTACCTACATCATCCCCATCCATCCCAGATACCTCTGTCATTTTTTTTGTCTGGTTTGCTTTTCGAAGGCCTCACCTCTGACTTTTTCGGTATGACTCCCTAATTCTATGAGTTCATTGGATGTGCTTGTCTCCCTCTTTGCCCGCCGCTGCCTCTTGCTAATCTTACTCGTTTGAGTAGTTTGTTGACATCCCCCAGCACCGACGCTCTCGATAAGCCCTCGCCTCACAACTGCTCCCCCCAACAATGCGATTTGGAACCGATTGAATCAAGCAGACAAACATTTGGAGCATCAATCTTATATCGCCCGGTCGCGCCCCTCCCAATTTCCCTCCCTGATCGCAAGAATGCGGGCGTCATGGTGGATCGGCGTCTGGGCCACTCTCATACCCACGGTCGTCTTATCGGTAGAAACAGAGCCCTTCTCGTCCCCAGAACAAGGAAAATCCAACAAGAGAGCCCTCGAGGTCCTACGACTGCTGAGACGAGACGACGACAATTGCCCCAGCGGCTACAACCCCTGCTCAAATTTGGGCAACTCGGATGCCTGCTGTAAGAGCGGGTCACGCTGCACAACAGACGCCGCGGACAACATCGCTTGCTGTCGGACTGGCGCAAGCTGCACGGGCAGTCTTACTGGAACGTCTACTGGTACTGATACGGATAGTATTTTCGTCTCCCCGCATACTACATCTGCCACTACGACAGGCTTGACTGCTACGATAACCGATGCAACCATTGACGGGGCATATCCGTTTGTCTACATACCTACGACCATCGGGAATGCAGAGAGTTGCTCTTCATACTACTCCCAGTGCCAGTCAGAGTATACCCAGTGCACAGGGAACTTGATGGGTCGTTACGGGGTCACGGTTGGCGGAAATGGCGGAGGAGTAACAGTGGAGGCAATCACTGGAGCTGCACAAGCGACCTCGATCTGTTCCAGTCTGAGCTCGAAGGCCTGCCATGGTCTTCAGATACAAAACTGCGCGACGGCAGCGACGGGTACTGGACGTGATACCAGTGGGAACGCAGCCAATCCACGCCGGGCATCTAGTTTGCACGACCTGGCGATTGGCTTTGCTGTTGGAATTGCGGGAATGTTTGTTTAATGGGATTATGACTTTCGACGGGCTGCTGGATATGCTTACTAGGCCCGTCCTCCTTTGATGTACATTTTATCGCTGATTGATGACCCCCCTCGAGTCTGGATACATAGCTGGAATTACTGTGAATGAACTCAATGAATATGGTTTCCAACAAGGCTCGTTCAAAACTGGACCGTTATTTTCAACTCCCCGGGATGGATTCGGAGCATGTTGGATGTCGGGTGTCTGGCTGCAATTGGCCGCCTTTCTCAAGGTATTTCAATGTTAAATACTCGCTTTAGCATAACAGCCCATGCGGTCAGCATGCAGAGGTTGCAAAGACCGCGACTCGAGAGTAACATAGAGCTCAGCAGCTACTCGGCTTAGCTTAAATACAACTACTGGTACTAACACAGCAAGATAATTAGACTGTAAATTCAAATTCCACTTGAAATCCATGGATATAGTATAAAAGTTGATTAAAATAGAAGCATTCGATGATATCTATCCAAACGACAAACTTGAAGGCACAGATGATACCCCGATAGCAACTTCTCATCGTTTCTATTGCACACGACCAAGAGAGAACTTGAGGAAGAGAGATTAGTCTCCTCCACCTCCTCCTCCACCCCCACCCCCGCCATCACCACCGCCGCCACCACCGCTATCGCCGCCTCCACCTCCACTACTACTGCAACCACCACCCGAATCACCGTAAGAACCTCCGCCATGGGAATGGGAGCCTCCGCCATAAGAGCTTCCGCCATAGTCGCCACCATAATAGTATCCACCTCCACCGGCGGAGGACCCAGAATAACCCTTGTTCGTATGCAACTTGTATGAGGACGTCGGCGGCGAAATAGCTTTATATGCGGGTGTGGACTTCGTTGTAGTACCCGTGGATCCTTGTTGTTTCACGCCCCCTTGAGTATGTCGACGAACTGTCTCCTCTTCTTCCAGAGGATCGTGTGGCTTTTCATCCTGCTCTCGTGCCCACGCCCGCATGCGTCGTTCTGATTTGGACCGAGCGGCGGTCTTCTTCGTCTTGGAGAAGAATCCGAAGCAGCCCATGTTGATTCGGAGTCTGTATGGGTTGTTAGGCCTTGAATATAGTAGTGTTGATCCCGGGTTCAATTTGTTCTGACCTTGAGTAAGTGAGGTCGCAGTGATGATGTGTTGTGCGTCAGTGTGATGATCAAGTCCGATGAACCTTGGAAGTTGAGAGTTGATATTGGAGAAACAGCAGTTTGGTTCGAACTTCTTGAAGTATATATACTATATCTTGCTAGTACTAGTAGACCATGTTTTCCCAGGTTCAAGTTCTTTATTTTGGACCCTCACTTGCTTGGAACCGAGGGACATCACTTCCAAGGTTGAATCCATGCTAGGAGAATGTTGCCCTTTCGCCCGGACGGGGCTATGTTGGACCCGTGACTGGTTCATTGTATACAATGGATCCAGGAACGATTTCCTTGGCTCTTATTTCCTGAATCTGCCCGGGGCGGCACTCGTTTAATGTTTCTTCTTATCGTTAAGCTGACGGCAGCCTCGGTGCCCGCCGGGGGTGGATCCTCGTATGGACAAAGTGAGGCTCACACGGGCTATTTCGTCATAATTGATCGTGACGAACCGGCTTCTACTTCCTGGTTGCAATGATTGGTAGATAATGGAAAGAAAAATTAGCCCACATCTTCATATTATCTATACCCCAGAGAGAATATTCCCAGTATCCTGCTCAGCCTACCCTAGACACTACGCGATGCCGTTGACTATTGGATCTCAGGGCCAGTCGGGCAATCAACCAGTGGCTCTCGAGCTAACCGCATTTCTTACTAACTGTCCTAGCACCGGCAGTGAATTTCCTACTAGGATTGAATCCTAGTTGATGCTGTCCCGCCCAGGGGTAATTTCCTTTCCTGGAGTTGACTTGATTTGATACTGCCCTCCATTTAGTGCTAGTAATTATTTTGAGATGGCCACGCCCGTCTCAGAGTCTGTTGAACGGCACTTAATATTGATCAGCTGCTCAGATTGCGTCTGCGCCCGTGATGATCGAATGTCAGTCCGACTTGCGCGTCATAGTTATTGTCCCCGGCTCGAGTACTATGGTTCCCAGGCGGAATCAGCCTCTGGAGATTGGGGGCTGTGCACTAATGGCATTAGGGAACTACCAGCAGTGGAGCCGACCTGTAAAGCGCCAAAATATAGTTTAAGATGCTACCGGTAGTAGTACATGGTGCAATGCGATCGATCTTCGTATTGCTTCCCAGGTCACTACTAGTAGTAGCGGAACAAGGCGTGGCGCCATCCTATTTGTACAATCATCGCCAAAGTCACATCTTCCAAGCTTAGTATGGGGGTAAAATAACTGGGCTGTGGAATACTAGGTCCACAGTAGGACTTGAACTAAGACCGGCAATAGAAAGTGCTGGTTTCTGCTCGTTAAAAGGCCCCTTCAGGCCTATCGAGAGGAGCAATAGGGTGGTACAGTATATTTCAATTTGAGGTGGACGGGTCTGACTCATATGTTCCCAAGGATGGACACCATGAGTTGTACTTCTTTCTCTGAGCCTAGTCAAAGCGATTGTAATGAATTAGACCGCTTGTCCACTTTGATTTTGAGCGACGATCGGCATAATTAGTTCAAGGTGGGTTGTGCAGCGCACTATGAGTCAAAATATTCTTAGCCCAGCTCAACAGCTTGGGCAGCGAGGGAGGACAAGTCGGTGAGTGAGACCAACCGTCAGAATTGTTCCGAGGAGGTCCCGCCGGGTAAAAAGGAGTGGTCAGTGCAGGAAGAGATACAATCCAATGGGATGTGGATGCGGGGTGGATTGGACTGGATGTACTCCGGTGCTTTGTACCTGTATGCAATGTTAATCGCTTCGCGGCCTGGCAGGACCAAGGAACAATGAGATTTGGAAGCTTAAAAAGTGAAAGTAAAGTTAAAATCAAGATTGAAAGACAACGTCTTCAATCTGAAACCCAGCCCCCTCTCAGGGATAGTGGCGGTCGGGTTGATGTGAGTCGCAAGAAATCGGGTGGTTGGGTTGTTGACGGGAGGCTGGGGATGTACTCTTTCTCTCAAGTCCACCACCTTCCACAACCGTTCTCCCTCATTTTCTTTCCCATCTTTCTCTCTCTCATATCCTGGATCCCCTTCCATTTCCGCTCTCGCTTTGGGTCTATTTCTCGAAAATCCGCAACCTCTACGCTACTCTCAGAGAGTCGCGATCTATCGACTCCCATACCTCGAGTATACAACAATACAACACACCATACACCAAAGACCAAACACCCCATACACTACCGAGCATTCCTTGTCAACAACGTGCGATTCCAGTCCTGAGTGCCAAAGAACATTCCCCGAAAATTGTCACTGGGCAGCCCTCCCAGTATTGTCGGGGTTTGTCCCTCCTCGTTCACGATGCGGCCTTTCTTCTCCATCCCAGCGATCCCGTCGCTGGTCGTCTTACTCAACCTTGCGTCGATTGTCTGCGCAACCCCACTGTCACTAGAGAATGTGGAAGGAAGCGGGCTTGAGCAGCGATCATGCTCAAATCCCTGTGGCTTTTATTCTCAGCTTTGTTGCGCCACTGGCGAGACTTGCACCACGACAAGCGGCAATCAGGCGAAGTGTGTCTCCGGCTCCTCTGGTTCAAGCGGCGAATGGCAATACTATACAACAACATACGTCGTGACCGAGACCGATCAAACTACCATCACTTCAGTCTGGAGCAGTCGCGCCGCCGCTGCAACTACTTCGTCGTCAGGAACTTGCAGAATAGATCTAGGCGAGACCACGTGCGGCAGCACTTGCTGCGACGCAGCTCAGGAATGTTCAAATGGTGAATGTGTAGCAGAGAGCTCCTCGGCCGTGGCGACTGCTACAGGGGAGGCCACTCCTGGCGTGCGAGGAACTAGCGTATCTACCGCGACAGAGACCTCAGCACCCACCACCACCGAAGCATTCACCGCGCCAGTGGGAACAAATGGCGCCGATTTGATTGGAGCCAAGGCAGCTGAGAACAAAGGAGGATTGAGTGGTGGAGCTATTGCGGGTATCGTCATCGGCACAATTGCAGGTGTTATTCTGCTGCTCCTTTTGTGCGGTTGCTTGTGCTTTAAGGGTGCTCTCGATGGCCTTCTTGCGGCTCTTGGTATTCGCAAGCGCCGCAGAAACGAGACCACCGTTGTCGAAGAACGCTACTCTCATCACTCCGGCAGTCGACCTCGACCTCGACCTTCGGGTGGCAGGACCTGGTTTGGTACCCGACCCCCAGCAGCCTCTGATAGTGAGCTCAGCGAGAAGAAGAAGTCCAAATGGAGCGGCTGGGGCTCGGTTGCAATTATCCTTGGAGCACTTGCTCTGTGTCTGGGACTGAAGAGACATAAGGACCAGGAGCATCATGATGATCATTCTTCTTACACCTACCCAAGCTCCTATTATTACTCGGACACATACACATACTCTGGCAGTAAGTTTTCGCACTTTGAGGAGAGGGTTGAAGAAGAGAAAATACTAACATGCTTCTTTCACAGGCAGCGAAAGTTCTGACAGACGAACTCGACGGAGCCGACGATCTCGCGGAACTTCCCGTCGCTCATGATACAGGCTAATCATCTCTGACGCCGGTCTCTCGAGAGCAACGACACAATCCTCGCGGCAATTGGATTGACCTGAGTTTCTTATGCATTTCCCGGCGCTATTTCCCTTTAATGACTTATGTACGACTACGACTTTTTGATGGTTTGATGTGTCCTTTTCTTCGGTTTCTTTTGAGGGATGAAGATATGTTTATTTCAATGTTGATATGAGAGTTTGATGCCTCGATCCAATGGCCTTTATGATGGTGGTGTACATATGAAAATATGAAACCCAGATACGAGCAAAAATATGAAGAATGAATGAGTCAGATATTGAACATAATTTCCCATAAATACTATATATACTACTAGCAGCCTGATGAGAAACCTGGGAGCCTTACTTTTAAGGGTAGGGATAGTAGTGGTAGGGACTCGAGGCTCGATGTCTTCAAGTTGCTCACGGCTGACGGGCTTATCCCCCGGTCATCGATTGCCAGTGTTTCACATCTCACATGTCCACCAATCTGAAGCAATAGTTGAACAAGCCTATTAGTCCGTAGACCACAGTCAATTGAGAAGCCAACGGTTGCACGTAAGCAACAAGCCGTGATTGGGGCTGGCCTAGCAGGTACAGTATGCCCTGGGCGCAAGGATGACCCTTCCTCGGGCCGGCTGAACAGAGGATATTCTGGTCAAGAATCAGAAGGATCGAGTCCAGATGAGAGAATGCATTACTATTCGATTTAAACATGGCATTGCGCAGGAGCAAAAGGAGCGAAATGCTCAAGGCTAAGGCTAAGGCGGCCAGGGCACACAAAGGCACAAAGGCTTAGTGGACGCCGGATCCTCCCCGCCTTCGGTCCCGAACTTCTCTCCTTCACCTCTTCCACACTCCGTCAAATCATCCATGAATCGCCCCCCGATTCAAGCTTGGTGACCCGTTATTTCCCTCAATTCATTCCGCGAAATCCGCAACCTCCACCGTGCCATTTAGTACGCTTCAATAAACCCGACCGTGGGAGCATTACGAGACCCCGAATCGAGTCATCACCGCTCGCCATGCTACAAGCGCAGAGCCAACACGTTTTTTCCCACCAGCAGCAGTACCCGCAGGCTGACCCCTCATGGCTGCAGCATCAACAACAACATCAGCAGCAGCAACAGCAGCAGCAACAACAACAGCAACAGCAGCAACAGCAACAACAGCAGCATCAAGCGCAGCCACACCCCCAGCACCAACAGCATGCCTCCTTGGTCGCTCAGCAGCATGCCCACGTCCAGGCAGCCGCGGCCGCGGCGCAGCAACAACACTATGGACGCCTTGCCATGGGTGGTAATGGCACTGCAAATCCCGCGCAAGGTGCTGGAGGCGGCTCTGGAATAGGCGGAGAGGGTTTGGCTAATGCGGTCTCCGTCATGGATGGCGGGATCAGCGAGGAGAACCGCAAGGTCTTCATCTGGATCGCCGAACTCCTTGACCCGGCTCGCAGAGAGGCTGCTCTCATGGAGCTGAGCAAGAAGCGTGAACAGGTTCCCGAGTTGGCCCTGGTGATTTGGCATTCCTTCGGTATGAACCCCAGTCGCATCGTGGGGATGCCCAGCTTTGCCGACCGAGACTAACCATCGGCAACTTGCAGGTGTCATGACTGCCCTGCTTCAGGAGATAATTTCCGTTTACCCCCTTTTGAACCCCTCTCAGCTGACTGCTGCCGCATCAAATCGTGTCTGCAATGCGCTGGCGCTCTTGCAGTGTGTCGCATCCCACAACGAGACTCGGACGCTCTTCTTGAACGGTAACTACTGCTCCTGGAGCCTAATATTGTGATCCTTGAGCGCTAATTCAACATCCCTACGTCCAGCCCATATTCCCCTATTCCTATACCCATTTCTCAACACGACCTCAAAATCGCGCCCGTTTGAATACTTGCGTCTCACCTCGTTGGGTGTCATCGGAGCACTGGTCAAGAATGACTCCTCAGATGTGATCAACTTCCTCCTGACTACCGAAATTATCCCTCTTTGCCTTCGCATTATGGAGACCGGCTCGGAACTGAGCAAGACCGTCGCAATTTTCATCGTTCAGAAGATACTCCTCGACGATATCGGTCTGGCATACATCTGCGCCACATACGAGCGATTCTACGCCGTGGGTACGGTCCTCAGTAACATGGTGACGCAATTGGTGGAGCAGCAAACGGTCCGGCTTCTCAAGCATGTTGTGCGCTGTTTCCTTCGGTGAGTTCTATCCCTTGCACTACCAGTCTGAGTGATCCTCTAACAGCACGGATAGATTGAGCGACAACAGCCGAGCCCGTGAGGCATTGCGACAATGTCTGCCGGAGCCGCTCCGCGACGCCACATTCTCATCTGTTCTGCGCGATGATGCAGCCACCAAGCGCTGCCTGGCCCAGCTTTTGATCAACTTGTCGGATAACGTTTCCGACGGAGCTCAGGCGGCCATGTAAAATACGAAAACGCATCTATTTTCTTGCGGGATAACTCTTTTTTCCACTTTATGATATGCATGGGCAGGTTTATGGCGAGTATCGGACACAATGGCGCAAAAGTTAAAAGGACAAGCATTTGATGGATTCGCGCCCGGTCTTGATCGTCATCATTCATTCCACTGATATTGACGGCGCCGAGTTTATCATATGTCTTCCTCTTCATTCTATCTGGGTTTTATCGCAACATTTACATTGGAACAGTTTCCGGGACTTCGGTGATCTTTCATGTCGATGGGAGGGGACTAATGTATTCCTATGTCCTATTTTTTCCAGCTGTGATTTTTTCTTGCATCGTGTTTGCGAGAGACATGATTTTCAATTCTGCCTCCTCCATCTTCGTCTTCCTGGGGTTTCGTGGCGCTCGCAGTCGGTAGCGTGGGTTTCTGGTTGGCGCTGTCGTTTGCATTTTACCTTCGTCGTCGACGACCTTCTATTGCTCTACGAGATAGACTCCTGAGCCAGATACCACGATCCGGTCGTCAATGGTTTTGTTTTGTTTTGCCTTTTTCTTCTTCTCTTTCTGGGGTTCTTATTTTTCTTCATGTACATGTGTGCAAAAGTTTGTACTTCGCATGATGGGTTCGCTGTACCTACTAGGTGTTATAGTGCGTGCAATTACTTTTCTATTGATCAAACATGTGCCTGTGAGATTTTCAGCAGTGAACTGAATCCTCTCCCAATGAATAGACCTCTTTTTGGTTCACAAATTGATTGCCAGCCACAGTGAATGGTAACCCTTGGCTCTTGGAGGGATATCAATTCCACCCGCCGAGGATCATGTGACCGCGACCGTCGTCACGACGCGCCTCGATTTCCCGTCGCCTCCTACGCCCAGGAAAAAAAAGACGATATCGCGACCATCACGACATTGGCTATCATTTTGAATCTCCATCATCCAACCCGAAAATCTATATCCGCTGGGACTCTGTTCCGTTCACAAATTGCCCACCCCTTTCCTGATCCCTCCTTTGATTACCCCCGGCCTTGACGGCCTCATCCCGCCGCAATGGTAACGCGAAAGCGCAGCCGCTCTGAGGCGGTCGCTACCACCGAGAAACAGCCTGCAGAGGAACTTGGTCTTCTCCAGCGCATTCGGAACAGCTGGGAGTTTGCCAGTCTCATGCAATATATCGCCATCTTTGGAGGAATCATGAAGATCGATAATGAGTTCGAAATCGAGGTATGTCCGATTGCTATCCTCAGAAGGCCCGGAGATGTCGCGCATTATGTTGCATTGATGGGAAAGATGGAGCTCTTTCGCGAAGACCCCTGTGCAAAGTAACTTGATCCTGACTCCGCTCCTTCTGAACCACAGGACCTAGAGGACGAATGCCTGAAACCCGAACCTTCATACAAAATGCTTGAGATTGGATTGTGTCTTTTGAAGTGGATATCGTCGCATCGGGGTCTCACGTATGTTGCATGGGATAAAAATTAAAGTGCATGGTAGATGCTGACTCTGCAATGCAGGTTCGACAACTTCGATGAGTATACCCGGCGTCAATACAATGCGAAGGCTTTGGACATGCCTAACCCCTTCGGACAAGATGAAGTCCCCTTACGATTCCTCGATTTCGATGTCTTTTTGAAGTTGCGAGTTCTCCACCAGCTTTCGGTCTGGACATTCTGGAACCAGGATCGCATCCGCGACAAGATGCCCGAGAAGAAGGAGAGCGAACAACTGCAGTGGGTGAGTGATTTACTGTTGACTGAAGGGATTTGCTTGCATACAGAAATATACTAATACCACAAAGCGCATTGAAGAGTTTGGGTGGGACCGTGATGGCCGATCCTACTATGTCCTAGATGACAATCGCCTCTACCGTCGAACCGAACCTGCCATTCCTGCACCTCAACGACCGAAGAAGAAGCCGAGGAGCAGGTCCTCTCGCAAATCTCGGACTTCGAAGCGCACTTCAACCGCTGCAGTGGAGGAGGGCTCCGATGAGGAGGGTCAAGGCCCCGATACCGACGGATCTATCTCTGAATATAAATGGGAATGTATAGCTGTTACTCTCCCTGAATACCAAGAGTTCATAGATACAATCCGCAAGAGCAAGGATGCGGATGAAAAACAGCTACGTGAACGCCTCGAGGAGCATGTTTTGCCAATTCTGGAAAAGGCAGAGGAGGCGCAGCAGCGCAAGCGACAGAAGCGCGAAAAGGAGCTTCACAACATGCAGCTTCTTGCAGGCGCCAAGCGATCCAGTCGTCTTGCTGCCAAGGAGGAGAAGGAAAGATCCGACCGCGACGCTGAAGAGGCCACTCGAAAGCATGAAACTGCACTTGCCGAGGCTCGCCGGGAACAGTCTCGAAAGCAACAATTGGAGGTTGAGCGACAGTCTCGTATGATGACTCGCGAGCAACGCACTAAAGATCGTGAGCAGAAGCGGATTCTCCACCAGGAGGAGATGGACAAGCTCAAGATAGAAGAAGAGCGATTGGAACGTGGCGAGGGCCGCATCTCTGCACGAAACCTCAAAGCCGAGCGCGATAAGATGCAGAAGAATTTGGCCGACCTAGCTCAAGAAGACGAGTGGGTCTTCGATTGTTCTGGCTGTGGTGTGTACGGGGAAAATTTGGTGAGTTGAATCCAAGTTGAGGCAAAAGAAAAGCAACCATCTAACATTTCGTCTAGGATGATGGAAGTCATAGTGTCGCTTGCGAGAAATGCAATGTTTGGCAACACAGCAATTGTCTTGGTATCTCTAAGGAGGATGCCGAGAAGGATGACTTCCACTTCGTTTGCCGCGACTGCAAGCGCAAGGAGGAAGAAGCGAAGAAGCCCAAAATCGCCCCATTGAAATTCAGACTCAGCGCATCGGCATCACCGTCATCAGCCACTACGGGAGCAAAGCGCTCAGTAGAAGATGACATTGTTCCTCCATCCCCTGTTAAGCAGACCCATGCCGCTCTATCCAGTGCCCAAAATGGTCCTTCAACTGCCCAGACTTCGACACAGCCCCATCTTCCCCCAGTCACTGCGCGAGCCCAGTACTACGTCCCTCCATCTCCGGAGCGGCGTCAATACTCTGCAAACCAATCATCTTTCCCGTCCTCCAGTCCTTCTCGACCTTCTTTCTCCCCGTCCAAAGGCATGGACGCCCCGGCATATCCCTCTATGAAACCGCTGCCCGGGGTTGCTCATAATGGAGTCTCTCTGCCACCGATGCAACCCGGGCCCCATCTTCCTTCTTTTGGATCATTTCATTCTGCCCGCCCCTCGTCCTCTCACTCTGGCCACGGTGCCATCCAAAACCGACCATCTATGTCACCCACTCAAGGGAACCACGAAGTTGGTCCTTTAGCAGGATTTCCGCCGGCTCAGCAGCCGGCCAATGGATCCGGCTCTTGGTCCCCGTTTCAGAACCAGAGCTACACGACACCCCGCCCCCAGTCCGGACATGGCGGTTCATTTGCCATGTCCAGCAACTATCCGTCCTTTTCAGCCACTGCAACTCCCAACGGCAACCACAATCACTCATCGCCCCCTCACAGCTCGCATGGCATCGGTATGTCTGGCATCAGCCCTACCAAGCAGTCTCCCCGCCCTCTCACCTCCGGCGCCATGGCAGGTGCCCCGATTCTTCCACCATTCCACCGATTAGACCCGAGCCCTAAGCTCATGGGCCGTAATTCACCAGATGCCCCAATTCCACCACCTGTGAAGTGCATGACACCTGAGCAGGAGGAGCGCCGGCAAAGGGAGAATGCTTCGATCCGGCCTCACTATCCCTCCAATGGTCAGGCGCATCCGATGTCATCCCCATCAATCAACCGAATTCCTCCTTTGGGCCCGGCGGCAACCTCTCAATTGCCCGATCCAGTACCTTCTCCTCAGCATGGGGACCAAGACCATCGGCAGTAATGGCGTGGAGGGATTCAAACCTCAAACCCATAACGAACTCCCTCTCAAAAGCGATGTTTGCATATATTCGGTCGAAAAAAGTGGCCTTGAGCCGGATTATTTTCTGGTCGATTTCGACCCCCCCTAACTTTCAATTGCGGTTGAGACAAGCGTTTGGTGGGGAGCCCTGTAGTAGTGCAGGCTTTGACTGACGTCTCAACAAACTTTTGACACTGAAGCCGTTGTGATTACTCTAGACGAATGGCCAGAATCCGGAGTCATTATCCAGGTGGAGCCGATCGATCGATCGATCGATCGTTTCGACTTCATGTTGCTTGAGAATGGGATTATGGCTGTGTTCGCCATCATCTCCTTCGTCTCTGAACAATTATGTGTCTATTAAGAAGCTTGAAACATATCTCGATGGCGATTCGAGACAGGGTGCTGATATCGTCGTCGAGAAAAGGGAATCTGCCTTGGCTTTTACATGTCACCGTTTGCAGGATACCTGGGATTTCTGGCCTGGTCGGCGTTTGTATTCTCTTCTGTTTTCTACTTCCTTTTTTCTCCTTTTGTCTCGTTCAACAGATGCATTAAGATGGTTGGGAAATTGGGCGTTTTCAGATGGCCCCGGAGGCGGTATTTGACGGTCTGCGTAGCTGAGATCTAGGCATTTGTATTCTAATAGAAGTTTCCATTCCCATGTGTTGTCTCTTTCGTCTAAAGACCTATAGTATCCTTGCCTTGGGGACTTCTTGATATCTCTTGCAAGGAGTATACCGAGTCTAGTATGAATTTCCTATTCGGGTTGAGTGACGAGTACAACTTACGTATTGCTGGTATGAGCATGTAACGGCCATGGCAATCCACTGACAGCCCGTCAGGGTGACAGGAAACGAAAAAAGAAAAGCGACACTAGATCCAATGTCTCATCTCCGACTCAAATCGAAGCGATCATGATTTTTTTTCATTCGCTACCGGCTTTCGGAGTCCATTGCCGTCGAAGCTAAACATGCACGACCATCTCATGTCACGCCCCTAAAAGCCTCACTTCCTGTCACAGTGGATCCTTGGCACAGCCGGCACGGCATACATAGCTACGACGGACACTATGTGGACATCGCGAGGGGGAAGAAAAATAACGGCGCCAATATTTCAGAATCGAGATCCACTTGGCAGATAGACTAGTTGGTGACGGCGCGGATTGGAGTGGGTAAATCACACGGCCCGTCTGGGGGCCGTACTCCCTAGTTTCAGCGGAGCTAGGGGACTAGGGCGATCGACCGGCACAAACTAACTAAGCACGCAAGAGATGGATCTACTGTAATTTTAATTAGGCGAGCGTGTGCGCGATCTACAGCACTTGGCCCGAGCTGTGGTGGCCCCGCTTCCTTCTTTGAGGGCTGATACGTCGGTCCATACGAGGGAGACAGGACTTTTGTGTTATCCCAGTCTACAATGAAGTGGTACATTCACTCTAGTATGTACCAGGGTGCCACGTAGTTACAAGGACTATGGATCAAGGAAGAATAGTAAATTGTATGCCAGTACCCTATGCCCGTCACAGTCAGTAAGGCTAGGGTAAATTACCCTGTACCAGTGGCTCTAGGGCTGTTGGGTAGACTTCATGACCTGATAGGTCAATCCCTGGGCAGTTGGGCGTTCAGGCGCAAACTGATCTTTTCCAATTTTGCAATTTTACAGTTACCTAGTATCCTTGAGTCGACGTGGGCACGGGTGGTGACAGATGAAGGAAAGGCTAGATTCCCCCCATCTAGCATGACTCGCATGCCAATAGATTATGAATCTCGCTCGCGTTCCGGGATGGCTTAATCTACGGATCAGGACAAAAAAGTACTGAAGGCGCGCCGATCTCTTTCGGGGTTAACAGCTTGATTCCGGGTTAACAACTTGAATCCGAGTCTCCAATATTATTTCTTCGGAAGGTAGAGAAGACGAATGGCTTCACAAACCATTAGGTTTGAGAGACCTGTCCAAAAAAGGAGCCTGACTTATGATATCTCTTTCAAGGGGATATCCTATCTGAAGGGATAGCCGGATAGGCTATTCGAGGGAATAAGGGAATAGGCTATCCGAGGGATCTTCCATTGCTTGTCCGGGGCATTGAGAGCGAAAATACCCCCCGGTCCTCCGCGGAGGATCGGAGGATTGCCGTGGGTGGTGGAGGTGGATCTCGATCCGCCACGCTTCCCATTGGATACACTCGCCATGGGGATGGCTATCACATCCATAGATCCCCCGTAAATTGAGTCTAGGTGTGAACCGGTACTTTCGAAATCCTTCGAACTCGGCTAAGTCATTACGGACTGGATAGAAGGAAGAAGCGAGGAGATTTGGTTCACCACTCAACTATCAAGATTGGCGAGTTTTTGCTCTAATCCTTGGTTATGAAGGGATAGATGAATACGCATAGCTTGGCGTATGTGTATGCACCATATCGACGCTCACAGAAAATAAAGGTATGACAGATCGTGGGATCAGCATGGTCTTTGCTAGTTGCAGCGAGTCTGCCATCAAGATGTCCCTTCCCCCTCCCTCCTCCCTTTTTTTCTCTTTTCCACTCTGTATAGAGTTTAGAACACCGTTTAAAACGATTAGTCCTTATGTTCCCGTCCCCTTCCTTTTCCCTTAAATACCAGACCCCACACGGACTCCACTCCGTGCTCTCATGCAGCTCATCTTCATCGGTGGGCCCGCCTGTCTCGGTCGGCCACTGATGAAGTTTCAGGGCGCGTGCGCTGCCACGGGAAGATCATGGTCAAGGCATTGGTTGACGCAAGAAACTGTGTCCAACTCAAATTCACTATGCTGCTTTCCATTTTCGCCAAGACAATCAAGGGCGTTGAGCTGTGCCCGACGCATCTAGCCACGCGACTAATCCCCACTTAATTCGCCTAGTCTGACATATGAGCGGCAAATGGTAGGATATGGCAAGGGTGTAAAAAGGTATTTGTCATGGTCAACACCAGCCGCTGCAGGAATTTCACCAGGAGCTTCATAGAAACTAGTTTGGCGAACCATCACAGGAGGTGAATTAGGGACAATCGCATTCACTCGTGTTCCTTATTTGAAGCTATCGTCAGGCTCCTGCCTTTTGCGGAATACGAAGGAGAGTCTACGGAGTACGAGGAGAGCGGAAACTGGAGTGTACTCATACTATAAGGTCTCTACTCTGCACTCAAGACTTTACTACGCCGTATGGAATAAATTACATTACGCTATATCCTACTGCGTGGCCCTACGGAGTCCGGTCTACCATGGCTCGGTCCCGTCAAGTTCTAAGCTATCTACTGGTAATGAGCGCCCCCTGACTCGACTGCCTTCAGTTGTCTGGATCATCGTGATCGTCCGGGACAGGGAAGGCAACCGGTTTATGCCAAACTGACGTCGAAATAGTAGGCCGGAAATAGGGGATCGGGGAGATATCCCTTAGATCTTCGCCCCTGATGGTCTCTTGAAGCCTTGCCACTGAAGCAGAGGGGAAACAGGACCTGAGACACTGGCAGTCTCTTAAGTTGAGTATCGGGCGTCCATCACCCGAGCCCGGTATGAAGCGGCACCGAAAAGGTAACCATACCTTCGTTCGGCCCCTCCGAAGAAGTGGATCGCCTCCCTGCTCGATTGTTCGGGGCAGCTCGGAGGTTCATTGATGAGATTGGAGACCAGAAAAACATGTCATAGCTTCCCTCATTCCTCCGCGGAAGCAAAGTTTGCTGATAGTTTTGTTTTTGAGAAGGTTCACGTAGGGCAGAAAAGGACAGAACTTGACAATCCGGGGAAATGTGATGAGAAATTGCCCATAGCGGACATAGTACATAGTTTGTAATCCGTACCATGGTGCTTAGAAAATACATTTCACCGGGACAGCCCTTGTCTCCACTCAGAGCTTAGAGCTTAGTAGGGCTCGGCCTCTCCGGGCCAAATGACCTGCGTGACCTGCGAGCGATGTGGAAGCTAAAAGTCGGCCAAGACCGGAGACGAAAAGGGAAAATTAACTGTGCCTTGACATGATAATATCCTTGGTCTTAACCCTTCTGGGGTGTATTACATGCTTCGTATCGGAGACATGATGCGTTCATTTCTCCCCCTTTCTCGTGCTAGTTGCTCTCCCGCTTGCGGTGCAACACGAGTCAGTTGTGATCTGGCGTTCCTTCCTTGCGTTAACTTCTCCGAGTCAACGAAAATTGTCATCCATGGATCGCGGTGGTCTCAACCACTGGCTACCCAACTGCTTCTGCCTCTAACTCTGCCCCGCGCATGCCACATCTATCTTCCGTACCCAAGTTGAGGATCATTATTCGATCATCATACCTGACTGAGCGCGACTGGTCTTCGCACGGGTTAACAAGCAAATGCGATGTGTGGGCGCCAGGAAGTGGATTGATGGAAAGGATACGTAATGCATCATTACATCAGATTCAAGCAGGGAAAGGTCTCTCGGGGAGAAATGGCAGCTGCCTGGCGAATTCCTCGCCAGATGGACGGTGTAATCTCAGGTACAATACCGCGCTAGGGAAGAAGGATGTCTCCGTTTACCTGTTCGGGCGGCATCTGGTCAATTCATGACAGTGATCGTGGCCTATGACATGAGGATCGACAGTCATTAAAAAGACTATTGGCCCCGGACTGGTCTGACAAGATCGGCGAGCGCGTTCCACCAGGAAAAACGAGGAGAAGAATCAACGGTCTGCGGGCCTGCAGGGTGGAAGGCACACCGACAGGCCCGGAACCCAGTCAATAAGAAGACAGGATATGAAGATACGCGCTAGCCGCTCTGGTGCAGATTGACTGTGCCTGTTGGCAGATGATCCTCGCCTCTGGAACCAATCGTCAGACTGGTATCGCTGTTGGTTTCTCTGTCCTCCATTGTAAAACACGTGGTGAGCTCCTAGAAGAGAAGGTGTTTAGGAAATAGCTTCTGGAACTGCAGCTATACATGCGGTATCCAACTCGACGTACGGTACTTTTTTCTTTACTGCATGGATGTACTAAATAGGAATGGGTAGTGAGATGCAAAGCAGAGGAAAGCATTCCAAGGTTTCTCATGGTCATCAAATGATTCACAGATTTCGGCCACGGAAGATCCATTGGGGTAGATGGGAATCAGGCCAAGAGAAACGACGAGGCATTTCACTTTTCTATCAACTCCGACCCTCCGACCCTCCGACCCTCCGTGCCTGGAAATTTGACTGTGAAAGATTCTTTCAGAAAAGGAGGCTGTCAGAGTATGAGGGCTTGGTCAAGGTGGCGCCTGCTTTGCCCCATCCTTCTCACTGAATCTCATTGATGTACTAGTCCGACAGGGGACAGATTAGAATGATCCCCGAGACAGCGAATACAGGGATAGATTGTGAGCCTTGGCAGGTTCCCGTAGCGACTAACCGGGATGTCAATGGAATATGACAGGGAGCGGGCTATAACCCGGAGATCATGGTAGGGCTCGAGAGCAGCATCCCGGAAACCGAACGATGGTTCATCGAGAAGCGGGGGTCCATTGATCCAAACGCACGAGTAATATCATCCGAGCGATGTAGGGCCAGAATTTCCTACCTCTTAGGGCCGTAGAAGCGCAGGGATGTTCGCTAGACTCGGCTTTCCAAGTGGGTTTTCACGCGGTTTGAACGGTAGGACCTCCCGTAATACCCTTCAGCGTGACAAAAATGGCTTCCCGGGCAGAAGTAGAAAGAGCCTTATATGGTGTAGGGAGGCTTGGAATTAAAACCAAGTTAGCAAGGATGCCATCTCGAGTCTAAATCGAGGGCCCAAGCGATGAGCACGTTGCGGCGGGGCCTTGAAATGGAGCCATCCCATGGTAGACCCGCAATGTCGACGGCAGCTCCCCGATAGATCCACCGGGCTATGAAGATCGTTCTTCATCTTTGGTAGAGTAGACCAGTATAACCACTGTAAGGTTTTGCCATGGCATGAATGAACATCCCTGAATAATCGAGGCTACCCTGGAAAGTATGTTTTGGAAGTTAGGACCATGAGCCCGAGGCAAAGACCCCATAATTAGTTACGGTCAGATGAAACTGGTGGCTATGGCTGGGAATTCGTGCAAGGATCTCGCAGAATCTATTTTGGAGGATGCTGTTTTTGGTATGCCGTATACAGTACCTATTTCAACATTCATGAGCTGATGCTCTTCAATGACAGTGGTACCGATATACCGCCAGAGTAGGTAGATGTGGGCATGCTTACGGGAACTACCAGCGGCTTATCCTTACTGTCAATCGCGTTTCTTTCTCCTCCACAGCGAGAGGGGAACCTACAGGGTTGTAAATGCTGAGTTCTGGGTCGGAAGGCCTGTGCCCTCCACCATAACCTCCCGGACAGTCGCTCACTGGCTGAAGAGATGTAATTTGAAATCATTCTAGGCGAGAAGAACCAAAGAGAAGGAGGAGTTGTTTGTTAGGAGGCGTTGAGGCATGGGAGTCATGGCATTCTCACGTACTAGAGAAATATCTAATGTTGGAGGCTCAGCATTAGTTCGTGACTCCTGTCGAACCACTGCAGGTCCCCGGGTAGTATATGTAGTAGAGTTCTTACTACGGAAGAGGTACATCCGGAGAGGGAAACCAGATAAACTCAGCGAGAAGGATTTCCATCCCGGCAGAAGCGTATGGCTTGGGACTCGTCCTCCAGTCTTCTGTGGCCACTTTACTCGGGAGTGCACACCCTGCTGCAGGGGCCCCTCTGCGCCCCCCATCCTGGTAGGGCCACATGGCAGCAGAGTTCACCATGTTCCTTGCAAATACCGGACAGACAAAGAAATATCTCACGGTGGAGTATCACAGGGATCAAAAAACGTGGCCGGGCGCAAGTGAGGGCGCCACTAGGGGCGATGATTGCGATCGAACTAACCCCAGAGGTTCATCCACTTATGTTGCAGGGCTCACCGCAACCCTAGTCTGTTCCTGAGTAGAGCTGGGTGTAACGAAGCAGAAACTTGAAAACAAAAACATCCAAACAGTGCAAGAAAGATTACTATGTACAGGGGTTGTCGATACTGCCTTGCCTTAGCCAAATCCGGCGAAGTCGATCCTGGTAGCGCTAGACGCCGCAGGTCACGTTCAACCTACTAGTACTACTAGTATGAAGAAAAAATAATCCCGAACTACCTTGGAAAACTATGCAGTTCTGCTTTCCGTAGAATTTATGCCAACTGCCAAGTGACAGTGTGAATATCGAGTCGACGCTGGACGACCGAAGTTGATGTTCGTACGTCCTCGGCCGAAATCTAATAGGGCCGAACGCCAAACTCTCGGTCCAATATCATTCGAACATTGATAGTCTTCTCCTCTCCGCGATAGGCAAACGGGAAATGCCACTAAGACCAAACGAGGGCAAGCGTGTCATATGTAAGTAACCAGTCCGTTTATTTACGCCAATCACTGCTCAGGTGGCGCATGAACGTGACTGGGCGACCCACGTCGATCAGGAGTGATCGATCTCCACCAAGCTAGTATAGCGGAGATGGACGGCCCATGCTCTCGCCCCACTCGCGGGGTTCTACGGAGCATGGTCCCCGAGATTCATTTCTTATGCTCGACATCATTGTCGGGGCCAAATCAATCACTCCCCCCTCCCCTCTCCTCACCGCCGCGAGGTATGATTTGCCTCGTTACGGCCGCCTCTGGGAGAAAACCATGGTTAGAGGCCGAGATAGACAACTCCGTCAAATGCCATTTGGCATCGATTGTGATCTGGAACGTTACTTAGAGCCGCGGAGCCACCGAGCCCTGGGCCTGTGAGGGAGCTCATAGATGATACACAATGAGTCGCTGAATCAGTGGTTCGACCTGTAGGGGAGAAGCGTCATGGCCAGCTGTGCCTCGAAAACAGGGCCTCTCCCATCAACATCGCGCGTCTCCAGGAACTAGCTAGTTCTCCAGTCAAATACCGTATTGTGAATTACAGCCCTGTCTCCCAAAATTCTGACGTTGAATACAATGACTTGCAGACTGGGGCAGTTCTAAGACTATCGCCATTCGTCATTGGCACATTCCCTTAGCGTTCCTCGACTTCCCTACCACGACCCCATCAGCTGGGGCTTCGGCAGAAATGAGGAGCTACGGGTTCAATCCCAAATAAGAATAAAGCAAATTGATTATTTCTCCAAGAGGACAGACTTTATCACACGAAATATATCCCAATTTCACAGACAGGTCTAGTAATAAGTGTGGATGTGAAATTTACTTGGATGCATAACCTCATCAGGGTGCTTGCATCATCCGAAATTACCGCTTGCTGTTCACTACGGATTGCTTTTTGTGGTAGCGTAGGCGCCATTATCCCCCCTCCTCCAAGTACGACTCAAGCCTCGCCTAGTTAGCCCCCCCCTTGTCAGAACCGTAGGGTTAGTCTTCTCAGTACGGAGTATGACTGGGGAAGTATCCGAAAGATCCACCAATCTCGATACCCCCGGTCTTTCCCCTTCTTGAATTTCCATCTGACCTATGACATCCCTAGAAGCCGTGGAACAAGCCTTGGGGGAGGTTTTTTTTCTTTTTTATTGAGAAAGAAAAAAAAAGAGGCTGCCCATGGTCGTTCGTACAGGGAACTATCATACCCCCCTCCCTCTACTAGTAGAGTAGATGGGAATTTCTATATTGTTCTCAACATTAATTCTCTGTTCGTGTTCTTTTTCTCCTTTCTTCCTACACTCAACTCTCTCTTCTTGGAATTCCCCAAAACCCCACAATTGAGGCAATGCCATCTATGTCTTTTGTCCAAAATTAGTACAAAGCGCAGGTGTCATAGTATGGAAGGGCTGAGCCATGTTGATCGGGGAGAATGAAATGTATGCTAGATAAAGAAAGAGGCCCAAAGCATAAAAAAAATTCATGGGTTGACGAATCAAAAAAAGAAGGAAAAAATAGACCAATGGTAAAAAACGGCTGAATGGCTATTTTTCGATTGAAAGAAACGCCAAGCCTTCATTACCTGGGCACGATACAAGTGCGTCTCCCCGGGGCCATCCAGTGTGCTCCCCCCCGGAGTGGAGAAGGGGGTCCCCCTCGATCGCCAAATTTGGTTAAGTGTGAAATTGGTTCAAAAAGAGGCAAAATAAATTGATACAGAGAAATAAAAAATCATGATTAAATTAAAAATAAAGAATTCTAATTGCATGAACCCGCGCTAGGACACGCCTAGACAAAATAGATTCACGCCATCGTATGGTATCCAGGTTCACTTCGCCGTTTCAGCCTCTCTGGCGGGTGTTTGCAAGCATGAGCAACGGGCCTCTGCCGCAGCTCCCATTAAACCACCCCTCCTCGCCTGCTCTTCTCTCCACTCTCTTTCTTCTCAATTCATCTTCCTCTTCTACATTAAAAGAGATCCTGAGAAATTTCTTATTTATTCACCCGCCCCGCCTGGTGGACCTCATCTCTCGAACTATACTTTCTTCTTAGTTCTTCCCTTTCAACATTCTTCTCGGGTACCTCCCGTCCTTTATTGGTCTCTGACTCTCCTGCTTGTCTCACTTGGCCCTTCATCTTCCCGGCTTGTTTGAGAACGTGTTGTTCCTTTCACAGGTAGATGCGAGACCGCCTCTTTGCAGTCCCTCAACATTAACGCCATATCCCCTTCTTCTCTCTTCTCCTTCTTTCCTCTTTCTGGAAGTCTTCCTCCATCTCTCTTCCATCTTCGCTGCTTGAGAGCTATACTTGCGGATCTTTGAAATCAACTACTAGATTCCCGGGTATCTCCATCAGATCAGATCCTCCTTTTCTTTACTTCCTGGCTTGTTATCCTCCACATCCCACTCATCACATCATGGCCAGTCAAAAGATAGAGGATTCAACCCTTCTTCCCTCACCACCTGCTTCATCGGAAGGAGATTACCGCCCTGTCTACCCATCTACATACGGCCTGATTGACAACAGCATGGAGCAATTTCCGATGGTTGCAGAGTTTGACCCAAGCACTCCACCACACCAGATGGTGAGTTCCAAGTTTTGCCATGTTGTGTCGATATCTCAGAGAAACCTATCTAACAATATCTACCAGCTCTACGGCTCTCCCCCACAATATTACCAGCACATCCCTACTTCGCACCCGGTAAGCCATTTCCCTTGCCTGAAAGCATCTCTCCATACTAATGAACATTGAATATATAGATCCCAATAATGCTTAATAACCAGGCTCATACTCCACACATCATGGGGGCACATCTTCCAATGAGGATTCAATCTGCATCACCCCCATACTCGCCGTCACCACCTCGAAAGAGCTCAGCCAGAAGCAAAGCCAGAGCCATTCGCTCCCCAAAAGAGAAACGTGGCCGTGGCCACAGAAACACTGCAAGTGGAACGAAGACAAGAATCGCCCTTCCAGGGCCCCTGTCCGAGATTACCGCCCATTTCACAGATGTCCCAGTCCGGGATATGGAGGCCCATGTGAACCGACCAACACCGGCTCGGCTCGAAGAGGCCAGACTGAGAGGTTTGGCTGGAAACAAGGCAGTTGCTCGCCCCATGAATGCATTTATGCTTTATCGATCTGCCTACACAGCTCGTTGTAAGGAGTATCTGGGCATGGAAAACCACCAAGAGATTTCCAGGGCTATAGGTGCGAGTTGGCGGCTGGAGTCGGAATCCTTCAAAGGTCGATTCAACGAATGGTCGCGCATTGAGCGATCAAACCATGCAGTCGCTTTCCCCGGATACAAATTCCAGCCCAAAAAAGACACCGGAGTCGCACGACGAACAGAAATTGAGCTTACCCCTCCTCGCTCTTCTGTCTCAGCAGCTGGTGATATGGGTAGTCCTACTGACTGGGATGAACTTGAGCCTGAATTCTCACTGGCACCACCTTATCTGCATCGCCGCACGCAGAGCTTTGAGATATCGAGCCGATCCTCAAGCCCCTTCGAAAGCTACCATGGCCTCCCACCAACCCTCACATCAAGCTATGATGCAAACTGGAACACGAGCTTCCCCTCGCAAAGCCTCCCAACCAGCCTGTCCACGATCCACCCCGACATGCTCCAAGGCGCCAGCTTTGACAGCGATATCCACGGACTGCAGGATCTGTCCAATGATATGCCCAGCGGAATCAATGGAATTCCGGGTGGTAGTCATGACGATCTCTGCCAAACTTCTCAGTCTCTTCCAATCCTTATCAGCAATGAACACATGGACCCGCAGCTGCTGCAGTACAGCCAGAATCCTCCGACCACCTATGAACATGGAGTCATGTCGCCGGCTCACATCTACGGTTTTGAAGATGGCGGTTACATCTCCAACTCGATGCCTTCTGGTCACTCTAGCCCGAAGGCTTACATGGGAGGGTCATGGGAATACATAGATAACCCCCCCTACTTCAAGCTTTTAAAGTATACTAACAGGAGGACGATACCCATGATCGGAGACGACTCATGAAAAAAAGATCCATATCTACCGAATGGCACATCTAATGAGGCTGACTTACATTCAATTCCTGGCCAAGCACCGCTTGTTTCAGATGTTAGTTACGCCGGCGAGCTTTGTGGAATAAAGCCCGAACGGAATTGGGAGTTTAGGCGCTTTGGCGTCATGGACAATTGGATGCTTTTGCTTTTTTGTTTGTTTCATTCCTTCGTTGCTTTTTGGTTCTCCTTTCTTTATTCCCCTCAGATCTTCGTCGTCAGCTTTTTTGTCTTCTGTTTCCATTATGATATCTCCTTGTATCCCACAGTTTGTACATCCATTTTTGACGTTGTCTCTTTACCCTTTCTGTATCCCTTTCTAAATCGTTCTTACTTCCTGGGTGGCATCATGTCGGTTTTTATCTGCTTGGAGTGCTGGGCATGATTCTTAGATTTATGGATGGGCTCTTGTGCTTCTACGTTTTAGATTTCTGGTACCTAAAGAGGCGGGTGGAATAGTGTCTATTTCTTTTCAATGCACATGCAATTTACTTGTGTTCTCCTTCTTTGTTGGAACTCGATTTCCTTTTGTCCTTGCAGAGGTGAATATTGAGACTGTTGGGTGAATACATTTACCGGAGAGAAAAACATAAAAAAAAGGAAAGCAAATAAAATTGGCTTTGTCAATCTTTGATCTTCATTGAGCCGTTATCTTTCTACGGTAATTTCCCTTTAAACTTTTGCAAGTATGGAAGTACCATAAATTTAATTCGATTATTGTGTCACTCCTTTCAAAAAACCAACTTTCCATGATCTGGTTCGCTTTCTCCACCTTCTTGAACTCTTCTTGGACGATGAATAATTGTCAACAAAGGCCAAAAGCCCACCGCTTAGTTTCATTGACTACGCAAATTGTAATATTTCTATCTTTCTGCTCCCGAAAGAGTATTCAATAACCAAGGATACATCAGGAAAATCTCCTAAATGTATTCAGAACAATGAAACGATTGACCAAATGTGAAGCGCTAGATTGTATTCAGATAAAGACTGCTAGCTCGCAACTGTAGCCTTTGTCCTATCCTAGGAAGTCCTATTCATATTTTCTAAGATTTATCACATGGACTCATCATTAATATAATATAATTAGTAGAATATCGTCTTTCGGAAGTCTTTGTAAAACGAGAAATGATTCTTCAAGCCAGTGGCGCAAAGTGATGACTAGCCATGGCCAAACATTGCATTATGTTAAAATTCTCAAATAGCCAAAATGACCTTAAACGGAATGAGAGACAGTTCAAACAATTCACAATAACGTAGATAACAGTAAAAATCAAACACAATGATCTGACACAGCAAGAAAACATATCAACTTGTAATGCAACAACGGTTGCCTGGACCTTGCCCTAAGTCGGGCCCATAGCCATAGTAGACTCTCACCGCCCTCAGTCTGGCCCACCGCCAAAGCCGCCAAAGCGACGACCAAGGCTGGACGCCATCGTCGACACTCGATTCCCTCGGCCCTTTCGTTACTGCAATCGCATTTCATCGATTTCGATTCCATCTGCCCCGAACGATCCCAGGCAGGAACGCAAACCCACCCCAAAAACCCGCCCTCTCCTCCGACACCTTGCCCCGCACCTCCCCCCTCCACGAATTCCAAAAGCTATCACGACCAACCAACAAGATGTCGATTCCCAATGAAGCCCTGCAGAAGGTACGCAACGAGTATCTCCGAGCCCAGCTCCAGCCCAATGGTCACGCACACCGTTGGGCAGAGCCCCAACCAACCCAATCGAGCTGCTAACAAACGCGCCCGTAGCTCCTGCAAGAGATCGAGACACGCGCCCTTGCTTCGCAACAGCAGATGGGCATCACCAAAGCACAAATGACAGCCAAGCAACGCGATATCCGCATGCTGCAGTTGACCTCTAAAGAGTTGTCGGAATTGCCCTTGGAAACGAGGGTATACGAAGGCGTGGGCAAGATGTATGTTTTTTCTTCCCATCTTATCTGCCGCTTCTTTGCTTGCAAAGAATTCATTGTCGGGACCTATTGATCCTGTTGCTTTTTTTCGCTATTTTCTTCTTCTTTGGAATGGTACTCATCATACGCTTTAGGTTCGTCAATGTCCCCATCGATACCGTCAACAAGCGCCTCACTCGCGAGAGCTCCGAGGCTTCCACAGAAATCACCAACCTGGAGAAGAAGCTGCACTACCACGAGACTACACACAAAAACAGCCAGGAAAATCTGGAGCAGATTCTCAAGTCTGGCAGGGTATAGGTCGGTTGAGAAAGAGAGCCAGAAGCAGTGCTATCGGGGCCTTTACGCAGCGCAGGATGGGAATCTGAGTACGAACTGTTGTCAGACGAACAGCCATATTATTACAATGATTGGTACTTGATTCGAATTTATAGTCCGGGGTCTGATTAGAGACCGGAGAGGGCTCTTCGAAAAAAATCAAAAGCCTGGGCAAGTATGGCCGAGGAAGATGAGTCGAGGGAGTATTGTCAGATCTTAGATTCTGATTGATATTTTATTTGCTTCCTCGATGACATCGGATTGGATGGATGGATGCTCTGTGTGTACAGCGACTTGGATACCCAGGAGTTTTCGAAATTGATTGTATGCACAATGAACAAGCAAAGAATATTAGTCATGACTACCGCATACTGTCTTTGATAACCTATATATCTATTCTTTATAAACAGGAATATCAGGGAAATTGGCCTCATTGAATTGTCTTTATCTCTTTGCATCGTCATCATGCACCTGGCCATAAGGGTCGATGTTGACAGCCGGTGGGGCCAGGGCCGAGCGGAGCCTACCCGCATAGGGTGGAATGCACGCACGCCGAAGGCGGGCTTTGACACATTCCACCGTCTGCGAATAGGATTGATCGAGGAATGCAGAACGGTCAACGAATAAAAGTCGCATGTCTTCACCTTGCACAAGAGAGCTTCCATAAGCGGTCAGTAAGAGCCAGCACCAGGAAGGGTCTATTAAACCAATTCAGGCATGATGAACATACCAGAGCAAATGGGAGACGTCTCTTATATTAAGTAGTGGATCGCCCAGATCTCTAGTTCTCTTTTGCCTGTTTTACTGTATTGCATACTAGCCACACTACCGTCCCTCCAATCCAGACCGCAGGATGTGCTAGGCTTCGCACAGCCCTACATGTGTGGTATCTACCGAGAACAAGCCCTAATTGGAAGATGTGGCAGAAACCCCGGCAAATACGCCATGTCCTCGCCAGCGCCATTGGCGTCATTCTTGCGTTTTGGCTGCTGAGGACCTATCTGCATCTCACGCCTGTTCAGGTATGGCGGCGATCACCTGGTATTAAGAAATGACGTTCGATCACCCCCCGCTAACCGGCCCAGGTCCCTACCATGACACCGGATTCCGTGAACCGGTATCTTTCTGCGGTGAAATCCCTGGCAGCGAAACCGGATTTTGAAAGATTGGCTGTACCGGGATTCCATAATGATGGTGTCCCTAGATCGACGGCTGAATGTGACGAGCGCCGGCATACGGCCACGCTAGGCGTGTTGCCGAGTCTGCTTTTGCGGGATAATCTGACGCTGGCCGTTGAAGGTTTGATGGGTTATCCGCAAGTTGATCATGCGTTCAAGAGCCAGGATCTATCTCTGGAAGATTTTGTCGCGGAGAATTGGGCTGAGTTGGCTGGTTCGGGGGTTTGGCTTTCGGAGTATGAGGTTTACATCGTCGTCACTCGGGTGATTTACTATCCCTCGGGAACTCTGACCGAGCCAACGATTAGTTTCCTACGTGGGCGTATCTTCGACGCGCTGTGGAACCACCTGGATAACTATACGCTCGACTGGGACGAGGAGCCCATTGCCTTCCCCCGCATGCTTGATATCCCCGTTACTTGGAACGAGGACAGTAGATTCATCGGACCTGAGGACCCGCGAGTGATTATCGAAGATGGGGTCCTAGGTGCTGAGCCTGTAATCATTTTCAACATGCTCTCCGAAGAGGTAGACGGGGGTCGGGCGATGTGGGTGCATCGACCATTCTCGAACTCAACCAATCCCTTGACAATCCGGGGCGAAGTGCAAAGACTGGAAGAGAAGAACTGGGCGCCTTTTTTCCACTCGGAATCCTCCCTATATCATCAGCCCAGTCGCCACCTGAACTTCATCTACAGCCTGCAACCTCTCCGCATTATGCGCTGCCATATTCGCCATGGCATCTGTGATTGGACTTTCAAGCAAGAACTCCCCGCCAAAATGATCCACGACCACCCGGAAGTCCAAGGTGAAATGCGCGGCAGCACCAACTTCATCCAAGTCCACGAGTCAGACCCAGACATATCTCTCTGGGTCGGATTTGCACGCACACATCTGGACGGCATCTGCAGCAGCAACCCCAGCCCTAGCGGCTCCATCCACCGCCCAGAACTAGTCATTCTCGCAAATAGCGGATCAGAGTTCCATATCGTGTACACTAGCGAAGCGCTAGATTTCGGAACAGCCGTGCTGGACGAAGCTGCGCGCGAAGCGCCCTGCACTGAGGGCCAGATTCTGATACCGAATGGGATTGTGCGGTGGGATCAGGATCGGCGCGATCTGCTGCAGCTTGCGTTGAGCGTGAACGATCACACCACGCAGGTGCTTTCTATGCGCGGGGTGTCACAGCTCGTGCAGTCGCAGCCGTACCTGATGGAGTGGCGGAGGGCAGCCAGTCCAGACGGTGAGCCGTGGGGCCAACGGTGGTCAGCTGTGGGGGCCGATGTGGTCGGGTGTGCGGTGGTTGCGGCCAGGAATGACAGCATGCAGTATGGCGGCTGAGCAGATTAGAGAGTGCAGAGTACAGAGTGAAAAGGTACAAAAAGTACGAGAGAAGACCCTCGTGAATCATTGGGTCACGCGTGCCTTGGGTTCATCACGGGAACAGCCGACGGCGTCCCTTGGTTCCTACCTCGATGCCCGACTTCATTCCGACTTCATTCCAAACAGCGGCCTAAGGGGTAATGGAAGTTTGAAGTCCAAGTTGAGCACTGTTCACCTATTGGTGCGAGACGACAGCCCACCAAAGGTGGGGTATTGCTGTCAGATTCCTAAGGTTGGACTCAAGAGGCGCTCACTAGGGCTGGAAGCGCCCGGGAGGAAAAGGCTTGACGGAAATCCGCGACTGGCTATAATGGAAAAGAAGAGATGGTCTTGGGCGATTCGCAGAGTTTCCAGTGCTCCGTACCAGTAGTACTGGTCCAGTACTCCGTGCTATTACGGAGCAGTTCTAATACGACCTGGGCCCAAGAGTGGAGCCCTGCGGCCCTGCAGCGGTGGCTGGAGGCGATGATGTTATTCTATGCCCAAAACCTTGGAAGTAAAGAAGATGAGACAATTACATTCAATATTCAGGGGAGAGTGTGGCAAGGGAGAGGAAAAGAGTGAGGTAGAGGGAGAGAGGGGAGATGGAGTATAATACCAGTATACTCATGATAGTATACTAAATAGCCACGAGGCTCTCAGCTCAAGCAAGGAGAAGCGGGGCATGAAGCATAAAAATGCAAGATTCTCGCACTTCAATCTGACAGTTGATGAGGCTGAACTACAAATGATTGGGTGTCAAAGTCTTTTCGTAATCTTCCCGAATAAATACCGTCGTCACTCAGCCTTTTCCACCCTTCCAGCCCCTCCTCTCCTCCTCCTCATCTCTTCCTCTTCCCTCCTCTTCCACTTGTCCCTCTTCTCTCTCCCCCGCCGATCCCCACACTGATCTTTTCTGGCATTTCCTGCCTAAATTATCATTATTTATATTTTATTCTAGATTGTGGTCCTTCCCACACTACCTGGATCTTCTCGTCTCTCGCCTCTTCTGATCCCATCCCACCTCGTGTTCAGGTGTTGTGCTTGGACCGCTTGAGATCAGGACCGACAATTAGCACCAACACGATCCGCCACCCTCCCCCACATTCAACATTCTACCGTGCCCAAAATGCCTCAAGAATTCATTTTCGACTCCGATGACACCGACTATTCGGAGACCGATGTCTCCATCACCGGTCGTAAAGGTCGCACCTCAGTCCGACGCCGCTCTATCTCCCGCCACCGCCGCCCGGAGGTTGCCTCGGCCGCCTTCCTCCAACCCACGACCCATGCGACACGAGTGTATCGCTCAGCCTCGACAGGAGGGAATCGTCGTCGGGAGCGCGACCCCGGCCCCTCAGTCACAATCGTGAACGAGCTAGCCCAGCGCTCAAATAACAACGCCGCCAGCAAGCCCAAGATGAAGCAATCCAAAGTGATCGACGTCGACGATTTCGAAGAAGACGTGCACCGATCCCGCCGCCGCGCCGCCAGCGGAATCTCCCGCGACGCCTCCCCTTTCCAACCTCAACAGCGGGACCTGGAACTCCTCATGGAGCAGCGCCTGCTCGAGCGCAACGACAACCGCCAGGACCTCGAGCTCTTCAAGCAGCAGCAGGAGATCGAGCGGCTGGAGCGGCAACTGGAGAAACACCGCGAGCGTGTCGAGCCGCCGCGTGATTCTCGTGAGCTGCGCAGCCACCGTGCTGAGGAGGAGTGGTATGAGGATGAGATTAGCGAGCGCTTGCGCAAGCTTGAGAAGCAGGAGCGCAAGTCTCACAATGAAGAGGAGCGTCGTAAGGCGGATGCCCTGTGGCGCTTGAAGAAGTTTGAAGAAGAGTCTCACCTTGAGGAGGAGCAGCGGAAGGCGAATGCTCAGTGGCGCTTGAAGAAGTTTGAAGATGAGACTCGGCTTGAAGAGGAGCGTCGCAAGGCGGATGCCCAGTGGCGGCTCAAGAAGTTCGAGGAGGAAACTCATAACGCCGAGGAGCGCCGTAAGGCGGAGCATGAATGGCGTCTCAAGAGATTTGAGGAGGCGGAGAAGGAGGCTGCTGATCGCAAGGAGCTGAAGGAAAAGATGGAAGAGCTGAAACTCAAGGAGATGGCTCGTGAGAAGGAGGAGCGTGAGGAGCGTGAGAGGCTCAAGAAGGAGTTTATGGACGAACAGGCTCGCGCGGCGAAGGCGGCGCAGGAGAAGAGGGACAAGGAGATGCTCATGAAGAAGGCTGCCGTCGATGAGTGGAAGATGGAACAGGAAAAGGCCAAGCAGGCGGCTAAAGAGGCCCAAGAAAAGAAGGATAAGGAATTCCGTGAGCGTCTGCGCCACGAGTACGGATATAGCGAGGAAGAGATTGAGAAGATGCTCAACAAGGAGAAACATAAGAAGGAGGAACACAAGAAGCATGAGGAACACAAGCACGAAGAGCACAAGACCATTACTGAGGAGACGAAAACCACTTGGATCAAGGTACGATGAACTACTGATCTTGTCGGTGCTAGCTACTGGAACCTTGGCTAACCCTAATGTCAACTAGGTTCACCGGAAGCACTTGCTCCCCGAAACCTTGTTGGCGTACAACTTGCCTTGGGACTGGGACGAGGTAAGCAGCAACCCGATACAAACAGTCCTCCCCTCCTCCAATACTAAACCTCTACTACAGCGCGACTCCAACTACATCATCATCAAGAAATGGGTCACCGAGGACTTCCAGGAAGAACTCTTTGCCCACTCCCGCCGAATTCGCGAGGGCAAAATCATTGCCCAGACGTCCAGCTCCACAACCGAACTCAAGGTCAATGACCGCAAAAAGGACAAGATGTATCTGGTGCGGAAGAAGAGCCCCGGCCGGCGGTTTATGTTCGTCTAAATCTCATCTATCACGTCTTCGTCGTCTTCTTCCGTACTGGGATACGCCTTGGCCCAGTATGCATCTTCCATCTTCCATCTTCCATCGTCTTTCATCATCTGTGAAGAACGTGGTTTATACTTCGGCTACGGTTCGCCTTTGCTTTACGCTGCCTATTTATGAGACCCAGACAAACTGTTTTTGAATGTGTTGTTGTTATGCTGTCTTTTTCTCTTATGAGTTGGGATTCTTGAAACTGACAGTCACTACTGTGGTACAGTAACGAGATATGAGTTGATGACCTGTTTTTGCCATCCTTTCTGTTGCCTTTCTTTGTGTGTCATGTCAATCGCATCCATACGCCGCTCCATTCTATTTATTCAAACATCTATCTTCCCACATGTGTTTCGAGATCTTCCATGCGTTGTAGATTCTCACTGGCAGCATTCTCACCCCCTCCCCCTCCCCCCCATACCTGATGAGCCAGACACAAACAAGCAAAATGCAGTTCCGAACAAAAAAAAGTCAAGAACAAATCTTTCTTCCTTCTCCTTTCGTAAATATCAACGCCGGATGCAATATGCGCAGTCGAGAAATAATGGACCGCAGGCTGGAGCTGAGACTTTGAGCTGTTAATACAAGATATCAAATAGTGATACAAACAAATCCATGAAAAATTTACAAGCCCATCTCAGGCTTTTCCGCCCACCGCTTCTCCGCCCGAAGAATAAGCTCCTCATACACCGTCCACGCAAGGGCCGAGCTAAACGCCTTCCGAGCCATGCGCAGTCCCAGTCCACCGAAAAGACTGCGCATGCCATCTTCATGTATCATGATGCGCACCGCGCGGACCATGTTCCCATATTTGGCAGGCATGAGCTGCAGACGGGTTTTGACCGCATCGAACGGGTTCGTGATGGCCGTAGCAATACCGGCCGCCGCTGCACCGGAGACGAAATTGATCGACGGAGAAGATGACCGGGCCGGTGCGTCGCTATTTGAGTCCTTCACGGCTACGGGTGCAAGTCTTCGCTTCAGTTGCTCGTAGAAGAGGACGTAGAGACCGGCATAGGGGGCATCACGGGCTGCCGTTGCGCCGAATCCTGCGAATAGGCCGCGGAAACCTTCTGTGCGGACGATGTCGCGGCCGGCGCCGACGAGGCTGCGGTAGGCGTAGTAGTCGGATTCGTAGCGGACTTTGAGGACAGTGACGGGCATCATGACGAAGCCTGCGGCGACGCGGGCGATGGCGCCGGTGACGAGATTGGCGGAGTTGGAGAGTTTGGGGAGAGCGGAGGAGGAATGTGTTGTTGAGTTGGGGAGGACGGTGTGGGTGTTTGCTTGGGCGACTGTTTGGCGTAGAGCATTAAGGCTGGTGAAGTATAGGGCTGAGCCGAAGCCGGTACGAAGGGCTGAGGGGAGTGTGCCGCGCCATAATGAGCGGATGGGATGTGGAGAGGCGAGGATTGTCTTGAGGGTTGGCAGGAGGGTGGCGCCGTGTCCGGATTGCTGGACTCGCGTTTTGAGAAGGTCGGCGGGCTGGAGGAGGATGGAGGATGTGAGGCCTGAACAGAGACCAGCGGCGAAATGGAAGACGGTCTTGGATGCTGAGGGTTGAGGCTGAATATTAGCGTGGAGCTATTGCATGGGTATGCGCGAGGTAAGGCATTGCAGCGGGCGTACATTTAGAGGTACCAGTCTTGACCTGCGGCACTAAGGCGCTGTTATTCGACATTGCTTCAATGCCAGCTTCCGCGAGGCCCCCAGCGGTTGTGAATTGGTGGGAGACGGTTTATCGAGGCGATGAGTAACTGGGGATCGAATTGACTGGCATCGGAGTCGGAGTTGTGATGGGTGGACGAATGAAGTTTTCCGGTTCACCGCATACGGCGAGGAGAATGGAGGGAGATTGGAGGATCGGAATTGAGATAGGCGGAGCCAGCAGGAAACGGTGCGGTATGGAGAGGACAGGAATGGCCTAGACGGGTGGTCTAAGACAAGAGTTGAGAGTCGGGGGTTGACCGCTGGGCGTTGATGGGGAAGTCAAGTTGGGGTGAAGTCATCGGATCGGCTCGACCTCGGTATCGATAAGATACCATAGACTAGGACATTTATTGACCATAGTCCGTGATATAATCATATCCATCTATAAGTAAACTATAAATAATATAATCATAACACATAATTATCACATAATATCACCATAATACTCAGAATACTCAGAATGTCTCAAGTTCACCGCAACCGGCAAGTCACGGAGAGCCGCTGGCGCCAATCAGCAGTGCGCAATTGGACCAGTGGGATGCGACGTCATGGTCGACCACCTGCCCACTGCTCTGCCCTTTTCTGTTTTGTCATTTTGTCACCACTTTGGTTCTTCCCTTATAGACCCTTTCAAAATGCGGTGGCCTCTACCTCATATCCCGTATCCACGGGCGAAGCCTGGCTTCTGGAGTCCTGTTACTTCTACTTTGAACTGGTGCGAAGAGGTATGTAACATGTTTACTGTTATGCGACAGCTTGCAGCTTGGCCTTCTACCGGAGTCCCCGGACTAATTATCCCACCCTTGATTAGGACTACTATGTTACCGTTTACTCTGCTGAGATCGTGAACACTCTCACAAACCTATTATTTATGTGGTTAGGTGTCAAGGGCCTTCTCAGCTGTCGCCGCAATCAACATGACCAGATCTTCTCCGTCGCCCTATGGGGATATCTGGTAGTCGGTACTGGAAGCTTCCTTTTCCACTCTACCCTCAAATGTATGTCCTTGGAAAATCCCCCCGAGACCATGCCTGCTTCCAAGGTGGAGTGTGGTCTCTTTTGAGCTGCAGACAGACACCTAACTGTTGAAATCCCTTGCAGATCCCATGCAGCTAGTAGATGAGCTGTCTATGATCTACACGACCTGTCTGATGGCATACGCATCTTTTTCCTACCGACGCTCTGTGGCTTTTCGTGTATCTCTCGCCGTTGCCCTCACCAGTCTAGCCGTCTTCATCACCCTCTACTACCACTATCTCCAAGACCCAGTGTTCCATCAAAATGCCTACGCGCTCCTCACCTTCGTCGTTGTCGTCCGCAGCATGCACACCATGGAAACGACCCTGCGCCCTAAATGGCGCCACTCGCGCGAGGAGGATCGTCTAGAACGCCAGAAAAAGGGCCTACCGGTTCCGTCGAAAGAGCACCAGAACTACGAGAACGTGCGCGATCTGAAGACTCTCAAGACCATGTGGCTCATGGTTGGCTATGGTCTTACTATGTTCTTGGGCGGGTTCTTCATTTGGAACCTGGACAACCAGTTCTGTCCCCAGATCCGCCGGTGGCGCCACTCGGTGGGTTTACCGTGGGGGATATTCTTGGAGGGACATGGTTGGTGGTACGTGCAAGCATTCAAGTCCTTTAAAGCTTCTCATTCTTGCCATTCTTTTTAATTAACTCGTGCTTATCTCGTAGGCACATCATGACCGGTATCGGTGCGTACATGTACATCGTCTGGGGTATCTGGCTGCGACATTGCCTCAACAACAAACAAGATGAATATCATCTGCGCTGGGCGCGGGTCTGGCACATCCCTGAGGTGATTCGTACCACCGCGGTATCCGAAAACGGGATTGCTCCTCCAGCTAAAAAGTCCATCTGAACACGAAAAGCACGGTTGAAACATACCGTCCGTTTTGATTTGTTGCTAGTAAATGCCGAAATGTGATGATCCATTGGAAAGCGTGGAATGAATCTTTACCCTCGCCCGTTCTCGACCCTGGCTTCCGTCCCCATTCTTACCACCATTCTTGGCCGAGGGTTGCTTGGTTTCTCCTTGAGCTCGTCTGACATCCTACGTCCTGGTGACGAAAAACTTGCTGGCCTTAGAAATATCTCGCTAGCTGCGCAGGAAGAAACGTGGCGTGTGGTGCATTGTTGCTATAGACGGGAGTAGGACTCTTGGTTGCTGCTTTCTTTGAACTGATTTTGACCCGCTTCCTTGATTATACTGTATTCACATCCCTACGATACAAATTGAGATAAAAAGAATCAACTTTGTCTGGGGTTCTTTTCCAAGGTTGAAGTTGTGATATGCCGTTGATGTAGACCTTTTAGATATTAAATAAGATGTCAAAAAGACTTGGCTTAGCCCCTTCGTGTTCTCTAACGCTGATGCTGACTCCGTAGTGCAATCTAAAAGAAGTTCTAGATGAACAGATCGGCTTTGTATGTACAGGATATGTCTCTCCTCTCCTACTCAAGGCGCATGGCGCCCTTCTTTCCGAAGCCTTCTCCTCCTCCTCACTCAAAGCTTCGATTCGGGCTTACCGGCATCGGTTTTCTTAGGGCGACGTGCCGGTTCAGGAACGTGCTTCAGCCACTCCGCATCGATGGAAACCTTTTCAAGCTTGCTTTTCTTATTCCACGCGGACCAGAAACTCTCCTCCTCGTCTTTCCAGCGACGGAGCTCGGGTGCCATCCAGGAGACAGCAGCATCAGCACACTCATTAACTGCCTCTTGGGCAAGCAAATGGCCCTTGTCTTTGAGAAGGACATCACGCACGCGTCCAGCAGCGACACCGCCGCTACCGCCGAGGCCAACACCTGTGTGCTCGAGCTTATCGGCCATCATCCATGGCAGACACATGTCAGACTTGCCGCCGAAGATGTAAAGCACGCTCGGGCGAAGGAATGGCAGCTGCGAGAAGATGCGCAACGGCTCGGGCCGGTAGAAAGGGTATGACTGCTTGTTGTTCTCGTCTAGGTCTGGGTGTGTCACCCGATTTACAGGCTTGCCGCTACCGGGGATATGATTGTAGTTAGGTCGGGAGAAGGTAAAGACCTCATGATGGAGCGGGGTGCGCAGTGTAACGGGGGGGATTGTTCTTATCGGTGACGGTCTTGTCGTCGAGGGGATGGTGAAGGGTAGGAAGATCGCGCAAGCCATACTTAACCCAGCGATCGAGAACTCGGGGGGTCCCATGCCTGGTAGAATGGGCTACGCTTGAATCCTTCCTGTGCGGCCTGTCGCGAAGGCCACAGATCTCGCCGGTAAGTGGAGAGCTGGGTGGTCTTTGCGATGATTCGCTTGTTCTCCTCCAGGCTGAGTCCATCAAGCTGAGTGGTCTGCCGCTGGACAACCGGGTCGAGTAGGACCAGGGAGTGGAACAGCCGGGGGTGCATCAAGCTTAACTGCGTGCTACATATGACCATTGTCAGCATTTGGAGCAAGGTAGAGACGAGGGTACAGCAGCGCTGGGTACTAACAGGTGGGCACCGCCGAAGCTGTGGCCGACGCCGATAATGGGTCGTGGCATTTCGGCTCGCTTGACGTTGACCAGGTGGAGAAGGTCTCGAGGGTGGTCAAACCAGCTCGCTGTCAATAGTGGTTAATATGCCGATGTATGGTGAGACGGCAGGTCAAAGGTTACATACGATCATTGCCTAGAGTATGTTCGTTTAGCACGCTGCTCTCGCCTTCCCAGGCCACGTCGGCCATCCAGATACTGCGAATGCGAAATCCGGCATCTTTGGCTCTGGCGTGAATCTCCTCCCAGAGAGGCTCATACAGTTCCTAACAAACATGAGTTACTCGTGCTTTGGACGCGACTGGATTGGCTCGAGAAGTGTATTCGACACAACCCTGTTTGATTGTCATACCTTGGGAAAGCCATTTGCATGGGCAGCTAGAATGGTCACATCGCCAGGTTGCGGGCTGGGGTTATCGAGCGGAATGTATTGTTTCACGGCTAAGTTCAAAGGCTCTTCTTGGCTGTTTGCTGTGGCAGCGGGGTATTCGCGAATATGCTGGCCAGGAACGACGTGCTCAACGATACGGAAAGGAAAGGCCATGGTTGAGTAGGTGCGGAGGTGGAAAAGGACCGAGTCAGTGTCAGTACAAGTAGCAGTAGAACCCCGGAATATTAAACGGAGCTTAGTTGCCGACCAAGGCGGTTGAGCCGAGGCCCCTTTGGTGGCCAATCGAACTCCACATGCCCCAAGAACTGCCGGGGATCCACAAGTGTAGCGCATTGTGGTTGATTTGATGTGGTAGAAATTGAGAATGAATGGGAAGAATTTGGTTTGTAGCAGAAGTAGGGGAGACAATATCTGAGGGCGTTTGTTTGAGGCCTGGGGTTACTATGAAGTACAGTATGTACGAAGTAGTTACTCCGTAGTCAGTCACTCATTGGGCCCAGTTCGATTTCGTGCCAACAAGTGGTTGCCAACTCTTTCGAACCCTTCCATCCAATTGTACCATATCCCTTGATTCATTCTCGGATGTAATTGTGAGCTTTTAAAGTAGTCCAACTCATCTTCCCCAGATGTTTTATCAACTTCATTTCAAGTTGGGCGTCACCGTTCCCCGCGTGACCACGTGACCTGGCGTTGAGCAAACGCGCCCACGCGCGTGTTTGCTCAACTCGATCCCCTCCACCTCCACTTCACCAGAAGGCCTCATCACAACCAGTGCGATCTCGCTGGTTTGCCGCAATGGCGACGAACCAAGAATCAAAGCTCTTTGAGCAGTGCCGTATCTTCATCTTGTGCTCTCCCGAAATTTCCCTTGAAACAGCGCAGCAGGTACGTTCTTTTTCTCTTCCTTTTTTGCGCCGGAGCACGTAAGGTTCCAAGACTGATCTCATTTCCCTCTCAGCTTGCAGCGGTGATTGAAGAAAACAGTGGCGAACCGTCGATCTTCCAAAACAGTCCCGAGAAAACGGACGTCATCGAATGCACCCATATCGTTTCTAGCACCATCAACTTTCAATCTTACGATTACTTTTCCAACGCCCTGATCCCAATCGTCAAGCCCGCCTGGATCCAAACATCGCTTTCAAAACGCAAACTTGTGAACCCACGTCACTACAGCCCCGATCCTCGATTATTCTTGAATGATGTCGTTGTGACCTGCGGCGACATCCCGGAGGGCGACAAGGATGCAATTATCGGCGGAGTGCTGGCGAAAGGCGGCTTATATAGTCCTAGACTTAGCGCCATGGTCACTCATCTGGTAGACTTGACTGCCGACTCGGATAAAGCGCGCTTGGTAAAAGCCAAAGCAATGCGCACCAAAATCGTTTTACCCCACTGGTCAGTTTCGACTCAGGGCTACTTGTTAACGAAATTGTACTAACCTCAATAGGTTCGATGATTGCTTAAAGCTTGGTCAGCGCATTGATGAAAAGCCCTATATGTTGCCAGACCCTGAGATCTTACGCGCAGGGCCCAACGACCCCATTCGATGGAATGAAAATAGGGACGTTGCAGGCGCCTCGGCCCCTGCACCGCGTGAAATGCCTACCCCCTCGAGCACGCCAAATCAGCTCAAGGTTTTTGAGGGAAAACAGATCATGCTTTCACAAGATCTCGAAATTGGATCACATTTGCGACAATCCATAGAGGCGGTGCTCAACCAGAGCGGTGCCACCGTTACAAGCAATGTCGAGGACGCAGATTGGGTCGTTTGTAAGTTCCGAAAAGGAATCGTGTACCGACTTGCATCTCGCTTGGACAAAGTCGTCGGTAACCTTGCTTGGCTCTACTACCTGATGACATTCAACACATATACTCGTCCTTTGAGTCGACCTTTGCACTATCCAGTCTCTCCTGACCCAATTCCAGGGTTTAAGGGGCTGAAGATCAGTCTTTCAAATTATGTTGGCGAGGCAAGAATCTATCTTGAGAATCTGATAGCGGCGTCGGGAGCGGAGTGCACAAAGACTTTGAGACAGGAGAATACGCATTTGATCACTGCGCATGGAACTAGTGAGAAATGCAACGCGGCCCGGGAATGGGGACTCCAGGTTGTCAATCACTTGTGGTTGGAGGATAGCTATGCGAAATGGAAAGAACAGCCGGTTTCTGATCCTCGCTACAACCACTTCCCTTCGCGCACGAATTTGAGCGATATTGTTGGTCAGAAAATGTTGGACCCGGATGTTCTTAGGCAAGTTTTCTATCCTGAGGAGGGTGCTGGCTTGGTGCGGCCTATGCAGGTCAAGGATCAGAACACGACGCAATTACCGGATGAGGACCTCGAAGAAGATGAGGACAACTCGTCTGAGACCACACATGGAACCCCGCAACAAGCCAAGAAAGCTTCCCGCCAACCATCCGAGAAACGAGCGCTGCAAACGCCAGCGCGATCACGTCTCATTCCTGAAAACAAGGAGAATGAGACGCCTTCCTCCACCAGCAGCCGGAAATCTAAGGACGCAGCTACAGCACGTCTACATGAACTTGCCCCCGATCTTGCTCTCTACGAAAAGGAGAGGAAGCGCGTTGGTGGTGTTGTCTATGGAGGCAGACGAGTGTCTGACCCGGACCGGGTTAAGCTGTCGCATAACCCCAAGAAGCGTCGCTCTGCAGAACCCCAAGATGAGAGCGATGACGAGCTAGCTGCAGATACGAAGCGACAAAAGAGAAGCCGACCACCTATCAGCATGCACTTGATGATTACAGGTTACCAAAAGTGGGTTGGAAAAGGAAATGAGAAAAAGGAAGATGCAGACAAGGTATGGAAACACTATACAAAACGCTAGAACTACCCTTGGAAAACATGCTTACAGATCGATAGCGTCACCTTCGGGAACTCGGTATCATGGTCGTGCAAGATGCTCGCAGGTGCACACATCTCGCGGCGCCCACAATTCTGCGAACGACCAAGTTTGTGAATGCGCTTGCATATGCACCTGTGATTACAAGTACAGACTTTGTCACCAATTGTCTACAGCAAGATCAACTTCTCGACCCCGCTGACTTCCCTCTTGTTGACAAGGCAAATGAGAAGAAGTTCAAAATCTCCCTCAGCAAGGCGGCAGGAAATGCCAAAAAGAATAAGAACAAACTCTTGAGTGGCTACCGCATCTATTGCGTTGAAGACGTCCGCGGTGGCTTCGAAGCATTCAAGTCGATTGTCGATGCGAATGGAGGAGAATGCTTGCTTTTCCGTGGTCGACTTGCCCTAGCCAACAACTCTCGGCGCGAGGAGAGTGACGATGAGGAAAGTGAGGCCGATGACGACAATGATGACCGGGTGCAGAACGAGGTGTTCTTGCTCAGTTCCACCGAGCCAAAGCATGCTCGCCTTTGGCCTCGGTTTCGCCAAGTTGCGGGTGATATTAAGAAAAACCCCCGAATCGTCCGTGTCGATTGGCTTCTCGATATGGCCATGTCGCAGGAGTTGCGCGCGGCAGGTGAATATGAGGTGACAGAGGACATGGTCCAAGACGCAGACGACTGAAACTGAGAAGCTTCGAATTTTCCAGTATGCGGACCGATTGATGCGTTCGACCTGGCGCAGTCATGTACATGTTAGATAGTATTGATAGCCGAGATGATTGGAGGAGACTCTGGCTCTGAGCGTTTTCTTTTTGTCACGAATAGCCACGATCCATAGGAACAAACAAGTATTCAGAATTTGTCTTTTCTAGAAGAATTTGACACCTTCCTCGCCCTCATTGCCAAAGATCTGGATCTTGCCCCTCTTAACAAGAATATTTAGCGTCTTCATCATGACATCGTTATCCATCCCATGGAAATCTGCAGACAGACAGACAGTCAGTCAGTATTATTCCACGATTAAATTGAACCCGGCCAGTCCGGGAAATTTGAAGATCTCACCTTGTGATACTGTCGCCTCGCCCTGTACCAACTCATAGACCGTTAACACAGACCCCCGCTGACCAGTGTTCTCAACCCAATCCGCAACAACATCTGCCCATTCTTCCGGTCTTCTCCACCAGATATAAGCAACCGATTTGGGAGCCGCATTGCCTCCTGCATTCGCATCTAGCCACTCAGCCCGTCTTCCACCGCCGCCTTCCTCCTCGCTCTTCGCCATCCAATCCAACACATCACGGGCTGCGGCGAGGTCAAGACGTTTGCGCAAAGCCGTGTTGTGGAATAGCGGGCTATCTATAGCGTCGACTAGCGAGAGGCGGTATTGACGATGGTGCCGGCACCATGCTTGAATCAGTGAAGACCATTTCTCAAGCTGTGAGAGGCGGGTGTTGGTATTTGGTTGCGGGGTGAAGAAGGGCGGGAAATTATATGTTGGAGGGAAGGGGAATGATGTGGTTGTTGTTGTCATGGTGGTGATATTCACAGAGCTTCAACTTGAAAAGAGTAGAGCAGCAAGAGAATACGAAAAAAAGATCAGATGCAATGCGATGTGATGCGAATGGGTGATAAGAGAGCTCCGAGTTGGGGCGGAGTGGAGGAGGAGCGGAGTGGGGGGGACTTCAAGGAAAGACCCGCGCCATTTTAAAATATTCCACCGTCACTGGCACTCTTCAATTTCCACACCACCACCCTTACCTCACTCAATAATGGCCACACCACCTTCTAAGCGCCAAAAGCGCGAGGAATATCGCCGTAACCTCCAAAATCAATACCAAGCGCACCAGTCCCCCAATGTCGAGGTCGCCGAGATCAAGATGCCGCAGAAGAGGTTCTTCCGGCAGCGCGCGCATGCGAATCCTTTCTCCGATCACCACCTTGAATAGTATGTGTACCTTTTGAGTTCCAATCTAGCGCTTAGCAAAAGACCTTTGAGGTCATTGTGGTCCTTGTGTCTGTGCAGAGCTGCTTTCAACCAATGTTGAGCTAACTTATTCGTGAATAGTCCTATCAGTCCGGCGCATATGGACTGGTCCTCACATTACCCCGCCTTCCTAGATCCAGATACATCAAAGACAAACCTCGCCGGTGCGCGCAAGCTCTTGAAGGATGTCGAGGTGGTGGATATTGGGTGTGGATTTGGCGGATTGCTTGTTGGATTGGCACCTCTGTTGCCCGAGACATTGATGGTCGGTACGTTATTGGTCCCGAAAATCGAGCCGAAGCTCGAACTATCCCCAGCAGAACAATTTGATTTGAATATATGCTAATACCCACCCAGGAATGGAAATCCGCACGTCAGTCCTCGAATACGTCACATCACGCATCCACGCCCTGCGCATGCAACAGCAAAAGCTCAAGAGCGCCGCCGCCGGAACAGGGACCACAACGCAAGACTCAGATAATGCCGCCGAACAACCTGCCCTCGAAGACGAAGTCGGCAACACGACGGCCGTGGTTCCAGGAAACTACGAGAATATCAGCGGCATCCGCGCGAACACGATGAAGTTCCTTCCCAACTTCTTCGACCACCAGCAGCTCTCCAAGATCTTCGTCTGCTTCCCGGACCCGCATTTCAAGGCTCGCAAGCACAAGGCGCGCATTGTTTCTGAGTCACTGAATGCCGAGTACGCCTATGTTCTTCGGCCTGGTGGTCTGATGTACACTATCACCGACGTGGAGGAGTATCACTACTGGGTTCTGCGGCATTTCGAATACCAGTCTGAAGAAGAGAAAGCTAAGGGTGGTGTTAAGGACCTCTGGGAGCGACTTACGGATGAGGAGTTGGCTGCTGATCCCTGTGTGCATGTGATGAGCGTTGAGACTGAGGAGTCGAAGAAGGTCTCGCGCAACAATGGCAATAAGTACGTCGCCGTGTTCCGACGCAAGGCTGATCCTGAGTGGTCTACGTGATCTGGAGCGCGTATATAATTTTTTTTTTTCAAAAAGTTTATATTTGTCCTCTGCATAGAGAAAGGATTCCCGGTGTATAAGCATCTAACCGAACTCTCTATCGTATGCATTTGCAAAAGAATGAAATCATGAACGCTAAACAATCTGGCGCTTGATGAGACCGAACCCCAATGGAATAGAGAGAAAAAGGCTGGACAAAATCCCTGAAAAAGTAACACAAGTATGAAAGAAAAGTGAATGCGTCACATTGCGATCATAATCCGAAAAGAAAAGTCAGTAAGTCATCACGCAATAAATTCATCAAAGGGCATTTCAATCGCGGGAACTAAGTAGATTTGGGAGATGCTGATCATATCTCAGCACATCCCATGTGATTTCAAGCGTAAGGCCTCGCATCTTTCACAGATGGCGAGCTGGACGGGCCCACCAATGATACGACCCTTGGCTGTACGCTTAGGCTCGCCTTCACGGACAAAAAAGCGGCCGTCGGCCCCAAATCCGCTACCGCATTCATGGCAAGCAAAGCATTGCTCGTGCCATTGCCCGCCAATAGCGGTCACGACAACGTCGTCTAGGACATGCTGCTTGCAGCCCAGACAACGAGGGGCCGTACGGCGGCCATGGCATTTGAGGCACCAGGCAAAGCCATCCTTCTCTACGAAGGGGGTCTTTGAGTCAAAGGGCTGTAATAATAATCAGAATACTGGTGTCAAGTGTATGAGAGAGGGCAGTCAGAACTTACATCACCACACTCGGCGCAGAAGAAGTGACCGACATGCCATTCCGCACCACAGGCAACGACCACTTCTCCCTCAATGGGTGTCTTGCAACTCTTGCAGCGCGGGCTGAAGAATTCGTGGAAATCTAGATGGCAGTAAAAGCGAGGAACGGGCGATTCATCCGGGCTACTCTCAAGTCTTTCAGCGCGGCTAGCAAGCGGCTCTTCGTAGAAAGCAACGCATTCAAGAGCGGTGTGGCAGTGGAAGCAGATAAAGCACTCTGGGTGGAATCGGGCACCCCCAGCAGTCACGATCTTACCAGAGATCGGATGAGAGCATGACTCACAACTGGCCGTCGGGACACCGGATCGAGAGTACTGGGTACGCCAGCTGTTTTGTGGTTGCGATGCTTGCCTTGCAGGCGGCATCTGGCGATTCTGACCAGCTGCAGGCTGTTGCCTCGGTCTGGTAGGTTGGGTACTGTTGTGTTGTGGTGGCTGAGTAATTTCCGAAATAGTGGGCTCCTGGATATCAGGCACATTGATCACTGGTATCGAGGGAGGTTGGGAAACCTCGATGCTAGGTGTGACCTCGATGCTAGGTGTGACCTCAATGCTAGGTGTGACCTCAATGCTCGGAGCGACCTGGATGGTGGGGATTGGCGGTGTTGAGGATGCTGAATCGCGCTTGGGCTGTTCACTCGATTGCCATTTCGGATCAAAGCTAACAATTGGCCGGCCCATGCGATCGCTGACAGCTGAAGGCATAGGCAAGTTCTCGCTTCGATCCTTTAGCCTCTTGCTCGTTGCCGCACGAATATCATCGCTGCGGATTTCCTTGCCCTCTTTGGTGGGAAGCTCCTCTTCGCGGGAGCTAGGGGGTGTCGGGGGTAGAGGATCGTTCTCCATGTAGGTTGGATTTCGGGATTGGGTTGGGTCGTTCTCCATATAGGTCGGATTTCGGGATTGGGTCGGCGGGTTCTTATGAATGTCGAACTGGGAGATCCTATCTCGCACCGAGCCTTGCCCAGTTTTCCGATCTCGAAGCCAGGGAAGAGGTTTGTTGACACGCGGCAGAGCATTGCGAGGCTTATTACGCAACGCAGACGAGTCAGATCTGGTGAAGTCGGGGGTAGGCTCGACCGCTTCTTTGACTGGGTCGACAGGCTCCTCATATATGTGGTCGTCGGGATTTTTGAATACACCCTTGGAAGAATCACCACTGACTTGTCGAGGACGAGGAATACCACTGGGTTGCTCAACCTTGGGTGGACCTTCCCCGGGAAGCGCGAAATTGACTCTGCGATTCTTCTTTTGGCTCGTGCTAAGAGATGACCGTCTGCGGGCGGTTTTGTCGACAGTAGCATCGGCCAATTCAGGACTGGAGGGGCTACTAGAAGATCCGCTAGATCCAACGGAATGGCGAAATTTGTTTGTCAAGCTACTGGAGCTTCTTCGGAATTTGCTTCGAACAGACCCTTGCGAGGCAGCATCGGGGTTCTGGTAAGGGGCATATGGATTCTTGAAGGCTTGGCCAGGGTTTTGGTGCATCCATACGAGCTCCGTGGCCTCGTCCTGTGCAGCTTGATGAACACGAACATCGTCATCTTGAACGTTCATATCCTGAAGCGCATCACGGAGGTCTCGCGCTTCTTCCTTCTCATGACGGCGGTGGCCACTCTCCCGATACGAAGGCACGGGAGATGCGGCAACTGGTCGCGAGAAGACCTGGGATGGAAATACATGCTGTCTGACCGTGGCCGATTGGGGCTCCTGTGCGAGAGGACGCCCAACTGGGCCACCCTCTGTGATATGGGAGGTCGTGCGACGATGTGACAAGGCGCTGCCGGCGCGCGGTTCCTCTTCCGGGGGGCTGTTCTGTCGGTACATGGAGAAGGCGGATGCTGCACGGGGTGGGAGGTCATTTTGAAGATCAACAGTCGACGCGGCGGCTTTTCCGGGGAGGGGGCGAGATCCAGTGGGACGTGCAGGTCGATTTGTTCTCAGATCTTTGAGATAGTTTGCTATTGAAAGGTGACATTTAGCTAGATTCCTGCGACAAGGTTTCTTCTCAACTGGGGAAGTGGATGAAACGATCACGAGAACTTGCAAGGAATGAGTCACTCACCAACTTGGTCGCTAGACATGTAGGAAGGACCAGGCGGGGAGACCTTGCGCTGGCCGATGGGCTTGGTATGTTTGTACATGATGGTGGCGGAGCTATAAGATCCAGGTGGAATGGAATGGCGTTGAGGTCCCCAGGAGAGCAATCCGATCCGATCCAGCAATCCAGGGTTAGATACGACGTCAGGATCAGCCTAGGAATAAGTATGGGTATGAGCCTAAAGAGTTAGAGTTGACCAGCATCGCTGCCCAGTGACAAGTGGAGTTGTTGCGCGATCTGCGGAGCCCAAACAACAAACACCGCCAGGGCAACGCAACCCGATCTGGTTAGGGCTTAGGGCTGACACGTGCAGCAATATCTGAGAAGAATACTATTGAAGTATACTGCAAACATACTCGACCTGCAAAGCATCTTAAAACTTTAATTACTGGATCTCGGGATATTTCTTATTCTCCGATCAACTAAACAACGCCCATCACAGATCCATCTAACCATGTCAGGTCTCACCGCCCCATCCTTTGATCCTCTCAAGGTCTCCGCACTGGGTCCTTTCACCGACCCCACATTTGGAGTACCCTTTCCCAAGGGTTCCCCTCTATCGGACCTACTCTCCTCGGCTCCCAGGCGTACAGCCGACTCTACTCCGTAATCTTACCTTATATGAACAGAGCGGTTAGAACGGAAGTCCCGTCATTGGTCGACTTCCCCCGACAACCTACCTACTGCTGCAGGATCAAACCCCGGACATCTTCCCTGGCCATGCCAAACCTTGTAAAAATTCGTCGGCCCCATGTCCGACTAAATACCCCAATTATGGACTAGCCATACACTAGTCAAAGAAATGACTCCTATCATTTGTTGCTACTTTTGTAGCTTCTCTTCTCGCCATAATTCCTATTTTCTTCTGACTCTATGTGTCGCCGAAAACGGTACAAAAAAATAAGAAAGATTCGGCCACATACTAATATATAACCAACTCTGACACTGGCACCCCACTCACTGCCTTGAAGTTGAACTTGAATCCGCCTCTGTCGACGGAAATGAATGACAATGAACCGATAGAAGTGATCCGATCGCACCGAGGCGATGATGAATCCATACGAAATACTAGGTCTCGACGAGGGCATGAAGACCCGCAGACTCACTCAGAACTTGAACTGCCGGCTGTCGATCAAGATGAAAAATACAATCAAGACGTTCCTCCAGATGGAGGGTATGGATGGGTTTGCGTTGCCTGTGTTTTCTGGATAAATGCGCATACATGGGGAATCAATAGTGTGGGTTTGCTCTGATGTCTTTATCTCCCCTATCCTACCAGTACCCCCTCAAGTCTGTTTAAGCTGTCATGGTTCTAACAAAATACCTCAGAGTTACGGCGTTTTTCTCAGTTACTACCTCTCTCATGATGTCTTCCCAAATACATCGGCTCTTGCATATGCCTTCACCGGCGGCCTCAGTATTTCGTGTGCACTTCTTGTGGCCCCATTAGCCACTCATCTCATCCATGTACTCGGCACTCGCTTCGTGCTAAATCTCGGAATATTCTTCGAAACTCTCTCTCTCATTGGCTCATCATTTGCAACCCAGAAATGGCACATCTTCCTCAGCCAAGGTGTTTGTTTCGGCTGGGGCATGGGATTCCTCTTCGTGGGCAGCGTCGGCATTTCTCCACAATGGTTTCATAAACGGCGCAGTGTTGCCCAGGGCATCACTGCTGCTGGCTCCGGGCTCGGCGGCCTGATATACTCTCTTGCAGTGGGAGCAATCATCCCGCGTTATGGTCTGGGATGGGCCTTCCGTATCCTGGGCATCGTCTCATGCGTGGTGAACCTGGTGTGTGGAAATCTACTCCGAGATCGCAATAAGCTTGTCGGTAGCCGTTTCACAGCCTTCCATTTCCCACTTTTGCGCCGGCCGGAGTTCTTGCTCTTTTTGGGTTGGGGTATCTTCAGCATGCTTGGCTACGTTGCGTTATTGTTCAGCATCGCCAATTTTTCTTTATCCGTTGGCCTCACGTCGCACCAGGGTAGTATTGTCTCAGCCCTGCTGAATCTGGGACAAGGTCTCGGCCGTCCCTTTGTCGGTATGTTTAGTGACCGGCTTGGCCGCATCAATATTGCCACTATCCTGAGCTTCGTTTGTGGTTTGTTCTGTCTGGTCATATGGATCTTTGCAGACAGCATGGGTGTTGTCTGTTTCTTTGCCGTCATCGTTGGAACAGTTTCGGGAACTTACTGGGCCACGGTCTCTCCGGTATTGGCTGAAATTATCGGTCTACGGGATCTACCCTCTGGTTTGAGTATCACCTGGCTCACCCTCGTTGCACCTTGCACCGTATCCGAAGCTATTGCCTTGCAGCTTCGGAGCGGCACATCAGACGGCGGAACAAGTTACCTCAAGGTCCAACTATTTACAGGCTTTACCTACATTGGCGCCTCGTTGTGCCTGTGGGTTGTCCGAGGCTGGAAGGTTGGGGAGCTTGAGCGTGCTCAGCAGCGCCGAGAGTCTATCTCCCGAGAAGCACCTCTCACCGAAGGGGAGAAGCAGGACCGTCCAGCAACAGCTGCATCTTCTGCGCCATCTGCAGATGTCGACGAGGTCAGAATTTGGGCGCCAATTTCCCTGATGCGTAGAATGATTGCACTAAAGCGAGTCTAAGGCATTATGATCGGTATCCCGAGTTCTAAAGTGACCAGGTGAAACCAATTTCCATAGGAAATCAAAAACTGTAAAATATTCATTGGCAACCATCCGGAAATAAAGCCGGCTGCTATAAACGCCGATTTTTGTATCTATGAACTACTAGTAAATCACAAAACTCATATCTTTATCCCGTAATCAGGATCCGCACACGTCTCTTGCCGGCGCCTCGGCCCTCTTCCTTGACCGAGCTGACGTTCACCTTCACCCTCTGGAAGAGCTCCACATCAACACCGCGCTCCTTTTCGGAGTGACCCTTCTCCTCGACACGAAGTGTGTACTCCTCGGGATCGAAATGAGTAGTTCGGTGGACTGCCAATTCACGGCGCTCCGAAACGGATCGAGAGCCAGCCTCACCGGGGAGGACAAAGTCCTCCAGGCGAACAACACCCTCGATACCGAAGCGTGGAACGAAGACCACAACACCGTTCTCGAACACACGCATCACATAGCCTTCTTCGTCAATACCAGAGTCGGTGCCACCAGCTGCCATCTTCTCACCACGAGCCTTGAGCGCCTGCCCAACATAGTATTCAATACTAGCGCGGCCAGCGAACTGAGCATTGCGGTGTCGGAAGTTGATGTTTCGGCAGATGTCCTCGAGCTTGCCGCGGGTGTTAACGCCCTCGATGACAGCGTGACCATCTTCACCCTCGTAGCCGATGGCCGAAGCGAGCTGTCGGTGAACAAGCAGATCGGCGTATCGTCGAATAGGAGAGGTAAAGTGGGTATAGATGGGCGAGGCCAGACCGTAGTGGCGGAATTCAGGCTCAGCATGGGCACCGGCGCAGAAATACTCGGCAGAGGTCATGCAACGAGTGGCCAGGATACGGACGAGAGTATTGAAGAACGGGTTCTCGGGGTCGACACAGCGATCCAGCGAGCTGGCAAGAGCACCAGAGCTGGAAACGTCAAGCTCCATACCTCGCTTCTTTGATAATTGGTTGATCAGATCCTCGAAGTTCTGGGGTGGGGGAGTTGCGTGGCGGCGTAGCAAGGCTGTTTGCGAAAAGGAGTCGAAGACCTTAGAGGCAACGGTGATGTTGGCGAGAAGCATGAACTCTTCAACCAGACTGTTGGTGTCCAGCATGGCCTTCGTCTTGACATCTGTCAGGGGGTCGCCAACCTCATCGCTATCGGCTTCAATTCGGACTTCTGGGGATGCAAGGTTCAGGGCGCCAGCATCATAACGCTTCTGGCGGAGAATTTTGGAGAACTTCAAAAGATTACGCATGCTTTCGGTGAGTTCATCCGTCTGGGAAGGATCATCGATGCGCAATTGGGCCCGCTCGTAACTGAAAGCCTCACGCGAGCGAATGACAGACTTGGTGAAATCTGACTTCACAATTTCCGCGTTGGGGGTTACCTCCCAAAGGACGGAAAAGGCGTAGCGCTCGACATAAGGTTTCAGAGAACAGAGGTCCGTTCCAAGAAGATGAGGCAACATGTCAATACGCTTGTCGACCAAGTATACAGTGGTACCACGAACACTAGCTTCGAGGTCCATGGCATTGTTGGGCTTGACGAAATGTGACACATCTGCGATGTGGACACCGACTTCGAAGTTTCCATTTGGTAGCTTACGGGCATGAAGGGCGTCGTCGATATCCTGACATCCTGGAGGATCGATACTGCAAATGAGGAGATCGCGGAGATCTCGACGACCGTTCCAACCCTTGTCCTCCTTACTGACGGGGACCTTCCAATCGTGCCCCTCAGAAGGAAGACAGTCTAGGACGGACTTGGGGAACGGTTTGTATTGCACGTCGTACTCCAAGAGAAGAGCCTCTGTCTCCGCACCTTTAGTCTCTAGCTCACCCAAAGATCGGATGAAGTGACCAGTGGGATACCGAGAGTCCCGGTCCCAAGTATCAATAGTAACAAGGATACGTTGGCCGATAAGATCACCAGCTTGTCTTGTCCGAACTCGGATCTTGGGCACCTTTTTGTCCATGGGCAACACAAAAACGGTTTGCTGACGGCGACCTGAGGCGGCTTGAGAACCAGTGGAGCCAGCATCGACGTGGCCGACATACTGACGCCAACCACGCTTGATCATACCCACAACCCTGGCGGTTGGTTGGGGTTTTCCTTCAGCGTTCTTGCCATGTGCCTTCTTAACCTCTTCTTGCAGAGCCTTGCGCTCATTCTGCGAAACAACGGCCTCGGTCTCCTCGGAATCGGGGTTGTCATTCCGAGTAACTGCTTCCTCATCAACAATCTTGGTTGAAGGGGACTTCCACTGATCTTGTGGCAGAACTTCGATGACAACCATGTCACCTGAGATAGCACGGTTGCTATTGTCGCGTCCTAGGATAAGAAGCGGTCTGTTGAATGCTGGGACCTTGACAGATGCTTCCAGGTAGTTGTAAGGCGAGACATTGAAGGTTCCTTGATGAAGATTTCCGGCCCGCAATCCTGTCATCATTTTTGACATGGAAAGATATTCTGGGTAGAAGAGCTGTCCAATCGGGCCCTTGGAGTCCCGAGCCTCCCGCGCTTCGCTAATCATGTCCAGCAGCTTCTCCGAGTCCTCCAGACCAGAGACGTAGTCTGAGAGGGACAAAGCTGTCACTTTCTCTGCCTTTGCCTTCTTGATGCTACCCTTGTCATCAGTGATGACAACAATCGCAGGTACGGACTTTTCCTTTTTGCCCTTCTTCGCCGATGCGCCGAGATGCTCCTCGTACCAGCTCGCCACTGCACGTACAGCACGATCATTCCGGTCGTTGATTGACTCCTCCGGTCCTCGTCGGACATGTGTCTCCAGGCGGAATTCGTTGAAAAAGAGGTAGAATCGCTTCTCGTCGGTCTTGATGAGGGAAAGCAGACGGTTGTAGAGCGGCAGCGACTGGTTGCGGAGTTCTTCGAGAACGGTTTGCAGAATGATCACATCGTAGAAAGCGCCGGTATGTTCAAAAAGATCCATACCATTTAAAAGCGCATTTGTGTCGGGAACGAGATAATGTCCACGGGGGAATGCTTTCGTGCCGGCGGGGCGATCCGAGAGGACGAATGGCGCAACTGGTTTATGTTAGCAGTCGGTCTAGTATGTTGATTCGGAAAAGCTCTCACTGTTTCCATTGGCATCTGAGGGAGCGATCGAGGGGCATAGTGAGCAAAGCTTTGAGGAGCAAGGAATATCTTGCCTCAGATAGAGCTCGCGAACAATCTTTTGCACCTTTCCACTTTTGGTGGACCTCACAAAGACCTTGCTGGCGACATTGGAGGCTTGTGGATTAGAGGAGAGATCTCTCCTCAAACTCTTCATTGTAGTGGTAAGTATGTCTAAACGAAGCAGCTAGCAACTTGCGAGACACAGGTTGTGAATGAGAACTGCTGGACGAGGAATCTTTGCGGGCGAGGTTATCGCACCCAGCGATAGCTGAGTAAGCGCCTATCGATGTCCTCATCGGAGGAGCAACTGAGCAACTCCCCCACTTACCACCTGCACATTTCTCTTATTTCTCGCAAAAGAACTCGATTTTATCTTATCAGAAACTCTTTTCAATATGGTTCTTGCCGTAGGTTCTCTATTGTTGCAAAGTTGAAGCAGAATGTTGATGAGCTACTTTTCTATGTAGGCCGTGGGTCAGCTATGCGCAACTGCAAGCATAACTTCCAATTTAGCGCAGTGTCAGGTATTAGTTCGCAAAGCTGCTGCTGCAGGTGCCAAGGTAGGAGATATTCTCTGTCATTTAATATATTCCTATTTAGCTGGTAATATCTAACGCTATCGCAGGTGCTATTTCTTCCCGAGGCTGCAGACTATATTGCCTCATCAGCAGATGAATCTCTCTCGTTGGCCCAGTCACCGGAACAAGAAAGTTTTGTTTCCGAGCTTCAGAAATCAGCTAAGTTATCAGGACTGCACATCAATGTTGGAATTCATGGCATTGCCTCTGAGAACAGGCTCAAGAACTCCCTCGTCTGGATTGATGATAGAGGCGACATCACCCAAAGCTATCAAAAGGTCCACTTGTTTGATGTCGATATTAAAGGGGGTCCTGTTTTGAAAGAGAGCACGTAAGTTATCACGCAAATTCTGGAGCTGTCAGCCTTCAACATTTCGTTAACATTCGGAACAGAAATGTTCAGCCAGGACAAAGTATTCTGCCTCCATTTGAAACTCCCATTGGGCGTGTTGGGTTGGCAATTTGCTTTGATGTAAGTGCCAGATAATTGGATCTGTTTATTCAAAAAGATTGAGTTGGTATCTAACTGATTCTGTGCGTATGTAGCTACGGTTCCCGGAAATCAGCCTCGCATTGAGACGCCAAAATGCCCAGATTATCACTTATCCGTCAGCTTTTACGGTCCCCACTGGCAAGGCTCATTGGGAGTCTTTACTTCGAGCACGCGCCATAGAGACCCAGTCCTATGTAATTGCATCTGCCCAGGCAGGCCCTCATAACGAGAAGAGGCGAAGCTATGGCCATTCCATGATCATCAATCCATGGGGTGAAGTGGTGGCACAGCTCGGCGACGAATATCAAGAACCAGAAATTGTGACAGCAGAAATCGATCTCGATCTAGTGGCCAAGATCAGGCGAGAGATGCCTCTACTGAGACGTACTGATCTCTACCCGGAGGTCTAAAGTCAAGCGGAGAACACAGAACCGCACAGGAATGAAGATATAGAAACATGTGTGGTTTCAGTCAATAAAACGACCCTTTAGAATGACCCAGAGAAACCTTGGCGAAGCTGGGCGAGTTTGAAATATGAGAATAATGAATATCATTGTTTTGATCCATCTTTATTCATGTGATGGAGAGAAGACTCAACGGAATATCAAGTAGTACAACAAGTAATGAAAATGGAAAGAAATGCGAAAACCCCATCTAAGAAAAGGAACGGAACATCATATCTGCCACCGCAGGTGGTACAGGTGTAAACCGGGATTGTCCTTTTCCGATCTCTTTATGTACAGTGTACAGAATAGGCCCGGAAACTAGTCCGTTTAGTTCTTGGCCTTCTCGGGGTCCTCCAGGATACCCTCGGCCTCCAGTCTCCGGCGGGCCTCCTCAAGAGCCCAGGTTTGTATGCTGTAATCAGAATTAGTCTCCGTGATGCAGGGTGACGGGCCATATTGGCCTCGAGGGGGGGTGTTGATTCATGAAAGCCCTGTTTGGAACAGGTCTCATGAGGAGGAGATGGGCACTCACGAGGTATCGGGCTTGAAAACATATGCAACGCCAGCGACGAGGAAGCTGCCAATGAATCCGTAGTACCAGATTCCCTCCCAGCCTTCCTTCTCGTATTTCTGGCCGGGCCTGACACCGAAGAGCCAGCCAGTGGGGGGGATCGTAGTGGCTACCGTGGTCTCCGCCACGGAGAGCGCCTTGGGTCGAGAATCTTTGGAGGGTTTGCGGGCTGCGCAGCAGGCAGCGCGAGCGGAGGAGTTGCGACACAGGTCGAGCGTACATCTTGAAGATGAGGGGGGTCGGGAGCTAGGGAAGGTTGAAAAGGGCGGAGTTGAGAGGTTTTAAGGTGGATATCAAGGCCGATTGACGATCGCCTTGCCTGAGATGACGACAACAATCGCAATTGGTATGGCACTGTGGAAGCGACGAGCGGAGGGGCGGATTGATGTTGAAGCCGCAAAAGGCCGCTGGGGGAGCTGACCACTTATACGCTAGTCCCAGTTGGGCGATTTTTCCTTGTCCGCCTTTTGCTGCCTAAATTATCAGGTGTCACATGGTTGATTTCTCTTGCCTGATGAAACTGGCGGCAATTCACGACGCGCGACCCCGTTTAAGGCACTCCGACGCGTTGCTTATCGCATCGCACCCCCCATTCGTTTCAAAGCTCCCCCCCAAATTGTCAACACTATCAAGTCCTACCTGTATTATCTCTGGTACCCTGATCACAGCACAAATTGTTTTTTTTTATTTTTTTTTATTTTGGAATACACATCACTCGCAAATCAGTACGTCCTTTCCATCTAATTGTTGAGCGCAAGCTCTATTGCTCACATTATTCGCCCAGGGCCGAGGCCTCGAGAATGCATCATTATCCACTTTAAACACGACCTTGGAATTTCCTGGAGATCATCTGATCACCAGCATGTCGACAAACAATAAATCATATCCAATCTCCTCCGGCTCACGTACGAAGTTGAATGCATTCCGCTTCCAAGAAGAGGAGACAGTTTCCGACCAAACGACCTCGAAAGACGGGACGAAGCCTGTACATGGGAATAAAGAGAACGAGAGTTCATGGCTGAATGGCGTGGTAGGACCGACTGAACCGACTCATATGTCTCCCGGAAAAAACAACACATCGGCAGAGGCTCCTGCGACCGAATCTCGACCGGCTAAAGAATGCCCGCAGACACCAGGAAATCGAATTCCACTCGCAGACCTCATAAGCAATGCTGAAGACTCTTTCGACCCAGCGCCAGGCCCGGAGGTGACTCCTGTGGACCACGTTGTCTGGCAGCATATACCTGCGAGCTCAAACCCGGATACTTCGTCCCAAACACCTGGCGGCCGTCGAAAGAAGCGACGGCACAGTTCATCTTCCGCCGGTTCCCCTTCGCACCCGAATTCGAAGAAATCAAAAGAACCTCTCGATCTTCAATCTATACAAGCTCTATTCAAGACCCCCCAACATGATCTTGCCGCAGAGCTGTGGAATAATTATATGGACAAGAATATGGCTGGTGGAGCCGACGACCTCCCTCCAAACCGTCTTGCGAACCTTCTCTCCTCGTCTCCTCAAACCCCCATTTCGGGGAGAACGAGTCGGGATTCGTCCGGCTTGAGGCGATCTATCAGTTGTGCTGCCGAATGGCCAACATCCCGAGCGAAGAGACGACGATTCAATCGACAAGAGCAGGGCTCTGGTCGAGGTATATTCACCCGCACCAGTAGCAATGTTTTGGACTCGGGCCGAAAGCAACCATCGCGGATTAACTTTCTCCTTGAGACTATTGAAAAAAGCCTCCACCCGCCTCAGCCAACCGACATGGGCCCCCCCCTGGCTCCTCTCCACTACGGCAACGCGTTGATGCCCACCGATGCCGCTCCTCGTCTCCAATAATTGACCGCAAAGGCCTGGGGAATTCCGGTGCCGAACAACTGCTTACCGTTCCAGAGAATGGCCGAAATACCGACAATCGGAATGATTTCGAAGGTGACTCGTCAGACTTTGGAGATGACGACCTCGACCAGGATCTTATGGATTTGGTAGATGCCTCGGCGGACCCTTTCGTCGATTCGGTCACAGATCGGAAGGAGTTTCACTCATTCGGCTCCTCTGCCTGGTCGAGCTTTGCTGCAGACAAATCACAACCGAACCATCCCGAGCAGCCATCTATAATGAACAGTAAACCACCAACTGTTAAGAAACTTATGAATAACGAACCCAAACCTGATGATTCAGACGACTTTGATGAAGACTATGGAGATTTCGATGACAACTTCGAAGAGATGCTTGCAAAATGTGACGAAAAGCAGGGACATGTCGATTCGTCTAAACCATCTATCTCCAAACAGCATATTGCTAAGAAGGCCAATGCTTCTGCTACAACCACGGTTGATAGGAAACGGGTCAAATCACCGAATATGCCGGCTCAAGAATTTGAAGCAGCATCATCCGAGGATGAATTCGATGATGACTTCGACTTGGATGCGATAGAACAGACCATGAAAGAGGCAGGACAGGACGCGGATAATGTTTGTTATTCTTAGCGGATTCCCTCTAGTTATATACTAAGACAGCTCAACAATAGAATATGAACGGCCGACAAGCTATCAAACGTTACCAGGTCGTGGAGATTGCGCAGAGCACGTATGTGACTCCGAAAGGGCGTACACAACCCGAGCAGGTCCGTTTCTCTCAGCCTCCCCATCTCCGAAATACGAGCTCAGCTGACGAGCTAGTAGGTGCTCTCTGTTGAAGACGAGAAGACAAAGGCTCGGAAGGTCATCATCCTAAGAGAGTCATGGTTCGATACTCCTTGCAGCAAGGACTCATATCTTCACTTGATCGGGGACTATGACTCCTCCGGCTGCTGTGTTGTGAATAATACCAACCATATGGTTATTCTTCACCCCGATCATCTGATATCTGCCACAGTGGTGGCAGATTCGATTGACTGTCAACGCCGTGCTGTTTTGCAAGATCGCATCAAGGCTTTCGCTCAGTTGGAGAAGCCGCAAGCATTCGGTGTCTTCTTCCACGAAGTCTTCCAGGAAGCACTGAAGGCCAATCAATGGGACATGATTTCTTTGAGGTCTTTGGTTGAACGCGTCCTCCTGGGACATATTGAAGAGCTTTATGCAATCAACATGAGTGTCCAAGATGCGGTCGAGGAAATCATGGGGAAAATTCCGACAGTTCTAGATTGGGCAAAGACCTTCCTGCATGCCAGGCCACAGGTGAGTTTGACATTGAATAAATGATTGGATATTGTATTGATCACACCGATAGGCCAACTCCACTGTTGAAGATCGCAACAGTGCAAAACTCAACTTGAGCATCAACAAGTTGCTCGAGGTCGAGGAACATGTTTGGTCGCCAATGTATGGACTCAAGGGAAACATCGATGCCACAGTTCAAGTCGCATGCCGTGATGACGAGGGAATCAAGAATCTGGTTGTTCCATTGGAGTTGAAAACCGGCAAACGAGATACAAACCAAGGCCACAGAGCTCAAACAGCTCTGTACACTCTTCTTCTTTCTGATCGATATGGTATGACTCTTCTTCCTAAACGGAACCCCAATGCCTTTTTACTAATGCCGCGCAAGATATTGATGTCACTTTCGGTCTCTTGTACTACCTTGAAACCTCCAGAACGCTCAGTATTAGGGGTGTTCGACATGAGCTTGTTCAGATGCTGCAAGTGCGCAACCAACTGGCAGGGTTCATCCGTGAAAGAATGCAACTCCCTCCGATGCTCAAGAAGGCGCGCATGTGCAACAGGTGCTATGCGAAAACCCCTTGCCTTATTTACCATAAGCTCGCAGAAGGTGGTGATGGCGAAACCAGTACCCTTGGTGACGATTTTGAGGCTGCGACACAGCATCTAGGTCAGGCAGACCGTGACTTTTTCCGCAAATGGGATGAACTTCTCACTAAAGAAGAAGGAAATTTGGTCAAATTCCGACGAGAACTGTGGACTCTGCTCAGCAATGAACGAGAGCCTCTCGGCCGCTGCTTCGGCGATGTGGTCATCGATCTGCGTTCTGCATCCGAGGAGAAAAACGGTTCAAAAATCAATCGCTACCGCTACACTTTTCACAAACGACAAAAATCCCCTAACTTCTCCTTCGCCGAATCTCAGATCTCCGTTGGTGAACCAATTGTTGTCTCGGATGAGAAGGGGCATTTTGCCCTCGCGAATGGGTATGTAGTCCACGTCAGTGCATCCCATATCACAGTCGCTGTCGATCGAAAACTACACGACGCAAGGTCAAAGAAAGCTGGATTCAATGCCAAGACAAATCAGTCTTTCAAAGGGATTATGGAAATTGAAAGTGCTGGACAGTCAGCTTTGGAGGACCCCAATGAACAAGTCGTCTATCGAATCGACAAGGATGAGTTTAGCAACGGCATGGCTCTTGTTCGCAACAATCTTGTCTGCATGATGGACAAGGATTTGTACCAAGCAAGGCATCTCAGACGGCTGATTGTTGAGGGTCAAGCTCCCCAGTTCAAGTCGACATCCACTGCATATACCATTTCCGGTGCTGATAGCCTCAATGTCGACCAAAAGCAAGCAATCGACAAGGTCATGAGCGCAAAAGACTACGCGTTGGTTCTTGGGATGCCTGGAACTGGAAAGACAACCACCATCGCTCACATCATTCGGGCTCTCGTTGCGCAGGGGAAAAGCGTTCTCCTCACTTCCTATACCCACACCGCAGTCGATAACATTCTGCTCAAAATACGCGATGATGATATTCGTATTCTTCGCATTGGTGCCGCCACCAAGATCCACCCAGATGTACACGAATTTGCCGATTTGGCGGCAATTCCAAAGAAAACCATCGAGGAACTGAAGGATTCATACGAAAAACCCCAGGTTGTAGCAACGACTTGCCTTGGTGTGAACCATCCCATTTTCAACCAGCGTATCTTTGACTATTGCATCGTCGACGAGGCCTCGCAAATAACGCTGCCGGTCTGCTTGGGTCCAATTCGCATGGCCAGGACTTTCATCCTTGTGGGTGATCATTACCAGCTTCCCCCTTGGTGCAAAACAAGGCAGCCCAAGAAGGAGGACTGGACGTCAGTCTCTTCAAGCTACTTTCTGATTCTCAGCCCGACTCCGTTGTCAATCTGGAGCATCAATATCGCATGTGCGAAGAAATAATGCTACTGTCCAATGCGCTTATCTATTCTGGTCGTCTAAAGTGTGGCACCCCGCAGGTCGCTGCTCGATCACTCGAGATACCGAACATTCATGCCCTTGAGAGTTTCCACTCCGCTGGCTTCGACGTTTCACAGCCTGGGCAAGGAATGTGTATGGGTGCAGACCGTGGGCGCTGCTGGCTTCGAGATTTAGTGGATCCATCTGCCAAAACCCTCTTAGTCAACACCGATCCTCTTGGTGCCGCCGCTCTCGAAGCCGCACAGGGACAACGGGTTGTGAATCACGCCGAGGCCGTTATATGCTCTCAACTTGTAGAGTCATTCATCGCCAGCGGGATATCGGCCCAAAACATCGGTGTCATCACGTTCTATCGCAGCCAACTCGCCGTTCTCCGACAGACTCTTCGACGATATTCGCCAGATCTTGAGATGCACACCGCAGATAAGTTCCAAGGCCGTGATAAAGAGGTCGTCATTCTAAGCTGCGTCCGAAATAACCCCGAGAATCATGTCGGTGATCTTCTTCGTGATTGGCGACGTGTCAATGTTGCGTTCACACGTGCCCGCACGAAGCTTCTTGTTGTGGGTAGCAGAACTACTCTCCGTGACGGTAACGAGCTCCTTTGCAAGTATGTTCGTCTCGTTGAAGACAAGGGTTGGGTCTACAATTTGCCCCCAGGCGCTGCAGAAAATCATACTTTCCAACCGACAGCCCTGACTTCCACGCAATACCAATCCCCCGAGGTCGGCAAGAAACATGGTTCTGGAAGGAAAAACCCCCCCGAATGCAAATATGAAATCGTCGTCGCGCGAACCACTTAGCCCTTTGGGCTCTCGACAGCCTGGTGTCCGCAAACCCGCAAAGACGGGCACCAAGGTCTTCAATGGAAACACAGTTGTTGGTAACAGACCGATCCTCCAGGACTTGGTTAATGATATTTCTGGCTAGCTTCATATTGGTCCTAGATTTTTTGTTTCTCTCTCTCTTTTCTTTTCTTTTACTTGGAAAGCACTTTGTACATTGCATGGCTACCTAGCGAAATAACAAATGTGTAACATGCAGGGAGCTCACCGGAGTATCGAGGAGATGGTTTTATTTGCATGGGCGTTGATAGGTATCCCATCATGGGGTCATTTATTGGCGCATGGTCAATATCAACCAACATTACTATTCTTTTTACCACACAACCAACTTGAAGATATCGATACTTAATTACTACTAGTAGTAACGGCCTTGACCTCGCTCTCCGCAGGATACGACTCATAGCTACCTTCAAGTTGTTTCTAATTTAAGCTCGGAGGCTTCAAAATCTTTTATAAATGGAAGTCGAGAGTAAATAGAGCTTCAAAATTTTCGAGTGTATCTTGGCTGGCAATCACGCCCAACTGGGTAACTGACTGTAACAAAAATAAAGCAAACCGGTGTCGCGCTACACTCAAGTATGGACTATTAGCCCTGATCGTGTAGGAGAATATTTGAATCCAAATCAGGAATTCATTCCAATAACAAGGTGTTCTCATAAAAAGCATCTAGTCCTGACATAGTCACTGTCTTGTATTGGTCCTCTCTCCCTAGCCAAGGGGGACGAAATGATGAAATGCCAGACCGCCCAACCATCTCCCTCTATTAGAACTCCCTCTTTTTAATATTTGCCTAACTATCACTTATTCCGCTGCATGAGCACGATCGCTCCAATTCTTGTAGCGGTGTAGTTGTAATTTTTTAAGATTGTGTACTACTAACTACCGAGGTAGTGGCCATTACCTACGCGTACCTACCCCGGTAGTAACTAACTATTTGGTAACTAGTAGCTACGTAGGTATTGTCTAATTACCTCTTCGCTTATAAAGAGTAGTACTTAGTAGCCATGGATCAATATTTTACATGCAAAAGGCAGGACTAGGATGCTGCCCGGCAATAATAATTTTGTCCCTGGCTGCTACTAGTATCGGCTGCCATACATTAATTATAAGTTTGGGTTATACATTGTACTACTAGTAGTACCTAGGTATACACAGTAGAAGAAAATTCAGGTCCCAGCTCCTTTGGTTCCAAGGTTCAAGTTAATCTGGCTATCCAAGGGTTCCGCTACTTCCACCCGGGAAAAATCAAAACAGAGCGGCCCTATACCATCACCACTCAGAACGACTCGCTATGAAGCCGTCATCTTTCATCCCACCTAGGCATATACAGCTGGTTTTCAGCATCTTTTTTGCCCTCTCTCTTTCTCCCTCTCTCTTCATACCATCTTCACTCACTGCAGTCTATACAGTATACACAAAAACTTCTTGCTTGTATATTGCTCAACGGACTCGCTCTCACCCCACACTCTCTTCACCCTCACTCTCGCTCACTTCTTTTTATTATCATTTTTGCTATACTCTCGTTCTATCCAAACATGGATGCAGTCAACCTATCCGATTATTGTATGGGGTTAGATGAAACGTTAGGTGCACCACCGAGCTTCGATGACCTTTTCAAGGAATTCTGCTGGGATGATGAGTTGGATAAGTTAAACGTAGGCGCCAAAGGAAGTGTCTCCACTCCAACTATTGGATATACGGCCACCATCGATCCCTGGGAGACCATGACTATTGATCCCTCGAAGATCATGAAAAATCCCTCGAACACCGTAGAGGAGACATCAGAGACTCCATCCATTCCATCACCCTTAACCGCAAGGGAGACCTCAGAGACTCCGTCTATTTCATCACCACCAACTCCGGAATTCTCTGTACCTATGCCTCTCCCTATGCCTGTGTCTGTGGCTTCGTTCGTGGATACTTCTCAGTGTCTAGGACCACCTCAATCAACATCCGACTTGAACAAGGCATATCCTCAAGTTTGCGCCTACATATCCAAACTTCAAGCACAACTGAAGACTCTTCAAGATGAAAAGCTTCAACGAGAACAGGGCTTTCAGCAACAACAAGGCTTTCAGCAACCACAAGAGTCTCAAATCCCGCAAAGATTCCAGCAAAATTGGCCTCAGCAACAAGCCTTCCAACAACGACACGGGCTCCAACAACCACTGGCACAAGGGTTACAGATACCACAAAGCTTTCAGCAACAACACGGGCTTCGACGACCACTGGCACAAGAGTCTCAAATACCACGACCGCGAAGCTTCCAGCAATCAAATGGGCTTCAGCAACAACGCCATAAATTCGTGCAAGAAGACCCATCCTCCTATCGGTCAATCTCTTACATGCCCTCTCCAATAAATGGCCACGTTGGCCCGTCTCAAATCCTGCAAACACAAGCCCCGGTTGAACCTAAGCCTCAACCCCAGCCCACGTCACAGCCTCCGGCACCAAGAATTTTCGAATTCACCAACACATTTCCTACGGATTTTGTCGCCAACCCCCATAACCACGCCCGATTCTACATCCGCGAAGATGGGAGGTCGCTCTATTTAAATTCGTCCAAGGAAAGACAGATCCAGTTCTTTCAATAAGCTTAAGCTGCTCAGATGGGAGTCAACAAGACCTAGTCTGGCCCAGGGTCCTGGCTTGTCCTTTTTATATTCGGGGTGTTTGAAGAGTTGAAAAGCGGAATATGTCTTTTTGTATATTGATTCTTGAACTGTCTTGCTTGGAATTGTTCAGTGTATTTTTCATCGTCTTGTCATGTCTTGTATTGTTATTATATTCGGAGCGTTCAAAGTCTGGAAATTTTGTATATTGATTCTTGTACTCCAGGCCTGTCTTGCTCGGAGTTGTTCAGTGTATTTTTTATCATCAAGTCTTGTCCGCAAATTGTGAATTCGTGATTGGGTGTGTGTGTTACTATCAAGCAGTGGAAGTTAATAGCCTGTACGATGGAATGAGAAAATTTGTATTTTGCACCCCGTCCTTAATTTGAATAAAAATGAATTCTGTTTGAAGCTGCTTCTACTTCCATCGTATGATTCTCAGCCAAAATACCCTCAAAATTTCGCCGCTCTCTGTATTATGTTGGACCCGTGGACAATCTATGAGAAAATTTTCAAAGCCCTCGAGCTTGAAGCAGAAACGACGTGATTATGAGTCGTACACTGCGGAGAGCGAGGATTACTTTCGTCGATATTTTGATTGGGGTGGTAAAAATAATAGTACTAGTACGTTTGTGGCTTTCGATGGACGAAGTGCCCGTATAGCCAGTAGCAAAAAGTTAACAGAGTTTTTTATCAAGTTCCAAGGTTAGATTGAATAGTTGAACCCCTGGAAACATAGTTTCATGGGCTAGAAGCGCCCACAAATTCCCAACAAATGGCATGTCGAGTATTCAGCGCAGTGGCTTCACGGTCTTGGGTCTCTGCCTCTGCCTCTATCCGTGTATTCGACGACAGTATGTCTGGGGAAACTGCGATGCTGAATCCATCTCTTCCCTCAACAGCATGCCTATCCAATGCCGATGACGAAATCACAAACCAAGGGGAAGGATCGACCGAAGTAAGCTTTGCCGTTGTTGACCTGCCGCCAGTAAAATTAGTACTTTCGCCCAGATTTCGACAGAGTATGGGACGAAACATGGCGTCTTCTGTGCGAGTTAGAACCTTGGTCACTCACAAGAGATTCAAAAAAATCTGCATAGTCCAAGCCGATGAAATGAAACCATGCCATTTTAGGCAAACCAGATCAAGGGTCGCCTTCTCATCAAACTCTGGTACACTGTAGCGACTGAGATACGGGTCGACTGAATCTCCGGTAGAAATATGGGGTGATCGAAGTTGAACCATGGCAATCCATTCGGAAAGTCCACCGCATCGATCTTGGATTACTGCCTCAGGCATCTCTTTCGATACTAATTTTTGCAGGGACGGGGTCAGGACACCTTCGAGTTTAGTTTGTGTTGGTGCTGATTCCAGAAGCTGTGGGTGAAGATTCTTAATAGGTTTGGATTCTTTGCGCATGTCAGTATGTCATTCGTCGATCGAGAATACTATTAGGGAGTCTTACCATCATTCTGGCTTGTGGGATCCAGGTCGCAGAAGAGCCATGCCAGGGACTGATTGAGAACATTTTTGAAGGCCCAGACAATTCGCTCAAACCCCTTTTTGCCATGCAACATTGAAGGTAGTCGAAGGTTTAATTCAATCACTAGTGGCAAGATTAGATCAATTTCGTCTTCTCGGTAACACTTTTGAATGGAGAGGGGACTCGAAACATACCAAATCTTTCCTTTTCATGCTTCCTGCCACCGCTGCGGATGGGCTTTCCGTTCAGCCCTGTGCGTTCATGTATTTCTTTTCCCAGTTCAATTTTGCAGATCCCTAGATAGTTCAACAATGTCAACAGTTAAAATCCGTGACAGATTGTCTTGTTATAGACTTGAGAAAGCACTAACCATTGTGGAGGGTAAATACGGTATCCGAACCGGAACGGCCTTCAGAGATCATGATGACATTTCCTAGAAATAGTGTTAGCCTTTCGATTCAAAAAGCTTGGACGAGCTCTAGCAATGCCGTCTAGCAGGTATTGCATAGACGAGGGGAGATAAAGATACCGGATTTTATATATGTGTTGAAGAAATCACCCTCGAGCATATCAGCAGGGGACATGAATACTCGAGCATATCGAGGCTTAGTCAATTTTGCATCTAATGATGGCTGAATGCTGGTATAGACTGCCTCTGGAAGGATGACCTCGACCTAATCAAGGTTGTCAGCCTCATGGTCAGAGACTCAGAGTATAAACGAGAGTTCAATTACCGTATGTGTCAGAGGGTGGTTGAGAATGGCGGAGAAGGGTGATTTCTTGCTCGGGATCTGCTTGGGATCCACGAAGGCGGGCAGTTGAGTGATGGTGGTGAAGCATTTCTCGCGCTCAGACGCGCTATCCTCGAAATCCAACATGATACAGAATTGTAAGAGTCACGGCGAACACTGAAGGGAGGTGTGATATCCAATGCAAGTAATAACGGATAGCGGGCAAGGTATGAAAATTGAAGTTCCATCCTGACCACATCCCATTGGACGCGGGCGGGGAGGTGCTTATCGATAGGCACTGCCTTAAGGTACCTTCAACTCTACATTAAGGTACTTTATGTACTAGTATGCTGTTTACCATAGGTTTGAAAGCTTGAAATGAAGATTCGAGTTGACAAAATAATAAATTTCACAAATTTCCACTAGAGGTGGTAACTACCAGATGCAACTTGAGCTTGAACAGCTCTAGCCAGTACTACCGTACTCTATGCTCAATTCAAAACTAGGCCTAATTCCAAGGCTGCCCACTGGCAGGTGTATTAAACTCTTTTGCATCTCTTTAACTTGCTATTTCCTACTATCACTAGTAGTATTCTAATCTCTCATCGATCAAATCCCAGTCCGGCCTTCTTTGCGACTTGTGGTCATCCAGTGCTAGTAGTAACGAGCATGCCTGAGGCAGCGATATACTCCGCTCTCCGCCCAGTGGCCAGTGACGACGATCTTCAAGTTCGTGGGTTGAGTCCGCGCTCCGAGATACTCAACCCTCTGACTTTTGTCGTTGATGCAGACATATCTGGACCAGGGCGACAATTGCTAACACAGCAGAAGCAGTCGCCGAATCCAGAGGAGCTGCCAGTCATGGCACCCGCTCCACGTCGTGAGCTCCTAGCCAAGGAACATTTCGCATTCGTCTTTGGCAACGTCAAGACCCAACCTTACCATGATCCTGCTGCAAAAGGACCTGGATCACACACGTATGTCCTCCATCTCGCGTCAAATTGGAACCAGTCACTCATGATACCTCTTCGGGACCAACAGCATCCGTACACTAGCATGGAATCCCACCGGCCAGCTGATTGCGACTGGCTCCGCGGACCGTACCTTGCGCATTTGGAACCCTGAACGCCCGAACGCCCGATACTCAACCGAGCTCCGTGGCCATTCAGCAGCTATAGAGAAAGTTCTCTTCAACCCCGTCCGCGACGCAGAATTGGCTAGCTGCTCGACAGACGGCACAGTGCGCTTCTGGGACGTGCGCTCCAAGACATGCGTGAGCCGACTCGACGTTGGGGGCGAGGCCTTCACCTTGTCCTGGTCCGCCGATGGCAGCACAATGGTCGTCGGAAAGAAGGTGAGTGACCAAGCAGCAAAGCAACCAGTCTCAGGGACCCAACAATCCCGCGGCGCAACGCATTGGCTAACCCGAGCTCTCCGCAGGATGATACTTTAATACCTATATCAGTTCAATCCCCTTCGTCGCCGCACACCATCACCGACGGAAGCAATAGCACCGGCATAAACTCCTACTCAGCTTCCAAGCCCGGCGCAACAACCTATACAGCTCTCACCCCGCACCCCCAACCCGTCCAAACGAACGCAACCACTTTCTCCCACCACATCGCATCCCCTTCCTCCCCCGACCTCCACCTCTTCGCGACAACCGGCGACGGAACCGTAAAAATAATGTCCTACCCCTCCTTCGATATCCTCCACACCCTCAACGCACACACCTCAGCCTGCATGGCCGTCTCCCTCGCCCCAACGGGCCGCTATCTCGCAATTGGCGGCAGCGACGCCCTAATCTCGCTCTGGGACACAACAGACTGGATCTGCCGCCGGACACTATCCAGCGAAAACGGCGGCGGCATCCGAGGTGTTAGTTGGAGCTTTGATGGGCGCTTCCTCTGCGGTGCGTGTGATGAGCTTGGCTGTGGCGGGAATGGGTTGGAGATCTTCCATGCTGAGACAGGTGAGAGCCTTTACACTATACCCTTGACCGGTATGAATGCGGGTGTCCCTGCTGTTGCCTGGCATCCTTCTCGCTATTGGTTGGCCTATTCTACTACCAATGATGGTCCTGGTAGTGGTGGTCCTGGAGGGCTTAAGATTGTCGGTGCTGGTGGTGGGAACCTCTGAAGGAGGCTGCATACTAGTTTTGCGTTGACCTCACCGGTGATATTGATGTCTGAGTGGCGAATGCCCGCTGTTTTTCTACCTTGTTTCGCTAGCTATGGCTGAAGCTTTGGGGTGATCTATGGAGGAACCACTAATGCAGAAACCCAAGGGAGGTATCTGCTGATCAAAACAATGTGGAATCAATAATGGAAACTTTATACAATATATACAGCAGAATACGACTAGTAAGATTACCAGTCTTTTCCAAAAGTACGATTAAATAGGTGCCCATAATACTGGTATAGTAGGTTTCGGAGGTGACACTAGTACGATCCATGGATGTCTCTATGCCCTCGATTATACAGCCAGCTACTACTAGTAGATTGCAATGTTCGATACAACCAAGATGATATCTACCTAGATAGCTTTAAGTCATAAAGTAAAAGTGATATCTTACGTATTTCTTCATCTTCATTATAGTAGTGAATATCAAAGTGACCTTCTCTCGGAAGTGATGGCCATCGTGATCAACAAAATCTGAGAGTGGAGAATAATTACATAAAGGACATTGTTCGTCATCATCAGGTCGTTTAGCCCACAATTGTGTCGACTCATCAAGTATGCTTGTAGCGGGAGAGGTTTTGCTTTGGTCAAAGCTCGTAACCTCAGGGAGAGAGGAGAGGGTGTGAAGCCGTCGTGAGAGTTGAGAGCAGTCGAATTAGGTTCTCAGGTATTTTCCCTAGGAATTTTGTTTCTGGAGTGATTCCACCGCACCGTGTCGAATCGGTCGGATGGGTATTCAGCCAACGCGCCTCAATTATGGCGATGCCGGGGACGCGATTAGCCATCGGCTGTGTGTTATGTTACAAACGAAGGGTTCTGGGCCACAGTGGTTTAGTTCCTTCAGGGAGTAGGCTTTTCCCCATGAAATGGGCCCGCAGCAGAAACGGGCTAGGAGATCTGCCATAGAGGAGACTTCTTTCAATTTTCATCATGATGGGCGCCAGTTCTCCCATCCTGGTCCACTGCCGTTGTTTTCCAAGATCTGAGCCCACTGGGCCTCGCTCAAAGCGTCAACGTTGAGACTGCTCAAGTCTACATTGCTCAGACTGGGATTTGTGGCTGACATATCCCAACCCGGGGTGTCGGGATAGGCCCTGGCAGAATTGGTATCTCCAAGAGAGGTGTTACTTCTGTTGGAGTACATGTTCCCGGCAAATGAACCCAGATCGGGCATCGCCGGAGACTCGGTACTAACAGGAGAGATGTGAACGGAGTGGATGTTGTCGAAAGCAGAAGATTGACTCTGCTGGGTGGAGGCAGAGCTCTGCTGTTTCTTTCCGGGGGATGGGTTGTCGAGTCCAGACATCGAATAGGATGTGTTGGAGGATGAGTTCAAAGTTGAAAGGGGTGGGATGATCGGATGGTGGATTCCCGCCAAGCCCACCGAAATCTGGAGAGAAGTCCATGTCCATGTCCACGATGCCCCCTTGGCCGATTGCATCGGAGTTGATCGCTGAAGCTCGCGGGAGGGGATGAAATTGTTGTGCATTGTTACCAGCACTTCCAAGTTCAGGATCAACAGCCCGTGTATCCCGATAACGGCTGGGCAATGTGGTAGTTCTGCGATCCGCAGGAACTTGTGCCGAGCCGGTTTGGTTTGTGCTATCAGGTTTTGATTGGTCCGAGTTTCGTGGGCGACTTGGATCTCTGATATCGTATATAGTAGGACACTGTTCCATCCTACTAGGGCAATATGTCTGCTAGATGGGGAATCGCAAGATTAGACTGAACGCCCAGCAGAGGTAATAGAGGAATAGCAGAACTCACAAGGACCGCAGCAGTGTGTGCAAAGGTAAATTTTGCATTGTCCATGGCTTTTATTCCAGTGCCCTCAAGGTCAACATCCAGTTGAACAAGGAATGACTCGGTCAATGGATTCTTGTTCTTCATCGCATTGAGCGCAGAAATCACGAATTGTAGCGAAGAGTAGACAGTCGAATCATCCGGTCGCGATTTGAGGTACTGTACGAAGACCCTGGCTGATATATAGAGACAGAATGACATGAATGGGTTCAGCTAAAAATCAGTTAGCTCGAAGGTCTGAAAATTCCCCAAATAACGACCACGGCCCAAACCTACAATCGTCAAGTCAACATGGCTGACCATCTTCATGATGCTGGATATCTGGTTTGCTGCAACAAGACATCTGCGTTTACTCTCAGTCACAATTTGATTCGACATTTTGTTCTTCTCGGCCTTGAAGATTGCTGCTTGGTGAAGACAAATGGTAGATGTGTGAATGTTCATATTGGCAAAAATGACGTTTACATCATCCATGCCACCCGGAAGACGAAGGTGGTCAGGCAATGAAAGTGCGATGTGAAGAAGGATGTTGTCATGGCTTCTGTGTCGCTTCCAGAATTCCCCATTAAGGTCATGGTCGTTGTCTTGGGGCTGCGGTCGGTGGATATGGTTCAGATTGCGGCCGAAAAGATTTGCCAGCACGCATACACAAGCAAATGGTGCTAATGTCGTGACACCCTCGCCAGCGATGATATCAGCTAGACTGAGCGTGCGCTGCGGCTTGCTCTTCAAATATGCTTCCTCGGAAGCGGGAAGGTTGGTCATGATCTAGCTCCAGTTAGTATACCGTGATCCAGTCTCAGCGAGGATTGCATTCGGGTAACAACTCACGTCATTCTCATCAATAATCATGGGCCAGCCGGTACCAATACTGGCATACCGATCTGTACAAAAAGCCATCCAGAATGTGCGACGGCGCTCCTCGCGCTCAGTCCAGTCCTTTGGTGGAAACATGGATTGCTTCACATCAAGACCAGTCCCGTCCAATCGGTTCAGACCCATCATGAGCGCCAATCTGGCTGCCTTTCCGACACTTAACCATGCTCGTGGGAAGTAGATCATGCGGAATTCGTATGAGCCAATTAGAATCCAAGTCTGACAATGCGAAAGGGTGATGATGTTTTCTCCAAACCCTTTCATCTCATCCATTTCAGCATATTTGCGGGCGCGGTGATAGAAATGATTGTGCAGTCCATAGTATTTGTCACTGATCGATGCCGCGTGACACCAGATCATATATCGGAGACAGATAGGCGGGCGCATATGAGGAGCAAGATTCAGATTGGTGAAGTATCGAGGTCGGTGGAGGAGAGGTAGCATTGGCTGAATCTTTTCGAAATATATATTCTCTCTTGAAAACACACCATTTTAGCATGGTGACAAAATGATCATAAGGTGTATAGCCCACTTACAGTTCATCAATGACATCCTGCATCGGAAGAGGCTCCTCTAACCCCAGGCCGATCATATCCCACTGGGGGTCGCTAGGGAAGAGCATTGGGTTTGTCTGAGATGCGGTAGCTTCAGTTGTAGAGGAGGGTATTGAGTTTCCTAGGTCGGCGCCTAGGCCCGAAATTTCCGGTAGGACGAGGGTGTTATCATCTGGGAGAGGGGCCGTGAATGTATTCTCTTGCGGTTGAGGGGGCGAGGTTCTTGGGACGGGTTCGCCATCCTGACCTTTGAGTAGCGTCTCGACCTGGGCTAGTAAATTGACAATCGTTAAAACGATAATCCTTCTCAAAATTTGCGGCGACTGAGTTCATGGGCAGGTCATACCTAATCGCGCTTCCAGCTGCTTCACGTACCCCCGCTTCGGGCCACTCTTCTTGCGTACTTCATCGTAGGAACATTCATGGCCCAGACGAGAGCAAGTTCCACAACTAGGCCGTTTACCATCACAACGAAGTTTCCTGCGTCTGCAGACGACACAGGCTATGCGCTTCGGGCGAGGTACATAGTTGCTGTCTGTCGGCGCACCATTCTCGGAGAAACCGTTGTCTGCGATTGCATAATCGGTGTTTGATAGGCTGGATTCGGTTGGGTATTGCGACGAGGAACCCTGCGAAAAGGCGGAGGGGGGAAGATTGTCCATGGCGGGTCGCGGTCGCGATCGCCAGGTGGTGAGGCAGTTGAGAGTTGAGGATCAGATTTCAAAGCGATGACGAAAGTGACAGCCCACCGCTTATCAGGGTGAATGACTTGCAGCCCAGGGGCTTCTTCGAAATAAGGCAACGAGGGCAGATCTTCAGTCACATTCGCGGGTCATAATTAAATGGGGGTTAATGGAGGTTGCAGGTTGGGGGATAAGCGGGAACAAAGAAGTTCGGGAGCCCGCGATGGAGAAGTTGAACTTGGCTACCTTAAGGTATCTGAGAAACCCGAATCCCGACGAAGAATTTATTTACCATAAGGTTCAGGTGTCACCTTGCGATTTGTCTTATCTATATTTGCTTGAGCTTCCACCTCCTTTTCCTTTCATTTTCCTATGTATTTTAAGTTTAAATTTGGTTCGACGAGCTTCGAAAGAAGACTATGGAAAATGGAAGGAAACTGGAGCTGCTCCGTAGAGTACCTCGATTAAAAAAAAAGATCGGCGGTGTCTACGCACGACAGCGTTGCCTGGAGGGTCCGGGTCCACTTGGCCTTTAACCCGATCTCCCTTCAACATCAGCTCGTATCTATGAATCAAAGTAGCTTCCCGAATACGAACATTACGGAGTACAGAATTTATGACTACATTTACACATGTCAAAGCTGAACAAAGATCGATCTATTTGCTTCCATTTGATGGGCGTGGCCTTGGACCATCTTACTATACAGTGCACCTTCTGCTTGGGGTCCAACCAATGATAGAATAAAACAATATTTTCCAAAACGTGTAAAGAAACATGGAGGCAATATATCGTACAAATCCCCGGAAATAATGGGGGTGAGGTATAGATGAGGGGAAAGCATTGATTGCAAGGCAAAAGTGCAACACTCAACTGGCAACCGAAGACACAAATGGCTGAGACTGAGACTAGTTGTATCCACGGCGGCGTTGACCCTGGTTGCGGGGTCGGGGGTGCACCACGGCCTTGTTGATCTTCCACTTGGGACGGGTCTTGTAACCAGACTTGGTCTAGAAAAAAGAAAGGAAACGTTAGTGCTGCAATGGGAGAAGAAATTCACCACGCGAGAAGAAAGACGTACCGGAATACCCCAAGGACTCTTCGGGTCAACATTACCCTTGGACTTACCACGACCACCACCGTGAGGGTGGTCCATGGCGTTCATGGCAAGACCTCGAACAGTCGGACGGATGTTCAACCATCGAGATCGACCGGCCTTGCCCAACTGAGTGTATTGATAGTTGGGGTTACTGGCAATGCCGATGGTAGCGCAGCAATCCTTGTGGATCAGTCGACTTTCACCACTGGAGAGGCGAACAGTAATGTGTTGAGCGAGACGCTCTTGCTTTTGTCTTTCACGCAGGGACAGGATTTTCTTCTCAGTTTCGGGCTGATCTGTTGAATCGGCCTCGAGTTCCTGCTGCCGAGAGTCACTACCCTTGGCCACCACAGTAGCATAGGTACCCGCACTACGGCACAGCTGGCCACCCTTTCCGGGACGTAGTCCAACATTGAAAATAGAAGTTCCAACGGGAATCATGTGCAGAGGAAGGCAGTTTCCTCTCCATGCAGTCCGAGCCGCCAACACACCAGGATCGACTGTACCACCCATGCTCATCCACAAGTCTTCGGGGATACCAGACATATAGCTCTGGACGGTTTCACCGGCTCGCATCCCATCGGGAGCAAGGATGTAACTCAATTGTTTGTTCTCTTTGCTGCGAACCAGAGCAATGTGTGCGGTACGTCCGGGATCATATTCGATGCGCTCCACCAAATGAGGGCCAGCGGCCATTCGCAAAAAGTCAACAGTTCGGATACGGCGCTTGGCACCACCACCGTGGTGACGAACAGTGACTCGACCGCTGTTGTTACGTCCACCCTTGGCATGACCACGCTTGGGGAAGGTCAATCGGTGAATGGGGCGGCCTTTAAAAAGATGGTCGTTAACTGGCCGGCGCAAGTGACGGACACCGGGAGTACGGGGAATGTATGTGCGGATCTTGACACCGGAGTCATCTCGGGTAGGGGGAGGAGCAAATGTCGCGCTAGCATCGAATGTCGAGATTGAAGGCTTGTCGGAGGATGTGGTCTCCGTTGAAACAAATCGGCGAACTGGGAGGGTCGGCAGGGACCTAAAGGGTAGCTGAATTGCCCGGAGGGCAATTCTAGGCTGAAGAAGCATGGCACAAATGAACCAAGCGACGAAGAATGCGCAATGGCAAAGATGGTGATGGAGTGCTTCCCAACGAAGAAACCGGAAGTCCAATAGCCTTCTGCTTGCCTTCCGCAGCGCCAACAAAAAGTTCGGGTGCACGTGATTTAGGTGAGCTGCACTGCCACCGACAGGCCGTAGCCATTGTGGCTGGTGCTTGAGGGATGTCATACACGTGACGTATATCTCCCGTTGCCGGGCAACGGATTTGTTGATGGTCACGTGGACACGCTCCAGCGCGCGAGGTCATCAATACATACGCGTATTTACGGACAATACCGCCCTGCCCCCTCCCCTTCATTGCTGGATCTACCCTTTCATCTGGACTAAATCTTGAATTCCATTTGCCTATTCGGTTCTGGATCGCTAATTTCCAATTTGCAAGAAGAAAAAACATCAAGCCAATATTTTTTAAGACGCAAAATAGCCTTATTTCCCACGATTGAAGCTGGGTATACCGAGCTCTGCGCGACTCGCAGGTGGGGCGTCAGTCAGTTTTGACCGGTTTTCCGCGCTAGCACAGTAGGGCCCAAACATCGCTTGGCCCTCTCAGGTTCTTCCTTTTCCCTCATCATCATTCCACTTCAAGATACCCCCCTCCCCTCCCCAACTCCATTAATCTCGCCTGAATCCTAACATCAGGATTCCACGTGTGATATTGAATACCTCGACACCCTTCAATCCCAGATCGACACGCGTTTTTTGAACGGCAGGACCAGGGTCAACGCGGGCTTACTCAACATCAATATCAACTTGTATGCAACGTGTATCGCGACTCATTTTACTCGACATCGCCCCGACTACTACATCTGCCAACAGGCAAGTGTAGTCCCTTTGAAGTGAATACCTTTTCACGCGTGGTACGTGCATCTTGACCTCGACGACCGTCTGGAATTTGGTCTCCACTGGGGCAATTATGTCCAACGGAATGCTGACCTGAGCCGAACAGAACAAGGAGAATTACCTTTGTTCCTCGTTCCTTTTCTCTCACCTTGCCCCCGTCTCTCTCTTCTCTTCCCCGAGTCTAGCGCGATGCCTATGGTAAGCTGATTGAACCCTTGACAGCTCGTGTTTTGTGACGAATATCACGCCCTGCATCAAAGAGCTCACTACGGGCTCTGTTCAGCTTTCAGCCAAAGCTAACTCCGTCATAGACGCGTACTAGTCTCCGCACTCGAGGCACGATGAACGAGAACGATGAGAACGGCCCCGCGGCGCGTGTTACACGGGCCAAGGTCGCCGCTCTTAACACAGATAGTGGTGTTGATGCATTGAAGAAGCCGGTGCAGACCAAGCGGGCTACCGGGGCCACCACTCGAAAGCGCCCTGCACTTGGTGATGTCAGCAACTTCAAGAACGAGGGTGATGTCAAGGGCGGAAATAAGGCCAGCACAGCAAAGGGTCAAGTTGCCACAAAGCCACAGGGTGGTGTACAAAAGCCAACAGGAAACAAGGATATCCGAGCACCCAATTCCGGACCTCGTCTCGCTAGAAAGAAGCCCGAGACCAAGCAGAAGCCACTGAGTGGCCCCGGAGCTATCAACAGCCATAAACGCCCATCAACAGAGAAGAAGGCGGATCCTCAAGAAGAGCCTCCTCTCAAGAAACAGAACTCTCGAGCGAAAATGGATGTGAAGGACACTGTCCCCGATATTATTGAAGTGGGGGGGCGAGAAGCCCCTCGACTTGGACACTGAGGACTTGGATGACCCATTGATGGCCGCGGAATACGTCGTAGAGATTTTCGACTATCTCAAAGACCTCGAACTCGTGACTCTGCCGAACCCTGAGTACATTGACCACCAGCCAGATTTGGAGTGGAAGATGCGTGGTATTCTGGTCGATTGGTTGATTGAGGTCCACACGCGCTTCCGTCTTCTTCCCGAGACCCTGTTCTTGGCTGTCAACATCATTGACCGCTTCCTGTCCGCCGAGGTTGTTGCTCTTGATCGTCTCCAGCTTGTTGGTGTCACCGCCATGTTCATCGCCTCCAAGTATGAGGAGGTCCTTTCTCCCCACGTTGCCAACTTCAGCCACGTCGCCGATGAGACTTTCTCCGACAAGGAAATCCTCGATGCTGAACGCCACGTTCTCGCTACCCTGGAGTACAACATGAGCTTCCCTAACCCCATGAACTTCCTGCGTCGCATCTCCAAGGCCGACAATTACGACATCCAAACCCGAACTCTCGGAAAGTATCTGATGGAAATCAGCCTCCTTGACCACCGATTCATGGGCTTCCCCCAGAGTCAGATCGCTGCCGCCTCCATGTACTTGGCTCGTTTAATTCTTGAGCGTGGTCCTTGGGTTCGTTCTCTCCTATACCCACTGTCTTGTGCCTCTAACTAACATTTCTTTTCAATAGGATGCCACCCTCTCTCACTACGCCGGATACACCGAGGAGGAGATTGATCCGGTCTTCCGCCTCATGATTGACTACCTCCACCGCCCTGTCTCCCACGAGGCCTTCTTCAAGAAGTATGCCAGCAAGAAATTCTTGAAGGGTATGTTTTCCCTCTTTCGCTCTCTCTCTCTCCGATGCCTTTCTGACATTCTCAATCACAGCCTCTATCTTGACACGCCAGTGGGCCAAGAAGTATCACGGCATGTACATTGACAGCTCGCTCTCGGAGCCGTACACTTATATCAAGGACAGCGAACAGTAATGATGCCGTTGACGATGTTATGCTGACCCTGCGTCGCCAATGTCACTGTCCTTCATGATGATCCCAGGGCTGCTTGCGACTATCCGACCAGGGGTTCCAATTCCTTCATATGTTGGCATTTCATTGTACTGGTATCAGATACCTTTTTGCATATTCTTAACGATGGCTTGATTAAATTTGTGCGCTTCGGCATTTTGTCTTCTGTGACCGGGGGGGTGTTCGGCGCTTTAGCCTTGTGGTTTTGTTCGGGTTGTTTTGCTTTTACTTCTTGCATGGGGTGTCTGTTCTCTTGTCTACCCTGATACCTTTCTATTCTTGCTATTCGGTTCGCGTCACCGGCGTCGGATTCTATCTATTTTTCTTCTACTCCTCTTCTTCCCAGATCGGACTTTTAACTTATTGCCACCATGGATTTGATTCTTGTTTTGTTTCCATTTTTCTTTGTGGTAGGATTTGACATAGCGTCTTGCCTCTCCTTATTCTTTCCCCCTTTCCTCTTCTATCGAGGGAGGGTCTGCACATGGAACAAAAAGCAACTTTCCAAGGCTCTGATAGTCGTTGGTTGATTTTGACAGGGAGCTTATTATTTCCTCACCCATCCTTTTGCTCGGGCTATGCATGTTAAACAGTTGAGTGCGCGGGGGTAATGTGTCTTTGGCTGGTCTGAGGTTTGAGTTTTATTAGATTAGCTCGTTTTTATCTGATGGGTGCAAGATGTGATTAAGTTCAAGTTACGTGCGATTTTGATTCTAATCCCTCCTCACTGCAATTCTAATACCGTGTACGACTTGAGCGTCTTTCAACTTGTACCCACCACACCTTGGGTTGGGAGCTCCCGTAGCCGAGGTTCGCCGCTGCGCCCGCGGTTGGTCTGCAGGCCTGCTAACACTCCAACAACTTGTCAGGACCAACATCACACAACTACTCAGGGTCTTCGCCCAGTTGGCACAATATACATTCTTCGAGTCGGGATCTTTCTATTCATCACCATCACTGGACCCTCGCAGACTACGAACCTCAGGTGCTTCAACTTGTTCGCGATCTCGTGGTTTCTCCTCCAAAGGCTGTATACCTAGGTACACAAGTATACAAGTTGAATCCACATTCACTCGGTCTCATTTCGAAGCTGCGAACTCAAAGTCTCATCTCCCACCATGTCGTCCGAGTCATTCTGTCCCTTTTGCAATATCTCCGTCACAAATCCAACCCTTGCTTTCAACGGGTCTGGACCAAGTTCAAACTCTCCCGATCAAGATCCTAACTCGACAGCTCATCTCATCCTCTCCACGGACCATGTCCTCGCCTTTTTAGACATAATGCCCCTCACACGAGGCCATGTCCTCGTTGCGCCGAGACGGCATTTCGAAATGCTCGGAGATATGGATGTGCAAACTAGCCAGGAGGTACGTGATTGGCTTCAAGCTCACACTCCTCTTCTTTGTTTCTGACTAATTTAATTTCCGAGTGCTCCAGGTCGGCAAATGGCTTCCTATCCTTTCAAGGGTCGTAACAAAGACTATATTTGGCGACGAAGAGAGACATTGGAATGTGGTGCAGAATAACGGTGTGTGCCCTCCTTCCCTATCCCTTTCCTCCACCATGCAAGGTGTGCGTACATTCCATATATCAAGGATACTAGTACAATTACCTTCGCATACAAAGCATATTCTGAAAGCAATCAACCTTGGAAGTTGTCTTTCAATTTTTGTTTTGTTTCGTCTAGTGCAACAGGTTACTAGTGCTACCGCTAACGGGGCTAAACAGGAGCCAGAGCTGCGCAACAAGTCCCCCATGTCCATTTCCACATTATCCCTCGCCCATCTACAGAGTCTTCTCGGTCACCAAGCTTCGCGATGTTCGGTCGCGGTCAGCGTGATGAGCTCGATGATGAAGAGGGTGAAAGACTAGCTCAGTCCATGAGAGTCGAATTGGCGGAAGAAGTCAAGCGAATCGAACGGGATGAAGGAGTCATTCTCGACCCAACCGCTTCGGACTTGAAACGTCAAGGAAAGTTGTAATACATCCCATAATCACTAGACATTCTTCCTAGCCTTTCTATTTTGTTTGTTTCTCCATGTACTGTACGTAGCCACTCTCTGAAACGGGATGGCTAGATCCGCCTATTGGCTAGATTATGAATAATCTGAGACGACCCATCACTGTGCTGCGGGCCTATTTTCTCGGAGCTCTGACCTTGGAGGGCCATGTCTTGACATGTACTATGCGAAAGTATTAGCTTGTTACTATGCCATTTAGTGGATCGTTGTCTGCATGTACCTTGCGCCGGAATGCATTAAGCTCATCTGCCATAACGCCCTGTGCATCGACATAACTTCTTCCTTGCGTGATATCAGACGTTTCTCCGTCAGGGAGGCGTCTATATGTCATCAACCGCCGAGACCCTATAGTCCATTAGAATCAGTATTCAAGGCTCAAAACAAACGCATTATATCAATTCTCACATTTTTGAAAGTGTTGAACGGAAACATTGACAACCTCCAGGTTTGGGTGCATGGGGACTGGGAATTTGTGGGCTTCATCACTTGCTGTGGGCATCCACATTGCCAAACGGCCATTCGGAACGAGCGTGCGAACCGCAAAATCGAGAATATCTCGTTGCATAGCTTCAAATCCATAGGGTCGTTTTGGTGCGATGTAGTCGGGTCGGCTTTTGATGACAATTAGTACCGTTGGTGTATATTTCGAGATAAAAGGGACATACTAATGAGCAGCAACTCCATCAATAAAGACAGGCTCCTTCAAGACACCATCCCGCGTTCCCAGAACCCGAAGGCCTTCACGCACACCATATGGCGGGTCACAAGTAATGCCATCGAGCAATCCACAGTTTCGCAACGGCGTATTGGTGAGATCCGACGTGAAAAGATCCATCATCTTGCTCTCGAGGCCATATTGCTTATAGTTCCGCAAAGCAGCAATTTCGCCTTTCTCTCGCTCTTCATCCTTCCCACGGAAGCTGCGCGGATCGATATCCGAACCAAGCGTGAGTGCTCCAAAGTGCGCAGCGGCCACCAAAAAGCTTCCTGTTCCGACAAAAGGGTCGTAGAAAACCTTTCCCGGGGCAGCGAGAGCCATGTTCGCTGTCACTAGACTGAGTTCCGCATCCATGGTGGTAGTGCTGATGTACCGGCGCTTCTTGAGATCAAGTTTCACGATGGTATCCCGATCACTTTTGGCAAGAAAACGGCCCATGTAGATGTTCCGTGGCTCTGTTATCTTTTTTGTGCCTATGAGACTCTGCTCGGCATCTGAGACATACTCTTCCATAATAATGAACTGCTCATCGGGGTTCTTCATGCGAATGGGACCCTCGAAGGACATATATCCGAATGAATTAATGATCTCTGACTTTCGGGTCTGGCTGCGTTTGCCTGCGAATGTGTCCACCGAGAACGAAAATATGGCGTCGCGGTACTTCGGCCAGCGATCAGAGGCTCGTTCTTGAACAGCGGCATGGACCTCATCATAATTTGTGCCTTGACCCCACAGCTCACTGATGTCTTTAGCAAGGACACTTCGCTTCATGATCGCGCGCGCAGCGTCATTGTCTGGCAGCTTTACAACACAGTATGGTGACTGGGGTGGGTTTAGTTAGCTGATATTGTCCGTAGATTGGCAATGGTTGGAGGGTAGAAACATGCGATTCCGAAGCCAGTGCTTTACTCTGGGTCTTTCAGATCTAAGTGCAGTGCTCGCTGAGCTCATCACTTACATGGTCGTTGTAGGAAAGAAATTCGATGTCGGCACCAACCAGAGTGGCAAGCGCCTGAATTTCCGGCTTTCGGAAGTTCTCATGGCATTGAGCAAACCGAATCAGGTACTCCATGTTGAGAGAGTCGGGCTGATTCTGGCAGTCTCTTTCTTTGAACGTTCGCGGGGGTTGAATCACGGAGCCAACCCAATGGTGGGGTGTTCTGCGGGATCGGGATTGATTTTTTTTTCCTTTAACCTTTGGGTCTCCGCGCCTCTACAACCGTACTTGGGCCTCAGTATATGGTGGAGCTATAATTGGAGTTGCAAAATTAATCGAGTTTTCTGTTTGAAAAGATGATCTTTCGTTTAGAATCTAAATAATTATAGATAGAAGTGACAACTATTCAAGTCTAATACCTAGGTAACTTTTGATTTCTTTTCGTCCGAGTCGTGACATTACTAGTAACTAGTATCCACCTAGGTACGTCTCCCTAGGAATACTAGTATTAAGAACTTGAATACTACCTAGTTTAAGTTAGTACTATGGATGTTTGTACAATTAATAAATTTGACGGTATAACTGGGAAGCGATCGGCTTCTGGGGCCTAGCCTGAGTTAGTCGCCCTCTGTTCCTGACCGTAAGGAACCCTAAGAAACCCTAAGTAATCCTGAACATATAAGATAGGACCGGCATTTGTTAATATGGCAGGTGCGAGAAGTGTCGGTCTACCTAGGTACTATACCTAAGGTTCCTAGCTGGAAGACCTATTTGGAAATTATAATCAAGCACCGACTAGAAAATTATCTGCGTAGGCTAACTATTAGAAGGTGATTATAGAGGTGACACTGTAATATCAGTGTTAGAGTTATTATATTCTTTTACCTAGGTACTTCTGTCCTGGTCCCTATGAGTATCTGGATCTATATTCCTTAACAATATTAAACAAGTAGGTGGACAAAATGTATTCACAAAAAAAAAATGTCAAAAAAGTGACAAGAGTGGGATTCGAACCCACGCCCCGGAGGACTGCGGAATATAGAAATTACCCTGAGGTAACAACCTAAACACAGCACCTTAGACCACTCGGTCATCTTGCCTAAAAGACCAAAATTATTCTAATGTGATTCTATAGATCTTATACCCCACCCTTTGTCCCTAGCAATGACACTATTATCAACTTACAACAGAGTGTAAGATAGCCTTTGTTCCTCTTCTTCTTCTCCCTAGTATACTTATTATTTTGTAGAGACTAGCTAGGTACCATATTATTTCTTGATCCTATTATCTTTACAATTCTTTTCTTTCTTTGCTTTCCCCCCCCAGTTCTACCAGGTAAAAGTGAATACCATCTACTTCAGGCATGGTAACAACTTGGATTCGTTGCACTGAAACTGCCATTTGCAGAATAGGCAGACACACGATAGGCAGGAACGCAGACTCACAATGCATTTATCCTGCTTTATCTTCCTTCTTCCCAGGGTTCTATCTCTTCGCCCCGTCTTCTTTCTATCTCTTGACCCCATTTAATTCCGTCTCTCTCCATCGTCTGCTATTCCAGCATCTTGTTGAACTTCGACTCATTTTACCTCATCGTCTTGACATAACCTTCCAGCCAAAGCCATGGAGCCTCCCAAGGGATTTCATCTTTTTGGAGGATGCATGCTCGAGATCCCATCGACCGAAGAGCTCGCGGAAGCCTCTCGGTGTTTATCTCTAGTGAGAGAATTCAAAATTGCAATTTTGACCCGTAAGGTTTGTCATTGTTCGCACCTCGCACCGGGATATTGAACCATGAACAGGGACCGCAACACAGTGGAACTTTGGCCCCGACTTTGAACAGATGGCAAAACGAGATACTGAGACCTGGAAACAACTCGGTGTCGAGCGCCCGCATCATCTTCTCCGGCCCAGTGGTCCGTAGAAATTATAATTTTATCACACTTAGTACCTAGGTAGGTTTAGTACCTGGGTATTATTTTGCTTGAGGCATTGGCTGTGTGATGATATGCCATTGTAGTTGTATCTATACCTTAAGAGGAAGGCCATTGGCAAAAGACTCAATACATTCACACTGGCAACTAGTTTGTGCAGTTTTAGGCGTTGATTTACCGTCACTTAGCGTTGGGATGTAGTACTAGTTAATATTGGTGTAGTATACTATCCATAGACTGCTTCTCTTTAAGTCTAATATCTCTTTCTTGCCATGTGGAACCTAGGTACACGTGTTGTATGTCAAGCTTGCCTATCAATCTGAATACAAGTTGTTTGCAGTATTTACTTAAGATACGATAATCGAGTGAGGTGCGGCTTTATCGAATCGGGTATGGTATCTGCACCTAGTAAAAATACGGCCCTGGTGATATTATGTTTAGTATTCGAATGCATAGCAAAAATTAGTAAATGCTAACATAAATTCACTATGATCATAGTTAAAGGGAATCAAAGCCATATCTATCAAGGAAAAGCCAAGAGCCATGAACCAGACAATTGCAGGTGCCGAGAGAATATCCACCTGGGCACATCGACACTTGAAGACAAGAGAATCCATGAAGACGCCGTCCTTCATAGAGAAATTATTCCTGAAACACCGCCGCTATGCGCCAACCACCTGAAATACATGTCGTGACTCATATCCCTCTACGGGAGTAACATCTACTTTTTCATCAACGGGTATCATGTGGTGTTGTAGATCCCAGCCGGCCCGGCGGCAGAGCTCTGATACAACCACGTCGCAATCACCCAAAAGATCAATATCGAAACCAGTGTGCGACACAGGCTATATGGAGATATTAGTTGGGCTCAGTTTGAGGGAGATTTCACCAGTACAACTGACCGTGCGTGATATGTAGATCTGTGGGATATCGCGCGGCAGGATCCCCGGCACTTCTGCTACGGGGGCCACCTTGAGCGAAGTTCCAATGACGATCACCAAGTCAACTAGCTCCCTATCATGATGAACAAGGCGTTGACCAAACTCATCAGGAAGATCTTCCCCAAAGAATGTGATATCAGGCTGCAAAGGTAAGCAAATTAGCATTGTGTGTATTCGGAAAGAAAAAGAGATCGACCAGCCTTCATGATACCAGGAGTCGGAATTTCATAGTCTTCTTCATCCGAACTATCTTCGAATTCCTTCCGGTCTTTCTGACACCCGTTGGAACTTCGCTTTCGCTTAAGTCCTTGCGGTTTCAATGCATCTGCTTCAATGATTTGTCGACAAACGCTGCATTCAGGAACATTCCCCGCCTTAATCTCGCCAAAGATCGCATCACCTGAGACCTTGTGTTCGCATTTAACACAAGTCGCAGTTGCAAAGGACCCGTGACATTGCACAATATTCTCAGCTAGAACTCCCGCATTGGCCTCAATGTTGTCGATATTCTGGGTATAGTTGGTCAACAACTTGCCCTTGTCCTGAAGCAGCTTTATGAACCCATGCGTCGGTGAATATTTCTTTTCGGTAGGGAGGATGTCCTTCGCAATGGAGAAAAAGATGCTGGGATCTTCCCTAAAGACGTGAATATCAAAGACCTCCTGCGGATCGCTGAGACCAAGGTGCTCCAATTTTGAGTAAAGACCGGTGTCTTTTGAACGAAAGTCGGGGATTCCAAGACTCGTCGAGATCTAGTCGGTAGGAAGGAGAGACATCAGCTTCTTGACCCAAGACAAGTATCGGAGAAGTGTACTTACGCCCGCGCCGGTCAACACGATAATGTTTTTCGACTCCCGCAGAAGGCGCACGGCATCATCAATAGTGTTATAATGGGGGAGCTTTCGTCGACGAGAGAACTCTCGCGAAATAGCAATCGCGAGAAGAGGGTGAAAGGACTCGTCGGGTGAGCCTTCAAGGAACGCCGGAGGTACGATGCCGAATGCAGTGCATAGCTTCTTCGCTGTCACGGTCTCGCGCACGATGGTCTCTTCCACAAAAGCAGCTTTACCGATCGCATGGAGCCGGTTTCGAAAAGCGACGGCTTCTTCGAGAGTACAGGCACCGGGAACTATAGGAAAATACAAATTGTGAGCTTGAGTTTAGGGTGGATTCCAATAGCGGGGATGCCCGGGGCAAGGGAAGAAGATGATATCAGGGACACGTACCAAGCCCATCGCGTAACTGGTCGTCGCGCAGCATCTGGATTGTATCATCGCCAGACATAGCATCCCAGCCATCTGAATCATCGCTGTCGGTTTCATATACGGAGGATGCCTCCTCCAACGCGACCGACTCCGCGTTGACCGGCTCCGCGACATCGACAGCCTCCACCCCGACCACAGGAACCTTCACCGGGGTCTCCCCGCTAGGCGCTGGTACAAAGTCCATCCTGCAGGAGTTTAGGCAGCCTCAACGTCTCGTTCGCGCAGTGAGCCTCGACAAAAAATCGGCATATGCAACCGGAGGCGAATTTATCCGGCGCCGAGGTAAGTGGCGAGGGACAACCGTGGATGGGCGAATTGGCGGGATAGGTGGATTGGATTGGGGAAATGAAAAGGGCTTTGGCCTACTGGGAGTGATGAATGCTCTAATATAGAGATAGATGTACTACTATGAGTCGTTTAGAGGATATCGACAAAGGATGACAAACGTGACAAAGACGGGCGGGAAATAAGAGGGGTAAGAAAAAAAAAAAGAACATGTACATAGTTTAGATGTATAGTAAGATGTCGTGACTTTTTAAGTGATCTTCAATCAATCGGCCATTTCGTGGTCATCGTCGGAGTCTGCCTCAATCTCAGCCCCATCCCATTCGCCCTCACCTTCTGCCTCACTATCATCATCCATATCTTCACCAATCTCCTGGATCATTCCCTGGACCAGTTCCAGGGCGTGATCACGGAGTCGCTCATCCTCATATTCTAATTTTTCATAAAGCTTCAAGCTCTGCTTGAGCCATTCCCGACTGGCCACCAATGATGCCTGTCGCGGAGATTCGGAGGGGTCTTCCTCTGTCACATCCTTTGGTGCCTGTTGCTTCTCCGCTAGCAGATAGAGACACCAGCCTCCGAGGTACCATGCCTCCACACTCTGGTCATCCTCGAGGATCAATCGCTCAAGCACTTCCAGGGCCTCGAATTCCAAAGAGACCTCCATCAGAAGTCGTGCAAGACTGATGCGCACCGCAAAATCGGGAATAGTGAGATCCTCTGGAGGCAGATCTTTCCAAATACCGATACTCTTCCGGAGCGCTGCTTGGGCGTCCTCGGTTCGCAGCTGTGAAATACGGATAGATGCGAGAGTCTGCAAGACCTCCGGGGCCTCTGGCGTCACCGTGATAGCTTCTGTGATAAGGGCATCGCACCGGGCCTCTGCATCTTCTTCCCATCTAAAGATAAAGAAAAGAAAATGTAAGTAAAGGGAAAGTATAGATCGAAACAGATGGAACTCACGAAAGATCGGTCATGTAGATCTCGGCAACAGCACAGAGTGCATTTGACAGCTTGGTCTTTTTCTCTTTGATATTCTCGACATCTTCTTTACTGGTTTTTCCTTCCAAGGACTGCAGGACTTGGCGTAGGGAGGAAACGCCCTTTTCAAACCATTGGACGCTCTCTGCACCGCCTTGCTCACTCAATTGAGCAAGCCATAGGAATTTCTCAGAGCCTCCACCCTCAGACTCGGAAATCGAACCATTGGGATCCAGCTCCACGGCGCGAGTGAAACATTCCCTCGCAGTATCGATATCACCCAGCTCAACGTTGATTTCTCCCAGCAGGTTCACTGCTGGTAGCTGTGCAGGTCCATTGTCGCCCGCTAGATCGAGCGCTTGTTGCGCAGTTGGCAAGGCCTCGTCGGCACGACCTGTTTGCAACAGAATCGTGGCTTGGTCGAGTAATGTGGAAGGATCTTGGGCCATGCTGTGTTTCGAGACGGAGCCGCCAGGGCCGAGGACGGATTTTTGAGAGGATTTTGAGGACTTCTTTGATTTATTCTTTTGTGGTCTGGGTCTACCCATGGCAATTTATCCCAATGAATGTAAAAAAAAAGGTGTAGATGGTCGTGGTTAATGTAAAGGCAGTGGAACGCGGGGGACTTTGAATTAAAAAAAGTTGAAGCTCCAAGAATTGGCTGTTTGACTGGTTTGCATGTGGGACCGCAAGGCCCAATCGATTGATATCGCCCGCACTGGATTTGCGACGGTGATGCGATAACCTCAAAAGAATTATAATTCAACAGCTCTGTCCCGCCAGTTATTCTTCGGAGATAACTACGACCCCTTGTCTCTGTCTCTCTCTCCGTTCCTTCCGTTCTCCCCGCTTTGAACGCTCTCTTTTTTCCATTTGATCAACTCGTCCCGCCGGTACCCCTCCGATCCGCAGGCGGAACAGACACAATGGGACGTGAAGACCAAACAGAGGAGCGCGAAGTCCTCGATTCAATCTTTCCCGATGAAATCACAGGTAGGTTTGAAATGGTTATCCAGAAAACCTCAACCAAAGAGACGTTATTGACCTGTCACCCCACCTGTCAGATATATCCGACATTTCGTACAGGGTATCGATAAATCTTGACGCTCCCTGGACTGCAGATGAGGAACAGGAGCAGCCTGTAATCATCTTGGAAGTCTCTTACCCGGAGGAATACCCCGATGTCGCGCCAGAACTCAGCATCTCCTCTCCACCCAATGCCCCGAAGCACCCACAACTGGATATCCAAGAAGATCGGGAGCAGCTTCTAGAGTCTCTCCAGCCTACGATCGAAGAAAATATGGGAATGGCAATGGTTTTCACTCTTGTGAGCGCCTTGAAGGAAAATGCCGAGGACTTGATGACGGAGCGTGCGAATGCAGCGCAGGCCGAGATGGACAAGGTGGCCGCGAAGGCGGAGGAGGAAGAGAACAAGAAGTTCCAGGGTACACCTGTCAACCGAGAGACTTTCTTGGAGTGGCATGCAAAGTTCCAAAAGGAGATAGAGGAGGAGGAGCTGCGGCAAAAAGAGGAGAAGGAAGCAGAGGACAAGAAGAAGAGGTCCAACAAGGACGACAAGAAGCTAACTGGTCGGGAATTGTGGGAGCGTGGATTGGCAGGCAAGGGCGATTATGAGGAGGAAGGTGACGATGCTCTACCAGCTGTTGAGAAGCTTAAGGTCACAGCATGAGTTGCTGTATAGTTAGTCAGTCATGTTTAGCCGGGTTGCCAGACCCCTATGAAAATACTACCTCTGGTTTCAATGCTCGCCGACACTCATTTCCCTGTTATGGTTTTATATTTGATGGATTATGTTAAGTCTGGATAGATTTCGCATCAAAGCATGGGGTATCATTTGTAAATGGACGCAATTTAGTATCGATCAAACCATTTCTCTTTCAAGAGCCAAAGAGGCATTTGTATGATTCAATCTTGACCTGCAAGAGAATCTGCCTCTGCACGTCTCTGCTTTTCTTCTTCCTCTGCCAATACTCGCTCCTTGAGCACAATATTCCACATCTTTTGGGCCAGTTCCGCAGCGGCTTCATCCGATTCCCGAATCTGGTCATTCACTTCAGTGAGAGCTAGTTGGTAATGCCGCGACCAAGCAGACGGCTCCTGAACACCCGTCAACACGTCCCAAGCATCCTCATCCTTTGCGAAAAGAAGTTCGACTGTCAATCTGTCTCGGCGCAGGATGCGCTTCCACCGTCTTTCCAATTTATGCCGTATGACACCACTCAAATTTTTCGGCTGCGGCTTTTTTATGCGCAAGAACGGCAGTCCCCGTGCATTGACCAAGACTGGTACTTTGCGTATTCCTTTGACAACCAGGCGTGGACGGTTCAAGATCGAAGGTGTATTTGGATGGCGAACTCGGGTCTTTTCCTCGAAACGCTTCGTTTCCAGTGTCCGTAAAGCTCTGGCAGACGGGGGCTTCGGTGCCTTCTCATCCCTAAGTCGTTTTTGTTGAGCCACCAATTTTGCTTTCGCTTGTCTAGCCTGTTCAAGGATGGTGCTGAGTTTGTTGGCATCTTGGTCGTTGCCATTGGAAGCGGAGCCTAGCAGGTCGAGTGTCTGTCTCCGGTAATCTCATTAGTATCCTTGAAGGTCGATGGTAGGCGCAAGGAAAGAGGCGCGTGTTACCTGATAGCCGGCTTTGAGAGAGTTTGCTATTTGAGTAGGACTATCCAGTCTTCTGTATTTCCGAAATCTTTGCTTGACGAGAGCTCTTGTCTCGCCGCGCCACGGCGGGCTACCGGCCGAGGGAGAACATTGTCGCAGGAGAGCTCGATAAAGAGATAAACCTAAGTTCCGAAGGATGGTCAATATCATACCAGTGCTAACGCAAAGAGACAATAACTTACAAGCAAAGCGATGTACCCCAGAGAACTTAGGAATTAGCATACTGTGATAGCTAGGGCATGCGACGAGATGGCGGAAGTTCTCCGCAGGAGAGAAAACACGGGCCCACGTGATCTGGCTTCTACATACGCGCCTGTGGTTTGTAACATTTTCAGACGAATGCTGTAGATGGGTCTGGGATAGTTTCGAATGAGAATTGGAGATGCAATTATTTTTCGGAATCCGGAATCGGCCATTACATGGGAGCTACCAGAGCCGACAAGTTGTATTTGAACAAAATGACCAAAGGCAATACGTCATCTCATGGGAAATTTATGAATAGTATAATAAATTGGGCTGCGGAAGGAAGCACGCCGATGCTATCATGCAGAGAGACTGTACACGCTCTAGGAGAATCATCAGAGGAAAGAGTAGAAGCAAAGAAAGAGGACGGTCGTAATGCTTTGGATTTCTGGGCCCTATGGATGAGACGTGGGCGTTTAGAAAGTCGAGCCCTCGGCGGGTTGCGGCAGCTTCTTATGCTGAGGCAACGCCATGTATCTATGAATAATGAGTTAGCTCTTGGAACCCATTTTTGGAGAAGGGAAATCTCACCTTCGGAGCTCGATCAGAACTGTCTCCATAGTAAATTCCCGCTTCCACTGAGCCAGGCAAGGAAGCTTAGTAGGATCCACCTAGTTATTTCAATCACTCTCAGTTGTCACTCTTTGACGTTGTGGCGGATGATCGAGTCCTTACCTTGCCAGAGCTCTGGTCGACGCAGGGGATGTTGACTTTCGAGGTAAACTGGATGGTAGGAGGGTTATCGGGATAGTCGGGACCGCAATGAATGTTGACACTGTATATCCGGTTCTCATGAACGCTCTAATAGAAACCTCGAAATAAGCATGTATCCAAGATCCAAGATCCAGGATCAATTCGAAATAGTGTATACGAACGTGAGGGGGTCCAAGAATAGTGCCGTTCCAGTTGCTCATCATCATATCTTCGCCATTAGCGAGACCATACGAGCATGCCTCTGCAATTGAGAGAAAGTCATTGGTCAGTTGCGTGGTCCAGTGTTATCGAGGTATGATGGATCCTACCTGCCCCCAGGCCCTTTTCGCCCTTCTCCAACTCTTCCAGTAGGCGGAAATTGCGCGGAATCTTAGCGGCACACATAGTGTATAGTAGTAATCAAGAGATCAACAAATATCCAGAAGCGATAGGACTCCGAAGTCAAGAAGCCGGGAAGAGGGCAGGAGGGGCAACCATCCACTTTCTGCCGCTGCCGCCTGCCCCGGCCGCCCAGGACAATCACGTGCGATATGGTCTTATCGAATGTCTTGGCATTTGGACTGGAGATGCCACGCCGGGGGATTGTTGACTGCTCCGCAATTTCACTGCACAAGCCTCAACAATACTGAGTATCGTGTTATCTAACGTCCCATCTCTATAACGGACGACTCGAGAAGCTCTGGGAATCTCAATACGCGTTGATACGTGCCAAAACACTCCGGTACTGCGGACACTGGGACCTCCGACCATTGGTATACGGGCGTTGGCCATGCGTTGATGGGACCATTCTTCATTGGAAATGTCCTCCCAATTCCTGCAGGCCGAACTTGCCAACCTTCTTCAAGAATCCAGACGGAAAAACGCCGATCTACGCAATGTTGGCCGACCCCTTGACCGCCATATTTCCCCTGTGGTCACTAATAGTCGATATAGGCAGCAGAGCAATCACTCAATGAGCTGAAGGCGCTACCATCAACTTCCGAAGCGCAAATATCAGCAGGTATGTGTCGGCTCGCTAGAAGTTGGAAATTAAATATGGCAATGGCTGATATGTACTGTAGATCTTGTCCGCAAACCCACATTCGTGGAACCATTTATTATCGCATGCCATACTCGACATGCGAAACTTGCGGGTATCGGTGTAATTTGCCTGCAAAGGCTGATCGCATCCAAATCGCTGCCATCTCATCGCCTGAAGGATGTTCTTGCTGGCCTAAAAGAGACCACGAGCCTGAGTATGTTCTGAAGCTTGATTATGGGTTCTTGTACAGAATACTAATATTTTGCAGGTCTTGATATCCAACTCAAGATCTTGCAATCCCTACCGTCACTTTTGCAATACTATTCGAATGATCTCAGCGGCGAATTACTTGCAAGCACATTAGAAATATGTGCGACTTTGCAGGCAAGCAAGACGATTGCAGTCAGTAGCACAGCGGCTGCTACCCTCCAGCAACTCGTTGTTTCTACATTTGAACGAGTATCGAGCGAAGACAGTAAGTTATACTATTGTTGAAAAGCCCCCTAATTGGAGAGTATCGCTAATGCTTCATGTAGGGCTTCCAGATGATGCCAAAACAACAACACATGTTAACGTAGATGGCCAGTCTGTTGGCGTGGCACAATTTGCATATGATGCTTTACTGGTACTGTGAAAGATCTTTACCCTGAATATGCGCGGTGCTAACAATTATTCGCAGGTTTTGGATGATCTCTGCCGGATTATTGATGGCGAACAATTGCAATTTTTACGCACCAAGACATTGTCTTCAGCATTTGTCTTGGAGCTAATAGAAAGTATCTTTCTGAATAGCGGCCGGCTGTTTGTGAGCCACCCCGAGTTGTCACAGGTTCTTCGAGTGCGCCTCATGCCATTGACTGTACGATATTTGTCTGAACGGCATTCGTTTTCTGAAACAGTCCGAGTGGCTAGAATTCTTCTTGTTCTTCTGAAGCGGCACATGTCTCTCCTACCCGCCGAGTGTGAAATGGCATTTGGTCTTCTCACTCATTTATTGGAACCGGACGGAACAGCACCCTGGAAGCGAGTGCTATGTATGGAAGTGTTTCGAGGACTTTACTCTGAGCCTGGAGTTGTCCGGCAGATATATTCCCTCTATGATGGAGAAGAGGGCAGGAAGAATGTGCTGCGGGACCATATGGCTTCTCTTGTAAAGCTCGCCTCGGAAAAGCCTTCATTGATTGGAGTCAGCAATCAATCGACAATACCGCTCAGAGCAGATCACTCTCGGTCTGCTACAGATGATCAAATCGCACTCGAGACTGGCGGAGTCACAGGCGTCATTGGATCATCAGTCCCTCAAACCGAGACCAAGGTGCCAGGTATCAGCACTCAGTGGAGTCTTGTTCGAACACCCTACATTGAGCTTCTCGACAAGTCAGATCCGCCATTCCCTCCAGAAACTTACATCTACAGTCTTGTTCTCAGTTGCATTAGCAGCTTCGCCGAGGGACTCGCGAAATTCATTCTACCGCTCACGGTTCCAGACTTGAAGCAGAAGCGCAAGAATAGGTTGGCAAACCAGGAACAAGGCCCCGATTCAGCTAGATCTTCGCAGGACCTTCAAGCTCATGAATTGGGGAGATTACAAACCTCATCGCCATTGAAAAAGTCCGCAGCTCCCATCAACCCTTTGGATCTGCAGTCCCACGTTCAGTACTCTTCAATCCGAACTTGTGCCGACATTGTTGAGAATTGCTGGCCCGCGGTTCTTGCGACGTGCTCAACCTTTCTTCGAGCATCTTTGGATGATGAGTTCTACCACAATCTTGTACGGGCATTCCAGAAACTGGCCCACGTGGCAGGTCTTTTGCGGTTGTCTGTCCCCCGTGATGCATTCCTTACAACATTAGGTAAGGCTGCAATGCCTTCAAGCACAGGTGGATCAAAAGCGCAAACCCTTGGCATTCCCGGTGTAAGTGCTTCTCAAACCCCTGATACGTCTAGGAATCAACGCAAAAGTTCGGATATGCCTCGAATCAATCCTCTGCCTTCCGACCCCTCGGTCGGTGCAGCAGCAGCACAGAGCTTTCCGGTATCTTTAAGCACAAGAAATCTTCTATGCCTACGAGCTCTGTTAAACCTTGGAATCGCACTGGGCCCAACATTAGATCAGCAGGCCTGGTCTATTCTTCTTGAAACACTGCAATATACTGGCTTGGTGATTGGTGCATCTTCTAGTACAATGGTCAAATCGACGACTAGCGGGCCAGGAGAAACAACAGCCGTCTCTGGCAATGATATTCCAACTGCAAACCTCGGAACCGAAGTCATTGCAGTGCAAGCAGCCTCGGCTAAGCTATTTGAAAGCACCGGCGATTACCCTGGTGCCTCATTCCGAGAGATATTACTCGCATTGCTCAATCTCTCCACATTCACCGAGCAAGAATCTCAAAAAGAATCTGCTCAGGAAGTATCGGAAACCCCAAAGTCGCCACAATCGTCACGACGCCCTGGGGCCCTTAATCAAAACGCCCGACGAGTGTCACACACTGTGAGCAAGTCGAGGATGCAAGATGAAGAGCTTAAGTTTGTGTTGGAAAAGGGAAATGATCTGGCTAGATCGAACCTTGAAAGGCTCTCTTCCCTCAACGAGGAAGACAATATCGCGTGGCAGCTTCTGACCGAAAGTCTTATCTCTACGTCTACAAATGTTGCCGTCAACCCCAGCCTTCGTCTGCAGGCTAGTGGTATATTGAATTCTTTGGTCTTCTTGACAATGAAACCGGGAGACGTCGACGATGAGAAGGCACGAAACGAGATACAGACCCGAAACCTTCAAACTCTCAAAGACCAGGTCGCTTCGCTATATTCGTCGGACACAGTCTCGTCAAAGTCAATTCCGGTCACTGTGACAGAGATTCACGAGCAATGCTTGGAGATCCTGCAAAATATACTCGAACAATACGCAGAGACATTTGTGGATGGTTGGAGTCTCATTTTTGACTTGATAACTGGTGTTTTCCAAGGGATAGCAAAGGTGGAGAGTGGAGATAAACTAATCAATCCAACCGAGCGTAGGGCGTCAGGTCTTCCTGCTGGACCTCGCTTAGTTCGTGCCGCGTACAAGTCTTTGCATCTTGTGGCTTCGGACTTTCTCTCTCTTTTACCTGCTACATGTCTCTTAAGTCTCGTCAATTCCTTGTCCAGCTTCGCCTCTCAAACACAAGACTTCAATATCTCCCTCACAACAACCTCATTTTTCTGGAACGTCTCCGATTTTCTTCAAGGGCAGATCGAGAAGTTTTGTATCGAGAGCCATGTCGACGCTTCTGTCAGCGAAGAGGAGCTTGGCAAGCTTACTTGTGACAGCGATCCCTCTGTCTCGAGGAACTCCCTTTGGCTTTTGCTACTGCTCCGGATCGTTGACATCACAACAGATCCGAGATCCGAGATTCGAAACAGCGCTATACATACTCTACTCAGAATCTTTGACGCATATGGACAACAGCTCTCGCCGAAGGCATGGCGCTTATGCCTGAACAGGGTTCTTTTCCTGATGGTCGAGGGGATCGAATCCAAATTACTTCAGCCGAAAACAAAGCACGGCGGCGATGTAGATGATCTCAAGTCGAGGGTCGCGACAACAGTTGTGATGATCAATGGTGTCTCGAATTTGATTACGAGCTTTTTTGATACCATCGTCAGTGATGAAGAGTTCGACCAGTCTTGGAAGCGCCTTTTGAAATACCTCCAAGCTCTGATTGACATGCGCATTCTGGAATTCAGCGATGCCACCTTTGTCAGCCTTTCGTCTATTCTCGTTCGCGTACAACCATCGACTGGCATCAGCAAGGAAGCGCTTCAATGTGCATGGGACCTTTGGGCCAATGGTCACCCTGCTGCAGATGAAACCGCCATCGACCTCGATAAGCCCAATCAAGACGCAGCGCTGGCTTACATCCAATCCTTTCAGCAGGTTTACCGACTGTACAAAGACAGCCTGACTACAGAACAGATCAAAAAGGTTCTCCAGCATTTGCGTTTCCTGGTATGGAACTCTGTATCCCCGCCTTACTCGCCAGATCTCGATCGTCCTTCTGCCGTCCAGGACTTGGTCATCAATTGCCTCAAAAAGCTTTGCTTGGAGAAGGAAGAGTCGCAGGCAGCTATTTTGCTGAGTCTTGCCGATCTATCTGACTCGGTATTGGCAAAGTGGTCTCTTGGCGATGATTCACGAAAGCCGACGTTCGTGGCTTTCTCTAAAAGTATCATCGATATGGTTGGCTGGTATATCGCAGATTTCGGTATCAAGCGGGATGTCTTCACAAACGGTGCCTTAGCAACCTCGCTCGAGCATCTCAGTGCGTTAATCACGCAGAAGTACAAATGGCAGGGCAAAGATCGCGAACCTTTCCTTTGGCAGAAAGCCGTTACGACTGCATTGAACGTCCTTGAAGCCGCCGTTCCGTACATCGAAAAACAATACCCCGGAGCGGATGAAAAGGACATCACAAACTTCTGGCAATGCGTTGTGGACATCACTCACGGTATTGTCTCTGCTCGAGGTTTCCAGACCCAGCAGTTACCAAACGCACGTATCCTGGCCGACGAGGCTTTCGACATCGCAGCCCTCACACGTCTCAAGACATTGGTACTTCCTTCGCTAGGAGCATCTGTCATCCCAGAGGCCGTGCGTCGTGACTTCGCCTGCGCCCTCTTCCACTCCTCATTCATATATCCACCGCAGCGTTTCGATCTTCCCAGTTGCCCCATCGAACAAGAGCCTCTCAAGGAATTCTACAAGCTTCGCAATGGTCGCACTTTTGACCCGCCCCCAACCCTTCGTCCAAGGATAGCATATGTCCTCATGGATACATTCTTTGAGCTTGCGACGAGCCCCGACTCCAAAGACACCTCTGCCGCACCCAGCCCGCAAACCTTGCTGGCACAATCCATCTCCCCCTATCTTCTTCTCCGATGCGCCATCGCGATCAAATGCTATATCGCCGACCAGCCTCTCCGCGGCTTGATGCCACAACCGACCCCGGCCCGCAGGGAATTACTTCATTTACTAGTCCACGCGGTCCAGCTTCGGAGCGAGCCCTCGGCCATTCCAGATCCGCCGTCCATCAAGACGGTGACGGTGACGGCGGGAGCGAATGGAGATTCATCCCTTCATCATCGCAAACATCTTGAATGGCTATATCCGTTGGTTGCTAAAGCCATCCAGGTTGCAGGCAAGGAACGTGATGATGGGCAGGTACTTGAAGCGCTTGGAAAGGTATTGCACGAGATTGGACGTTTCGAATAGAGGTGATAATATCGAGAACTCTCCAACGGGGAGACCCAGTTTCCAAGGTTGCTAGAAGACACACCGATATACCTGGCGACAATACATAAACACCCTCCTTTACCGTATTAATCGCAGTCTTTTTTTTGCTGGGATAGAGCTGTGTAGTAGGGTGATAAAATTTGAGGTGTTTATCGAGAATTTCAATTTTATTCAGAAAACCGGTTTATTGATCTTATTGAAATGTGTAGACAGTAGAACGAAAACGGTGGGCTACAGAGTGATATCGTGACATGACCGTGACAAGAAGAAAAGGATGGTACAGGCACATGAGGAGGGTAAACAAAGTTGAAGAAGGGGGAGCTTTGCGTGTGCCTAAGAGGAGTGATGTGGGTATAGATAGGGAGTGAGAGGGTTAGATCATCACTCGAGGAGCTAGCATAGCGATTATGCCGCAGGTGTCGAAACGGGCTGCTGTGCCTGTTCCGCTGGTTGGACTGGCTGGACTGGCTGGACCGGCTGAACCGACCGTGTCACCTCACGACCAGGGCCGGCGGTAGCAGATCCTGGGGGCAGAACCTGCTGCTGTTGCTGGAGGAGAACTTGCTGTTGGATTTGCTGCTGCTGGGCGATCTGGGGAGTGGCGGCAATCTCGGGCGCTTGACGGAAGAGGGCAATCTCAGACTGCTTAAAGTAACGACGAGCATCTGCAATGACGAAGTGTATTTGTTAGTGACACTATAGCTAGAACATTTGCAAGGCGAATACAGCGACTCAATGCGCTGGTGAATTGGTGGAGGCGTGGGATGCCAAGACCAGGCTAGCGTGGGGGTCGGTAGGCCACGGCACGGAAACTGGGATTTCGGCCGTGGGATATGCAAGCCGGGCCGACCGACTCGTACCAATTGCCGACGGTTTTTGATAAGATATCATTGGCACTTGCTTGCTCCACACCGTCATTGGGTGCATCATAGCTAAACGCTATGAATTGGGTGGGACAGATATATCGACACAGCAACGTACCTTCATCAATCAGCACCAGGCTGAGATAGTATCGTGTCGAGTACTTCTTGTTGACATCGCGGAAGGTTGGCGTCAGGTCAAAGCCACCGAGGAACAGACGGATTGGGATGGTTTCACCTGTGGCAAGTTAGCATCTTGAGGTCTGGACGATGCTTTTCCATGACGAATCGATCTCCATTCACGGTCGCAATTGATAAGTCTGGTGGGAGGGGGTGTTGCAAGAACTGACCGCGAGAAGGTGAGCCATCCATTATCTAGCCATCATGTTAGCATTGTTCACACGAGCACATGAGCACATGCCAGCCTCAATTCAATGGAGGGGCATGTTGATCCCGACACATACCTCGAATCGCACCAGTGTCTCACTCTCATTGTACTGATTGGGGGGGAGATCCGGTGGTTTCCCGTCGAATGATGGACAATTCCATATGTTTAATCTTCAGTCGCACGAGCAGGAAATAGATCCGACCGACAATCACGTCCTTAAGGTGATACTTGGATTTGGAGTACTCGAACTCAATATGCAGGCAGTCTTCAATTCCGACGTCCATCTTGATAGGGCTGTTGGTCTCGGGGGGCATGCGGTACGAATACACCCAGAGGTCCTTTTCGCGGATGACGTCGGCCATGCGCCGCGAGACCGTCACGCGCACGAAATAGCGCAGTTTCACATTGATGCCATTATAGGATTCGTATTGCTTCTCGACGTTCTTGAAGTTGAATGGGAAGGTTTGAGGGTGCAGCAGCTCCCCGGGTGCGGCGAGTTCTTGGACAAGTGACAGGAATTCGTAGTGGTTGCCTCGATCGTAAAACATTTCTATCGCCCCAGGTAGTTAGTGTCGTCCTCCCCCTCCCTGAGTCGGAGACAGTCGACGAAAATCACGTACCAATAGTTCCAATGAATTGCACTTTGATTCCAGTGTGTTCCAATCGCTTTCCGTCCTTTGGCCGGATCGTCACCGCACCCTTTACGGACTCTCCGTCCATGTACAAGGGGACCCGCTCACGGCGGGCCTTATCGAGCTTGACATCGACAGTCTGGCGATCATCGAGGTCGTCCAGGACGACGTCGATGTCGACAGGGGTAGAAAAGAATAGCGAAGCCATATTGTGTGACAGTCGTAGTCAAAGATGGAGGTCTGGCAGCTTAGCTCGGGGATCCAGAACGTGGCCTCGCTGCTTAGTCATACCCCGCAAGGCAGCTGTCAACACACTCCAACTTGAACATAAATTCAAGTGACTCCAGAATTGGTGTTGAATGGTGTGTTATATCGATTTTTGGAACCTAGCTGGTTCCTCTATGATGGATTGCAGTAAAAAAAAAATTAGATTACGGGCTGGGGAAGTGCGGTTCCCGGATATATATCACTGAGCTGTTTATAGTGCCTTTGGTACTAGATATTAGTAGGTCAACTCTAGCGCTTCCAACTTGAAGGTTCTGGGAAGAACTTGAAGTTGAACTTCAAGTTGAAGACGACTTGGAGTAGCGGACTCGAGGTAGCCCTGGAGGTACCTAGGTAGTAGGTAGTAGTAGTAGCAGTACCCATTGGGATCCTACCTGGACAGGGCAGTGTTTTGCTGCATACCTACCTATAGGATACCTAGGTATTTATCAATTTGTTCCAAACCTTGAAAAATGTTGGCTTTCCGCTTCCCTGGCCTGGTTTAAAGAAGATCCAGTTACATTTACCTACTAGTAGGTGGTTTGAGTCCACGGGCACCCAATGTACAGTACCACTAAGTTCGTATCGGGTTTTGATTTCCGACATGGTTGTTCTTATAGGCAACGAGCAGCCCAGCCAGGATCTGAGCACTCTCGCAACCATTCATGATCAACCCCGCACTGTTTCCCCAGATTCGAAAGTTTGTAATGTAACGTGGATCGGTGAGGGGGCTCCAAGCGATGTACAAAGTACTGTACTTTGGCGGAAAAGCCCTCATGCGTGCTGCCAGTGGCTACCAAGTTGAAGCTCGAGTCGGTGTGATTCGGCTGCAGATATCCCTGCTCACTAGTACAAGAACTTTCTGACTCACCTTATTCTCCAGGCAGAGCCCTGAGATGCCTCACTTTGGGCTGTTGTTGCCTTACGGAAGCCAGGGATATCAGCACACGTGGAGCGAGTCAGCCCTTGTTTACACCGTATATGCACGGTATTTTGGATTAGAATGGAGTTTGATGTGACCTATTGGACCTGAAACCAGATCTTGCAGATAGATAGATCAAGTGTAGGATATCCCACGGGAGAGATCAACTTTCGGGGAATATTTCCCTAGAGGTAGATTCAAATGGAAAGATACGAAACGGGCCGAGTTTGGCGGTGACGGAGACGGAGACGGGGAAAAAAACCAAAAAAGGACCACAAAAGATAGCGTGGGGGTTATTTACCGTACGGAGCCTGTATGGTGATGTCATCCGAAACCGGATCCAGGATGAAAAGACAGATATTAGGAGATGGAAGACAGATTGAAATAGGGAGAGTGTGTTAAATAGTAGTAGATATATACAGTAAATATACCTAAGTATACTTATATCCTCAATTCGAATTCAAATTTATTCAAATCCCCTTCCAAGTTCAAGTTCATGACGATCTCCCCGACTCCCGACAGGCTGGAGACTCATCCCACTCTCCCTCCACTCGGGTAATGACCAGCCGCCAATAAACATTCTCCCCCACTCGGCTTCTGCTTCTTTCTTCTCCCCCCCCGACCCACCCTCATACTTAAAAAGTGATTGCCTCTCCGGTCCTGCTCGCGCGACTTCTTTTTCTCGTTTTTGTTTCTTTCCTCCTCAGCTTTTCTTCAATACCTCTTGATATACTCTATACTTTTTTCTATACTACATAGACCGCCGACTCCAACTCCAACTCCGATCCCGACCAACCTTCTGCCTTCGTGTATCACTGCGGTCTCATACCGTCATCCACTCAGCCCCGGCTAATTTCCTTGGAACTGCCCCCAGAACAGTTCTTCTCTCCTCTCCTTCTTCCTCACCACCATGCTTTCCGCCGGAGAGCGACCCCAACCACCGGTTACGCCCGCCGTAATTTCTGCTCCCATGCCCATCAAACCCAACACTGGATCTTCCGCCATGCCTTCCGCCCTCAACTCCCAGAATTCGCGGAACTCGACACCCACCCAACACATTTGGGTCGTTACCGGGCCCGCGGGCTGCGGTAAAAGCACAGTCGGCCAGGCACTGCGCAAAGACCTGGGTCTGTCCTTCTTGGAAGGCGACGATGTATGGAAACCCTGCGCGACCCTTGATTTACCCTATGATTGAGAAGAGAGAAAAAACAAGCAACGGCTAACACAGATCGCGCAATAGTATCACCCCAAATCCAACAAAGACAAAATGGGCAACGGCATTCCTCTCACCGATGCAGACCGCTGGGACTGGCTTATCTCTTTGCGCCAGGCTGCCATCGATGTTCTCTCCCCCTCCGAATCCAATAACTTCAACCCTCCCGCCGGTGTCGTCGTTGCCTGCTCTGCCCTCAAGAAGAAATACCGCGACGTCATGCGCGTTGCTGCCTATGGGTCACCCTCTGTCCAGATCCACTTTGTTTACCTGAAGCTGAGCGAGGAGGTCCTCATGCAGAGGACCACTCAGCGACAGGGCCACTATATGAAGAGTGATATGGTTCGCTCGCAGTTGCAGGCTCTGGAGGAGCCCAAGGGCGAATGGGATGCCATCACTATCAACGTGGAGGGCTCGCAGCAGCAGGTAGAGGACAACGTGCTCAAGTCAGTCCATGCGAAACTCTCCGAGCTCAAGTGAGAGCTTCACCCACCTCGTTGTATACAGTATAGCGATGTGAGCTTGCATCGGAGGTTTGCACTTCCTCCGCGTGGTGTCATGGGAGTTTTTTTCTTTTACAATATGGATATTTGGAACGACCGGCTTGCCTAGGATCGAAACCTAGAGGGCAAGCAAGTGTCTCCATCTGGCGTTGTTTGATTACCGTTCGATCGCATTTACTTTGACCTTTTGGTTTTCGCTTGTACTTCTGCTTGTTTTTGGCGCACTTGTATGAGCCTGCAAGGCTCGTTTTTTGATACCCCCCCAATGTCTCGGGGCGAAATCGCATACATACACTTTTTGTATATGACCAATTGAATCCCATCAAATGGAACCTACTTTGATCGGACAAGAGGAATCCCAAATAAAAAAAGGGACAGAAACTCATCTTATCAAGAAAGATCCTCTAAGTCTTATTTTATGCTTAATGCTTATGCACTGCTATCTATTTCATCTCAAGGTCAGAAGCATCAACTCTGGCGCTTCAATGAAGTTCCGCACCCGATTTCCCATACGCGCCATCGTCGCTCCATCAATGACCCGGTGATCCGCGCTCCAGCTGAAATTAACCTGCTCTCCACGAGCGACCTGGCCTTGCTCATCAAAGACGGGTACGGTCCTTGTACGTCCAACGCCAAGGATAGCAACCTCCGTCGGCACGATGACAGGAGCCACATAAGTGCCGCCGATATTCCCGATATTGGAGACGGTGATGGTTCCACCGTTTAGATCGGTGGGGGTCAATTTGCCTTCTTTGCCCAGGGCACTGAGGCGTGCGATTTCAGCCGCAATGTCGTAGATTGATCGGTTCGCCACGTCTTTGATGTTGGGGACAATGAGACCGTTCGGCGTGTCCATTGCGATGCCAATGTTGTGTTTGGCGCGCATGACTAGTTTGGGCTTTGCGGGGTCGGTGGTATCAACACGGGCGTTGAGGATGGGGAACTCGTTCAGAGCAAGTGAGACGGCCTTGACAATGAAAGGGAGGAAGGTGATCTTCTTGGGATCTTTGGCATCGCTTGCGAGCTTCTTTCTGATTGATGTGATGTCTCCCACGTCAATCTCGTCGGCGTAGAGGAGGTGTGGCGTGTTGAGGGATTTGGTCATGGTTTTGAACATGGCCGATTGGATTGGAGTCAGTCGGACACTGGACTCAGTTTGACGTGTGTCTAGTGTTGTAGATGAGGTGGTGGGAGTGGATGTCAATGAAGACCCAGAAGGAGATTCTTTAGCTTCCACGAATCTAAGAACATCTTCTTTGAGAACGCGCCCTTCCTTGCCTGTTCCAGTGATATCAAGGATGCTAACGCCGTGCGTCTTTAAGAGACCCCGCACAGCGGGTGTTGCAAGGGATGCATGCTTTGACTTAGGCGGCACTGGTATATCCGCAGGATCTTCAAGGGTAACTTCCGGAGTCATAATTGCAGGCTCGGATGATTCTGCTAGTATTCCGGATTGGGCAATGGCCTCGGTCGGTTCTGGGTCTGCTTTTAGCTCAGAGGGTGGGGGATGATCGTCAGGGTATTTTGCGTCGTCGACCTCGATATCGCAGAGCGCCTGATATGCACAGCCCAGTTAGCCATATAAACTCATTTGTATGGAAGGATTGTATCTTTTTACCATTCCTGTAGGTATGGTGTCGTCGGCCTCGTAATGAAGCTTCTTAATGACACCTCCATATCTCGACGTAATCTACGAGATTGTGAGTTATTCCACGGATCTCAAAGAACCACGCAGCTGTCTTAAGGAACTCACATCATCGACCGCTTTATCTGACTGATATTGGCATAATGGCTTCCACTCCTCAATATGTGCTCCCTCCTCCACATACCATTGAATGATCTGGACCTCGGTGATACCTGAAAGAGGCATTAACAACCAATTCGTCTGATATAGCAAGAGCAGCAGCCCTCTTAATGTGCCTGCTTACCTTCACCAACGTCCTTCAAGATCTGTGACCTGGTTCCCATCAGCATCGAGGCTGCATGGAATCCTCGGTTCAAGACGGGCGGTATGGGGCATGGTGTGCGGAGAAGAGTCTGGGGTCGACAGGGTCTTAAAACCCGGGGGAGGCTAGCCCCACTGCGCAACACGTTCATGGTAGAAACAACTTGAGAGATAAATGAAAGAAGAAGTTGTCAAGAGCACGTCCGAGGGGGTGTTAAAAAGTAACAAGGAACGGTGCAATGCATTTATCTATGGTAGCTCCTCCGCGCCTCCGCCGACGGTAACCGACAGCCACGTGATCTCCCCCGCATGCCATCATTGCGGAGGCGGAGAGTCTATGAATTACTATCCCACATTTCCACATATAGTGGTAGATTGAATCAATATTTCAATAATATGCTTACAAACTAGTCAATGGTCCATTGGCAATGGTCCAACGACTCGTCGAGGTATCGAAGCTTGAACAATTTCATTCCTGCGGCGCCACTTGTTGTTCGACAATACTGAATGTATTGATTGGCTTTCAGCTCCATAGGATGTTGATTTTTGACCATGCGGATTTATGTTCCTCCGGAGGATCAGGATCATTCTCTGCAATCTCCACGAAACGAGCCACTGGTGACTCGTCCAAGGAAACAATTTTGGTTCGATACCATATCTTGTATCCAAAGTAGAGCGCAGCGAATATTCCAATATCAAGATAAGCCGAAATGAAAGTTTCAGTAGACCAACTGCATGAATACTTGTGTCAGTACAGACTTAAAAGGATTATACTGAACGGATAGTCCAGTAAAAACGTCTAGTAAAAACTCACTGTCCATGAATGAAAGTCGTATAACCACCAGTAAGAAGGATTATGATAAGCGCGACCAAAGTTATCCATGCCGCATATGGTTGAAACGGCGCTTTCCAAGGTAGTCTTTGGCGCGAAATACCTTGCTTTTTCATGGCATAATAGAACCGCAGATAAGTGGTGCAAATCACAAGCCACCCCATAATTTGAGCACATGCCACAAGGTCCTGTAGCCAGGTAAACACCATTGCGGCAGTGGCACTAACCGACATGTAGCCGAGCGCCATCCATACCCCGATCGCAAGAACACCCATGTAAGGAACGCCCCAACGGTTGGTACGCGCGAGGAACTTCGGGGCTTGGCCTTCTCGAGCGAGACCGAAGAGAATTCGTGAGCCGCTCAACAAAGCTAAATTGATTAGCGCACGGTATGTAAGTGCGCTTGGTTGAATGACAAACTTGAGTTTCCCGAACTCCAAGCACTGGTCAGAACAATTGCATTAATTATATGAGGAACTACCGGGATGCCGGCTCGATTTGCGGCGATGAGGAATGGCGACTGGGCCGCGGTGCCAGTGCTCCTTAGGAGCATAGGATCGTCGGACGGGATCAAAAGTGTAATCATGAAAATCGAGATGACTTTGCCAAGAAATGAGCTATCAAGTCGCTTGGTATTTCAGTGAAAGCAAAGCTTACCATAAAACAAAAGAACACGGACAAATACTCTTTTGGCCGCCTTTGGGATATTTCTTCGGGGGGCATACGTTTCTGCAGCGGCCATGGAAATAGTCTCCACTGAAGAATAGGCATATGCCGCATTCGAAAAAACAGTCCAAAATCCCATAAAGCGGCCCAATGGACCTGGGACGTCAAGATATTGCACGAATGGTCCGGGGTTGTGCCAATATCTAAAGCCAATCGTTTCGTGGTTCGGACCACCGCCAGCAGTAATAACAATACCCTATATACCACAATGAGCACTGTAATAGTTCACAATAGAGGATCTTCAAATTCATACCATGATATTCATACCGACAATCAAGAATACTTTCAAAAGAGCAAGGTGAAATTCCACCTCGCCGTAGATCTTCACAAGGAACGCGTTAGTAGCGAAGAGAACAGCGCTAAAAACCGTAACCCAAATCGCATTATTGATTGTCACCCAAAACTGCACGATCGTAGCTGCAGCGACGCACTCGGCTGGGATCGAGATTAAGTACTGATATGTGACGTTCCAGCCCTGGGCAAAAGAGAATGCAGGATCCACAAAGTAAGCCGCTGGTCGAATGACGCCACCGCTGAGAGGGACCAGGGCACTTAGCTCTCCGATAGAAAGCGTAACACCTGAAATCAAAAGTCCCATAATAGTGTATCCCATAAATATACCTGCGGGCCCGGCCTGAGCCAGGGCTCTTCCAGAACCCAGGAAAAGACCTGTTCCAATTGTCCCTGCGAGTGCAATCATTTGAATATGACGCTGTTGTAGACCTCGTCTAGTCGAAATTAGTTAGTATAAGGGTCCTGTCAGTCCGAAAGGTTGGAGCAGACCTCAATTCTTTTGTCTCTGCAAGCTCTGGAGCTCCGGCCCCATCTTTGTCATATATCTCCTTCTCGATATCGTAGGGGTTTGCAAATGTCTGGGAGGTAGTGACGATCTCGTCACCCCCCGCGTCTATACCATTCTGCGTCATTATCGGGGAAGTAGCCTTGTGATAATGAGAAAAGAAAATTTAACTTGAAAAGCAAGAGCCTAGCAAGCCACATAAATATAAGCCTCAAGCGCAAAACAAGGATGCAAGAAGATAAGATAGCGCGGCTGCAACAGTGCCATAGGTCCCTTATAGCGACCGTAACTTGCAAAGTACGTGGGGGTCGCGATAACCCGATACTGCATTGATCGCCATCGTGGGACATCTTTCTGGCGGTGACGGGCCAATGCGGATTGTCCGTTTTAGTCCAAAAGAGGAGTTGGTTGCAACCATACGATAAACGCACCCCGCACCAACCTCTCCCTTTGCGGGGAAGAAGGGGGGTTCCACACCTTTATAGGGAATCCGGGAAGACCCTATTACTTGAGAATATCCATTCTCCTGGTGAACAGCAACCATAATTTGACCCGTATGGACCTATTGCAGGTACCCGTACGGAGTAGTTGAGATAAGGTTGGAAGGCCATCGGTAAATGACGATTCCTAACGTTGACCCGACCAAGAGCCTGGACTGTGAGAAAATCTTGCTTCTGGTATTTCCCACCGAGACAACCGATGACATGAAGCATCGATGCGGATTCCAAGGTTGCGACAGAGTTGTTGTTTGGAAAGAGAATGAGGGTACAAGGATAACTTTGGCGAATGAACGTCAATAGACATTCCGAAAAGTCTTGATAAGTCATTTTTAAATTACATTGATTATTTATGAAGTATGCGTAAGGACCACCTGCTCAGGCGGATATATGGCGAGATGTAGCTAGCTCACAACTCTTTGATGTAGAGACAAAGTCGGGACTTTCTCGAGAATCATCAAGAAAAGTGTGATATTCTAACTCTTCACGAGCTGGTGTCGGGTGTGGATACACCCGGGGTGAATCTCGTGGCCAGTATTGATGTGACTGAACTAGGAAAACAAGGCGACTAAGAACGCCGAACTCAAGCTTGAGCTTGATGCTATATACCGCTGATTTGAGCGTTGTTTGAATGACGAAGTAGTTGAGATATTCGAAGACCAACAGAACGATGTCCATAACAATGATGAGGGCATTGATGGCAAGTAGTTGATACATGACTTTGCGATTCGGATTGTGGCCGTGGATGCTTGGGGGTGACACGCGTAGAATGCTGATAGTTTTGGAGATGTATAGGCCGGAAATGATAAACTCTTGGAGACAGAAGCCGGTGAGCTCAATGCGCTCCATTATGGTGTATCCATGGACCCAGACTGAAGTTTGGATAAAATTGGAGCCGTAGGTGAGAACGGTTGTTGGGATATGTAAGACAATGGCGTTGACGATGATCATTGCTAGAACGCGATGACTGACTGTCAAATCTTGCACGACGATATTGAGGCGTGAAAATAGCACCAAAGCTTGTCCTGTGACCATAAAATACCATCCCAGAGTGGACAATGTGATAGAGAACCAAAGTGGGCCGATGTTATAGTATTTCAGGATAAAGCTCAGGGACTGGGGAATTACACCTAGAACAGTTGCAAGCAACAAGCTCCAGAAGTAGAGACCTTGGTATCGGCGAAACGAGGCAAAGATGAGTACCATAAGCTCGATAGAGTTATAGAGGGCGATTCCCAAGAACACTGTGAAAGTGGCCCTGGTTGAGAAATCATTGCCCGAGTATTCGCCGATGATCCCATTTTCAGAAGAGTCGCTAGACATGATAGCCGCCGGAGAGTGGAGTTCGCGAGCTCAGACGCGACCTGCACGTTCAATCGTTGTTAACTTGGACCGATAAGGGATTAAATAGGTCGATTGTTTCGACCAAGGCACTTGGGCCCTAAGATGGCCTTCGCGCCTAGCGAAGACGAGCCACGATCAAGGATGGTTGACAACTCCAGGGGAATAGCCATGCAAAGTAGTATTATAATGTTGGGGAAATGGGGGGGTGAAAGTGCCGAGAATGAGTACTCCGTACTTTTGGGGACCTCAAGCTCGATGTTAGTGGCCAAGGGCCTGGGGGGAGGTCAGATCCCACGCTAACTAGCGAACGAGATACAAATGTGGAAACACCGTGAGGTCCTTGCCTGAGTTGTAGCACCGGTGGAAAGAGGAAACGAAGCGCGGGCTCTGAAGTTTTGTGATTGGGGGAATCGGGCCAGGGTGGTATATTAATTCTCTCACGTAGGCGCCACGCACATGCAACAGTTTCCAGCACAGCACCGACTGAATTCAAACTTGTTAGAAACGGGGGTTTAAAACTCCGTCTACAGACTCAACCGTGGGGTAAATCGGAACTAAGCGAGTCATCATGGACTTTTCCAAGAACCCCAATTCCACCGGAATCCATCTGGATACAGACAACTTGGATATTGAGATGAAGGCAGAATAGGCGAGAAAAGAGTCTGGCCCCAAAGAGTCTCGCCATCAGGGGGGGGGGGAGTTGGTTGGAGCCTTGACCCTTTTGGGTCAGCACTACTCCATAAAGTTTTCTAATTTCCCCGCATCGCACCAAGCGAATGGAATCCCCCAATGAGCACAGTCCGGTTCCTTCGTTTCAACTTGTCGTTGGTCTTCTGTTGTGGCGATTTACGGCGATTCACACAAATTCTGCCAGAAACTGTAAATCGTTGGTTTCGGCTTCCCCCTCCACATAAAGGCTAATTGTTCTGTCTTAAGAGAATGCCATTATATGTGCCTTCACGCCTCCCCCGGATAATTATCGGACGGCAAATCAATCATATTGGCTAAATTCTCACGCGACATCCGGACATCCTTGGACCAGTTGGGGGGGTCGTGACTCGGCGCTAAAGCCCTGGCCCGATGGAGTGTGCTGCGGACCTGTCCCCGTCCCCGCGTTGGTTCCCACAAGGCTTGCAAATTTAAATCTCCTCTCCGTGTCCTACTCTTGGTCCAATTAGACACTTCTGGCAGGTACCCGCGGAGGTGAACTGTAGCTTGAACTTGGCCTTCTTGAGTTTCGCTTTGTTTCCCACCATCCTTCAATAGGTCATTGCTGGCTGGGTCGAGGGAAGACCAAGTCTCTGTAACACAGGATTTTCAATATATTCGTGCTTCATTTCGATGCCATTTCTCCTTTTGGAAAGTGTTCAAACCTCCGCGCTCGCATGGTATAGTTCGTGCGCCTGTTGAGCAAAATGTGGGATCGGAGCCCCGCATAAATTACACTCGATGCTTAGCAACGGCGCGTCGTGATCCTCGTCCTCGTCTCCATCTTGCCACCCAGAATCACTCTCCTCCAACACCTCGGGCTCGGGTTTCCGCGCCAAGTGATCATCCGACTCGTGCACAGTCCACTGCCGCAGAATTGATTCTTGTTGCTGGAACATTTTCCCAATATCTCGTCCACTACTTTGTTTCTGGTCTCCTGCACTCTCAACCATGTTCGTGACGGCAATATTCATCAAGCCAAGGTCCCATCCGGACTTTTCAGCGTGTAATCTACGGAACATCCCCATGACATGATCCTGGACAATCCGTTCGGCCAAGGAATCGATACTTTCATCCAGATTAAAGACTAGACTCGGCAGTGGAGCCGAGCGCGAGATTCGATTAGCATTGTAAGTACGCACCCCGTCCGTCTCCGGTGCATTCCTTGGCCGCGTCGATAGTCGGAGCGTGCGTGGATGTGCCAGCCACCTGGGCTGCTCCTCATTTCCATCACCCTTGTCGAGCAAGTCGGTTCTCATTCGTCGAAGCAGACTCTTGGCCAATACCGTCAATTCCCGTCGTACACTTTCCGGGCTGTCAAGACGACCGCGACCATATGTGTCTTCGATACTGATTTGGGTGGGCAAATCACGTCCTTCGATCACTTCGGTATTGTCCACGCCATGGATTATCCCCCAGATTCGCTGACCGATCCCTTTCGCGGCACCTGGCCCGCCAAGAGTTTTCTCCAGTAGCGGCGGGCTTATACCAGGGCACAAGCGAACATCACGGACTGTCATCTCTTCTTCGCCAGCATTCTTTTCAGCAACTCGCGTTCTCAACTTCTGTGCCAAGCGCGATCCAATACCTGGTATTTTGCGGATCTCGTGGGCGTCTATGAACTGGATCACATTGCTTTCCTTGCCATCGCTGGTGAATTCATATGGTGGAACTAGGGTTGTTTGTTGGTTTGGTTTGTGAACACTGCCAACTAGCTTTGCCAATAGCTTGGAAGTCGAGATTCCGCCTGTAGCGGTGAAGCCTTTTTCATACTCGAGCTGGCTTCTCAGATATGCCATCAAATGGGAGCCAACCAGAAGCCTCATTTCCAGTGTTGAGGGGTCGGAGGACGCCAAAGTTGGAGATTCTCCCTCTGAAGGCGGATATGTACAGCCATGGTACCTCGTGGCATCGTAGGTGAAACCAACGGTAGGATCATTTCTGTTTAGGTGGAAGAAGGAAGTAGTCATATCATTCCGATTAAGAAGTTCAACGTTGTAATCGATCATTTCTGTGACATCAAGGGAGAGTTCGTCGAAGCCAAGTCTTTCGACGCGGCCCCCCCAGATGAAGCTGCGGATGAAGTGGTAGATTTCTTTCGATGCATCCCGAAATTTGGTCAAATCTTCACCCAAAACTATGACGACTTCGGGACAGATGCGCTTGGCATCTTTGATGAGTTGCAACTTGTGCAAGCCACGCCGTCGAGCCTCATAGTTGCAGGTAACAACAATCTGTTTCTGTTGCACTGCCAAGGGCTGGGACTTCAAGGCAGGTTGTTCGACCTCGAATACTGAGGCATAGAAACAGTCATAGTCCTGATTTTGTCAGCTCCAGCTCCAGATACGTAGTAAATAAATGGAATGCTTACCAGGTGGAGGACGATGCGACGGTCGTCACGCACCGGTGCTACAGCCATAGACTCTGAGTGAGCACAGTCACCTCCATGGAAGGTGGACTGAGATTCAAGGCCGAAATCGTGAATGGGACCTGAGACTGATTGTTGGGACAGGTGCGGATTGTCGTGGCAGGCCAGTCTGTTACGGCTATCCCGAAAGGCTTGGCGCGACTGTGGCTGGAGATACTGTGGCTGTGCTTGAGGTACGAGCAGTTGTGGCTGTGGCTGTGGCTGCTCCCACTGTTGAGGCTGGAATTGCTGAAATTCACGGAAGAAAGGAACAAACATCATGGAATTTTGACAATACAAAGGTTGCAGTCATTCAAACCTGGCAAGATACTTGAATTTGTAGTTTTGATCCTGCTGTCAACATCATGTTCGAATCTGGTGATTTGCGACGCAATTACCGGATACAGTGTTTTACGCCGCTCACTTGTAGGGTGACTTGCATTGGAGATCTAATCTACAACTTGGAACCACTCGAACTCATTGATAAGTTTCGTACCAAACTAATGTTTGTTTTATTCCACTATTACTCCTCTTGAGTCAACCCGCCATCTACTGCTAATCAACCCTGTACAATTAAAAGAGTAACAATATGGCACAAACTGACACAGCATAGCCTCAAGATACGCTATCTTAATCGACACCTGTTTTAGCTTCTATTATAGCCGATTCAACATTGGTGCGAGGACTGAAATCGAGACATAACAATGGCAGGGTTACTAGGTAAAAGTAGGAGCGGATGAGAGGGAGGTGGGACAAAAACAGGTGGGGGTTGACCTGAGCCACTCACAGTTACTTGTCACCTACCCCTCTAGGCTGTGCATAAACGTACGAACAAAAATAATTCTAAGAAACTCTTGTTCTGTGCAAGTATTTACGACTGAGCCAATAAGCTTATTATTGATCCATTACGGCCGTACCGGATCCTTTTTGACTCCATCTAGCCGAAGTGAGGGCTTACGTCTTCTTTCCCGTCATTTTAAGGCCACCTACCCCTCGTCCACCACACCTCCAACACGAAACAACAACTTCAATCATAATAAAAGTCATGGAAGAATCTAAAGCCTCAATCTTTCCTGCCGCCGAGATGGGCAAGGAGATCACCGTCACCGCAGTGGAAAGAAGAGCCAACGATGACTCGGGGAACGCATGGACCTCGGTTCCAGTGAATGACCAAGATCTGTCCCAGGGATACAAGGATATCAGCTTTCGCCAGTTGAATAACTATATCAACCATGCCGTGCATTGGTTATCTGAGAACCTGCCCCAAAGCTCTGAGCCATTCCAATGCTTTGCCTATGCAGGTCCCAAGGACTTGCGCTATCCAATCCTGACCTTGGCTGCAGCAAAACTGCAGAAAGTGGTATGCAACAATCAAAATTTCCCCCCCGAAGCCACTCTCTAATCCTACCGTTAATAGATTGTCCTTCCTTCTCCACTTATCACGCCCGATGCCCAAGTGAGAATCCTCAATGCCAAGAACTGTGGTCTATATCTGCGGACAGCCGCGATGGCGGAACCGGTAGCAGCTGTACTCAAGGAAGCGCCTCACGTTCAAGCTATCACTGTGCCTGACCTCGGTGTATTTGTGAAAGAAGACCCAGCACCGAGATATACATACTCCAAATCGTGGGAAGAAGCCAAAGATGATCCCTGGGTTGTCTTCCACACATCAGGCACAACAGGTTTGTCGCCTATGCAGCCCAGTTTTGTATCAAAGACACTGACCAATCGTTAGGATACCCTAAACCACTTACATATACGCAGTATATGATGGCGATGCCCGGCGTTGTGGCGTCTATTCCCGGTATGAAAGAATGCTGGGTAGGCATTTATAGTAACAAACGACTATATACTCCGCTGCCATCTTTACATGTACTTAACCCCTCTATAATTGAACCCCTTTCTTTTCAGATTGTGAATATTGGCTAATCCCGAATAGCTGGTTGGAATGATGTTTATATTGAGCCTGACTACCTTCAACAACACAATCATCGTAGTCGGACCATCCGCACCACCAACCCCACAAACCGTTCTGGATGTCATTAAATACGGCAAAGTCAACTCCGCCCTCCTGACACCAGCTCTCATCGAAGAAATATGTCTATCAGAGACCGGTCTCGACACCCTGCGAGGCCTCACATATGTTCAGTACGCGGGGGCACCTCTTGCAGCAAAGGCAGGCAATTTGCTAGTATCGCATACAAATGTCGTACCTACAATCGGCAGTACCGAGGCCGGAGGCTACATTACAAAAAGGCACGACAAAAAGGACGCATGGGACTACATCAGTTTCCACGAAAATGCCGGAGCGGTCTTTGAGCCACGCTTCGATGATCTGCACGAGTTGGTCTTTGTGCGTCAGCCGGACGACCGGATGCAGTCGATCTTCAAGCTTTATACGGACCGTGATCGCTACGAGACGAATGATCTCTGGGCCGAGCATCCTGTTTACAAGGGGCTGTGGAAGATCATCGGTCGTGCTGATGACCATGTGAGCTTCTCGCATGGGGAGGGACTCCATGCGTCGCGCCTGGAGCCGGATATTGAAGCGCATCCTGCTGTTAAATCGGCGTTGATTGGAGGCCATGGGTATTCGGGTCCGGTGCTCTTGCTTGAGTTGTATGGTGGGACTTTGGATGAGAATGATCGGGATTCATTATTTGATTCGTTGCAGTCGAATATTGATAAGGTCAATGCTCAGGTCCATGAGTGTGTGGCTCTTTCTGCGGATCGAATTATCATCGCGACGGAGGATAAGCCGTTTGTACGGACGGTTAAGGGCAGTGTTGGGCGGGTGCAGACGTTGGCGTCTTATAAGGATGAGATTGCGGCTTTGTTTGCTTAGCTTCCGTGATAGAGGAATAGGTATTGCTGAGATTGATAAATTGGATGAGGGCTAATGTGATAAGCGAGAGAATGATGGTGTTCTGTATGTTGATATCGTTGTAGTTGTTGGTTCCGGCAAGCTTGCTGGAAGCGGAGAGCCCCGATAACCAAATTGTGGGCCATCCTATACGCTGGATGGGATACTCCCGTGTCACTGGTGGGGATGGCAGCGGGACCACGGGGACCACAACGCTGAGCCCCGATCCAGGGTTAAGGGGAGGGCCAGACTTCAGCGGAGCTTGAGACGCGCAATACGGCAAGTTTTGTCGTTCGATGTACATACGGAGTGGGGAGTGTGTATTTGATTAAGATGGACGTTGCACGAAGATGTCCATTGATAGGGTTTGCAGTGGACCTTTGCTCCAGATACCCCTCAGTATGGAATACTCTAAAAATTGGGAATACGCGGCTAGGGGACCAACAAGCAAGCGCTTCAAATCTGCTGGAAGTGATGGGGACTGCAGGAAGATCGATGCCTGGCAGCTGGGGGGGCTGAGGAGAATTTTCATCTTAAGTCAGTAAGTAATGAATGCGGAGAAGGTAGGTAAGACATTGCCGTGTCCAGACCGACGCCACATGTATTCAGATATGGAGCTGTGCGGCTAATAACTCCCACGCTGCAGCACGGATTGACTCAAAAGGGAGGCAAATAAGACAGAAATTAGGCAGATCTCGTGAGTGTTAGTCCAGAGTTAGTGCCCAGGTGGTGATACTACTTTGTATCCCAATCCCATAAAGACGTTGACTCCAGTTTTCGCCATCAAAGATCATCGCCCCACTTTTCTTTTTATAGAACAGTCTATCACAGAGTACTAGTATACTGAGACTATGGGACTATGGATTATATTGAGATTATATGAGCAGAGGCAGTGAAAGGAATAGCAGGATTACTAGTAGTATGTATGAATTATAACAGAATAGTCAGAATAGTCAGAATACTCACTAAGTACCACATTAAGATTAAATTAGAACGGCAGTTAAGGCCGATCGCCATCTCCGACCGGGCTGGATGTGGCGTCAATAGTTCAAAGTCCCCAGGAAAATCTCTGCTTGCTTCTATTTTCGTTGGATACCTGGCAGATAGAATGTTGTACGGAGTACAATATTTCTATAGCTATAGTACTATTTCTACAGGGTAGTTGTCTGCTGTCCTCGGTGAATGTGAATGTGACTGAATGGACTGTGATTGTGACCATCACAAGCGCCGACTATTCTTAGCGCAACCCCTCCGTCAATCTTTCCATTCTTTTCATTCTTTGGCCCACTTTCATTACTCATACCTCATACTCTACACTCTTCACTCTTGACTCTTGACTCTTTCCCCTCGCCATGCGTCTGCTCTCTCAATGACACCCTCTTCCTTGGACTCATCCGCCATGTCCTGTCTGCAACTGCCACCTACTACCAGTGGTACTCGAAGTGACCACAGCATCTCCTCCCGCCCCAAACTCACCCTCCAAACAACATCACTACCTCTGACCTTTGGCCGATCCACAACTGGCCTGTCGCGCTCCTTCACTGCAACCGCCACTGCATCGCCGACCGTCCAAAATACCTTCAAAAATGCCTACGATGCCACATCCCCAACTTCCACAACCACTTCGCCTTCCAAGACCTCCATCTCCACTGGCACCTCGGGCCTGCGATTAAACACCTCCGCCGTCGCCATCGCCAAACCCATCTCCCCCTACATTCATCACACCAACCCCAACTCCCCTTTCAGTTATCGCAGCCCCTACAGCCTTCCACTCGGGGTGCGCAGCATCCTCCGCAACTCCCCGCTCGAGGGAGCCTCACGACGGCGCTCAGGCTCCATTTCCGCTGGCGCCGGTGGACCTGGCGGCGCAGGCGCACGCCGGGTCTTCTTCCCCGCCAAGAAGCAAGTCAGCTTCCGACACATCCTCGAAGAAGAGATTCGCACTGAGCAATACACGGCGCAGCATCTGGATCTCATACGGGAAGAGGCAGTGCACGAGGCAGACAGTGGGGCCGTCGGGACCAACAATACGAACACCATAACCCACCACGCCCATACCCACACCCACACCCACACCCACACCGCCATAAGCGTCATCACGAAAGATGACGAAGCTGCACTCGAAATTAGGATCGGCGTCGGGATCGACGTCAGGGTCCGCGTCCGCGTCAGGGTCAGACTCGGATTCGAACAGCTTATCAGTATCAGAGTCAAGTACGGATGAAGGAAGCGCGGATGAAATCGGCGCCCGAACATCTCTCTCCAGGAAGAGCGCAAGAAACGCCGGACGCTGCGCATTGAGCGACAGGTTCGCGCTGTGGCGCTGCTGGATGGTCTCGAGGCTGATCCGCACTCATCAACACCGCAGACCCCGCGACAGAGCCGGGTTAAACGGCGTCGTGAGTGGAAGTGGACTCTTGGTCCTATCGAGGGTAGTCCGGATAGCGCGCAGACCGAACTGCCGCAGTCAAAACCTTTCGATCAACCTGCATGCATTTTGACGGACCCGTGGCCGGAATCAAAATACCCATCGCAATGACACCGGGCTAGACGAGCGAGGTCGAGGGCGAGACTGAAGTCGCGGGTCTTTTGCCGGTTTGCTTTTCCCTGCGCGCATATATAATCGTGAAGCATATCTTCAAGATTCGATGAATCATGTCTTTGCTTTTTTTCCTTTTTTTCTTTGCTTTTGCTTGATGGCTTGGTAGAGGCGCTGGTGGCTCATCTTGTTTTGTTTTTCCTTCAAGCGATTATTATTCTCATCTCATCCTGTGGGTGCGGGCATATATTACCTCTACTGGTATCATTAATACACCAAATACATCAATGAACATATATTTACACATTTCTTACACCGGTCCTATCTCTCGCTCGATGGATAAAGTAAATAAAGTGTGTGATTCTGCGGGTGGACCCGGTGTGACCCGGACGCCATCTCCTTGGCAAGTGACTGGAGGTGCAGCATTCAACGCGTGCAGTGACGGTGTTATGCAGCCACAGACCTCACCAGGGCAGTCCTGCCAGTGGGTATCTATGTACGAGTACTATTGGGTGGCTGTCATCGCCGATCCCTCTTTCTCTTCCTAAAATAATCCTGAAACATTCAAACATTCATTTCGTAGCAATAAATACATCGGGCGCCGACTAACGCCATAGATAATCATAACAAAACCCCCATGACCTTCCAAAACATGTATTTATTAGATAGTCATACACTCAAGTCTCAGTCTCGACGTCTGGCTCTCGGCCAGTCAATCCCCCCCACGCCAACCTTTTTCTTCATTTTGTTCAGCGCATACTTAGCCTCATCCTTCACGAAGACCGCATTGCGCGCTGGACGCCACTGCATCAAGCCACGCTGTTGCCGCTGATCACTACGTCGGTTGGACTCCTCGGTCTGTGACATGCTAGCCTTGGATGAGGAGGCCTCAGCCGAAGGACTAATCGTCGAAGGACCGTGAGAGAGCTCCTCGCTATCCGAGTCCGAGGACTCATCCGACATCTCACCATTCTCCCCATTAACGACGTCTGCCTCACCCGCTCCATCTTTCCGCTTGGGATTCGGCTGGCCTTTCAGAGGCGGGAGTGTCACCGGGTCATGTGGAGGAACATCACGACCAGGCTCTGCCACTTTGCGTCCGAGAGAATCTGTATAGGCGCGCGGGTCATGACCGAACGCACCACTCCAATCGTGTCCTTCGCGATCGAGCCAACGACGACGCTCGGCCGGATCAGCCTGCTTAAGGATATCCCTGCCGTCGATGAGCGACTTTTCGTGCTTCTGCTGGACTTCCTCGGGGACATTCTTCTCAACGGTGCGGGACCGCACACCCTGCGCCATACAAGCTTCCCAAGTTTCAAAGGTCTCGCGGGAATCATTGTCGACGACAAACTGCTCGTGCGACTCGTCGATACCTGGCGAGAATTTGCAGCGGAACTGCAGTCTTCCGACCTCGGTGAGGTCTTCGAGACCGGGGACTTCCTTGGCCTTCCAGTTCTTCTCGGTGATGTAGTTCTGCGTCAGGCGCGGGCCAGATTTCGTCGTCCAGATCGGGAGGTCGATGTCGGTATCTTCGTTGTCGACTAGATGCTGCAGCCAGAGAACAGCATATGCCGTCGCGCTGCGCTTGCCCTGGCTGTGGAACTCGAAGACGACGGGTGATCTATACCGATGCTTGACAGGCAGACGCAGTGAGTCACGGTAACTCTCGTCAGATGTATCATAGACCACGTCGCTTCCTTCAAGCTTGCCCGCTTTCCGGCCAATCTTGCCCGAGCTTCCGCCGGTGCGCATCTTGATCTTTGACTGGCGACCGAATCCCTTTGCGAGGACCCTGTCGGCCGTGAATTCAAAGGTTCCAACGTCCCAGCCGAGCATGGCTGGGGGTAGCTTTGTCTCGACGTGTCGGAAAAGAAGGGAGATGCGAATACGCCCAAATCCGATACCGCCATCCATGGGGTACCATCGTGTAACTTGAGAGCTTGTCTGGAATATGTCGGACAGCTTGATAGGGACGACGCCGAGGATTGGATCATGTTCACGGTATCTCTGGTCTCGAACAGTGATAGTGACCACGGAAGACCGCCAATCGCGAACAAATCGTTCGGTTCCGGCGTTAAATATAGGCTTAGAGCTCACAGCCTTGGGACGTGTACGATAGATCTGAAGGAGAAGGAGGGACTGTTAGCGTTGATTGAGCGGGTTAGTCGGATTTAGAAAGAAACTTACCAACTGATCATTCAGCAGGATCTTGCAGTAACTCGTAGGAAGCTCGTCACCCTGCTCCTCGGTATTTTCACCAAATGGTTTAGCAGGCTCGTACTCCTTGCCTTTCCGGTTTCCGTCGCTACCCTTGATATTGGCGAGTTGGAGGTTCACAATCTGATGCACGACGATATGTATGATACCACTCGGCCAGATAGGGTCAGGAGGTGTGTGCATAACGGCATCCTCTTCCTCGTTGTTAATAGTTCCCTTTTCATCTTCGAACGTCGGATCTCCCTTGAGATTCTCTGGAAGGTCCTTCTTCTTGCCATCCGTGCGTAGCTCTGGGCGCAACTTGGGCTTCCCGAAGTATCCCACCTCCCAGTGCAGCTGGCCAGGCATCTCACTGCCCTCATCAAGGCCCTGTAGCTTGGAAATCTGGGGGAACATGCGACCCGGGTGCTGGAGCATTTCGCGGATGGGCAGCTCGATCTTTCCGACGACATCATCCGCCGTGTTGCGGTCCGAGTCCCAGAGTTCAATACTGAGGTTCTCGTCCGCTTTGATCAGTTCTGGCGTCACAAGTAGAGCTGCAGTCTCTTCCCAGATCGGGTTCAAGTCGTCAGTAATGACTCGTGTGCAGTACATAGGCTTGCCGTATTTGGAGAAGGTTAGGTTGATGTACGGATCACTGCCGCCGCCTTCACTGCCACGGCGATCCTGCTTGCTCAAGCCGATAGCCCGGTGGATTCGAATCCACATAACACCCAACGCCAGTGTATCCTTGTGTATATCATCACCCTTGAGCAGCATACTCAGGTCCATCGTCATGGATTTAGGTGCAGCGAACATGGCGCAAGCGGTACCGATGGCATAGTTGACGAAATTTGAGATAAGAGGCAGATTGAGGATATTCACACCTCTTCGGAGCATAGGCACGCAACCCGCCTTCACATGTGGAATGCCGACCAAGCTGAAGGTCAGTTCCTTCGCGAAAGGTGGCTCGGGGGTCATCTGAAGACGAAGTCGAACCGTTCCGACCAATTCAGTAAGCTCGACGAAGACAGGGAAAGGCACTCCGAACAGGCCCCGGATACCCAGGTAGAACACGATTTGCATATGCATGTTACGGGCCTTGGAAGATGCACTTGCGCCCGTCGGCTTGGCGTGATACGCAAATGAAGCTTCCATGTTATAGTAGCTACCGCCTTCCTCAGCAGCGGCGGCTTCTTGCGGGTCTTTATTCTTGATATTCTCCTCGTGGATGTTTTGCTTTAGATTCTCGACGTGGTCGTCGGGAAGAGCACGCATGCTCAGAATGCGGAGGGCATTGTTTCCCTGGTCGATCTCGGCGATGCGGACGTTCTCCACGACGCTGGGTGCGGACGCTTGCATGATATCTTCGATTGTGTCGGCCATTGGGATGAGCATGTCCGGGTTGACGAGACCCCAGACTACGCTGAGGAAGCTGTTCATCCATTCAACCGACTCAGGGAGAAGATTGGCAGTGGCCTATTGCTGTTAGTTATTCATTTTGTAGGATAATTTGGGGTTTTGGAGAAATTACCGTCTCTCCGCGAAGCTGCTCGCTATGCCATTCCATATCCTTGCCGCTTCTAATGACCTGTTGCACCCATAGCCAGACGCCGCTTGCAATGCACGCGGCCAGCGGAACAAGTCCTAGCAGCGATCCTCCAAAGAATCGACCGAGAATGATAATTGCCAAAGGAATTCCAATACAAAGCCCCATCCCATGTCTCTCTAGTTGGTCGAACATCGGCTGGTATGATATAGTAGGGGTGGGGTGGAATAGCACGTTCGTCTTTTCGCCGCGGATTGGGACATCGGATGTTGTACCCTCAGCGATGGGATCTGGAGGCGCGGTGATATCTTGATTTTCCTTATACTCTGCAAAATCCTGGTCGTGACTGGTTTTGACATCCTGTGTTGTATTATCAGTTCACTGCCTGTATTTCAAAGCTTTGATAGCTGATCACTCACGGTTGGTTGGCCGAGATTCGCATTGGGAACCGTCAACTGGATGTTGTGTCAGTTAGGGGACTCTGGTGTGCTTTTGAGTATTCCGCTACTCACAGTTGGGTTTAAGACGGCCTCCATAGATGTCTCATCTTGGTCTTCCACCCCAATCTCGCGACCGGTGGTAGGATCGGTCACCATCCTAGTCTTCGCCTTGGACACCTCCCGTGCCTTATGTACAGATACATCTCCTTGGTCATCATCATGTCCAAGTTCTTGAATCTTGCGGTCTCGCTCTTGTTTGGCTTTATTCTCCTCGTCAATGCGGATGTCTCGCTCTTTCTTCTCTCGGTCGAGGTGCTCGACGAACTTCTGGACTGTGGGGACAGGGTTCGCTCCGCTCCAGTGTTCACCTATACGGTGTCTCTGGGGGGGACTCAGTTTCATGGCCCTTGCTAGCCATAATTGAGGCTCGCTTTCTCGCGGAATCGGTGTGGGTTATGTGTTATAGTTGTCTGGTGGTGGAGGTCGTACTATGTGCAAACGTCAAATATCGAAATGGGAAGCGGGGGGGTTCCTCACAGCGCCCCCGTTTGCACTGCAGTTGAAATAGAGCAGACAATGCGTTAGAGATGCTGAGATTAATAGACCGAAAGAATAAAAGTAGGGTTTAGTGCAAAGAGGCCGAGATCTGTCTTGGAGCTGGGAAGCTCTCCCCAGAACGACGTCATCGGGCGGAACCCGGGAATTGCAATGACGCTACCTCTTGGTACACTCTCGAGCCTTTCTTTTCATTGGATTTAATTCACAACCAGTTCGAGATCTGCAACCTAGCCCCAATGGAAGGCCGATTTCCCCACATTTATTGCTGTGCTGTTGCTCTCTCCGTCCACCAGCGGCGGAATTCCACTCTTGGCGGAGACCGGAGCACATTTCAGCAAGTTTTGGTGTCCTAACATGAAACTTGCTAGAAATCGGCAGATGTACAACCATGAATCATTTACCCTTCGCCATTTCAATCGTCACAAATTTGAATAGAGGGGTCATTTTGAAAAAAAAAAAACACACACCAATTTTCAGTGCAATGAGTGCGATTGACTGATTATCTCACGAGATATCCCAAGCCATAATATGATGTCACTGCGGGAGCTTGCACAACCATCCATGACTTCAATTCAAGTTCAATATTCGAAAAGAATCTCAACTCATGACTATCCTTGAGATTATACCCTTGCACAGAGCCAGACTCGCTCTGAGAGGCTCGGTCGCGTGGCACAGAAGACGCTTAGCCCATGAACTAGTTGAATTAGCTGAACTGTCGATCGATGCGATCAGATAGCGCCTGGATCAGATCAGCTTCACCGACTACACATTTATTGATTGATCAATTGGAGAGGGAGTGGTTATAGGAGTGCTCTGTGATGATCTTTCTTTCATTCAAGGAATCGGAAGCCTGGCGATGTTATAATAGTTCCTGAGCCGAGACCGATCGGCAAGACTAATAGGGTGATCGATATGCATTTTACTGTGATTGTATAGTGATTTTCACCCCTATTGATTTACAAAGAAAAGACTGTCAGAGCCAATGTACCATCCATGTGGAATATTGTATACCTACCTAGATAGTTACGCGATGATTACATTCCTGGGGTGATTTTGTCACCTTGAAGCTCACTATCCTAGTTGAACTAGGCAATAGTACGAGAAAACTTGAACTTTGCTGCATTCGCCTCAAGGGCTTTTGCCGTACTAGTAGTTTCTAAGAACTGCTACTATGTATTTCTCGGTCGAATATTATTATTTGATGGGTTTTGGACCGTCAGGTCCATTTTTAACTTCGATATCCTTGTCCTACGTCCTTCCAAGTGTTTGGCCTACCACAGCTTTCTCAATACCCCACTGCCCAGGTGGCAGCCATCAAATCCCACCCGTTTAACTGCTCTGAGCTATTCCTTCGCTATAAATACTATAAAACATTTGAAAAAAGACAACTCCAGATATGGTACTATCTAAGAGATAAGAGCGGCTTGTGTCGGATCCCATACATTGAAGATCTTTCCCAGTATGTATGAAGTGCTCGACTCAAGTGGAATGATTGAATTTTAACAAGCCAGTTACTTTTCTGTCCGCTCTAACTAAGGAAGATGATTTCTCCATGAATTATTCTCATGGATGTGGCAGTAGATATGATAATGGGGTCAGATTTCTTATCACCACGGGACTGCCACAGTGCCCACACGACCCACCACCATCGGACAACCTTGGGTGTGCATCTTCTCCGCTAACCTTGCTTCATCACCCCCGGTCGCGCGACATCATATCTCGCAATCTGGTTGTGCTCATATCGGACATTTGAGTCTGGCCACCGCACTTCTGCTTCACGCTTGAAGACCTTCCATATGTCGACGCCAGAGGAATCGCCAGCCCAGCGGGCTTCTCGTCTGCGACGAGAGCGTCGTGAAGCCAAAATCAAGGAGGGAGGCTCAGCACGCCTTGACAAGATCACCAGCTTGAGTGGTCGCACCCCGCAGTCAGGTATGTTCCAATTCTGTTGGTGAAGTGATCTCACGAACAACTCCATTGCGTGATAGCCTTCACACCACTAACCGCATAAATAACACAGTTCACGAAGAGGCTTCACCATCCCCACAGCTCGCCATCTCCCCTTCGCCCTCGCCAGTACCACAAAATCGACCCTCGCCATCACCGCAACCGAACATGCCGTCGGACGAGGCCCTCCAAGCACAACAAGAAGCTTTCCGCGCCATGCTTCGGCAATCGGCCCCCGAACAAGGCCAGGGCCAACAGGGCCCACAAGGCGATGATATGGAGGACCCTACCATCAAACTACTCAACTCACTATTGGGTGCCATGCCTGGGGATCCAAACGGACCTCCTCCTGGTTTCCCCTCAGGTTTTCCCCCAGGTGCTGGCGCTCCTCCCGGCGGCATGCCTGGCCAACAACAGCCCGGCCTTAACCCAGGCATGATCGCATCCGCCCTTGGGCTCCCACCTTTCCTCGCCAACATGCTCGGCGCAGCGACCCAACAGCCAACAGAGCAGGAACAGAAAGCTACCCGCCTTTGGAAGGGTCTGCACATAGTATTTGCGATTGGAGTCGCGGTCTACCTAATTTTCATTATCGGAGCTTCAGTTGCGACATTCGGCAGCCCACCCCCCAAACCCGCAACGGCACAAAACCCATTCCTGATTTTCGTTACTGGAGAGGTACTCCTTACAAGCGGCCGGGCTTTGATGGGTGGGAAACAAGGCGGGATTGGCATGGTTATTCAACTCTTCAAGGACGTGGTTCGAGATGGCAGCCTTGTACTGTTTGCGTTGGGCCTAGGAGCTTGGTATACCCAAGAGTGGCAGACTGTCGGATGAAACATTTAAGACTACCATGAATGGATGAAATTTCATTTACAATTTGTCATGTACGTCTCGTAGACCTCTTATCTACTGTTCTACAAACCGTAGAAAATGCATCAGTCATCTATGGCAGTTTTGCATATTGGGAAATTGGCTCCTTATGGGATGGCGGCCATTACAGCTAATATGAGTATTCGTGGTCTTCCCAGGCCAATAGTTATCGCGCAATATGCTACTGACTCTGGTGTATACATGAAGATCCAACAAGAACAGTTAACATTGTATAGACCGCAACTCTTCTCTATGTTCACATGTAGTTCCTGGATCCTTAAATTCCCACTTGCGCTCCGTTGACTGTCACGGTGTTTCGTGAATGATTTCAAGGTTTGCAGCTTGAAGACCAACACATTCAACCATGCAGCACTAAAACTGATAGCATCCAATATACTATCATAATGTCAATGACTGCCCAGGTGTGCCGAAGTTTTGGACTTGGCGAGCTTACCAAAGATTCTATTCCCATACAAGCACCCATTTTTGAAAAAGTTTCAAAATTGACATAATATCGATAACTGAAACCGGTATGACTCTAGCTCGGCGAGGACTTCGCTTTAGGGCTGGTCATCCCCTTTGCAGGTTTCTTGGGCTCAGATTCGGTTTTAGGATTTGGCGAGGAATTAACCTGAGGTTTTGGTGAGGTTATATTCGGGTTATGTTGCCCGGCATCGGATGTGTTCACGCCGAGTAGTTCCAACGGGGTTGCGCCAAGTATCATGGTTCCGAGAGAATAAAAAGCCTGGGAAGTATAGTACTAGTAGAAGAATTGCTCGGATGAATAACCAAAAAACAACTTGAAGAACCAGGAATTGAGATTCATTGTATCTTATATAGAATGAGTCCGCCCAGTTTGTCTTTGAAACAAGAGATCGAGGCAAGGCTGATACTAGTACAGGCCGACGCCTGAAGAACTCATGCGGTGGTATTTTTGTGCTTTATTTCACTTAACTGGGAATAGCATACCATTCAAAGAGTGATCATTAAACAGGAGTCGCGCGCTTATGGCAATGGTACCTCAACTTCAGCCTTGTGCTATATCTTAAACTACTCCATGTTCCGCTCCTATCTCGAAAAAAGGTCCAATGAGAGTCTAAATGCGATCAGAAAGGCCATAATTCACGGGCACGCCGTTTCTTGGCGTGCGTGAACCTAAGCCAGTGAGCTCTCAAGAATGTCAAATCATTTACAAGAGTGCTTTCAAGCTGGATTGATTCATACTTCGGAGTTTCGGGATTTCCCTTGCAGACCCTTGCAGAATTTGATCGCGGTGATACGGATTCGGCAGCACCCAGCGCTCCGTGAGGAGCCACTACGCTTAATGGTAAATAATGCCCCGCTAAACGTGGGGTCTGGGCAGGTTACTGGCCACCTGAGCGGCCCCCACTGGTGGCTGTGCGGCTTCCCACGGTGATTTGTTAGTTCCGATTGGTACAGAAGAAGCGAAATGAGCAAGTGCTGAGTACCACTACAGTCTATTGCAGCTAACTAGTAGAGAAAAAACAATTAAAAGGAAGGAAGCTGAACAATAGCATCTTGCGCCTAATCAAGGTATGTGCGGCGCTTTACTTGGTTGTTCTTAATTTACATTAATTCGCCCAAAAAGGGTATATGAGACGCTTCCGGGGTGATGCAAGGAGAAGGAGAAGGAGGATCCTAAGGATACACTGACCTGCTTCTTCTAGGCAGAATCCAGGAATTACTTACTGTTCCCTACAAATTGAGACAAGGTAAATAACCTACGAGTACCTATATTCAGACCAACTTCGCGAAGTACTTATATAAATAGTTGGTCCAAGTACGTCAGTAGCACAATGTCACGTAGTTACCTATGTAGATAGGTATTAGACGTAGACTTTATACTACTTGGCATCCCGTTCAACTTCGTACCTAGGTAGTGGAGTTGAGGGCTTTCAGGACCCCCCGTAAGCTCCCGTGGCCCAACATCTGAATTTCGCTGGATGCCGCGATCTCAAGGAATAAGAGAGATGTTTCACTTGCGCAGATGGCTCAATGCTTGCTGGAATAAATCCGAAATGACCTGTTTTACTCCAAGTTGAACGGAAGAGCAAAAAGAAACAAGAAGCAAAAAGAATGTGTGCACCGACCGGGATTCGAACCCGGGCCGCCACCTGTCCTGTATATGACTGGGAGGGAGCTATTTAGGAGGTTAGTTTGTGGTATGTGACATGGCTTGCAGACATATCTTACGCATCGTAACCACTTGACCATCGGTGCTTGTTCCAACAGAAGGGGGCTGTTTTGCAGCTCTTGATTACATCAACGGAACCAAGTTTAGAGACCAATTTGGTACCATGGAACCTACTGAACGCCAGTTGATGGCTGTTGATACGATGTATGATACGATTGAAGTATGTTATTCACGAAATTTAAAGAGTTTTACTTGTATCAAGGAGTTTATGGTCTCTCCGCGAGTACGGACTCGGAGTAGAGATATCTAAATCGGAAGTATAGCCGACTGTCTCTTCCCCCCAACAAGTGTCTTCGAACTTCCACGAAACTGGACAGTTCCCGTGGTACCCCGAGGTGCATCAATATTTACACGAAGGGATGTGCTTGTAAGCTCCCATGAAACCGACAAAATTTCTCCTGATCCCGTAACCACCTTTGCACTCGACTTCTTTAATCCTATCTCCACTCCCGTTTCTGGCGCTAATAGCCACTTATTATAGCCAAAGCCTGCTGGTCCACTGGCTGGTCGTAGGCCGGTAGCCCACTCGGTTAGAATATAAGTCGCTGCTCCACCCCACGGATGGCCGAGACTCGTGAAGAGTGATAGGCCAGGTGATTTATCAAGCGCAAGATACTCCCAGCTGGCGCCTGTGGATGTCGTGTCGTTCCCAATGTCTGTTTCGCCAATTTTGTGAAGCATTGGCCCCCATACTGAGACCAAAAGATCTTTAGCGATAGTCGAGGCGTTACTCATGAACAGTGCAGGCAATAGAAAGCCGTTTGTGTTGGGCGAAATTGACACGACTGGATCTGAAGCAGTAACAGTGGTGTCTGCTTTGTAGCCCGGTCCGAGTTTGAGCTCTCCCAGAACTTTAGTAGACACCATCCTCGACCTTTGCGTTGAGTTTGCGACCCCGGAACTGATGCACCAAGCGATATCAGACACACCAAAGTCCTGGCGTGACGATCGGCTCGTCGAGTATGAGCCCAAATTTTCATTCCAAAGGTGTTTGTTGATGGAATCAGCCAGTCTTTGCGCCGATTTCTTATATTTGAGTTCATCGGTACTGTGACCCAGTGCTGCAGCCACCTCGGCAGCACCGTTGAGTGTTTCAACCGTAAGGCAGCTCACAGCCGAGCCACCTGAGCTGGCACCCAAAAAGGCGCTATCCACATCAACCAACCCATCAGTTGAATTTACCGTCGTGAGTAGCCATTCAAGCTGCTTCTGCCACTTAGGCCATGTTTTAGTGGCGTATTGAAGATCATTTGACTGCTTAATAGTGTGGTAGAAGCCCAAGAATCCAAGCATCTGGTAATCCTCCAAGGCAGGATACTTCCCTCCCTCGGTGAATGCATCAATGGTGGTTGACGGGTCGTATCCCATAGTACCCGCATAGCTCACCTCTCCATTTGGGGCCTGGGTATCTAAAAGGAAAGACAAAGTGTCGCGTGACCAGTCGAACCGAGAGCTGCTCGCGCCAATAATGCGAGAGGTGTGGTAAAAGTCCCCCAGCCAGACCATGCGGTCACGTTTAGGCCCGTCCAAGCATACGGTCGCCGCATTTGCCTGGTTTCCATATCGAGCAGGTGCTCCTTCATCACGTAGATTGTCTCTGTACAAGAGAGTACCATTCGCGCTGTCATAGAGCCTGGCATTGCGAACCCATGCAGATTGGTCTTGGTAAGCGCCAAAACCAATGGCACCACTAAGTGACACTGAACCCCCTGTATAGTAATCACCAAGCGACACATCAAAAACCTTCTTGCCGTTTATCTGAACAGAAATGCGATCTCCATCCGAGAGAATGGTTGTTATGTTGTACCATTCTTTTTCATGCACGTCAAATGGCACGGTAAATGTATCCAGTAGTAGCGTGTCCAGGGTTGTTTGATTGACGAAGCCGTATCCTTTTGCCAAAAGAATGCTATTCGCCGGGGTCAAAGTTGTGTTGACATTCGCAAATGTACTTTCCTTGGGCAGCTCTCCTGTGAGCAAAAGCTGGAGCCCAGATCCATATGTCAAAGGTTGGGCCTGTTCCCGCAATGGTGAGCACTAGAATACCCAAATATAGCGAAAAGATGCTTACCACTGTCCACCACAGGCCAGATCTTTCGATTTTTGTCTCGAATTGCAGGGTGTAGTTTTCGAATGATCCGGTTTCGAAATTTGGTGAAGCCCTCATACTTTGTACCAAGGCGCCTTTCGCAGGATCGGTAGTCATAATGGGACCCTGTGTTCCTTTCTCGAGACATGCGAGGCCAGCTGCCTTTGCTCCGAGCTTCCAAATTTCATTGAATACAGTGTTGTCACTGTGAAATTGGCTTGGATATTTCTCGGGGTCGATGTCGCTGACAGTGGGTACGAATCCCATACGAGTGAATGAAACGCTCTTCCCGGCAATCAAACGGATAGACTGCCATCGCTGACCACCCTGAATCAAAGGAGATTGTAGCTTTCCAGTCTTGATGACATTGAAGGTTTCGACTCGGAATGCATTTGACAGACTGGTTGAGAAAGTGTAAGGCCCATCTCCCCATGGATGCTGCAGCCCATGATACGGCTCACTATACTTCACTTCAATCTGCACCGGGCCATCTATTTTGCTTATTTCGAAGAACGGAAATCCAGCAACCTCTGTGCCATAGTCGATGGTTGCAACGGGGGACTTGGAATCGAGAACTAGAGTTGAAGAAAGGCTCTCTGGCCATTTCACTCCTTGCGCTGTAATGAACGACTTCGGAGTGAAGTCACTAGTAATGTCAGTTTTCGATAGCCATCCGAGTTCGGGGGAATCATCAAGCTAACCGTGCGTGGCTAACAGCTGCAGCTTTAGAAAGCGAAACGAAACTTTGACTCCAGGCAAATACGCCTAGGATCGACTTTAACTTCATTGCAAGTTGATCTTGTTTCAAGACCTTGGGGACTGTCCAGGGATGGAAGGTCACAGGCCATGGATCCCTCTTTAAACCATGACTTCATACGTAAAGATCTTGGTAAATGTGGAGTTCGGGTGATCTTTCACCGAGGTAATTCCATTGACCCATTTGAAAGCTAGAAGATCAACCCAGATTCCCCATACTTTTTAGCAATTTTCGACTTCCGCTTGCCAGTCAATGGTTTATTGAACAAGAGTATAAGTAATCATTCTCTTGACGATTGAAGCGAACATATCTTAGATCATTGCTGATTCATATCCCTTCAATGGCTCTCTATTCTCAACTGCACAGTAAAAGCATGATACAGTTCGCTGAGAGGGAGGTGGAGGTGGGTCAACATACTCTCCCCACATTCCGGTCGGCAATTCCGAGAATCATCATGCCGAGAATCAGCAGGAAGTTTAGAAATCGAAGCGATTCACACCTGTTCAGCCTCTAAGTGTTTAAATTATTAAATTTTATGACTATTCTCGCACAGTCAACAATTGATAATTTTAACTCTCTTATAAGGGATTGAACGATACGGCTTGCCGGGTAAGCAAAGGTCAATCAAAGACTAACTAATAGAAAAAGCCAACAACCGAAAATGAAATTTAGCAAGGTATCAGAGCAATTATTCTTGAAAAAATCATGCTCCCGTGTTACTCCATACACATTTCATTGAGAGAACCGGTGAATTGTGATGACCTAAATAACGCAACTTGAATGATTGCGGGGGCTGTGAAGTGAAGTGGCCGAGGTGGGCGCATTGGCGTGTCGGGGTAACTGCGGGGAAATTGCTGGGCAGTGCTGAAGAAATCCACGGCGAAGCGAGAGTGAAACCAGCCGTGATCATGATGAAGAGGATTTGACAGCAATGCACTGCTGCCTGGCAGTAATCGGTCCTTTTTGTAGCGAGATATTTTTTATTATGGTTTTGTGGGCTTTTTACGATACGGCTCAACGCCCCCTCAGCATTTATCACCACTGAGGGTACTGGGACTGTTATTTTTCTTACCGGCTGGAATACCTTTGAGAGCATTGAATTGAATCGAGTTGGAATAATCCCGGACAAAAATGCCGTAAAAAAACCACGCGCAAGCTCGCTAATTTTTCAGGAGGGCGGGGGGGGGGGGCTCTTTGCCAAGGCGTTTACTATGGCGGCGTTTCTCGCCGGCGATTGATGGAAAATGAGTTGCTTAACTAGACTTTACTGGAATTAGCCTTGGCTTCATCTATAATCAGGACAACTCCGGCGGGATGATCGGAGTCGTATAGTGGGTTGACGATAGTACTCTCAAATCTGAATATTTAAAAGCCACACCAATGAGACCCAGTAGGAAGGAAAGAAGAAAAAAACAATTATCGTACTTTCAAATCCCAGAGGGAAACGCACTCTTGTGGCTATGAAATTCCTCAATGTGTTGGCGCTGGCCGCAGCGGCGCATGCCGCGACTATCTCTCGATCAAAGTCTCCAAGTGCTGTTGATAATGTAACGATCTTCTCGCCCCCTTCCGACTACAATATTCCGAGAACACTTTACGCCCGCAATGAACAGCTTCCCAATGGCGATCTGCTTGCGACGTGGGAGAATTACTCTCCGGAGCCGCCTATGGTCTACTTCCCCATCTACCGCTCGAAGGACTATGGCAAGACCTGGAAAGAGATCTCCAAGGTCCAAGATACCGCCAATCACCTTGGACTCCGCTATCAACCGTTCTTGTACTACCTGCCGGAGCGTATTGGCTCTTTCAAGGCAGGCACTTTGCTTTTGGCCGGCAGTAGCATTCCTACCGATCTTTCTTCTACGAATATTGATCTGTACGCATCGAACGATGATGGTCTCACCTGGAAGTTTGTGAGCCACATTGCAGCTGGTGGAGAGGCCGTTCCAAACAACGGATTGACCCCTGTCTGGGAGCCATTTTTGCTTGCCCAGTAAGTTTCTTACCCCCTTGACCATCACTTTGGCATTCTTCTAAACGAATCAACAGCAACGGCAAGTTGATCTGCTACTACTCTGATCAGAGAGATAACGCGACATATGGACAAAAGATGGTCCATCAAGTTTCAACAGACCTGAAGAAATGGGGAGATGTTGTCGACGATGTGTAAGAATAACGAAGCTTCTGATCCGAAGGTTTACTAACAGTCCCCCAGCGCCTACCCTACCTATACCGATCGACCAGGTATGCCCATTGTGACAAAGGTAAGTAAAGAGTGCCTCTTACGTGAATGAAACCCCGGGGAGAAGACTGACATCGTATGTAGCTACCGAATGGCAAATATTTCTACATCTACGAATACGGTTCCTTCTTCAACACCTCATCTTATTCATTCCCTCTCTACTACCGTATCGCTTCCGACCCCGAGGACTTCCTATCGGCTGAGCACCAGAAGCTTATTGTGTCAAGCGGCACGAAGCCTACTTCTTCGCCATACGTTGTATGGACCGCATACGGTGGCAAGCATGGCACTCTAATTGCTAGTTCGGGAACGCAGAGTACTCTCTTCATCAACAAGAACCTGGGCGAGGGCGAGTGGACAGAGATTGCGTCCCCCGAGGGACACAGCTACACACGTTCTCTGCGGGTCTTGGAGGGCAGCAATGGACGCTATTTGCTCGTGAACGGAGCAGGTGTCTTGTCTGGAACTAGTAACACGGTTACTGCCACCATTATGGACTTGAAGGATGTACTTTGATTGTCATGGTAGAAGTTTTGAATAGCATTAGAAGTTTTGATGTCTAGATGAAGTGATTATTCAACAATCTCCCAATCTCAATTTGCGAGGTTGCACATATTGAAGGTACTTCCAAGGTTGTGTTTATGAGCAGAAGTCCAGAGCCAAAAGGGTATAGATCTCATCCATCTGTCGCAAGCTATCGACATAAACCCATTCTTCTTTCGCGTGCAGGCCCTCGCCAGAAGGACCGAAGACAATTGATGGAATTCCAGCTTGACCTAGGAAAGCTGCATCGCACCAAAAAGGCATGCTCTTTACGACAGGTTTGTTGTTGTGACCTAAAACAGTGGTCCCACAGATGATCGCCTTCTGTACGAAAGGGTGGTTAACGTTAAGCTTTTGAGTCGGGCGAGACATTGTGACGCGTGGCTCGGTGTATTTAAAGCTCGGTGCATCCCAGCTAATCTTCCGAAGCATCGTAGATAAGTCTTTAATGATAGACTCCTCAGTTTGTGATGGAACAGTACGAAACTCGATAGTAATCGTGCATTTTCCAGGGTAAGAAGAAGGTTCCTGGCCACCTTGAATCAAACCACAATGCATCGATCCTTGGCCCAGAAGATCGTCGACAGGCAGCAGGGCCTGGTACTGCTCAAGTGCTTGTAAGAAACGCCACGACTGAAGAATCGCGTCTTCGCCAGAAGCTGGGTCGGATCCATGAGCTGCAACGCCCAGGATATCGACTTCTGCCCACACAAAGCCCTTATGAGCTGTGGCAATGACATGAGAAGTTGGTTCCGCAACAACCGCTGCATCCGCCCTCCATCCAGCGGCCAGTATATCTTGGGTTCCCTGAGAAGCATCTTCTTCGTCCGAAACAGCGGCAATAATAATATCACCACGGGGCACCTGGCCACTGGCTTTGATCAACGCAACAGCGGCAATTGCTGCCGCTAGGCCACCCTTCATGTCAAGAGAGCCTCGTCCAAATACCGCCTCCTGGTCGTTTTTCATCTGGATAGTCCCTGAAAGGGGATCTGCCTCGTAACTTGTGAGACTGACTGTATCAATGTGGCCGTTGAACATCAAAGATTTGCCGCCTCCACTTCCACGGAGAACACCGACGATAGAAGGCCGTCCAGCAACCGGTTCTACGCGGTGATATTCAATATCACGATGAGCAAACCAGGCCTCGATGTAGTCAGCAATTTCAGTCTCTCCTACACCATCTTCCACAGACAATGTAGGGTTCGACGAGTTGATTTGGGTGAGTGCCTGAGTTAGTGCCACAGAATCCTCGGCGGACACATCTCGAGGGATTGGGTACTCGCGGGCACCTTCTGTGCTCAGAAGCACGACAACGGAGTCTTTGTCTAAGAACGAGGCATTTGGGTCGGTTGTCAAATGCCGAAGAGCAGCGAGGGAGGCTCCACCACAAGGGCCAGCTGGAACCGACTTTGATGTGAGATACTGCACCGCAGAATGGCTTTCGTAGGATGAAATCGTGACGGAGGCGTCAACAAGTCGCTGCAAATCCGGCCAAGCGGTAGAGGAAACAGTTCCACAGTTCATACCATTCATGATGGTAGAAGGAGTTTTGACGGTAATGGATTTGCCAGCCCGCAAACTTGCTGATAGACAGGGAGCAGAGTCGGGCTCAACTGCGACAACGGACAATGGTGTCTCTCGAGACTTGCAATGTTTTGCTACAGCATGGGCCAGGCTACCCACGCCAACTGGGGTGATCATCACACTGGGAAGGAGACCCATTTCGGATGCTTGTTTCTCAACCTCGTTCATCATCGTCGAATATCCCTCCACGATCCAAGCGGGAATTTCTTCATACCCTTCAAATGCGGTGTCCTGGATCAACAGCGCAGTCTGCTCCTGGTGTGCACGATCCGATGCCCCTTGCACGGCATCATCATAAGACCCCTGTACAACAACGATCTGGGCACCCTCTGAAGATATCAACTTGATTGTGGCTTCCGGCATGAAGCGAGGCACGAAGATCTGGGCGCCAATTCCCAACAAGCGCGCCATGAATGCAACTGCTCTTCCATGGTTGCCCTCCGATGCGGTCACCAATGTGATTGAGTTTTTCTTGGCCTCGATCGAGAGCTGCTCGAGATTAACGGTAGGAGCCAGTCCAAGCTCTTGCGCGACAGCCCGGAAACAGCCCCACGAAGCACCTAGCACCTTGAAGGAGGGGAGTCCAAAGCGATTACTCTCATCCTTGACAAGTACCGCTCGAACGCCCAAATCAGTCGCAACCTCGGGGAGAGCCACTAGCGGAGTTGGCGCATAGTTGGGAAGCGATTGGTGGAATTCGGCTACGCCGGCGGGCAGCGCAAGATCGAAGCGCTCATTCGCGGCGGCGGGGTTGAGATAAATTGGTCGCCTTGAAGTCATGGAGAGTAGAGTATGTGTCGCGTGTTTGTTACTGAATGTCACCACCAGGCGCGAGGGGGTCGTTTATCAATTTAATCTGATGACGGTCGCGGGACGTGACAACAATTCGGCGTGGTGGGGAAAGCCTTTCAGCGACATCCCACTACTCACACGCCTTCTGGTAACACGCCGGGAGTGGAGCTTGCCACAAAAAATTCCCCTTTCATAACCGTGGATGTCTATGGTTTGGATCAGAATATTTTGGACTCGATTTTTGACAAGGACGCCTTCTTCAAACACCCCTTTGTCCGTCGGTTATTCAGGTATCCCAGGGCGTATCCATCTCGTCAAGGTTTGCTATGTGGTAGGCTAGTACATTTACTATTACATCTAGGAAACCTTGAAGAGAGAAAACACAAGGAGAGAGAGAAAATTAAACAAAATGGAAAGACTGGGAATTCCCGGTAAACATTGAAAAAGCAACGAGGGCTTAAAATCGACCTCGCCTGGCCTTATAGGGTAATTTTTCTCTTCGGATTCTTCTTTAAATGTTAATAACTACTCGTACTTCCCGATTCACACATGAAGAACTTTCTTTTTTGAATAATCCACAAACATATATCCAGTCTATTACATTTTTTGACTCTAGCTCTATAATCAAGTAGCAAGGTCGCTTTATGTTTGGAACTTGAAGAGGAACAATTTCTATTTATTTTGCGCCATTAAATTCTACGACTCTCCTCAGCACGGGATTGATCAAAATGCACAACTGACTCAAGTAGAGCTTGTGTACCAATGGCACTAGTAAACGAAAGAACAATTAGTATCCGAGACCTGCGCGGGATAGAGAGATGCACTTACCAATCTTCAGGGGTAGAATACTCTGTAGGGTGGTGGCTGACGCCGTCCTTGCAAGGGATGAAAATCATAGCGGTTGGGCAATGCTTGCTGGTGTAGACGCTGTCATGACCAGCCCCACTAGTCATCAAGATCGACTTCTTGGGACCAACAATGTTGTCTGCGGCTGCCTTGATAGAGGAAATGCAGTCCTTGTCAAACTTGACAGCAGGGGAGTCTGTGTCGAGAGTCCAGTTATAAGTCACTCCCTTTCCATCTTGCAAGGCAATGGCCTCGAATGCCTTCAGGCACTCGTCCTGAACAATGTGAACAACACTGTCATCCGGATGGCGAATATCAAGAGTAAAGGTGACTTCAGTGGCAATCGTATTCGTAGACGCGTTCGGGGGGGATTCTAAGGATACCGGTGGAGGCCAGGGAATCGTGTCTCTTAGCAATGTCATTTGAGGCGGCGATCATTCGCGATGCCGCAAGCAAGGGATCGTGACGGTTGGCAAGAGGCGTAGTTCCAGTGTGAGCATCTTTGCCTTGAATAGTAAAAGTCAACCATCTGTATCCCTGAGCTCCCTGGACAATGCCAATTTTGCAGTCGTTAGCAGGGAGAATAGGACCTTGCTCGATGTGAAGTTCAAAGTGTGCGCCGAGGGGGGTATCCCTTCGGGGAGCATTCCACATCCCCAAGATACCCGTGTCGTTCAAGCTCTGACTTGAGAGACACATCGGGGTTGTGGATATCGCGGAGGTCCCATGCCTGTTGGATGGGAATGGCACCAGCCCAAACTCCCGAGGAGCACATGGACTTGGGAAAACGCGCCCCTTCCTCGCTGTATACCGAATCAGCAAATGTAGCGAACTCTAAAGATCGATCAGAACGTACTTTGTCCAGTTCACCACGCCGACATCGTAGTTAGTCTGGAAATTGTTCTCCTTCATCGTACGCAGGACCTCCAACGCAGCCATCACACCCAAGATACCATCATAGCGACCGCCACGAGGCTGAGTGTCGAGATGACTTCCCATCGCAATCATCGGGGCCGAGGACTTTAGACTGCCAGATTTCCGAGCAAACATATTACCCATCTGATCAACCGAGAGTGTACATCCCAGTTTCTGGACCTCGTCGGCAAACCAACGTCGCACACGTGCATCGTCATCATTCAGAGTCAATCGAGCCATGCCCGTATCCGTTGAGTTCCTGTATCCTTGTAAGCGGTTTTGCAACAGGCATAATCGAGGATGAATCACAACACATACTCGCCATAGCGATGAGCTGCACCCCACTCGCAAGTCTGATGCAAAGTCTTCCAAAGCCGATCGGCATTGATTTTGAGCGCTGCCGGAGCGTGGACTCGAGGGGCAGACGAAAATGACCGTGTCGCGTTGAAGCGCAAGGCGCGTGTTGTACGTGACACTCCGAACATTATTGCAGATTTCAAGTTATCACTTAAGATAGGTATATGACTGAATCTCCACCTGGGCACCTGGAGCCCGGGGGTTACGGTATAAAACTTGAACCTTGGATGTCCACGGGTGTACCTAGTTAGTATTAGATAGGTACCTAGGTAGGTAGTAGGTGTTTTATATATAGGGCTGCCAGTGGCCGGGGGTGAATGACCGCTGTCGAGTACCTTTGAACGGGCGGCAAATGTGACTGGACAAACGCCTTCTCCTGACAGAGAGTGGATAGAGAAAGAGTGACAACTTCGAGGCCCACCAAGCTGGATGAATGGAGTCGGGCGAGTACTTTCCGATGAACTCGGCCAACATCGAAACCGAATGGCGGAGGCGTCAAAAGCGGACCCCTTCGGCTCGGGCGCCTTCCCGCAACATCTGCGAACCCTAAATTTCTTCACTCTACTTATCGGCCAATGGAATGGACTGCATTTGAATATTTCTATCTAAAATTTTGTAGCGAATTATAAGTCTAGGGCCATATGTTGTGATTTGAAAAATATACTGATGTTCAATTTGACAATTGTCACGGTGGTATAGCGAATGTTGATACAACCTTGAGTGTAGTAGGTACAGACCAGCCGAATATATCCCTCTAACACATAAATACTACTAGTAGTAATCCAAGTATCCGAGCCATGAATAGAACTTGGAATTGAAGTTTCCCAAAACAAAAAAGAACTCCGAAATATCTATCTTTCCCACAAAAGATATCCAAAATCCTCCATGGAACTCCTTATTTGGCATAACCTTTGCCGCGGCAGCAACTGCCAAAGCACTGATCTCCTGGGAATGGTCAATATTTCTGAATGGTTCTTTCTAGGTGCAAGAATACCGTTGTAAGGAATTGGCGCGGTTTCACTTGCTGCCCTCCTCCTTGAGCCTTTGAAAGATGCATCACTGCGACGGGTTAGAGGACATGACGTCATTATAATCACGAACACCTTACTCTAATGTTCTCACGGATTGATTATCAAAGTCTTTCGTCCTGGAAGAGTCGTGCGATGGTAGAATTGACAGCACCTTCTCCTTCAAACTCTTGGTTTCATCTTGTCCAGACATGTTTGGTGTGATTGGCGCGAAGTGGTTGCCAAGACTTGATAGTTATATCTTGCTAGATCTTGTCCTTGTGTTGTCACAGTGAACTTCAAGTTGAAATCTCAAGGTTTTTCTTGAAATTCAGAATGTGGCTTGATCTTTTCTCGAAAATCCGGGGAACCTCGCTCTTTCATATACCATCCCCGGAAATCAATCTTCGTTCTGTAGATTTAGATCGGCAAATGAAGGTGACGTGGGGTGGAGCCTGTGTGACACAGAAGTATGTCGGCGGGCGCCGAAGTCCATGCCCCTGGCCACCAAATTCCCTATCGGTGATCGAATCTTCGCCGATTTCACCCTCGATCGCTCGTAAACCTAAGCATTGGAGTTAATTTCCCGTGGGAAATAGGGTCAAGCACCTTCACCGATCAGGGCATCGCGTTGTGATTGGCGACCCGCTCATCTGCCACGATCGGGCCATAGTCTCAACCTTCCTGAATAGGCGCTGTCATTGTAAAAGGAAAGCTGGGCGAGAATTCTGTTACCTAACGGCATGTCATCGGTGGTGGAATACAATGCGACGTGTCAATAAATATACAACTATTACTTCGGAGATAGTTGCTCTGCGCTCTGTATCTTGGCCCCGAAGCAAGTTCCCATAGCTCTCATTCCTTAATTTCTAAAGTCTATTCTAAAATATTGTCTTGAAGGACCATCCGCAGCAAACGCCTCTAGCTATGGCAAATGCCATTGCAGCCGCAAGATAGAGGACACCACCAAATATGATCAGATCGCCGTAATCTCCTCCGTCACGCTGCTGGATCGCCCCTGCGACGGGGATACCCGTAAGGGTTCCAATGCTGACGATCGTGAACGTGGTTCCATTTCTCTTGCCATAATCCTGCGTCGCGCAGACCTGAGAGATGCACACTGGCGTCAGGCTAATTGCTGCTCCGCTCCAGAAGCCAAACAACACAGCGTAGCAGACGAGTGCGGCGAGATTGTCGCCTGATTTCAGCCACAGTGCGAGAGTCAATACGGCGCAGACAAATGATGTCAGCACCATGACATTAAAACGACCCAGTCGATCGGCTATCAAGCCAGGTAAAAAGCGCCCGGGGATGGCTCCCAGGTTCAAGAAAGCGATGAGTAGGTATGCGATTGTGTCGCTGACTCCAACATGGATGGCATACGATGCAATATACGTTATAGGTATAAAGACTGCAAATTCCACCAGAAAGACCGCGACAGTAGTGACAGAATAGAGGGGATCTTTCAATGCGTGAAAATCGACTGTAGCACCCGATTTGAGGTTTGCTGGCAACCTGGCCTTCAGGAGAAAGCATGCCAAGGTACACATGACAACACTCAAAAGAGCAATGATTCGGATCGCCCATGGGAATCCTATCTTGGGGGCCGCGAAGAGAATTATCAGGGGAAATATAACCCCTCCTACGCCACCAGCTGTGCACGCAATGCCTGTAGCATACCCCCTTCGCACATTAAACCAATGACCAACTGCCGAAACAGCTGGAGTGAAGAGTGTGCAAGCTGAAAGACCTCCTAGCACGCTGAAGGAAAGGAATATCTGGTAATATTCTGCATATATTAGAAGCTATTCATAAGAGGATAATTTGAAGACGTCATACCTTCGCTGAAGCTGAAACATATCAGAGCTATCACCATACCGAAAGAGCCTGGTATGATGACATAGTGCGGCCCGTATACATCGAAAATTGGACCTGGCCGTGTTTAGTAGTTGGCATAAAAATCAATGCAACGCTAATTGAATTGTCACTTACCCGCTTGGGCCCCTGCAAAGTATAAGAAAAAGCCATAAGCACCAAATATCCAGCCAATGCTGGACTCAGAATACTCTTTAAGTTGATGTGTGCTGGTCCATGCGTGGAGGATTCCAAGGCTATTTAGTAGACCCATGGAAGGAATCATGGCGCACCATGCTCCGAACACAACCGACCATGCCTTCCAGCCTCCTTCGGGATAGTTGTCAGTCTCTTGGAAAGTTTGCAGTTGTTCGAAAGTAGCCGTCGAGTTTTCGGTTCCGCCGTGTGGAGGCGGAGTTTCCTGATCTAGCATATTCTCGATTGGCACTAGCAGTTGAGAACTCCTAGATACAGCCCGAGGGGGTCGGCAAGTATATAAATATCGCAAGAATATCGCTAGATGGCCTATGAATTTCAATTCGGTTATTGGCGAAAATCTCGGGGAACCTTTGGCCCGAAACATGAATATCTGTTGACTCGACCTCTTTTCTCAAGGTGTTGCCGCCGAAGTTATGCTTCGGCGAAATTGATCGCCTATTGGACAATCCGCCGTCCAAGGTATGCCTGATCCGGTGACAGTTAGAACGGTCGGCGAGAATGGTGTTTGATTGGTCCAATGCGAGTGCAGTGGGCCTCGGGCCAGCCTCAAATGTATCTTAAGATACTGTAGCAGAAAGATGATCTCTCATTCTACCTTAAACCATCCACCTCAAGAAAGCCGCATCCTTCTATCAGGCCCCTCGGCTCAGACAAGATTGAAGTTTAAAATGTGAACTTTTCAATTCTTGAATTGCCAAATTTATGGAAACCATAATTTTTGAGTGAAGCCCGAATTTACCAAAAGCTGGACTCCTTCTTCCAACATAATACGTCATCCAATCAATCCACACGTTCGGCGAACCTCATTTCCATCTCGAAACCACCTCACCGACCTGATTGAAACAGATGAAAACAACAGTTCGCCGCTGGTAATCTATGATCGGCGATCCCGTGAATTGATCTCTTTCTTCTCGACGATGGTGGAACCATCAACTCGGAGCGAATCGAATCGTCATCCCAAGTCCGCCCGCCCGTATCGGTCAAAACGACGCCCTCCGTGTGACCAGTGCCGTCGCAAGAAGCTACGATGCGAAGCCCAGGGAGATAAACCGTGTCAAAGATGCGAGGCTGCCTCTTCGGAGTGTAGTTTCAATCTAGTTCTGCCTCGTCGATCTGCAGTGCCGGAACTGAGACCGTCACCGGTATCTCAGGGAACCGCACCCGTCTTGGCCGATTCCATCAACATACCTATCGAGAACCCAAATAATACTACGACTTTCACCGATGCCTCGAACTTCTCAAATATAGAGCCGGATATTCAGCCGGGTTTGAATACGACATCCGTCGACGAATTCTTTCTTCCTTCCCAGCCCGAATATCATCTCCCGGAAAGGCCAACGCCGCAAGCTATTCAAACGTTAGACCAGCTGAAGGGATTCTCATCACAGGTCATCGGGGCATCAGGGGAATCAGATCCCTGGCTACTACGTCACTGCAAGTTTGATGACCGCGGATTCCTACTCTTCCATCAGGTTCACTTTCGTAATGCTGGTGGAGTCCCACTCGAGGAAAAGATTCCAGTCCACTTCCTGGTTACAGCAGACCAACTATATGAACAATCAAAAGATGAAACCAAATTTGCATCAAGAGATCAGGCTCGTGAGGAATTGAATGCTCTCGTTTCTTTGGATTGCGGCCAAAGACTAGTATCGCTGTGAGTGAATATTTTCATATTTAAAGTCACCAATACCGTCCACTACTAATACTAAACGACTAGGTTCATAAAATTCATTTTTCCAGATTTACCGATCATATCGCGTTCTCAATACGGACTGTCACCGTCCCAATCCATCCCAGAGCAACAAATCCTACAAACAATACCAGTCCACCTCCTCGCAGCAATCTACGCCTCAGCCCAACCATTCGCCAAATTCGACGAGTACCTCTGCGTCATGAACGCCTACTCCGCCCCGTCCACAGACCGACTCTGGCGCCTTGTCTTGGAGCTTTTGTTCGAGGAGTTACATACCCCCCACCTAGCCACGCTGCAAGCGGGACTTCTATACCTCCACAAACCAAGCGAAGGCAAGAAAAGTGCCGTGGCAGATAGTTCCTTTGTCTGGTCCTTCGTCGGTCTACTAGTCGGCCTCGCCACTTCGCTCGGCCTCACGCTAGAATGCAAACCCATGGGTCTCCCAGCCTGGGAGCGCCGTCTACGCCGGCGATTATGGTGGGTCGTCTATGCGGAGGATAAATGGCGCAGTCTGATGATGGGCCGGCCGCCATATATTCGAGAAGACGAGTGGGACGTGACGGATCTCGACGACGACGATTTCCGAATCGATCAGATGCACATTGACTTTTTGCTGTCGTCGAGTGACGAGTCACGGCGTGATGTGGTGCATGTGAGGCAGTTTCAGCATTTCGCGCGGTTATCGAGGATAGCGGATGAGGTGCAGGTTCGATTGTTGTGAGTGGGTTGCTCTTTTCAATTTCTTGTCCAGAAGCTAATTGAATACTTCAAGCTCCCTTCGCGCTTCGCAGCGACTGTCGTCGAATTTCGACGCATCTCTCGATACGGCTCGGGGTCTACTTCAGAAATTGAAAGAGTGGTATGCGCTTCTGCCGCCGCAGCTTAGACTGCAGAATAGACTGTTTGCGACGATTGATCGGAGTGGACCGCGGTCTCATTGCCTTCATTTTTCGTACCTTTTGCTGGAAGTCTTTATCTTTCGCTCGTTGCTTCGACCGATGGTTCGGTCTGCTGCGCCGCCGCGACTATTCGAGGAAGATGAGGAGCCGATCACATTCACGAATATGGTTGATGATTACATCACTCAGATCATTGAGGCGAGTGAAGTCGAGCCTGTGCCTGCAATTGACATGTCCGATGAGCATGGCGCCGGAAATGCAGTGCTCAAGGCGGCCGAGAATTGCGCGGCGACGATGCTGCGGTCCGTGATGAGAATGGCATGTAGTGATTTAGCGGGATTCTGGTACTCATGTAGGTGGATTTCAGACTTTTTGTCTTCTTCACGGTCCAGATTCTTATTCCTACTTGTGCTAATGATTGGATAGGGTCACGGGTAGGCTTTGCCACTGTCTCTAGCTTCATGATGCTCTTGATTGTGCAGGCGCCATCTAAGGAGCACGCGCTACGAGCTCGGAGATTGGTGTATATGTGGCGACAAGCATTACGAGGCCAGAGCCAAGGCTGCGAAGTGTTGAATCTCGCGCTTGTTCGGCTCGACGGTCCACACTGGGCCGGGCTGGCGCGGAACTTTTTCCTTCCTAAGCATGTCAAGGAGGCTCTTGAGTGTACGATTGACCAATCATGAGGCGCGGCAGTAACAGAAATAAGCATTGGAAGGGGCAGGGTCAGCCGAATTACTGCGATCGCGTACGGATTGGGGAGGTTGAGGCTGGATATGAGCTGGAGATAATACGGCTTTTTCTCGGGGTGGATATGTAATTTCATCCACACCAATCTTTGGCGGAGCAAAGGAACCAGCGGTTCGCATGGAGAGAACATGACCAAGCTGTCCGGACTCGGGACTCCGTAATCGCAATTAGCCACGGCAGTCCGCGGGAATTCCATTGGTCGAGCGAATTTGTGTTTTCAAACTTCCCGAACTGGACGATTGGCCCCCCACCGGTGGGATGGAAAATGGAAAGTGGCACGTAGTGCAAAATCTGCTGGGGCCAAGTGGGATGAGTGGAGCAGTAGGAGTAGCAAAGTGAGACGCGGTGCAGGGTGTTGAGAACAGGCTGCATGCGCTATCATGTTTAGAGAGGTTAGCTTGAGTTTAGCATGGGATTAGTTGAGTAAAGTGGACATTAACTCGTTAGTTTTGGACCAGGCGGTTCCCACTGATCTTCGCGGGCCTCACATGCTACAGTCACACGGAGGGGTAGCAGATCAACGTTTAAGCGCTGTCCACCGTCTGCTACCGTGCGAGATGCCGCAAAGTATTGAGTGTGAGTGCACCCTGAAGTCCGATGGTCCAGGCCGATAGCCGGAGGCAATAGGCGAGGCAAGTCCAGACACGGGTCCATCCGCCATGCAACCGGTAATCCCGGTGGAATCGTTCCCCCTGGCCGTGCAGACGAGCTGCCAGGCACGAAACCCCTCTAGGTCCCACAATCTACCATTTTCCACCCCCACAATCCCGGTGGCTCCCAGCGTGGGTGTGTGGTGGTGCGGAAACTCCGTACAGCCCGGACCTTTGACCGGTTTAATGTAGGTGCAGCGGGTGGGGAACGGATCCGAGGGTACTCCGTACATACATACATAGATGATTTCTGTTTTAGTCTTGCGTGCTTGACACTTGTAGCAGAAGGGAATAATATATTGATTGTGCTGCCCTAGGGTACCAATGGAAGTGGGAGATAGAGATTAAACTTCCAGCCGGCGCGGCTGAGGGTCTCTCTGTACTTCCATGCTTACTCATCCCCCGCACCCGTGACGATCGGGACCTTCCACGGGGGGGTTCGGGGACACGATCTTGGGATTCCTCTATGAATCGGGATCGCGATGTTCACCCGGAGTCTTGGGTCTAAGGTCGAATCTCAGTGGAATTAACATCAAGATATCATTCCCTCGGTCATCGGAAGAAAGGGGAAGGAAATGAAATGACGTTGGACCGGCAATCCCAACAAAGGACCAATAGCCCAGTCAGCTTTCTGCCTTTGGAGGAAGTGCCAGGGATAACCGCGGGGGGGGGTGATCGTTTCGGACAAATGGTTCTTATGAGAAATCTAGCCATTCCATTTGAACCGGGCGGCGTCCAATCCATGGGAAGCAAGAAGCCGGGGGAAGCGGCCCAAATGCATAGTTCCTTAGTTCCTCCGGGGCAACGGAAGTGCTCAGTCCCCCGCATGACCGAGCTAAAGTGGCATGTAGTCGAAGTTCACAATTGAGAGAATCTGATGATGAATATGTTTACTACCTAGGTATATTAAAGTATATCTAGCTATAGAGTATAGATAGATATATAGTATCTTCTTCAAGTTCTACTAGTATCTATAGCCCCAGAGTATAACTACTTGTTGACTACTACTACTACGGTATACTCCTGCCGCTCGCAGTGATAGCCCCGCCGCATCCAGCCTTGACCCGAATCGGTGACAGCCAATTACTCCACCCCCAACCCAGCACTCCCCTAATATTTAATATTTAACAATATTTCCTCCGCGCTTCATTTCTCCTTTCCCTCTCTCCCGCCCCCTCCACTCCCATCTTCAAGTTCCCATCCCGTGAGTGATTCATGTTCTAACCACCCTCCAATTTAAGCTCCCGAAGCTGCCACTGCCAGTGGCTCTTTCGTCCCTCTTCTCACCCGCTAACCTTTACCCCCTCTCCTCCAACAGATCTCTCTCCCAACACAAATTTGTCTTCCATTGTGCTCAGGAGCTCACTACTATGTCGGACGACCGTAAGCCCTCTGTGGTAAGTACCAATATCAGATCGCACCGCCGCGCCCGCCATTTTTTTTTTCATCCCACCTTCCCCCGCCGATCATTGCTAACATCCTACGCTACCTAGGTGCTGGAAGCCCACGAGGTTGACACTTATCACGTTCCCAAAGCTTTCCACGACAAGCACCCCACCGGCACTCACATCAAGGATATCGATGAGTACAACAAGCTCTATGAAGAATCCATCCGCAGCCCCGACACTTTCTGGGCCCGCATGGCCCGTGAGCTGCTCACCTTCGATAAAGACTTCCAGACCACCCACCACGGTTCTCTTGCCAATGGCGATAACGCCTGGTTTGTCGAGGGCCAGCTGAATGCTTCCTTCAACTGTGTTGACCGTCACGCCCTGAAGAACCCCGACAAGGTCGCCATCATCTACGAAGCCGACGAGCCCAATGAGGGCCGCTCCATTACATACGGCGAGCTCCTGCGGGAGGTCTCCCGCGTCGCCTGGACACTGAAGCAGCGTGGTGTCAAGAAGGGTGACACTGTCGGTATCTACCTTCCCATGATTCCCGAGGCCGTCATTGCCTTCCTCGCTTGCTCTCGTATCGGTGCCGTCCACTCCGTTGTTTTCGCTGGGTTCTCCTCAGACTCTCTCCGCGATCGCGTGCTCGACGCGAACTCCAAGGTCGTCATCACCACCGATGAGGGCAAGCGTGGTGGCAAGGTCATTGGCACCAAGCGCATTGTCGATGCGGCTCTCGAGCAATGCCCCGATGTCACCACTTGCCTGGTTTACAAGCGCACTGGCGCCGAGGTTCCCTGGACCCAGGGCCGTGATATCTGGTGGCACGAGGAGGTCGAGAAGTACCCCAACTACCTCGCCCCCGAGCCTGTTAACTCCGAAGACCCCCTTTTCCTTCTCTACACATCCGGATCCACTGGCAAGCCCAAGGGTGTCATGCACACCACTGCCGGCTACCTGCTGGGTGCCGCCATGACCGGCAAATACGTCTTTGATATTCACGATGATGACCGTTACTTCTGTGGTGGTGATGTCGGCTGGATTACTGGTCACACCTATGTGGTTTACGCGCCTCTGTTGCTGGGATGTGCCACCGTCGTTTTTGAGAGTACCCCTGCTTACCCCAACTTCTCCCGCTACTGGGATGTCATCGACAAGCACGACGTCACCCAGTTCTACGTTGCCCCCACTGCCCTGCGCCTGCTGAAGCGTGCGGGTAACGAGCACATCCACCACAAGATGAAGTCCCTGCGTGTGCTGGGATCCGTCGGTGAACCTATTGCTGCCGAAGTCTGGAAGTGGTACTTCGAGGCTGTCGGCAAGGAGGAAGCTCACATTTGCGATGTTCGTATCTCTGTCCACTAATATCTGCGATTTGTACGCTAACATACTTCGCAGACCTACTGGCAAACCGAGACTGGTTCCAACGTGATCACACCCCTGGGCGGTATCACCCCCACCAAGCCTGGTAGCGCCTCGTTGCCCTTTTTTGGAATTGAGCCTGCCATCATTGACCCCGTCTCCGGAGAGGAGATCACCGGTAACGATGTTGAGGGTGTTCTTGCCTTCAAGCAGCCATGGCCTAGCATGGCCCGCACAGTCTGGGGTGCTCACAAGCGCTACATGGACACCTACCTGAACGTTTACAAGGGCTACTACGTGAGTGGTTAATTGGTATCCATCTTTGATACATTATTGACTCTTGTTGTCTAGTTCACCGGAGATGGCGCTGGTCGCGATCAGGACGGTTACTACTGGATCCGTGGCCGTGTTGACGATGTTGTTAACGTTTCCGGTCACCGCCTGTCCACTGCTGAGATCGAGGCTGCTCTCATCGAGCACCGTAAGTTGACTATGAGAATGAAACGGACTTTTTCGAATCAATCGCTGACCTTGTTTATAGCCATGGTTGCTGAGGCCGCTGTCGTTGGTATCGCCGATGAACTGACCGGTCAGGCTGTCAACGCCTTCGTTGCCCTTAAGGATGGCAATGAGACGAATGACGAGGTCCGCAAGGACCTTGTGATGCAAGTCCGCAAGTCCATTGGACCTTTTGCCGCCCCCAAGGCCGTCTTCGTTGTTGAGGATCTCCCCAAGACCCGTAGTGGAAAGATTATGCGCCGCATTCTGCGCAAGATTCTGAGCGGCGAGGAGGACAGCCTGGGTGACACATCGACTGTAAGATTCTCATCTCGATTAAGGAACGTTGGGAATTGTTCGCTAACTTATTCTTTCAGCTGTCCGACCCTAGTGTTGTTGACAAGATCATTGCTACCGTCCACGCGTCGCGTCGCAAGTGATCGAAGGGGAATAAACAAATAAAATAAAATATTGGGTCTATGATTTCATGATAATGATTCAAAAGAGAATGAATCTTTTTTTGAACTTCTTTCTGGTTCAATTGTCATTGAGCATTATGCAGTAACCCGCGTGGGAGGACCGATGACCCCGGACCTCAGGCGTCCGAAATTGATTTATTTCTTTTCTTTTCTTTATGAGTGTTGCCTATTTGATGTTTGAGATTCCCTGACCTGTTTATCCAGCAGCGGTGTGAATATGATTTTCTCACTTCCTGATTTCATTCATGAAAATTTCTTTGTTGCGTAGAGACACCGTAGGAACGTAGTAGTAAGAGGCATGGAGAGATAGAGCCGTTTTAGGAGTACGGCTCCTGCATAGATAGCTGTTTTCGGGTAGAGCTCACAAGAGCTTTCCTCTTCAATATGTTTACAGTTTGTTATTGCCATTAACCACCGACCACGAGGGATAGCAGCAAGGGAGAGAGTGTCTTTCAGAAACTCACTTATGGCTACAGCTCCTGCAGCTGCATGTACAACATTCCAAGTTGAACAAAGCTTTGCACAACAAAGCGATTGAACTCGGGCTTTTCCC